AAAGATTCGTTTTTATTATTAGATTCGTCGTTCTTCGATTAGTATATCTATCTTAGTTATAAGCGCTTAAGTTACTTCGTCGTACTGCTATAGCTGAATAAGTAACTTTTGCATTTTACCCCTTTTCTCCCTTTACCTCTTATGCCTTCGGGCTAGCGACTACGATATCTCTATAACCAAGGGACATAGCCGAGATATAATAACCGCATTAGATTCCTTATCTCTCGATTAATATAGCGATATTAGTTTCATTTATTTTGGACCATCGTACGTATTATAATCTTCGATAGAACGTACTTTCGAGTAAATATATCCGGGTCTTTAGCATCGCGTACGCTCTACTCCTCCTCAATATTTACCGCTGTAGCGCCCTTAATCCGCTTATAATCGACGATCTTAGCCTTAAAGGCCCTAACCTCCGGGTTTCGATCTAAAAAACGGTAATACTAGTACTTCCCTAGCTTTCCAGAGCCGCCGTTAACGTTTAATAAGCGGTCGGCCATAAGCCTAAATTAAATAAAGACTAACGCGAAGCCTAACCTAGCTTACGAAATAATCTAACGAGTTAATTTAGCTTCTAAGATTGGTAATAAAGCCTACCGATTCTTATTTAGCTCTTATCTCGTTAGTCTACTAGCGAAACGGCGCGCTAGGTAGGAACGAGAGACGCTATATCGAAGGATAGCTTTTCGGATACTAATACCGTATATAACCTCCCAAATAACGGCTTCCGTACGGATTTACGTTTCCTTTAAAGATACTATCTTAATTAATAAGAAATTAGGAAGAGATTAAAAGTAAAAGGAATTACTAAAGATTAAAACTAACCGAGAAATTATAGATTATTTAAGCAAGGGCGTCGCGTTAAAAAGCGCGTTCGTGGGTCCTAACACGGTGGTCCGTGAAGGGGTGGCTCGTGGAGGGGTGCCCTAGCTTACCTGGTAGGCGAAGAACCCCGAGAGACCTACGGAGGAAAAGGAGGAGACCCTGGGGTATAGTATAACCCCGGGAAGAACGAAGGAAGGAGACTTAGGTAAACATTAATACCCTAAGAGGCGGAGGCAGTAACCCGGGGAGCGAGTAGTATACCCCGGGGGACGGAGATAATACCTAAAGATACGGTACGTGTTCTAAGGCGCGGAAGAAAACGAGTTAGATTATTAGGATTAGATAAAGGAAAAGGGCAGTAGGGCGTACTTTTTTTTTTCCAGGAAGGGACCTTATATAATAGGCTATACTTATTATAAAGCCTAAGCTAGTACCAGGGCATGGTACGTAATTAGCCCCTAGTATCTAGGGAAGATAAAGCTAGTAGTTATAAGTACGGCCTATAGGGCATACCTTTTTCTTATTTTTCTCCTCGTTTAACTTTAGTTTATTAATATATAGCTTTTACGTAGTGAATAGCTCGTAAAACAGTAATACGTAAATTAAATTAAATTTCACGTCGGCTTTTATTTAATTTAAATTTATAACTAAACGTTTATGAAACGTTAACGACTGTTTTAAAAAGCTAAAGAAGTACTAATATTAACTTTTTTTAAATCTCAATTCGGAGGTCAAAGCTTTTAAAGTTAAGATCGTCGATTATAAGCGAATTAAAGACGTTCCGACGATAAATATTGAACAGGAGCAGCGTGGGCAAGCTGTGATAGAGGTACGAAAAGGGCTACCTGTTAGGAATCACGGTTGGGAGGGTACCAACCTATGGGGATCACAAGGCACAAGAGGGGAAGGTACGTACGTACCGAGTAGAAGAAAGGTTATTCCACTTCCTATTATGCAGGCGACAACTCGTGGCACAATCAGGGCTCGCCTAAAGAGCGATGACTCTTGGCACCCCGACGGGTTACCTTAAGGGTGACTAGAAGAAGGGTAATAAGAAGAAGGCTAGAAGGGCATGGCAAGAAACGAGTAAATCGCTATAATTAGTAATAGCTACCTAATGGATACTTAAATAAATCTAATTAATGAAAATATAAGTACGAGACTCATATAAATATATATACAAAAGGCTACGTAGCCTAGTCCTACCGCACCACTACAGTATATCCCTCGGTTATAAAGATATAGTAGTCGCTAGCCTAAAGGTAAAGAAGGTAAGAAAAGGAAAGGGGCTAAATGTAAAAGTTACTTATTCGGTTATTACAGTACGACAAAGTAATTTAAACGCTCGTAACTAAAATAGATATATTAATCAGAAAACCACGAATCTAATAGTAGAAACGAATATGAAATTAAGGTAAAAATAGTAAAGTTAATAATCTATTAAGTAATAATTATAGCATAATCCGTACTATAGTGGTGCGGTGGATCTAGGCCACGTAGCCTTTTCGATATATATTTATATGGGTCGCGTACTCATATTTTCATCAGTTAGACTTAGACCTATAGACATTACTTGTTACAGCTATTTACTCCTTTTGCTATGCCTTTCTAGCTATCCTCGATTACCCTTTTCTAGTCCCCTTTCCTAGCTGCCGTTTTTAGCTAGCCGATCAACTGATTATAGCTATTTATAGCTATAATCTTAATTAATCGGCACTAGGCTAGTTATTAGTAGTTAGGTAGCCGTTTCGTGCCTCCGTTAGCGTACCTACGCTACTCCTATTCAGTAGCGACCACCCAGTAGCTCGAACCTCACCTCATCTTAGGAGTAACCTTTTACGACCGTTTTTACAGTCATTAGGTTCAGGATACGCCGATCAAAAGATTCCCTAATTTTTAGTTAATCAGGAGCTATTTTCGTAGCTCCGGAGCCGTTTTCGTAGCTTTTGGCCTTAGCTTTTTAGGTCAGGCACCAGGATCAACAGGGAGGGCAGACAACCATAGCGACCATCAATAACCACGCCCTCCTATCAGCTTTTAATCAGCTTACCTAAAAGCTCGTTCGCCGATCAGTAGGAATCCCTATTCTCGTTTCTCAGTTATCTCTTTTAAAGGAGCTATGCCCGTTTTTATTTAGTCTCGTCTTCGTTTTTTAATGCCTAGATAGCCGTTTCCTTAGTTAATCTAACTCCGTTACCGCCACCACCCCTTTTTTTATAACCTCGCACGCGCTTAAAGGCATCCGTTCTTTTACCGATCAGTTTATTTCAATTACAAAAGGCTTACCATCCGATCGCCCTTGTTTTATCCCTTCCAGCCAGTTACGGCACCTAGGGAGGTCTCTCCTTACCTCCCTAACCGATAGGTGCCACGATGCCCTCAATTACTACAAGAAGATACCGACACACCTTATACCCACGAACCTAATCGGGACCTACCGATCAGCGCGATAGACCTATAAACGATACCGATACGAACGAATTGAATAGATATTAAACAAAACAGCCCAGAAAAAAAAAAAAAACAGTCATAGTTACAGAACAGTCACAAGTTAATGCCCGGAGACCCCTCTTATCGCCCTTACCGATATATGGTTAGTAGAAAGAGCCAGAGCCCCTAGAACCACGTACAGGGGAGGGATCGAGGGTCAAGGGAAGCCCGGTAGATACTGCCGGACGAATACAAGAACGGTTACACGAAAATAGCCAGAAACGAGTCAGAAACGGGCATAAACAGAATATATCAGTCAGTTTATAGGATCAGGATCAGTTAAAAAGGATCGGCACTAGTCATAGACGAAAAGGACGAAGATTACGTTACATCGTATGGGATTATTTCTTTCGTTTCTTACGGGAGCTACGCTTATTTTACCTGCCCCGTTGCAGTTCCTGTTTTCTGATTAATCCCTGTTATTTCTTAGTAGCCCTAATGGACCTAGCTCGCTCCCAGTTAATTAGGGTTAATTAGGAACAGGTTAATCAAGTTAGCTTATAGGTTACAGCTCCGCTAGCCTAGTTATTATCGGATCTTTCCTATTTTCTATTAATCGTTAATTAAACTAGCTCAGCTCCCAGTTAGTAACGATTAAATAGGTTCGGGATTAATTAGGTTTAGGTTTAGGATTAGGTACGGTTGTAGTTACCTACCCTACCACCTACTTATTGCTATTATAATCGTTCCTAGTTAACCTACCTAACTTATCCTATTAGCCTTTAATTAAACTAGCTAGCTTTTAGTTAATCAGGGTTAATCGGGATCAGGATCAGGTTAAACAAGAACGAGAGCTACCGTACCTATTACTATTAGAAGTTTAATTACTCCTTACGAATTAATTAAACTAGGGAGGCTGTAATAGTACGGTAGATCTAGGCCACGTAGCCTTTTCGATATATATTTATATGGGTCGCGCACTCATATTTTCATCAGTTAGACTTAGACCTATAGACATCACTTATTACAGCTATTCACTCCTTTTGCCATGCCTTTCTAGCCTTCCTCGTTGCCCTTCTCTTAGTTCCCTTTCCCAGCTGCCGTTTCAGCTGGCCGATCAACCGATTACAGCTGTTTACAGCTGTGATCTTGGTTAATCGGCACTGGGCCAGCTGTTGGCAGTTGGGTAGTCCTTTTCGTGCCTCCATCACAGCGTGCCCACGCTGCTCCTGTTCAGTACTTACGAGAGCTATGGTTATTCTATGTAGGTATAAGACCTATCGTAACGTATTACATAATGTATTAAAAGAGTATATCTTACCGTACTACTATAGAAGGTATACGTAACGTTAGGAAAGCAATTCGTTTATATAATGGATATACGGTAGGTAAAAAGGTTGTTAAGAGGTAAGGTAATATATAGGAACGAGGTAAACGACGAAAAGGTACTTAGAAAGGTTAAAACAGTATTAAGAATACTTAAAAACGAAATATCTTAAACAGAAAATTATATCGAAATTATAATATCAAAATTAAAAGTTTTTAATTAATTTTAATAATATAAATAGCTTTAATTATTAACGTAATAGTTATTAAGTAATGTTTTACTTAGATAGCTCATCGAGAGATAGCTTAACTTAAGTAGAAACTGTAAAAAGGTACGAATAATTATGTTAACTTTACTTTTAAATTAAACTAGTTCATATACAATTCTCAATAAGAAAACTCTATAATTTAATAAGGCTTGACATAATATAAATACTATTCGGATAGGATAAAAAATATCTCTTAAGAAGAGAATTAAACTGACGTGCTCTTCTCCTTTTAATATCGAAGAGGATTGGCGTAGGCACGCTGTAAGAGGAATCCAGACCGGACAAGAACGCGCAGCTGCTGACAGCTGGCTCCGGGCTGATCAGGTGGGATCACACCTGCAGGCAGCTGTAAGCTGTTGATCGGCCAGCCATGGATGGTAGCTGGGAGCAACAACAAGAACCGATGGAGGGGAGACTCTAGAAGGCCATGGTGGGAAACAAGTAATTAAAACCTATGGTATAATCCCACCGCACCACTACAATACACAAGGTACCGGGGCCATAAGTAAGTTGTTGTTTAAAAATCGATAGGCAAAAAAGACTCGGAATAAAGAACGAGTAAACACCTACGTGACGAATAACGATCTCGCCCTGGTATCCTTGCCCCTCATACTGGCAGGCCTCGTGTTATCCCGAGCTCCAACATCGCGACGAACCTCCGCACATCCTCACGGTCACTGTAGAACCCGAACGAGACCCTCACCCCTAGGCGGTTCGGCGTCACGCAGGCACCCTGCTGCTCCAGAAACCGCCCCCACCCGCCTCGCGCGCCGAGGCCCAGGACGCAGATGTGCGGTGCGCGGTGCTCCCGCGCGCGCGGGTTTACCACCAGTACGCCGAGCCGATCGCACGCCGCCATCAACGCCTCCGTCAGCCCGTACAGGTGCGCCTCGACGTCCGCGGGGCCTAGGACGTCGAGGTAGAAGCGCAGCGACGCCCGCGCCGCCACCGCCGCGACGAAGCTCACGTTCGCGTGCTCGAAGCGCAGCGCCCCGTCGCGGTACGTCAGCGGGCCGTCGGCCGCGCACACCAGCAGATCGGCGCGCAGGTCGCGCACGCCGGCCATGCCGACGATCGGCGGCGGCGGCAGCGGTAGCAGTAGCCGGCCGTCATCGTCATCGTCGTCGTCGTCGGCGAACACGTCGGGCGCCACGTACAGCGCGCCGAGGCCGACGGGGCACCCGAGGCCCTTGTGCAGGCTGAAGGCGGCGGCGGAGACGCCGAGCGCGCGCACGTCGAGCGCGGCGAAGCCGACGTGCTGGGTCGCGTCGACGACGACGTGGACGCGGCGCGGGCGCAGGGCGGCGCATAGCGCGGCGACGGCGTGGCGCTGGCCGCCGTCGAAGGCGACCGAGCTGAGGCCGACGGCGCGCGTGCGCGCGTCGACGAAGGGCGCGAGCGCCGCGGCGTCGACGGCGACCGGCGCGCCGCCCGCCCACGCGCGCGTCGGCACCTGGCGCACCTCGAGGCCGGCCGCGTCGCGCAGCGCCAGCCACCCGTGCGCCGTGCTCGGGTGCTCGACGTCGAGCAGCACGACGTTGTCGCCGCGCGCGAACCGCAGCGTCCGCGCCACGCTGCCCAGGCCCTCCGTCGTGTCCCGCGTGAACGCGATCTCGGCCGCAGACCCCGCGCCGATGCACCGTGCCAGCAGCCCCCGCACCTCCTCCACCACCACCCGCCACCCCGCGTGCGGCCGCGCCGAGTGCAGCGCCTCCGCCGAGTACTGCACCACGGCCTCGTGCACGACCAGGCTCGCCGGCGGCGCTGACGCCGAGTTCAGGAACAGCACGTCTTCGCGCAGCGCCAGAGGCACCAGGTGCCGGAACGCGGCAAATTTCTCTTCCAGCCTCCTGGTCTCCGCCGCGGCCCTGTCTTCGTCGAGGACCGGCTCCCCCGTAGTTCCGCGCCCCGGCGTGGCGTGTTCGGCTGGTATGTGGGCTGTCATTCTTTCTGGTTGGTGTCAAAACCTGCGAAAGTAGCGGACAGCGAGCGAGCCGAAAGAGGGGAGGAGGAGCGGCATTTATGGCTGCGCGAAATCCGAGTGCTTTTTCTCACTTGGGACTTATTGTCCATATCTTGCGTGCGGCGGTTGGACGGTTTATATAACCCCACGCTTTCTGGCCGCCGCGAAGCCAATCGGGGTAGCGCCAGATTCGTATGTCGGGCATAGGGAATATTTTTGGGTATCACGATTGGCAACTCGTATCACGCTGGTGGCCCCGATTCTCCCCCGCAGGGTAGCATTACCCGAACGACGTTATTACCTCCCTCCATGTTCCGCGAGATCTAAGGTAACAACGTCAAGATTACGTTGGGGAACCATCGTATTCGGCCGATGTCCCGGTCTGCCGCCCAGGAACCGGAACACGGCACGCTGGGGCGGAGCCCTCTCATCGTATAACTACCGCTCCCGGCCGGATCCCGAGGTGTGGCACAAACCGGGAACACCACGCGGGAAAAGTACTAAGTTGCGCACAGCGCCCATATCCCACACAACCGGCGATGCGAATGAAAACGATTTGTAATTAATATGCTCTAAGTCACAAAGTATCTATTAATGGCAATGGATGGTATCAGCTTCTTACCTGTCAATCGGCAGCAAGCTGCCCACCCCCTCGGAAAGAACGGCACGAAATATCAACATGCCGCCGAACTCCCCGCTCGATGCCGACGCAGAAAGAAGAAAAAAAATCAAAACCGAAACGCTATGTGTAAATGCATCATTCGCAAAGACGACCGCCTAACCTCCAGCCTACTTAATCCCTGACCGTAGCCGTCGTCGTCACCATCTCCTTCTCCGTAACCTTCACTGTCGCCGGGGGCTCCACTTGCTTGGCGCCCGGCACCACGAGGCTGCCGCGGCCGGGTATCCCGTGGCCCCGCCCGGGTCCGAAGAAACCTCCGAAGGGGCTGTCGAAGAAGGGGCTGTCTGTCTCAATCGGGATGACATGGAGACCCGAATCGGTCGGGATGGTGAAGGTTCGGGTCGGCGAACTTGTAGGGGGTGGTGGAGGCGGTTCGGTGGATGAGGTAGCAGTGGTGGGTGGGGAAGCGGGTGCAGTGACAGTGCTCGGCGGGGCGGCGGGCGAAGTCGCAATGGGCGACAGGGTGGTAGGCGAAGAAGCTTTAGAAGTAGCGGAAGACGACGGTGGACTTTGGGTGGACGACGACGCCGTCACGAACTCCGAGGGAGTGGGTGTTACAGTGACAGTCTTCGTAATTACCTGAGGCGGCGAGACCGAGGTCGATCGGGTCACCGTGTTGAATGTCGTGGGTGTAAAGGTTACCGTTACCGTCTTCTCTCCAGCCGTCGAAGTGCGCGAGGACTCGGCGGGCGCCGAGGGAGGGCTCTGTCGAGCCGAACTAGCCGTCACCGTGGTTTGCCCCGTCGCTGTGACGGTCGGCGTGATCGTTAGCGTAACCACGCTACCGTCGGCCGTGGACGAGCTAGCGGGAGCCGAGCTCCCTACCGACGACGCGCTACCACCCAGCGATTTGCGAATGGTATCTTCGTCCCAGCACCCGAGCTCAACACCAGCAACCGTGCGCATTGGCAGGGCTTGGCAGGCCAATGCGCCTGCGCAAGGAGTGATATCGAATGTGCCCGCACTGGAGCATCTCCCGATGTTCCCATTGATGCAAGCAACCTGGCCGGGTACGCACGCGGATTGCTCCGTCAACCCAGCGAAGATTTCGTTGTAGCGCTTCGCATCAGCCAGGTTCTTGGCCAGGACTTCGGGGGTGACTGTACCCGTCGAGGCGGGAATGGAGGTTATAAGCGTCGGGATTGCGTCGTTCAATGTCCCCGTCGCCGATACCGAGCGGGACACGTACGATGACTTCTTGATAGATGTCGGTGCATCTGTAATTGACGGAGTTGCTGCCTCACGAGTCGAAGTAGCCAAACTAGCCGAGCCGGTGTCCGGTCTTGCGCTAGTAGATAGGGAAGGCAGTGGTGAGGTGCTCAAAGTCGCAGTCGACGCGGTAGGCTCGGAGGCGGAGGAACTACTCGTATCCACCGTCACTCTCGATGCGCTGGTGGCGGACCGCGTCTCCGAAGGCGCTGAAGTCAGGCTGTTTGGAGAACTCTGTACGGAGGTAGACTGGGACAGAGAACCGGCGCTAGAAATTGCCGAGGATGACGGCGACGAGAGCGGAAGGGATAGAGAACTCGAGAGGATGGGCCGAACGGAGGACGTGGACGAAGTGATCGTCGCGCTGGGTGACGTAACGTCTGTGCTTGCCGTTGTCATGGCCGCATTGGTGGGAGGTGTTGGCTGAACCTGCACAGTGGAGGAGGGGAAGATGCTGACTTGGGGAATCGTATTACCCTCTTGCAGTGATGACGACTGAGAGATCGAAGCCGCAGGGGCGGATTCAGTCGAGGATGAGGGAGCGTCCGTACTGGAAAGGATAAAGGTTGAGGGTATAGAAGTGAGAGTGCGTATTAGTGGGGACGTAGAGGATGATAGAGACGAAGACGACGTCGGCGTCTCGTCAAGAGTCTGCGAGAGGGTAGATTCTGATACTGACGATGTCGCAGACGTAGTCGCTACTGTAGTATTCTCGAATCTGTATACTTTAGGGAATCCCACCCGGTCTCGCCTTCTGACTCTGTAGGCTGTTAGTTTATCTCCGTCACGGTGGTGAAGCTTGTTGGTTTCATACCTCTCACCGGACCTCGACGGCCCCGCCGCCGAGGCCCCAGAAAATAGAATGAAGTGCAGGAATATCGGGATCCGCATCGGGAATACGGGGTTGTTTTGGGGTTGCGAGCGGAGAAGAGGAAGGGAAAGCGAGGATATCGCGAAGAAAATGAAAATATATGGTAGGAGAAGACGATTAACAGGTTGAAGATACGGGGCAGTGGTGATTCATATTCGTCGTTCGTAGTCATAAAGGCAGATAATGTATCAAAGCCAGATTGATTTTACCTTCAGAACGTAACAAGAGGACGAACAATTGAGCGCTTAGAAAACAATAAGAAAATAGCCTTGATGAGTAGACGACAAAGAAAATCTGACAAGACGAAAAAAAGAACTGCAGCTCACGGGACCAGCTTCGAGATTCAGAAAAACGAAGAAGACCAACTTCCGAAGAGGGTCGGTCCCTCAGCGAGGAAACGTCCTCGTCTTGTAGGGAAAAAAAAAAACGAAGAGACGACGCGCATCCGGCTACTATCCCGCCCCGGGCGCGACTATGGCGCCCAGGGACCAGGTTTCGATGGAGTTTCGGCCAAGATGAGAAATACTGCCAGTCGGTAACACACAAGAGAATGCCCATCGGGGGGGCTAGAGAGCGCAGGGCGGATGGCAGATTGTCCAATAGGCCGGCATTGGACGAAGCTGCTCCGGCCGAGGGGATAGAGCCATGTCTGCGCCGGCCAAGATGCCTGGGCGCTGTGTCGGGCGTTCGAAGGGCGCGAGGAAACGGTGGCTAAGCGCTGTTGTGGGCCGTCGAGGCCTCTTCATCTCGCGTTCACGCGAGCTGGCGCCTGCGCTGCTATTGGTAGCGGCCCGTTGCGCTGGCTGGCGGCTGCGGAGCTCGTGAGCCAATCGCTACCGCCACCACGCTGCAACCTGCGGCCGCCAAGGACAGCGAAGACCATGACTACCTACATTAAGGATGCGGCTCGGTTGGGCATCAGCGAGCCTCACCCCCTCCCCTCCCCTTCGTGAGCACAAGTGGCACGACGGAGAGTAAGAGAATAAAAGGAAAGGAGAAAAAAGACGGAAGAAAGGAAGAAAAAGACGAAGGAAAAGAGGTAGGTATGGGCCACCTAGGTGCCGCTTCGTTGTGCTTGCACATCCTTCTGTGTCTTTGTTTTTTTCGAGAATTTTCTTTTTTCAGTTCCCGTCTCTCTTCCTTCACGAGCCTTTGATGTTGTTGCGGTAGGTAATTCAAGGCCACCGCCGAGACTATTATTACCTACTATTTTGTTCCCCTGCAAGATCACAATGCATTCATTTCCATACCCAGTACCTCGATTGAGTACCTAACTCGGTGCAGGGATAAACTGCACACAGCGGACCGCCCCGTCGCATATCATGTGATGCCCCCAGGAACAAACCAACCGGCTGGAGATGCGGCACGCCCAATCGACTGAGGTACCGATACATGTGCCCTGCGCGTGCTTCTCGCCGGGCATATGTATTGAACACTTGCAGGTTCATCGGAGCCCCGCCCTTCTCGGGAGCCGATCGTCGCTGAGGCCGACTCCCGGCGGAACGGGTTTGTATACAGCAGGTAAAGAATTCATTCCACCTACCTACCTATCTTGTTCTTGCGATGGTAACCCCTGCTATTCTCAGCCAGCATCACTACTTTTCCCCGGCCGCCTACAATCATCACATAGGTTGCTTACGGGGTACCTTAGGTACCTAGGTACTCGCTGGGGGGGGGGCAGGATGTACCTATACATAAGTGCCAGTAGCGGAAGGCTGATAGTTTAGCGCCGAGATAGGGTACCTCCTAGTGCCATTTCGTTCGCGACCCCTCCTTCACCCCACCAACCCCACGTACTTAGGGTATGTATAGGTACCTGTACTTGGGCGTAAGACGAGACGAGACGCAGGTCAGGTAGCTGAGTACACACAATACCTATCTACAATAAGGCGTCTGACGTGAAGAATAAATAACATCGGCTTGTTCAAATCACAGACACGGGATTGTTCGCGGATGATTGTAGGTTGGGATGTGTGGGATTCCTAGTAGCAACACGAAGAGGAGAAGCAGCAGAAGATGACAAGGGAGAACAGACGTCACCGAAGTCGTCTCCATCACCACCAATACCAACAGAACCTAATCCCTCCAATGCCTGCACCCATGCGCCCGACGCAGCACCTAATTGTCAACCCCTTCTTCCACCCACCTTGCTAGCACCACGGATCGACAAAATAATGCCCACATCGTTCCGAAATATTTACCTTTTGCGCCCTATCCCAGGGCCCGTAGTAAACATAACCACTACTACCATAGTACGGCGTTTCGTAGTTGTGAACGACGATGTGATGATACACCACCGTATGCTCGTAGCCCTCGAATAACCTCCTGAAAATCCGTAAGGCTGACTCGGCCGCGCTAGCGGGCTCAAACACGCCTGTCGAGGATGAGACTGAGCCCAAGGTAACTCGGTTCCCGTCCTCTCCTATTTTTACGACCTCTGCCTTGCCCAACACGAACGCCTCAAGCCTGCCGCTTTCCATATCTTGGGTTACCAGTATGTTCGTCACGGGCTCCTCGCCCCGGGAGTTGGGGATGATTGTCTCTATCCCGATATCAGCTCACCGCGTCTCCGCCATCAACTAAAGGGGGGGGGGGGGAGGGCGCGCATACCTGTCCATTCGCCTATTCCAAAGTCGCGAACATGACAACACACGTCTCCGTCCTCATTCACCACAGACACGACCACGGCCTTGTCTGATGCAAATGTGCAGATCGGCGTACCGATGCGGGCATTGGTGGAAACTGGCATGCCCTTCTCCCACGAGTTAGTCTCCTCAATATATCGGACGGTACAGATGGCGCCGTCGGTATCCTGGTAGAACACTACAGCGCCATTAGGTGTCGGCGTCCCGCTGACTCGGCTCGTCGGATGGACGACGACGTCCCCTAAGCCCTTTAGCGCCACAGGCTTCCACTTCTCCCTCCTGCGAACAAATGCGCTGCACTGGAGCTGGTTACTTTCGCCTATGTAGACGATGAATGCCTACAGGCTGATGTTTAGCAATCGCCTCGATCTATCATGAGAGCCCTCAGATGGTGGGGCAGAAGGAACACTAAAGAGGCCGAGGAGTGCGTACTTGATGTTCGGTCACAATATATGCCGCGGAAGTGTCCTCTCGGGGATCGCTAGCCACTCTCCGCTGACTTCGAAGCTGATCCTTCTCAAAAACCTTCTCGACGAGGCGTCCATCAGCCTGACTGAGAAGACATAGGAGGCCTTCGTCCGTGGTCATCGAGCCGACCGACTGCAGGCACCGGACACAGGTTTTCATGTCGCTGGCCATGGTTGCGCGTGGCAGGGATAGGACAAAAAGACTAAGCGAGGAGTCGCAGGATGTCGGGTAAGTTGAGGGTCCTTGTGCTGGGGAATGCGACACATTCTCTTGTCCCTCACCCTTAAATAGACACACCGAAGCGATCCCGTGGCTCTTCCCACCCTGATTTCGCTGCTCCAAGAGCTGCAGAGCCGCATCCGACAAGTACAACTCATCACATGCCCCTGTTGCAGGCTAGAAAACTTTGCTCCGCGTCATCGGACGATCGTGAAGTTACAAGACGACCAGTCTAAGCAAAGAGTGTTATCGTCGCTTAAGCCTGATTATTGCGTGCATCCTCCGGGCACAAATAGCCATGCATACGTGTATCCGTACCTCCTAACGCGGGGTGTTACGGCATAGATGGACTTCGTAGAAGCCCATAGTAAGTGTAGGATGGTGGTCTCACGTAGATCTCCCATTGGTAACGATAACGGTCCCAAAACAGAAATAGCCACAACTTTTGCTTCCTATTGGGGATGGGCACGTTGGGGTGATAGCCTACCGCACAGCCTAGGTATGTATGTCACTATACATGTGTGATATCGAAGACGGCGAGGATGGGGCGTCCCCGTTGTTAGGTTCACACCCGTATATAGCCTTCCCTCGACGGCCGTCGTCCGTGAATAAATACGTCAACATGTCCTCAAGGCTTGATCAAGTCGAGCGCAGAACCCTTCGTCTCTTCCCTACCACACTTGAAACTAGCCGCAGTGCTGAAAGATCCTACTCTCTGTTTTTCCATCTTTCTTTTCGCCTCCACAATGGATATCCACCAAGAAATTCGAGAGGATTCCCTCACGGACTCTAAACTGAACGACTATCTCGTTGCCGGCAATGACATCAACATGCAAGATATCAAGACTGGATTTACACCGCTTGCCACGGCTGCAAAGTCTGGCCGGGTTCGAGTCGCGAAGTTGCTACTTGAACACGGGGCAAACCCCAATCAGAAGACAAAATATGGTTGCACCCCACTCTACTTCGCAGCCGATGCTCGGACGGACCGCGAAGGGATCGTCCGGCTTCTCCTCGACAGCCGTGCTTCCGTAGACCTGACGGACCCCGCATGTCATAACGAGACGCCGCTTATGGCAGCCATTTCCAAAGCCCGCGACTACAAGGTCGTCAAAATGCTACTCGATGCGGGCGCGTCTCTGGAGGCCACAAACAACAAAAACAAGACGGCAAGGTCAATGGGTGAGCAGTCGGATATCCCCCTGATCCGGGAGGCCGTCGCGCATCCGTACCAGCTGAGTTACGGCCAATCCGAATGGCTCGAAACTATCATCAAGCTCATCCTATTCATCCTGGCTTACATTGGTCGTTGGTTCGTCGATGGTACCAAGGGGGTTGTAGCCGCGCTATATGGCGTGCGTGAAGCCACGGAGCCGGATGAGAACCTCGCTGACGAAATCGGCAACCCCACCACTGCTGAACAGTTCAAGGAGAGCATCAACACTTATATTAAAGACAAGAAACTTGACGATTTCTTCGATTCAGGGGACAGATACCTTCATGACCTGGCCGAGAAAGCGTTGGAGCTTGAGAAGGACCCCAGAAACCATTTTACAGAGCCGGACGAGATCAAGAGTCTCGTCCAGCTAGCCCTCTTCCAGCCGATATTTTACTGCGGTACGCCGTCAAAGCTGTGCCCTCGTATCGTGGTACCGTACTGACGAGTACTAGATGATAGCGGATCCATGAATGCACGACTTTTTGACCCGCCCAAATCAATGAACGGGATGGACGCGCAGAGGGAGTTGGTGAAAAGAATGGCCCGCGTTGCAACGCGTCTGGTGCCAGATAACACTGGTGCCCACCTGCGTTTCATCAACAGAACCGAAGGGGACCTCGACGACCTCGGGAGCCACGCGCTCGAGCAAAGGATGCTTTTCATGCCGAGGCGAACAGATTTGACTAATATCGGCACCGAGCTCGAGGCCAAGATCCTCAAGCCACTTGTATACGACGTCATTGAGCGTGACGGTAGACTCAAGCGACCGATCTTAGTCTTGATCATCACGGACGGACAGCCGTTCCCAGAACCCCTGGACACCCTCAAGAGGGCCATCCTTGAATGCGGCCAGAGGTTGTCCCGGTTCGGGTACCAGAACGAAGGTAAATATGACCCCCCCTGTATTCCCTTCTATTCCTGCTCTTCATCTGCTTGTGTGCCACGGGACTGATTGGAAATTGTAGCCGTCACGTTCCTCATCAGCCAAGTCGGCAACGATCCCCGAGCTGACCAGTTCCTCGATTTGCTGGAGGGTGACCCGGAGCTCGACCGCGTCCTCTACCGTACGGCAGGCCGCCTACACGAGAAATATGAGAGTCTCGGAACGAACCAGAAGGATATCGAACGATGGGTATGTTTCCTATGTCTCCTCGTCACTACTCAGGGATCCTCTTTCTGACACTTCTGGTATAAGCTCCTTCACATCTTAGCGCAGCCGATCCTCGGCCTACGTAGCGCCAATTAACGGTACCTTGGGGACATGTGGTCTTGGAGCAAGAGGATGGTAACTGTGAGATTGCTCGATTGGGTATTGCGTGCGTGTATTTTTGGCGCGACGGGGGGAGTATCTGTATTAACTTCATGGCGGCACCCGAGGATTGTTGAGCCGCTCAAAGTACTGTGACAATGATTATTTTCCTTTGTTAGAAATTCATTGGTATTCATATTTTCCTCGTAGCTGATTCGCCTTGTTCGAGGCCCATGTTCGTTGAAAGCAGTGACGTGTAAAATCTGTAGCCCTGGGCACTGGATCCCGATGAGGGGATGGCATTCGATCGACTATTAGTGTCCGTCCATCCAGCACTCCCGCTATGCACTCTTCCTGCATGTCTGACGCCTTGACCCCTGTCGTCACATCACACCCGTTTCTATATCCGACGATTCAGCTGTTACCGAGATGGGGGACGATCTTGACAGCTCTCTGGCAGGCTCGGGGTAAACCATGATGCCCAACCCCGATCCCCGTGCAGCCTACATAGTCCGCTCAGACCTTTGCGTTATGCTCCCACGCCCTGTACAAATTTCATAGGACGACTGGGGAAGGTATTCGATCATGTGAGCTTGAGAAAATCCACCCAAGAGGTCGAAGGAGGGTTGCTATGATTCCCAAGTGGCCGGTAGAGATGGCGCGGCAATGCCGTATCCTAACGAGACTATCCCTCGTCTGAAGGCGGGCAGAGCCTCATCGCGTCACGAGGAGAGGGCACGCGGGCTTGCCAGCGTACCCACCTGCTAATCCAACACACACACGCACACCAAGAGAAGAAGCAAAAAAGAAAAGGAAGCAAATCCTTCAGGTCGGCTTTGTGACAACACAAGGCTCCCAGCCTGATCCAACCCTCCAAAGCCTTCGCCGAGTTTCCTTGGCCACGATGTATCGGGGACAGCTGCCCCTTGGGCTGCGTCATAGAGCTCGCTTTGAAGAGGGTCGGAGAGGTGGTGAGCAAGAGCATGAAGTGTCGCCCAATATTGACGGCTTAGAAATGAGGATCGTCGAGTCCGCTATCGTGCTCCTCAAGTTTCGGAGGGCTGGCAACGGTAGGATCTTCCTCCAATAGCTCCCATTTCCCAACCCCCTTGCTCCCCTTAATGGCCACTAATACAGCCTCAAAATGGCCCACGATAGCCTATGACGCCAACGGTTTCTTCGTCCACGTCCCGGGAGCCCAACGCGGCGTCATCTTCACGGCGGGTCACAACCTCGTCGACGAGCAGGGGAGTCGTAGCACCGAGCTAAGAGTATGGTGGCAGGGAGAGCCCGATGAGGTGGCCGTGGCGCCTGAAGACGTGCGTATCAGTGCAAAGTATGAGGCGAACCCAACGCCCGCGTCCGCCGTCTTCGACTACGGTGCTATCCTCCTTCCCAAGCCAGCATCGGCGAATACGCGAAGGCCCGGCTTCGGCTTCGCGCTAAAACTGGCGGAGGAGGAAGTTCAGTCTTCAGTGAACATCACGACGTACAAGCCCGGGACGCCTATCGGCCCGGAGACCCGCCCGGTGCATTTCATCGGAGGGTGCACTAACCCTCAAGCCAAGAGCCAGATCGAGCACGACATTTCGACGGAGCCCGGTGTCAGCGGATCTCCAATCTGGGTCGGATACAAAAAGTATCCCACCGTTGTAGGAATACAGTACGAGACTGGTTTCTTCGTCCCTTTGTGAGACGGTTTTATCACGAGGCACTGGTGTGAGGATGATAATGTTGGCGGTGGTGATGAAGGCGATGATGATGGTGCTGATTCCGAATGAGTGAAGAGAAAGAAAGAGGAGACATGAGTAGGGCAAATGGACGGAGATTATAAGGGGTGGGGGCTGACCACATCCTGTCATATTACCACACAGACCCTCCAATCTATCCTTCCCCCGGCGTGATCTCAGCCACCTCTTCTAGCACCACCCCCCTCTCGCGAATCTCCTCTTCTGCCTGTCTGGTTGGTTCTTGTCGTCGGCCTCACTTCACTCGCTAACCGGTAATGTTTACTCAGCAACTATGGCAAGGGGATCGACAAACTCGGAAAAAGCGGCCGGGGAACACGCCTCACTCTCAGTGTGATGCGCGAGATCTTCGGGTGGGCCGGCGCCCTCGCAACGAACAAGCAGATACGGGTTGTAACTACTAGCGACGAAGACGAAGACGACGACAGCGACGACAATGACAACGTTAGAGATGACGACGGCGGCCGCGTAGAAGACCGAAAAATTTGCGATCGTACTGATAGTGGCAGTAGTAATGAGGGTGAAGTGTACGACGACGGCGAGGAATACAAAGAACGCCCCAAAGAGGAGGAGAGCGGGGACAGTTCTGGGAGTGAAAAAGAGAGCCCGGAGGCTCCGCCTCAAATGGCCGGACCACTCCTATTCCTCACATGGTCGCCGCAAGACCACATCATCCGCGTCGTCGTCGGCGAGTCCCTAGAGCCCAAATGGACCCGTTTCTTCGTCCTGCCCGTATACGCATCCCCTCTCCTTGTCTCCAAGCAGCCACTCTTCGAATATGCCTTCGGCCTCGAGAACCCCCCAAAAAACTGGACCCGGGAGCCAGACGCAAGTAGCCAGGAGGGAGATGGTAGACCCCTCTGGGTGTCGTGGGACATCGAGCAGAAAATGGCTACCCTAGTCACCTCGCTCCGACAGGCCCGCCTCGCGAGATGGGAACGTCAAGGGGACGCTTACGCCCTTAGGCTACTAGTGAGGAGAAGAAATGGAGAAGACCTATGGGAGGTGATCGGTATGCTGCGTCCCTCTTGTTCCGAGCCCCGACACATGCATACGGCTGTCTCCCCCCCCCCCCCCCCCCTTCCCCTTTTAACCGCTCTCAAGTCCCTTAAGCTACCACTGACACTCGTTATTATCTCTAGTACGGACTGACTCTCGGGTTGTAATGCCATGGGACCTGGGCGACCCTGGAACCGAGTTCACGGGTCTGGATTACAAAACACTCGATGATGAAATTCCAGTACGTAAACTCTCTCACTCTCCTACCGACAGTTACCCAGTATGCTTTCGCTTCGTAGCTGAGGTGACATGCCTCGCAGGAATCCTACAATAGGTTCGTCCTCGTGTAGAACCGCATGCATAGTTCTTCGTAGCTTCCTACGACAGAATGTATAAGCATGTTTAAATTCCAACGGCCTCTGAGAAGAAATACGCCTTCTCCCCCCCCGTGCTGTACGCCAACGTCAAGGTGGGGGTATCTGGGGCAGTGGGGTGTATAAACCGGCTTCAGTATCACCTTAACGATTTAATAATACCAATATAGACATGACGAGAATGATTACGTCGGATACATTGAATTTGCAATTTGCTATCCTAGCCTAGTTCCAATAAGCACGTATCCCCAAGCCCCATCTAGCGTTAACATCAAGATGCCCAACCCGCCGCGCCTCTACCCAAGAGCCGGCTCTAATAGCAGTAAACAGGATCCCGTCCCATAGCACCCCGACAGTTCACCGCAGCCTAGATATCTCGGTCCATGCCGCATCAGACGATGCGTAGTCTCGCGGCCTCAGCGCCGAGCAAATCCATCTCCTGGTCGTGCTGGACGCCGCCGGCGAGCGTGTGGTTCGTGCCGCCGATGGGCGCGTCGCAGTCGGGGCAGCGGATCTGCACCATGGGCAGGCCGCACTCGCCGACGGTGAAGGGGTGGCCGCGCGCGCAGCGGTACCAGTGGCCGGTGCCGGAGAACTCGCGGGCCATAGCCTCGTAGACGGCGCGGCGCTCGGCCGCCGACACCTCGACGTAGAAAGCGCCGTCGCGGATCGCGATCTGCGCGGCCTGCAGCGGCCCGCGCAGGCTCGCCGCCGACGCGTGGCGCGCCACCAGCACCTCCGCCCGCGCCAGGTGCCGCTCCGCCCGCGGCGCGTGCGCCGCCACGTCGCCGGCCCCCGCCTGCCGCACCAGCGCCACCAGCTGCGCGTACGCGAGGCACGCCTCCGCCTCCTGCCGTGCGTAGTTCGCGCCCCGCGCCAGCGCGATCGTCCCCGCGCAGCTCTCCGCCGCCTCCCCCACGTCGATCGCCAGCGCCGCCCCCGGCTCCGCCGCCTCCCGCCACAGCCGCAGGAAGTCCCCCAGCACCGCCAGGTAGCACGAGAACCGCATCGCCTCCGCGAGCAGCTGCCCGCGCACCTGGACCTTCGACGGGTCGACCGCGAAGTCGCCCGTCGTCTCCCCCGCCCGCCGCGCGTACTGCACCAGGTCGTGGACCCGCTGGTACGGCTGCTCCTCGACCCGCACGTTCTGCAGATACGCCGTCATCTCGTTGTACAGATGAAACATCGACGTGTACCGGCTGTTGCCGGTCCATACGTGGAAAGCGAGCAGTTGGTTCGACTCCGTGCCGCCGACTTCGAAGTTGCCTCCTTCTACCGGGGACCGGACGAGCCGCTCGGGCTTCTTTGCCTGCTTGAGCCGCTCCTGCTCATCGATGAGGCGCTGCTCGAAGGCTACCGACCGCGAGTGGGACCAGCTGATGAGCTTCTTGGTGGACTCGTCCAGCAGGGCCTGGCGAACAATCCGCCCGTACCGCGAGATGTTGCGTAGGCTGCCTCTGCAGTTGGGACAGCTCTTGACCTCGGTGTCGGAGAACGGCGCGGCAGACGAAGCCTTGACGGCCAGGATGGTGCCGTCCTCGTCGGTCTCGTAATGCTCCGACATGCCCAGCTGGCCGTCCATGCTCGACACGACCATCATGTGGCCGCAGGTAGGGAAGATGCATGGCTCGAGGTCGAGGTCGATGTCACGGTACTCACGCAACTCCAACATGTCAACAACGATGCCCTTGATCTCGTCAGAGGCGCAAACTTGGCAGTATTTCACGTCTACGCAGGGCTCCCCGCAGAGCGACGGACCTAAATGCGACGATTAGCCCCAAAGTCCTTTATCGTCGTTATGTCTCGTACTTACATTGATGACCACAGGGGAGGACATTCGCGCACCGCCTGGAGCAAGGAATCCAGTCGCAAGGTGCCGCGCAACTATTGAAAGTCAGTTTCAAAACAGAATCTCGGACCTTTTCTCTGAGGAAAACTTACGGCATAGTACATTGGCTGTGTGGACATGCGGATGCGCATACGGGCATCGCGCAAGGGGTGCAGGGCTCGGAGCACTTCTTGGAGCATTTGGAGTGGCAGCATTGGATCTCGCACGGCATCTCGCACTGCGGGCAATCCTCGTCCTGGTGGCATCGGAGGGGGCACGCGTGTCGGCAAGAGCTGTAGTTCCGTCCGCACGTAGACTTGCATTGTCGATGCGCCTCCTCTTTGACCTTACCATCCTCCCGGATTCGGCAGCTGCTGCAGCCGTATTTGCATGCGTGTCCGCATGGGAGAGGCGTCCCACAGGTGGCCGGGCAAATGAACTTGTTCTTGGTAACATCCTTGTGACAGGCAACTTGTACGCGGTGGTTGCACCCTGGGACGACCTTCTCCGTGGTCTCGGAACACAGGACCTGGTCTGGTTTCTGCTTCTGCCAGCACTTGGGGGACTTCAGCACGTGCTGGCAAGGCAAGACAAGTGTCTGACCCTTGAGCACGGTCAAACATTTCTCTCCACACTTCTCTCCGCAGAGCTTAGGGCAGGCATGATGGCACCCCTTTTGCTGCCGTTGGCAGGGCTTTAGACATTTGACTGCCTTGTGCAAGGGTTCCGAATGACACTTGCTAGGGCACGTATGCCCACAGTCGAGTCTTCTGAAACATGGGAGGCCGCATCCCCCCTCTGGAGACAGCCTGGCGAAGTCTTCGAGTTCCCGCACCTCGATCGGCGTGTCTTTGTGTCTCGGGCACTGTAGCTGCAACTTGGTGCCGTGGTTCCCGTTCTCCTTCAATATGTCGATTACCTGGGACCACATGTCGACGGTCCCGTAGGTCGCCGAGTTGCCGAGTATGTACATGCCGTGCTTCGCGCGCGAGAGCAGAACGTTTATACGATTTGTGGTCCTCAAGAAGCCGCATTGACGCGCCTGATTGCTCCGAACGAGAGAGATAACAATTACCTTGGCTTCCTCGCCCTGGAAGTTGTCGACGGTAGCAATTCGTACACAGTGCTCGAGGTTCTGTTTACGAACTTCGGTTGTGCTCTCCAGACCTTCTTTTTGCAGATCATCGAGGTCCCTGTCATTAACGGCAACTTCGAACGATTCCTTGAGTCTCTTTCTCAATTTTTGCAACTGGCCTAGGTATGGCGTTATAATAGCTATATCCTCGCTCGCGTACGTGCCCTGGCGAACAAGATGGGAGACAAGGGCGCAGGTCATCCCCACCTCAAAGTCGTTGGTTCTGGATTTGCTGACGGCGTCTCTATGATTTTGCTGTTCTTCAGGTTTAGCGTGGTCGAACCAGAACAGTCGTCTCTTCATGCCAACAACCTCGGGGTAATCACCAACTTTGGCGACGTCCTTGAGGGATGGGTATAGAGTATCTCTGATCAGCCTGGAAATCGATGGGTGCATTCTCCTCTGTACGTTAAGTATGTCAAATGGGATTCTTCGATCTGACGATCGAGCAGGCTGGACAAGCCTCTCAAAGAGCGATACATCTAACGAATACTGTGGACCATTGGGATTGGCCGCAGAGAGTTCGTAGTTTGAGACCTGGGGACGCAATTGGAGATGGTCCCCAATCAGGATGGTATGCTCGACCGATGGAAGCAATGCCGTTAGGATATGGCTCTCTAGGACTTCTCCCGCCTCTTCGCAAAGCAGAACCTTCACGCCAAGCTTCTGGAGACAGTCTCGATTCTTGGCTAGGCCACTCGTTGTAACACCAATGACTTGAGCCTCTTGGAGAACGCGAAGATCAACCTGTAAGAACCAAAGGTAAGCCCACATCAAAACAGGTGAACTGTCGCGGGCAGTAGTAAAGTACGGTGGGTGCAAGATGAACCCATGTCCGCTGCCTCCTCCCGTCGCAAAGAAGTCGATCACGAAGGAGTGGTAATGGCCGAGGAAACTCACCTCGCGTAATGCAATTTCATGGTTCTTCTTAGCTTCCTGATAGTCGCCCTGGAGCGAAATAAGTTCCTCTATCACATCCCCGATCATCTCTCGCTTCCAGATGTCCACGAGCAGGATTCGCTCTGCTCGATTAAGCGTGAGTGGATTGCATGCTCTCAATGCAGCTCTATGCCTCACTGGGCGTTCAGACCGATGACCACCGAAGATCCATTTGTGAAGTCGGCGCTGCGCATTGTTGGATCCAGCCACTTGCCAATCGCTGTCCTCTTCGCCGAAAATCGTGTCGTGAAATTGTGTTTCGTGCTCCTTTAAATATTCCTTGAGCCTTGAGGTAGTCGTTGCCGTCTTTAGCTTCAACAAGTAGTCTTCCACTTCTTCTTCAACTGAATCCAATTCATTATGATACCTCCATACGTGTTGCTTCTCTGCTTTGGTACGCTCGGAAGTCTTGCGCACTTCGCGCAGGTTTAGATCCTGAAGTATTTCCGATTTCGACCCGGCGCCGATCCGGATGATCTGCTTCACTCCGCCTTTCCAAAGGTTCTCGAGGAGTTGATCCAAGGCGTGGTTGGTATAGCAAACGCATAGAATAGGGCCGAGCGTAGTCCTACTGGCGCTCCCAAGAAGAACTTTGATGATGGCCTATATATTTCGGCTTATTAGCATTGATCTAGTTGTGAATATGTTGAGTCTTATCTCTCTCGATAGCGCTACGATCAAAAATGACACGCTCTATTGGAGTCGGGAAATGGAGTTGTAGATAATTATGCTTACCTCGCCTGTGTAGCTTTTCCCGGTACCAGGTGGCCCTTGAATCAGTGCCAGGCTCCTTGTAAGGGCGTTCAGAAGGGCTCTTGCCTGGCCCTCGTCTAAACTAGACCGACGACAGAGCTCTAGAGGATTGGGCTTATTTTGAGGTGAAAATAAAAACCTGCCGTTGTTTGAAGTATCAAGACTCGTCAAATCGAAGACGAACCCTGGCTTCGTTGCGTACAACGGCAACGGGACGTTGGTCGGACCGGGGGAAGTAGAACTCGGGGCGAGAAGGTCAACAAACGGGAGCTCCAGGCTCGTATAAATCTGCTGAAGTGCAGATAAAGTGGGCTTGAACGATGGTAGCAGGATGCCAGGGAACTCTAGGAGGGTCCGTCCTGTAGGTTGTGAGTGAAAGGCCAAAGCTATTGCCGTAAGGTCCGTCTCGTTTGGCTCAGCCAGATTCAAATTCACGTAGGCAAAATCCTGATGGCTAAAGAGGTCGGCAACTTCGTCTTCGTTCTCGTTGTTATTCCGCCGGTTTGAGTTCGGTCTTACGGTTGACTGGGACACAACACAAAAAATAGCAGTCCCCTTTTCTAGGAGACAAACAAGTGCTCCAATTTCCAGACGCTTCGACCAGTTCCACCATTCCTTGCGTAAGCGAGCCGACAGTCCCCTGGTGGGTGATGGCTGCTCTATCTTCAGATGGATATCGAGCCCGGCTTGGAACGTATGCCTAATATCGACGATTCCCACAACGGTATAGGCGTTGGTTCGGGCGCTGTTTGGCCTCTCGACATTATTCTTAGTCTCTGGGTGTTCACTAACACTCAGCTGTTCGCAGATCGCCTCTTTCAACTGGCCGACCATGTCCTCCCGAAGAAGCCGAAAGTGACGGTCGATCAATCCTCTGATTCCCGGTAAGTGCAACGTAGATGGATCGCTAAGCGGCCGGTAATCCGCGCGGACCGACATGATCTCCGACATTGTCGGCAGGATTTGGATCTTCGTTATGTCGTCGGAGTCATTATCATGACGTGGGCCCGCGATCGACAAGGCCCCTGGAAAGTCTCGACCCAAGACAAAATTCGGCTGCTGGCGTAGCTGTACAGGGCGAGTGGCACGGACTACCACCCCTTGGACCACGCCGAGACGTCTGTATATATGCTCCAGGTGGCTCATTGCTTGACGACCCCAAAAAGTACGGTCATTCCCACTGAGATTGTCGACACGTTGACGTAGTTGAGCCACAACTGGCGGGATATCATCGTTGACGAGGGCGCTGGTATTGCAGTCAACTAACTTGGCCAATACTGCGGCGCATTTCTCCAAGAATTCGCCCATCGATTCATCGTCGGGGTCGATGCGACGCCCCTCCCATTTCGTAGCTAGGTCGCCTAGGAACCCGAAGAGGGTCGTAAGCCGGGAGGCGTTGAAGCCAAAAACGACGTTGTAGATGGTACCAAGATGCATTTCAAGAATGGCTGAGCGAACTACCCGCGGGTCCGTGAGGATCAGAAAAAAGGGCTTAACGCAAGTGCGCCAGAGGATAAACCGCCCTTGGTCCGAACCGCAAGACGGAATATGCTCATCAATCATTTTACGTATAACTGAGCCACCTTTATCTGTAGCCAGCTCGGCAACCGCCTTCTGAAGCGTGTCCATGTCGCCCTGGATCAGGCTCTGTGCAGTCTGGAAGACCTGCGGGATGTTGGGGTTACCTCCCGCCGAGGCCCTTGAGAGTAACCTCCGCCAATGATGGAAATCATCGTTATTTCTCTGTCCCCTGGTCGATGCTTGTGTGTCTCCGGCTTGGCCTTCCACATTATGAGGTGCAGTCGGCAGTAGGGTGGAATGCGAGAATTTGCAGGATGCACCGAATCTGCAACCACTCGGTCGGCTGAAGAAATGGCAAGTTTTTTGACTGTTCCCGGAGTGAATGAGCATCGCGAGCGTGAGGGCTAGAGGGCGGGGAGTGGAATCGACGGGTGACTCACGACTTCAAGGTCTCCATGGCTGCTGCGGATTGCCAAACGCCCCGAGCACTAATTAGAATGAGGGTCAAACCCAGGTGAGCGTTTGTTTCTGAGGTGTCGGGATTTATAGCGGGTGGGGAGTTGGAAGCAGATTCTCCCGATCGAAAGGTGATCCAGGTTGGAGAAACAGACAGAACATTGACGGGCATAAGATCAAAACACATACTCGGGTACTCAGGCATATAGAGTGTTGCCCGAGATGCAATGAATATGCGGACGGATCCGAGACAAAGACGTGGCAGGACAACTTCGAGACCCTTCACGCGTTAATACGTAGTATCCTGCCGTATTTCACTGTTGCTTTAGCATGCCATCAACCATTGCAACGAGTAGCGTCGGAACATGGCCGAAAATACAGTGATTTACTTATTTATGTAGCTGACTGTACGTGACATGTGCGGGGAAAGGAGGTTGTACAGTACTGCCAGAGACAACCACTTATAAGGCTTGCTTTGATGAGACTTGACGGGAACATACCAACACGTTCCCGGTTCTACCTCTACATGAGTCGTTGTATGTTCGGTTGCTGCATACTTGAGACGGAACGCGGACGGCGCGTGCTAACCGAGAGGCTTCCATACTAGACGTATGCCAGCCTTCGGCCTTCGCGCTGACCTCGAGCCCAGAAAACGGCCAGCCACATAGCTCCGATCAGGCTTGCGAGCATATGCTACAGTGTGAGCCCTGTGAAGCAGCAACGTTGCTGTGGCTTAAGACAGGGCGAATGACAAGCCGTTGATCATTACGAGACAAAAAAAACTCCCAAACCCAACATATCTACACGTCAAAAACCCTTGGTAAAACTGCCACACTATACGTTATTGGGAAAATACGTGGCCGCCGTCAAGTATCCTGTAGGGTTTCATTTGTGCCACAACCGCTGCAAGCCGTGGGCTGTTGTCACTTCGTGTCACGGGACAGCTGACACGTTGCGGCGGTGCCATTGGCGTTGGCAAAGCGTCGAAATCGTCATATCTTCTCCGCCGGACCACGGGATGCTTCTACTCATATTGACTCATTAACTCACGGCATATGTCCTAGGCCTGGGTTGACATAAGGATCGTGTCGGCAAGTGGCGTTGTCACGTGGGAGATCCTACCTACCTATGATGTAAGCCTATAATATCTACAGGTAGCAGAATGTAATTAGGCGTCTACGTTGTGTGGAACAGGCGTATATTGCAGAAGTATCTTACCTGGTTCACCGTTTGCAGACAAACGGACATTCGTGGATCGAATACATCTCCATACTAACACTCGAGGGCACTGGCGATGTTGAAACTATATTACGTCACATTCTGTTGTCCTCTTCCCGCCTTTCAGAGCCCGAATTTGGTGAGTCGTTGAGAGGTTTAGGACATCTTCTTCCTTCACATCGCATCCGTATCCGCTCGTGGCAATCGGCCAGGCCTGTAAAAATCTTCAACTGTCATATAACTCGGCTCTAAATCTGGCCATCGCCGTCCTGGGAGAGCACGTTCACTCCGGGAGGGCAAGTTTACGAGACGGATGCGAGACGGATGTTAAGCAGGGAGTTGTTTGACTGAATGCACGCAGATCTAACCGCTTGGCCTGAGCCAACTTTACGACTAGAAATCTAATAGGCGGTGCCGTGAACATTCTCACCTTAGTCTGATGTGCTGTAGCCACGTGAACACTCGGAATAATTCGAGTCGAACGTTCAACTCTCTACCCCCCCGCCTAAGTCCAGTGGGCCTCCAGCTCTCCAAGGGTATTAACCACCGCGTCCGCAATTAGGCCCAAAACACTCGGCTCCCCGTTTCTGCGTCTTAGAGCAGGCAGGATACCCACTCCACGAACAAATTAACGTGTTCGAATTCTCCGAATCCTCCCAATCAACTAGGCATAGCTCCCGCGGATGAGGCTGCGTTGGGTCAGAAGGGCCACGATTGGCTACGGCTTACGAGTCGACTTCGCATTTACCGTGATGATTGGCCAGCCCTAAAATGGAGCTGATCCCTATTCAGGGAACATAATCATGAGCAAAGGGCCGCAGTGGTACCAGCGTGCTGGAGAATTGTAGATAGACGTATGGTAATACGTCTTAGCTCCGAGGGCTAACATCAGCTTCAGAGTCCTAAATCTGAAAAAAATGAGATGCCTTGGCAGGCAAGACCCTCTCGCTCATCCTCTGGTCTCTGGGCGGGAGTACGCGGGAAACGATCTCTCATCCTTCACAGCGCGAAGCGACCGAACTGTCTCGCTCTCTCTATCTCGACGTTCAACAAGACGGACGAGAGGCAACGGTGGGGGCCGCTATACGAGATAGAGGTTATAGAGTGGTATAAGTTGGATCTCGCGCACCTGTCAATATGGCGTTGAACGGCACTCAGTCGAAGAAGGGATTCACCCAAGTTCGCCCTAATACAGACCGATCTCGAGGCGTATTTGCAGCTAGCCGAAACGATTCCCGGAGTTCCTCAGCGTCCCGAGCCGCCACCTCCACCATGAGCGGTTCAGAAAGTCAGCCGTGCACCTTCGCGGACGTCGCGGTCTCGTACCGTGTTTATATTCTCGACGACCTTCTAGCCGAGCCTCAGGAGGTTGTTCACGACTGGAGTCGGAACCTCCTATACATCAGCCAGCGGCATAGGCAAGGAAACAGTTTCGCGCCGATCGAATTGTCTCACGAAATTTCCATCCTCGACATCTCGGTCGGCGATATCGTTGCGTCGATCGACATCAGCCCCTACGCCGGCCCGCACTGTATGGCGCTGGACGAGTCGTGCTCTTATCTTCACGTCTACGTGGATGGGGGCACCATCTGGATCGACCCAGAGTCGAGGACCCTCACCAATTTCGAGCCCCAAGCGATCGGGAGGCAGGCAGAGAGATCCAGCGAAGACTTCATCGCGGAGATCGATCTGCGCTCTGGGAAGATGCGCCAGAGAGTCAACGTCCCCGAAGGCGACAGGCATCTAAGCGATGGGCGGCACGTGGCTTTTTCTGCTCCGGCAATCCGGTTTGCCAGTCGATCCTCCAGCAGCGGACTACCTGTGGTTGCCGTGGACCAGGACGCCGCAATAGAGGCTATGAGGGCGAAGTTTGCCATACGCACAATCTACGTAACGTCTCGAAATGTCATGTTGGTTTAGAAGGAGTTATGTATTGGGAAAGGGGATATTCATGCATTAGTATACGGAGTTTGGTGGTTCCTTTCCATTTTTCCATCATTGCCCGCTTTACCACGAAAACCAAAAAAGAACAAACTGGGTTCCAAAAGACCATGCTGGCATGCGAGAACAAATATTAGCACTGGCTGCTGGAGTATCATATTCGATAGATCATAGATAGTTCACACGCAAAGCGATCCTCTGTTTCTACGTCTGGAAAGACACTCTGGGTAGTTTTCTCCAAAGGCCACGGCGTGTCTCGCGCAGATGTGAGACGCCTAGAACGAGAATAAAAACGAGACAGACCACCAAGTCAGATGTAAAACATTGTGGGAGAGGCGAGATGGCCCCTTCGGTGTGGGGGTGGCAAGTAGAGGCCTGCCTGTGCGAACATGAGACGAAGACTATACAGGGCTCCAAATGGTGTCCACGTCTGCTTCTACTGAGGTAACCTATGGGAGCCGTCAGAGCCCTGTGAGCTTACTTCCGAACGTCGAACCCTGCCCTGTAAGGCCGAGTACAGTCCAATAGGGGGTATTGAGTACTGACTAAGCCGGGATAGGTCCTAGTCATCGGTGGGTCGCGTTCAGCCCTACGAGCCGAGCCCCTGGTCATGGACTCTGGGTCAATAAGAAAGCTTCGCGGCGACCTGGGAGTCCCGGATGGGCACGTGGGATTCTCTACCGGGCTTATTGTGTGCCCTTTCCCAGTCACAGCTTCGTCTGATAGCTCGGACTGTATCAGCCGCATCATACCTACTCATCATTTTCGTCTGAGGCGACAGGGATCGGGGGTAATCTCGGCTAGAGAGTTGCAAATGTGCTGTTTCAACAGTACTGCGCCGGTACGATGGGTAGGGCAGAGTTCGCGCGCCACCTGGCGGCGAGGGATTACCTGATACTCGTAAAAGGGATAAAAAGGACCGAAACCCAGAAACAAGGAACTTCTCCTACAATTTCACGATGATGCACACACGCATCATGCCAAAGCGGGATTATCCGCCGTTCTATCAGCAGTATCATAAGTTCCACTTGCCATCGCCACGAGCATCTGTGCGATCCGTGCCTCAAAGATGAGCAGGGGCAGGGTAAGGGGCACAGGAAAGTGACCACGTACGCTCCCCAAATTAGAACAAGCTCTGTAGATTCCATCCATATGTACGGTGCACAGGAGAAGATCTACAGGTCTACAGGGTCAAAGCCCGCTATACTACGTACTCCCGTCGTAAGTGATAATACGGTGGATGGTATGAGAAGCTTAAAGCTCACGTGCGGTGAGAGTGGCAAATCCTTAACTTGGTGTTTCGATGAGCAATACGGAGAATTTGCTATCGGGCATCGCTATTACTATGAGAACTAGTTACCCGACGGACCGGAAAATCGGGTAACAAGACCTAATCTTAGGCCTCTCGCACTGCAAGTCGCATCAGATACGGCGCAGCTATTAAACTTGGCAACTCGCCTCCTGCCCGCACAGTATTAGAAACTAACATGAGCTCACAGAACCATCAACCTGTGTTAAACCTGTGTTGGAGTGGAGGGCTGAGGCAACAATCAAAGCCAGAGTCAGTTACGGTTGGAATTATAGTCCTAACCACAATGTGAGATAGTATCAGAAACCTAGAACGTTCTTAACTATCGTCAACTTGTGAGTTGTGACGAAAGAGAAAGAGAGAACAACTACCTACCAAGGTGTTTAGACTGTAGAAACTCGGATAATTACACACAACTACAGCTACAAGCCTAACCACTTAACGAGTTTTCTATCTGATGGGTATCTGCATGTGGATAATGGCGGATAGATGCATCGACTCATCGTACAATTTCCCTTCTCCCCACCGCACACCATGTCGCCAATCATTCGACCAAGCTACATGACTCTTCACACCAGGTTGTCGGGTCAGAATCCAGGCTAGGGTGTTCGTTCGCCGTGACATACGATGGAAAATCAGCCAGAGGGTCCGGCTGATCGCCGAGCAGGTAACGACTACTATGACCTCGGCTCGTACCGACGGCCCGTGGGCTCAGACAGCGACGATGCTTGCGAATGGGCCAACCGAGGGCTGATTTGGAGCTACGCCTTCAATCACGAGGAGTCTGCAAAATGTTTTGAGCGCGCCATCGCGAGCGATGGCGAATGCGTCTTGGCGTACTGGGGTTTAGCCTACGTCCTGGGCCCGAATTACAACAAGCCGTGGGACTCCTTCGATCAGGGCGAGCTCGAGGATACCATGCGACGAACCCACGACGCGATCGCGAAAGCCAGGGAGAGGGCGGGAAAGGCACCTCCGGTTGAAAAGGCGCTCGCCGAGGCACTAGAGTACCGGTATCCACGCGAGCACGCAGAGGACCAGAGCTGGTCGATCTGGAACGAGGGTTATGCCGACGCGATGGGGAGGGTCTACCAGGAATTCCCGGACGACCTGGACGTCGCGGCGCTGTACGTGGATGCGCTGATGAACTTGACGCCGTGGAAGCTTTGGGACATTACCACGGGAGAGCCGGCAGCCGGAGCTCGCACGCTAGAGGCGAAGGCCATACTGGAGGGTGCGATGGCCCAAGACGGCGGTTCTCAACACGCGGGACTCCTGCATCTCTACATCCATCTCATAGAAATGTCTCCGACCCCCGAGGCCGCCTTGGACGCGGCCAACGCGCTGCGCGATCTGGTGCCCGACGCCGGCCACCTCAACCACATGCCGTCGCACATCGACGTTCTGGTGGGTGATTACCAGAACGCCATCGTGTCGAACCAGAAGGCCATTCTCGCCGACAACGTCTTCTTCTCAAGGGAGGACCCGCTGAAGTTCTACACGCTGTACCGGGTGCACGACCTGCACTTTCGCATCTATGCCGCCATGTTCGCCGGGCAGTCCCGCATCACTCTCGAGACCGTCGCGCAGCTGGAGAAGGCCCTCCCAGGAGAGCTGCTGCGTGTCGAATCCCCCCCTATGGCCGATTGGCTGGAAGGCTTCCTCGCGATGCGCGTGCATGCCCTCGTCCGATTTGGCCGGTGGCAAGAGATCATCGACACGCCGTTCCACAACGACGCCCGGCTTTACTGTGTAACGGACGCCCTGAACCATTACGCAAAAGGGGTTGCCTTCGCGGCGACTGGGGACGTCGACGCGTCCGCCAGGGAACGAGAGGCATTCGCCGAAGCCGCCAAGGCAGTCCCGTCCTCCCGCACGCTGTTCAATAACAAGTGCGTGGACATCCTGCAAGTGGCGGGTGCGATGCTGGACGGAGAGCTCGAGTATCGGCGCGGGAACTACGAGCCGGCCTTCTCTCACCTGCGAAGGGCGATGGAATTGAGTTATGCCCTCCCCTACGACGAGCCGTGGGGCTGGATGCAGCCGCCCAGCCACGCACTAGGGGCGCTGCTCTCCGAACAGGGGCATTTCGACCAGGCGGTCGACATCTACGCCGAGGACCTAGGGGTCAGCGGAAAGCTGCCGCGCGCCTTGCAGCACCAGAAGAACGTGTGGGCGCTGCACGGTTACCATGAATGTCTGGTCAAATTGGGGCGCCTCGACGAGGCGAGAGCCATAAAGCCGCAGTTGGACGCAGCCATCGAAGTAGCCGACGTGCCCATCAAGGCATCTTGTTTCTGCCGCATCAGCGCATTTTAAGAACCTACCTACATGAATATATAGGAAACACTGTTATCGTGCTTGATGTGTAGCCAAGATTCTTCCATCATCTCGCTCATGTGTCGTCTCGGATTGACCCCTTGACATGTACCTTCAAGACGCAGGTTTCACAGGCACGCATAAATTTTTCCATTTTACTTCGAAGTCTTCCGTAGAAACGACCACCCCGACTTGGAGGGGCGAGGAGTCTCCCCCCTCATAACCCGATCGCCTTCGCGATCGCCTCGCCCACACCGACCGAGCTGGCCGGGTTCTGGCCCGTGATGAGCTTGCCGCCGTTTTCGACGACGACGTGGGGGGCCCAGGGCTCCGTCGCCTTCTCGAAGAGGCCGCCGGCCTGGGCGAGGCGGGCCTCGAGGGAGAAGGGCATGTGCTGAGTCATGCCGACCTGGGCCTCCTCGGCGTCGGTGAAGCCGGTGACGCGGCGGCCGGCGAGCAGGGTCTGGCCGGGGGTGGCGGCGGGGCCGGTCAGGACGACGTTAGCGAGCGCGGCGGGGCCGTGGCACACGGCGGCGACGGGCTTGCCGGCGTCGACGAACTCGTTGATCAGCGCGTGCGACTCCGCGTCCGTCGCCAGGTCGAACATGGGCCCGTGCCCGCCCGGGAAAAACAGCGCGGCGAACTCGCCCGCCCGCCCCCGGAACGACGCCAGCGGCGCCGTCTGCTCCCACAGCGCGCGCTGCGTCTGGTAGAACGCCGACGCCGACGCGTCCCCCTTGAACAGCTCCACCGACAGCGGGTCCAGCGGCGACGCGCCCCCCTTCGGCGACGCCACCACGATCTCGGCGCCCTTGCTGGTCAGCACGTCGTGAGGATGCGCGAACTCGGGCTGCGCGGGTCGGAGGATATTAGTGTTAGTGCGCAAGGATATTCCAAGGAGGTGTGTTCGCCGGCGCTGGGCACGGTATCAAGGGGCCGACGCACCAGGTACCAGCCGGTTGGCTTGTTGGCCGATTCTATGAAGCCGACCGAGGTGAGGACGACGAGGACTTTGGGCGCCATCGTAGTTAATAACAGTGCAGCGTGGCTGATTGATTTGAGTGCTGCCTTGTTCTTTTTTTCTCCGAGAAGATGATGAAGGGTGCTGGGATTTTCCCTTGATCCCGCGGCTAATCCTCGAGATGGCCTCGCCCCCGCTACTTATACCTTTGTCCCGTCTGGTGCGGAGTGAGTCCCATCTACGACGTCAGTACTTACAGAGCCAATGAGAACGATACCATGACACGCTCATTATGGATAACTTATTCAGAATAAGTAATGCGTGTAGTCTGGGCATCCGTCATCCTCCCCTCTCACCCTCCCTTACACCCCCTGGTGAAGCGAGTGGAGAACCGAGGCGCGCGGCCGACTACCGCCCTAATGGGTAACTGTTCCCGGTGCTATGGTATTGGTGTGTAATGCGCTCGATGCGCGCGTCTTCAAAACCTCGTTGTCTAGCTAAACGCCGATATGGGTGGCGTTGAGAAACGTGTAAACTCCGAAAGGGAGGCGAAAGGCGGAGGGAGAGTTGTCCCGTCGCAGATAGGTCAACTCCAGCGCCCCTCTTAAAATCCCTGCCACACGACCCGAGTTGCCGTCGTCAGTGTCAATGGTCCGGAGAGCCCGTCCATTTGGGGACAGCCTGGTGCTCGCACTGGGAGAATACGGGGCAGACGAGAAGACAACGAGGTGTCTAGCGTGACAATGACCATCGCCTCCCTCCAGAGCCATGCGACAATCCCTCAAAGGTAATGGGTATAACTTCATCGCTCATGGGTATATGCTCGTATCAACGCCGAGTAACATCGCCCGCAGTATTCCCTGGCCTCCCTAGTCACGATCTAACACGCGGTTTAAATTCTTCTGGTGAGGAACAGCCCTGACATGGTTCTAATTATATGCGCAGGCCGGGCTGCAAAATTATGTACAAGAAGCAATGCGATTTTCAAGGTGTCTACACGAAGTATGTTGGGTCTTTTTCTAATTATATGTGAATATCTTGGGTTCTCGGTGGATTTCATGGCTCATTACTGCTTCTTCGGTTTTTGGACAACATTCTTCCACCGCGTCCGCGTGAGCCGCAGTAGCAGCCACGCGACAAGGCGGTAGATCACGACAGTGGCTGCTAGAGCGCCAATGTGGATGACGGGGTCGTCGTTGAGCTTATACAGGTCGAGGACCTGCTCGCCGGTCTCGATGGCGCAGCGGCCGTCGGGCAGGCGCTGCGCGTCCTCGCACGTGAACTCAACGCCGCGCAGGGTGAAGGGGGCCAGCGCCGCTGTCGCGTACTTGAGCGGGCTGATGAAGTTGAACGCCTGGAACAGCTCCGGCATGTTGATGGACATGATGCCGGCCATGATCTGCGCTACCGACAGCAGGATCGAGATGACGTTGACGGCGAATCCGGTATGGTTGAAGAGCGTGTTGAACATGATGCCGAGGCTCTCGCCGCACGACACGATCCCGAAGCAGCAGAACACGTTCACGAAGTACAGCGTCGCCGTCTGCGGGAACCCCACCGCAAAGTCGGCCAGCACGCCGAAGACGAGACACGCGACGATCTCGAACGGGACCTCCAGCAGCGTGTACGTCGCCAGGAACGCCTCGACGCTGTACACCGCGTCGTCATCTTCGCGGTAGAACACCTCGCGCTCCGCCGGGTACACGGCTACATTCTGCAGCATGCCGACGAAGTAGAACGCGCACATTTCTTGTACGAAACCCACGCGGTTCTGAACGCTGTAGTAGTCGTTATGCAGCGGCGCGAAGAACAGGGTCAAAACAACTGCCAACCCGACGACTTGCATCGTACGGGCCAGCAGGAGAGGTGGCTGTCGGCGGAGGTTGATCGTCGCGCGCTGGAGCAAGAGCGGGAATGCCGTCATAAACGAGGCGCGCTTGTGGACAAGTGCGCCGAGTTCCGCAGGCGTGGCCAGCGCAGCTTTGTTAATTGACCGCCGTGGCAGTGGGTTCGAAAGCCGTCTTGCAAGCTCCCCATCAGGATGAGCACCTTCACCTTCTTCCCCTACCTCGTCTGGTGATTCCAAGGTCTCCTTCCCAGCGCCAGCATGGCGGTTAGCATCGAACTTTTCGTGAGTCGCCTCGACCCTCAACTCTTCGGCCTCGTTGATATTGGACAGTCGTGGGGCGGACGGAGAGTGCTTCGTGACTCGCTCCCACGACTCGATGAGCCGCCGAACCTTCTCCCTGCTCTCCTCCTCACGGTGCGCCTCCTGAAGATCTATCGTGATGAGGTCGAGCGCGTAATCAGCCGGGTTCGTATGTTGCGGGCATTGGTATCCGAGGGCGTGGAAATAGGGAAGCATATCCTTCGCAGAGCCTGCATAGGCGGGTGATCCTCCCCTGGCAAGCAAGAGCACGTTTCCGAAGTGCTTGAAGATGTCGGATCTGGCTTGGTGGATCGTGAGGATTAACGTGCGTCCTTCCTTAGCTAACCCTTGGATCACTTCCAAGATACTGCTCGCCGTGAAAGCATCCAATCCGCTCGTCGGCTCGTCGAGAAGGAGTACTCGGGGGTCGGTAAGAATCTGGACGGCAATACTGACGCGACGTTTTTCACCGCCAGAGATGCCCTTCACCAGTTCATTGCCTATCAGGTTATCCGCACAGTCCTTGAGACCCATCTTGACCAGAACTTCCTCGGCTCGCTGGTTCTTCTCAGACTTGCTCATCCATTTCGGGAGGCGAAGACCGGCCGCAAAACGCAGGGTTTCACGGACCGTAAGAGACGGGAGCAGCGCGTCATCATCCTGGCAGACATAAGACACCACCGACCGTATCACCGAGTCGGATGGCACAGCGCCGTTGAATGTCAACCTTCCGGACGGACGGTACCTCGTTCCAATCGTGTTATGGAGACGCAAAGCCATTGCGTTAAGAAGACTTGTCTTGCCCGAGCCAGAAGGTCCCATTATCACGTTGAGCTTGCCGGCTTGGAAGGTCGTAGAGACCGGGTTGAGGATCGTCTTGACCGGTAGCCTCCTGCCGAGCGGAGATCTCTTATCGAGCTCTAGGGAAAAGTCGTCGAGGCCGACGTCTATCGCTCGGACCTCGTACATCGACCTGGCATTCATTTTTTCCTTTCCGGCTGAGAGATCGGTGTCGGATGTTCGGGCGCGCGCGATCGTCATCTCGACTTTGAGAAAAGCCAGGCCGACCCAGGCCGTGAGGAGGAACAGAAGGACGAAGCCTACAAGAGCGATGATCGGGCGGGCGACCCAATTGTTTGGGAATCCGAGGTTGTCCATGATGTAGCGTCCCGTGAATGTCTTGCAGGCCGGGTCTAACTCGCCACCCGGCAAGGGGCAGTCGTAGAAGCTGCCCTCGAATTCGTTGCCGCAGAGCGCCCCGAAGGCGTAGTACTAATTCAACTATGAGAAAAACAGAAATTCCGTCAGCTTTGTGAGAGTAACTCACCGTATATGTAATATACTTGGTCCATCTCACATACACTGGCATCGTATTGCTCTGTATGAAATACCCACAAGCCATACTCTGCAGAGTATACGCCAAGTTTGCGATCAAACTCGCCCCAGGGAAATGTCGAACGGCGGAGACGGTACTCATGGCCAGCGTAACGGCGATGAAGTGATTTAGGAGGAGGATGGCGAAGAACGTGAAAAACTTGGTCACGCTAAGGTCGAAGCCCACCATGAAATAGAAGATGACGCTGTACAAGAACGGTACGGGCAGGTCCTCGGTAAAGAGACGCGCGATCCGGCGCGACAGCATGAAGGGGAGCGTCGTTACGCAACCCTCGCTGTTTTCGCGGTCAAACGTTGGGATGTCCAATGTGAGACGGTAAATCTCGAATGTCAAGAAGAGATATCCCTGCAAGCCCACCGAGATGTATAACGCGCCTTGTCGGGATCGGATGCCCGGCTGGTCGCGGGACAGGTTATAGAAGATATATCCCGTGATAATCGCCATGAGGATAGCTTCCATGATAGAGCCAGCCATTCCCATCGGGTCTCGATAGGTGACTTTGAGGGTCCTGTCAGTCAACACTCGCAGCTGGCGGAAGAAGCCTGCGTGTTGTTGGCTCGTGAGTGGTCTCTTAGCCTTCTTCTTCGCGTCGGAAGCGTTCTCAGTCGGCGAATAGCTGAACGATTTCTGCGACTCTTCACTCCAGGCAGCCTTCAAACGCTGGACTCTAGCAGTGCTCTCCTCCTCCCGTTCGGGACTGCGGTTATCAATCGCGGCATTGTCGATCAAGAATTCGGCCGGGTTAACAAAGGGAGGTAGCTCGAATCCTAGCAGCGAGAACCAAGGTAGACATTCCTTCATGGGTCCGGAGTACACCGGACTCCCCTTGGTCAAGATGATGAGGTTGTCGAAGAGGTCCCAGATCTCGGATCGCGGCTGATGGATAGTCGTGATAATGGTACGTCCCTTGTTCGCCAGGGCCTTGAGAGTCCGCACCAGTTGATAAGCACTCGTCGCGTCTAAGCCGGTGGTGGGCTCGTCTAAGAAGAGAATCGAGGGGTTCGCCAGCAGTTGCACGCCAATACTTGTTCTTCGCTTCTCGCCACCGCTACACCCGCGATGTTGGCTGTTTCCGATCCTGGTGTTGGCGCAGTCTTTAAGACCCAATTCGAGGATGACCTCCTCGACGATGCGCATGCGCTCATCCTCCGTAGTTGGCGGGGGTAGCCTCAAGTTTGCTGAGTACCTCAGCGTCTCGCGAACGGTCAGAGTTGGGAGAAGAATGTCTTGTTGCATGACATACGCATGCCTAACGGAGTGTACACCTTCCAGGCCATTGAAGATAGTTGTCCCAGACTGAGAGAGGCGGGAGCTAAACACGCGTTCTGCGACTGTATTTAGTAGAGTCGTCTTCCCAGAGCCGCTGCCGCCCAGAATCGCCGTTAAGGAGCCGGGCTGTAGGGATGCATTGACCGAGTGAAGCAGGGTCTTGGTCTTCGGACCGCCTTGTCCTTTCCTCAGCGTTTGACGAAACAAGTCGGGATAAGTCGCAGGGTCCCATATCGACGGTGACGTGTCGACGGTGACTGATAAATCCCGGATCTGGACATCGACGGCTTCGACGTCATCCAAGGATAAGTGACCGGCCCCCGACATCGACAGCCGTGGGCCTAGGTCCGGACGCCCAGTATCCATCGACGTAGAAACAGAGCTTTCTCGTTCATGCCTATCGGTATCGGGGATGTGGGATTTTTCCCCATGCCGTTCGTCGTCTCTCGCCATGGCAGGACCCGAGCGAGGCGACGGAATAGTGGGAGCCGATGGTACCAGAATTCAGCCGACGACCTATATTAGATTCCTAGCGGAAGTATAGCGATATGGGATTGCTATTCGGGGCGAAGGCTGAAGCCTGGCTCGGATTATCTCAAACATTCCTGGTTTTGAATCGGTTGGCTCCCTACGCGAGGGTATATATGTATGAGTTCGACTTGCTAGGTGGTAACAGCTCTTGCACACGTGTCTGGGACGAGAGGTGGTGTAAGAAGGGTGGAGGGAAGGAGAGGAGGGGGGAAAGAAAGGAAACGGCATGGAACCCTCTGAGGACGGCACGGAGAAGTCGTAGGGCTTGCCACGAAGGGTAACCACATTACAACGTAAGATACAACGTCGAGCTTACCGGGATTACTACCAGGCGAGCCAGGAGAACCACAGAGGATGGAGTCTTACCACGATCCTTAATTGGGACTCATGGGGGGCTACATCCTGATCGCCGGGCATCGAATGGGTTGTTTCGCCAAGCCCAAGCATGGCAAACGATCGATAAACATGGTTAATAGCCTCTTACGAGCCGTGTGTCCGTAGATAGTTACGGGTCGCCTTAGCGCCATACGCCTCGGACATTTGTTCATTTCGAGCCAAGTTGAGGTTTTCGGACGTCTTAGTATATAAAGCACGTTCGTCGTCTCTGAAAGGCAGAGGTATGTCGCGGGCTGTCACCGCGGTTGATCATGTTCGTGTGGGGAAACTACACAGTGGATAGAGGGAACATGATCAGGTATCGTGGCGAGATATTGAGGTCTTGATGTGCTGCTGGGTGTGCTGCTAAGCGAGGCGGAAGCGAAGCGGGAAGCGAAGGTGGGACGGTGGTTAACCGATGGATACATCGCCAAAGGGGATTTGGAGACGCGGAAATCCAAGTGGCATGGCGCAATGCTACCTGCCAAACCGCTGCAACCCAATCCGAGCGCCCGGGTGGGCTGCTGTGTCCACTAGATAGGCGTGCATCATGTCACGGTTCGGTTCGACAACGCTGACCACGACAGAGACCCGTCGGCGGTGTTGGTCTCTGTAAGCGAGCCTTCGGCTAAGAAGCGAGGAGGGAAAAGGTCCGGAAAAACTCGTATGCCTACCAATCCCGCGTAGAGAGTTCCGCGGTTTAGAGAGACAGAAGAGAAGACACACCTAGTTAGCACCTGCTCACCAAATGAATTCATTCATGCAGCATCGAGATGGAAAGTCGGAGACGAAGACGAACGGCCGTCCACCAACCGCCATCCCACTCGACCCTGTCCCGTAGGTCTATCACGATATCTTCGACGACGATCCCAGCATGGAAGACCGCCACGCCCCTTCTATGCATTGCCATGCCACCCCCCCTCCCCGACTGCACCCCCCCTTACTACTACGCCGCCCTTCCCCCCCACGCGAGGCCAAGCGAAGTGGCCAGTGCCCAAAGGAGCGTAGCCAGATCCCAATGCAGGCAACGTGGAGGCCATCTCGTTCGGAAGCAGAGCGCTCCGGAAACTTGCTCGCGCGCTGGGCCTGCGCAGGTCGCAGCCGGGTATTGTGGCTGGCGGTCTAGGTCGCGTTCCCCCGGCTGGGATTTACATTGCGTGCAGAAGGTGCACGGCCGCCAGCCAGCCGCTGACGAAGGGGGGGGCACATGGGCGCGTCTATGCGATTGCATGTGAGAGAGGCTGTGTGTGTGTGTGTGTGATACAGAGATGAAAAGAGGAGAGAGATTTGTCGGGTGGTGTGTAGGCCTGTGTTCTGTATGAAGAGTGGGTGTAGAGAGAGAGAGAAAAGAGCATCTCTGCACGACCAGGGCTCCCAGGCAGTGAGACATGGTCTACCACGCCGCATCTCCTTGCCCTCTAATCCGGCTTACTCTTGGGCAGGATTAGGCGATTTATCGACCCTCCAAACCGACGTCTTGGGATGACTTGCTTGACGCATCTACCCGTTTGGGGAGAAAAGAAAAAGTCCCCTAAAACAAATAGAGATGACATTCTGAATGAGGTTATCGCAGATTAGCAGACGCATCATATCCACATAGGTAGTAGATGGAGGGACGTGGTAACGCCTGACCACACCGGGGTTGGTGGGTTGCGCCCGCGACGTAGGCATGCATCTACGTATCTATCTCTCTCCCAATTCAATTCGATTATTATCAATCATATAGAGGCCAGGCCCAGACCATCGTCGGCGCCGTCGTCGTCGTCGTCGTCGAGCTTAGTGTGTCACGGAGTGTCACTCCCGGCGAAGGGTGACCTCGCGCGAACACGGCAAATTTCGCACATGTGCTACGACTCGCCGGCGGTGAACCTTCTGACGATCGCGACGAGGTCGGGTACGAGCGGCAGATATCGGGACGTACCCACTAATATCAATTTCCTCAAGCAACGCCCTACGTATTAGGTACCTATATTGTCTCCTTGTCTTTTGCTCTCCTCGCGAACGGCTGGCCGACCGGCTAGGTCACGGTCCGTCGCGAATGCAATGCGATGTCACCACCATATTATATTGACGGACAGATGACCCAATTCTCAGAGGCCTTCAAGGCATTATATGATCCCGACGCGTGTTGCTGCTAAGTTAGCCAGCCTACCTTTCCTGAACCCTCACTGAGCACGCATGGCCCTATCGCCAATCGCGAGCTGAATGCCGCACAGCATCGATGACAGGGCCCGGTGAATCGAGGGTGCCGTGCACGCATGTCCCGACCTTGGTTTTGCTCGCCGCTCTCCTCGCCGTCGCGACAGAACCTGTCAGGGCAGAACTTCGTATTTATCAGCTGAAGTCCATCCAATACTAGCCGGGTATGAGTGAAGAGAATAGATACTATTTTGCGCCTGAATAGCCCTCATCTGTAACCAAACCCCAATCTTGACCTAGACATACATGCCTTCAATGCACGCGAGAAGCCGTGTAGCATCATTGGCCCTGGACGTATGCCATCTCATCTCGCGGTTGCGCTAGCTGTATCACGTAGAACGAGACGGTTGCGAGTCGTGATCGAACCGGACAAATCAATATCGCCAACGGGGCCAGGAACCAGAGCAACGGACGTTCCAACTCGTGGGTCAGGATGTGGTGACATGTGTGACGGGCCGCAGAACCAGAGCCGGACGCCAGAGACACCGCAGGCTTGGCTCTGCCCCTCGTCCAATAGCGGAGCCGTCACCGGCTACGGGCAGAGAAAAGGGGCACGTCGGACGGCATGATGAGCGCATGCGAACCCCCCAATACGGCGAGGCAATTAATACTGAATGTTGTCATTGTCAGTCGTGGCGGGCTTGTAAAACCTGAGACTATTAGGGATCCTCCCGTCTACGGCCCGGAGGAAGAGGAGGGGGGCGAAGGGGGGACAACAATGTACACAAGCCTTCTCCCACCAACGCCATCCGAACGCCATCTAAACTTCGCTCGCGGGGTCCATGCAGCGCCGTGTCGTAAACAACGCGTTAATAAGACATATCGCCCTTCATCCGCCATCGTTGGCTGGCGGGGGACCGTCGCCTACCCCGCACCACCTGTGCTTCCTCTCGGCGGACCCAGAGGGGGTAGGCCGACCGCCGATCCGAACTGATCCCTAGGTACCGCCGTCCTCCTCTTCACGCCAACCTCTTCTCGACGATCGCCTCCCCGACCGGCGCGCCGCCAACGAACCCGCCGTTCGCGCCGCCCAGCTCGAACACCTTGCGGCCGCGCAGCCAGGTCTCGCGGACGCGGCCGGCGAACTGCTTGCCCTCCCACGGCGAGCAGCGGTTGCGCCAGAGCATCGCCGACTGCCGCAGCACCCACGTCTCCGCGTCGTCGAACACGCACACGTCCGCGTCGAGGCCCGCCCGCAGCCCCCCTTTGCGGTGCGCCAGCCCGACCTGCCGCGCCGTCGCCGCGCAGCACAGCCGCACGATGTCCACGATGTCCAGCGCCGCCCCGCGCTCCCGCGCCGCCGTGTACAGCACCGGCAGGCCCAGCCCCACCGACGCGATGCCGCCCCACGCCGCGAAGAAGTCGCCCGTGTGCGGCTTCTCGCCCGCGTCGCGCTCGTCGTCGGCCGTCATGTCGATGCCCGAGTCGGTGTGGTGCATCGGGGGCGCTCGGGCGGTGTCAAGGTGCGGCGGCAGGAGCTTGAGCTCGGGCGTGCACGGCGAGTGGTCCGACACGACGGTGCGGATGCACGAGTCCGGCGCCACGAGCTCGGCCCAGAGTCCGTCCTGGTTCAGCTGCTCGCGGATCGGTGGGCAGCACTTGTACCGGCAGTCGCCGTCCTCGACGCCCTCGGCCGCGAGCCCGAGATAGTGGAAGCAGGTCTCGGCGGTGATGTCAACGCCGGCGCGGCGGGCGGCCTTGAGGAGCGGGATCGCCGCCGTCGCGGACAGATGCACGATATGCAGGTGCAGGGCCGGCGCCAGGTGCGCGAGAGACAGGATTGCGTCGATCGCGTGCGTTTCGAATGACGGCGGCCGCGACTCGAGGAACGTCCGGTACGATTGGAGATCGCCGTGCGGCGCTAGGGGAGGACCCGAGGCCTGCACAGCGTCGCCGACGGAATCGGCGATTGGTGGGATCATCTCGGCGTGAAACATGAGCGTAGTCGGCGAGCCACTGAGCGTTTTCATCGCTAGCGCAACGTCTTGGGACGAGATGGCTGGGAACTCTTCCACCTATCGCCCACCGCTAGTTAGTGGCCTGCGTACACGGGATAGATCGGGTATTGCCTTAATTCGGCCTCGAAACTTACACCCGACTCGATTAGGAAACCCTTGAAGCCACGGACACCCGCCTCGACCAGAGGTAGCAGTTCGTCGGCGTTTCCGGGGATAACACCCCCGTAGAATCCTACGTCGACCCAGCACTGGCCCCGGCTCGCGGCCAGTTTCTCCTTAAACCCTGCCAGCGTTGTGGTGGGCGGGATGGCATTCAAGGGCATGTCGATGACAGTTGTCACGCCGCCAGAAGCGGCTGCTCTAGTGCCGGTGTTGAAGCCTTCCCATTCCGTCCTGCCAGGCTCGTTGAGATGCACGTGTGCATCTACGAGCCCCGGAATCAAGAGCTTCGAGCCATAGTCGATGTATGTGGTCAACGGTGGGAATGATGCCTTGGGCAACACGCTCGGCGTAACGGCAACTATCTTGCCCGTCTTGGGCGAGATCGTTATGGTGGCTGCGCTGAGCTGGAGACTGTCGTCGGCTAAGGTGATGACCGCCCTCGTCGAGACGAGGACAGTTAGAGGCCCTTCGGCCTCGAGTCTGGAAGGAATGGTCATTATGGAAGAGCGGCCCTACTATGGAGATAGGGAAGGGTGGCAGCGAGCGAAGAAACAGGACTGCAGGCAGATAGCTGGGACAGGGTACTACGACGTCTGCTTATCGTGAGGTTTGAGAGTGGTGGGTCCAACGAACGGCTTCCGGTGACACACTCGAGAAAAAACACCGGAAAAAGAAATAAGTACAGGAAAAGGAAGAGGGAGATGATCACAGAGCAACTCCCACCAACGGCAGTAAAGAACAGAATGAAGATGCGAAAATACCGGAAACACCAGGCGCAAGGCGGACGACGAGCGAGCGGTGAGGTTATCTAGGTAGGCGGTGCGGTATGGAGAAACAATAGATAACACGGAACAAATATGGGAAGCGGGTGCGAGGGAAAGATAACGAGGAAAAGTAAAGAAAGGAGGGACAGGTAGTGGGTGAATAACATAGAGAACGATCGAGTAAGCAAAGCCGCACAACTCGACGGTCTAGGCTCTCGGGTTCTGCCCTAGATAGAGTGACCCAAGCAGGGCGATACCCGCTTACGCTGCGGCCAAAACAACCGGCCCTGGACGACGGATGCTGGACGCGGGCAAGCGGGCAGCGGCTTTTTGTGTGGGGTTCACTTACAGCACTTCTCTAAGCTGCTGAGAAAGGGAGCCATTCGGACCACAACCGAGAGGGGGCTATCCTGATTCAGAAGTCCGCGGCCGGCGGAGGTGCGAGGGCAATGCAGACTTTTTTTTTCTTTAGTTTTTCTTTGTCATCTATCACCGCCGCCATAGCGAAGTTACCCGATGGCTTTCTCGGGTTCCGAAAGCTCAGACAGGAGTGTATGGTATTAAAGCGTGTGCGTGGGCACCCGATAAGACTAAAAAAGACGTGAAAAACGCCGGGAGCGACGGGATACAATATGATGGTTGTAGATTTCCCCTGAGTCGGGATGATAGCTATCGCCAACTCCTGATTCGCCGGCACTCCCAATTCTTGGGTGGGAGAGAGAAAGCTCGCATATAAAGATTACGGGCATTTACGTATCCCCATCGCGTAGGTAACGCGGACAGCCGTGATTATAACGAGGGGATGCTACACCGAAGCAACCTAAGCAAACCCCCCACCTCTCCTTTAGCGGGGTTATGTGTGTAGGCAGCCATCCGCCGCGGGTCTAAAAAGGACCTGCGTTAGCCTAGCCCGCGGGATCTGGTACCTCTCGCGATAGCACACACTGTACCTCCGTGTACCCACCACGTACTACGCACCACCTTTCTGGAGGCTTTTCTACACGTGAGTACGTATCGACTAGGTTACGTTAGGTAACCTTCGGCTCTCAGGTCGGATCTGCTAAGTACGTAATGGGTCAGCGACCAGTGTCGGACCTCGCCGCCTATCTACCCGCAGAGGCAGAAGCAGAACTCCGTTTATCGACGGAGGGTCGCGCAATCGCAAACACTTCCAAACCTCGGCCTCTTCCACGCGTCTCTCAACGTAGGCACGCATACCTACCACCAAGCACCAAGCACCAAAACACCAAAGCACCACGCATCAGCAAGCACCAGGCACGTACCCGAGAGCATTCCTCCGGGTGTTACCCCTCTCCGGGCTTATCTTACGTGCATCTTGTGCCTCGAAGTCGGCGAGTCGATGGCGCGGCCCGACTAGACGGTGGAAGCACGCACGCTCTATCAGTTTCCGTCGCCCAATCGTCTCTCGATCGATCCGAGTAAAGCTGGAGCCGGACCCAGCACAGCATCATCGCCCGGATCCCGGGCATGATGACCGCAGGCCATCTTACCGCCTCCCCGGGGGAGGGTCCTAGCCCCTGCCGCCGATCTTTTCTCTCCACGATTCGTCGCGCGAGACACCGCGATGCTGTGTCGGCTTATCTCGTCTGCGGCAGCGTCCCGACCTCCCTCCTCCCGCTACGTACCTAGTCGTCCAGCCTGCCGCCGCCACAGCGCTAACCACGTATCCGGCCGGGCGACGCGGGGGACCAGCGAGAGAGGACCCAAGTAGCACACGTGCGTACGCCTGGAAATCGTAGCCGGCCCTGCGCGGCTTATGTTCATAGTGCGGCAGTTGTATGCGGGGCACGTAAGCCCTCGGCTGATACCGTATGAAACGCAGACGCGTGCTACTACGGACAAGTTTCCGTAGAACAACAAGCCGTGCTATACTCAACTCATGTTCGTTGTGTTACGGGAGAGATCGCTATCAACTCTCTCCGATCAGCCGCAACTTTCGATAACGTCGGACTCTTCGAGGGTGCGAGCGCCGGCAAGGGCACAGGCACGACTTGACCGACTTTTCCTCGCGGTCGAATTCTCGCCTTATATCTCCGTGTCTCATACCTTGTGCGGAGCGAAAACCAGCCAGGTTACACAAATCCATGCAGCCTGGAGACTTCATATCCCGATGAAAAGACGATCCACCAAGCTCGAGCGCGCCCCGGCCAGTGGCCAGCGTTAACCGGAGACAGCATTACTGACTGCAGACACGACTGGTAATCGCCGATGCAAAGCGGCCCGGCGGCGGGTCGGGAGTCTCGACTAACCCTGCCCCTTGTGGAACCAGCAGAGAGGGCCTCTCGTAAACGGCGGCCCTCCTTCGCAGCCCCAACTCGCAGCAGTACGTGTGCGGGGACCCCCAGTCTCGCGGCCCGGGCCCCGGCGAGCTCGCGTCGCGAAGCTGGAGTCTGGCTGCGCACACGAGATCTCGGCGCGGCGCGGCGTGGCATAGGTCGTCTCACCGTGCGGCCGGGCGGACGGACGATCTCGACACACTCCGCAGACCTCGATAGCACACGCCGGCAGGACTGGACGCCGCGAGCATAATTGCACACGGCTAGCGCCCCGACGACTCCGACAGAAAGCGTGCGCGGCGCATCCAGGTCGCCCGGCTCCGATGAAGTGTCGGTTTCTCGCGAACGCGGCAGGATACCGTAGCACGTAGGCGCGCCGAGGTATAGCTCTGGCAGGTAACGGGACGTATTAGTAGCTAGACAGGTGCTAGCTAGCTGTGTCGAGACGGAGCCAAGAATCGGGGCACGAAAAGGCGGGATTTTACTTTATATGTCATGCTCCGAATTCTGGTAATTATCACCAAAGTTCTACTCTCGACTGCCACTTAAGTATCCGGTGTATATCTCGTCATACATTACCAACTACGGAGAAGACCCTAGAAACATTCATAATACTTATCGGTTGTACCACTACCTAGCTCTCCCACTTGCTATATTTTGCTATGCTTTAACTATATCAATGCAATGAACGCTCTGAATATCGTCACCACTTTGTGATGCCCGGGGAAAGGGGGGCACGGCAGTTGTGTTGAATAGACCGTCTAGGGAAAGAAGTGTGAAGAATATACCTAGTTGTTTGCATGCATTTCTGTTTTCTCTCTGCGCACTCATTTTGTTCCGATCGCTAATAACAAGTAGCCCCCAATTACACCCCACGACTTCGTACGGTTTTTATTCGTGTATTCATTGGCTTCCCTTCCGGAACTCGTCCTGACCCGTGCGCTCCATCGTCGTGAATTGGGAAAATGCGAGTTTTTCCATGTCCTCGGGGGTGTAGCCCATCTTCTTTGCTCGGCGGCGGAAGAAGATCCGTTTGCCCCACTTCCACAGCTCACAGCCCATGAAGAAGACGATACCCTCCACGAATACCACTCCCCACTCCCAAGAAATCGGGGCTTGCTTGAAGACTTGGTGATTCAGCACCGGAATGTAGATCGTGGGGAAGATGGTAATGAAGCCTGCTATCACTGCCCAGAAGAGGAACGGGTTTCGCCAGACATCGTACGCCCACTGCGTAAAGTATCGCTTGCTCTTAGGCTGCATGCGGAAAAAGCTACGGCGCATATTGACCATTTCCCACGCCAGGAAGAGCGCGAACCAGGTTAGGCTGACGAATGTGGTCGTACGGGCCCGGAATACGGTGTCACAGGCCTCCGAATAGGCCTCGTTGCAGCCTTCGCCTAGGTTCCCGTCGCCAAACCCGTATACGACTAAGAGGAACGAGGAAAGGCACAACGCGGACATCCAGAGACCGTACACGAGCATATCGAAACAGACCTCCCATGTAAAAACCCCGGCCTTGAGAGAGATCGGAGGCCTGTCCAGGATATCGGGAGCAGCGATCTCTAGGCCGAGACCCATATCGGGCATGCCGGACGTTACCATGATGATCCACATGATCTGGACGGGTGCCAACGGAAAGACGGAGAGCCCGGAGCGGTCCTTAAAAGCGAGTCCGACGAGGAGCGTGCAGGCCTGCGCGATGTTCTCGGCTAAGAGGTGCAGGATGAACTTCTGAATATTATCGAACATGCGGCGGCCCTCCTCGATAGCACTGAGTATCGACGCGAAGTTATCGTCGGTCAGCACGATATCGGAGGCGTCCTTGGCGACGTCGGAGCCGCTCTGGCCCATGGCGATGCCGACGTCGGAAATCTTGAGCGAGGGGGAGTCGTTGACACCGTCACCAGTCATAGCCATGAAGGCGTCGCGGCGGCGCAGCGCCTCGATCATGCGGACCTTGGTGGCCGGGGTGCAGCGGGCGATGACGAGGGGTAACGCCGGCAACCGGTCGAGCTCGTCGTCCGTCAGCTTATCAAACTCACGCGCCGTCATTACCATGCATTTCGCCGCGCGCTCTGAGAGGTCGCCCGTGACCCGCGGCAGAATGCCAACCTGTGCCGCTATCGCGCGCGCGGTCCCCGGGTGATCACCCGTTAGCATGTGTACCTTGATACCCGCCCGGTGGCAGCTGCGCACGGCGTCGGCTGACTCCGGCCGCGGCGGGTCGTACAGCCCGACGAGCCCGCGGAAAATGAGGTCGCGTTCGACCTGGTCCCGCGGGGGGGGTCCCTCGCGGGATGCGCGACGCCCGCTCCGGGGGTCGTATGGCCGGCTAGCCAGGGCGAGCACACGGAGCCCGTGCGTGGCTAGAGCTTCGGTGTTGGCCAAGATCTCGCCCTTAATCGCGTCGGTGATCTCGACCTCCTCGGGGCCGTCCCACCTGATCCGGGTGCAGCACTCGAGGATCCGCTCTACTGCCCCTTTGCTATAGACCGTCTGCTCATTCGTTGCAAGATCCTCTATGATGACCGACATCTTCTTCACGTCCGAGTCGAAACCATATTCGCTCATCTGCCTAAGCCGAGGGCTCCGAGGATCGAAGAATTGCTGTCTGTTACAATCGAAGCGGGAGGCGAAGACTTGCATGGCGATCTCGGTCGGATCTCCTATGGCGGTCCATTCACCCTCTTGGTTCTTGTGGACACGCGCGATGTTGGCGAGAGAAGCGATCTTGATGAGATCCGACAACTCAACGTTGTCTTTGAGGGAATCCGAATAAGAAATTCTATCGTCTTCAACCCCCTTCTCCGATCCGTGGGCGATAGGCGGTGACCGGGAGAGCCTTAGAACACCAAGCGTCGGGTTGAAGGGCTCCTTGGAATTCTCAATAGAGTAGGTTCCACGCGTAGGGACCCAGCACTCTTTCACCACCATTCTCCCCTGCGTCAGGGTTCCCGTTTTATCAGAGCAGATGTCAGTAACGGCGCCGAGGGCCTCGAGCGATTTGAGATTCCGAACAATGACGTGTCGTTGGACCATCCTCTTCGTCCCGACCGCCATAGTAATCGTCAAGACGACTATCAGCGAGGCAGGAATCATAGAAAGGCCGGTGGCAACAGCGTAGATAATGACCTGGGGGTTACTGGAAAACCGGTTCGCACCTAGTACTATGACGGCGCAGACGATAGCGATGCCGAACAGGAGAATGGCTAGCCGAGAGAGCTTGCGCTGAAGCGGTGTGCCGACGTTTATCCCTAGGAAGCGGGCTACCGCATCGCTAAAGGTCAGGGTCCACGACTCGACGTGTCGCAGAGGGTGTGCTGTTCCATCATCCCTTCTCTTGATAGGCCGTCTCTTAGAATCTGTCTGTCGGAGAGCCGCAGCAATGGATCCAATTTCCTACCAGGTGCGGCGTCGTTAGCAAGCTACCCAGTAGGTTTGCATACGAGCCGGGAACCAACCGTGTGCATCCCAGTCGCGTAGACAACGCCCATGGCGCGACCCTTGGTGACATTGGAGGAGGCAAAGGCAACATTCAATCGATCTCCAGGACCTGTGTCTTCGTCAAAGATCGTCTCCTCGTTCTTTGCAACCGGCAAGGATTCTCCGGTAAGAAGCGCCTCGTCCGTCTCGAAGTTGATACTCTCGATGATTCTGGAAGTACACTAGTGATTAGCCGGTGGCAACAGCATAGTTGGGGGAGGGGGGGGGGTTGAGATAGGGGCGTTGAGGGAGGGAGGGGACTACCTGAGATCTGCCGGGACAGTGTCGCCAACTTTAAGTTCGACGAGATCCCCCGGGACGAGTTCAGCGGTGGGGACGTTTACAGTCACTCCATCCCTAACGACGTTGGCAGTAGGCGAAGACAACGAGCGCAGCGAGTCCATCGTCTTCTCGGCCTGATATTCCTGAAAGAAGCCGACGACGATGTTCAAGATAATAATGGCACATACGACACCCCCCTCGATCCAAGATCTGATGCCGAAAGACACGGCCATGGCCAGGATCAGGACCAGCATCATGGCGTTGGCGACTTGTCTGATGAGGATCTTGACAGGCTGGACGCCCGGACCGTCGTCGAGCTCATTACGACCGTAGTCCTGCAGGCGTTGCTGGGCGGCGGGGGTGGCGAGGCCATTCTCAACATCGGCCTCGAGCTGTTGCACTACGTCGCCCCTCTCCAGCGAGTGGGCAGGCTTGGTGAGGGGCCTGTTGCTCTGGCCAGACAGTTGTTGGTCCATCGACGCTCGCTGCTCTGGTTCTCCTGGCTGCCGTCGGAAGAGAAAGGGGAACGAGGGTGCGGGCTGGGTGAGAAGCAGACAGAAGAAGGGAGGGAGGGGGGGGGGGCCATCGGTATCGGCCTTTATACCGGCCGACGGCTTTGCACGGCTGCACCCAGCAAATTTTCCGTCGTAGGCCCAATGCTACGACGGATCGTCATCAGAAGAGGAGGTGCCGGAAGCGGTGGCGACAGTTGCAGGGCGTACGGCCTGGCCAGCCATAGGCAACCGAGCGTGCTATGTTGGTACGGGTCGACGTCGGGATGGCCCGCCATCGTCGATAGTGTACCGTGCCCAGGGCGGGCGGGGGATGCAGACGTCGACTATAGATGCCCACGTCGGCGGGGAGGGGACATGACGACTCGATGCTTCGGCTGTCCTTGTCGCGCGGGTTGCACTTGCTCGGGCCTGCTTGCTATCTTCGCACCACAGAGGAGGCCGGCATGTAAGTGGAAGTGACACAAAGAGCGAGCGCGCCTGCCGCCCCACCCCCTTTCGTCGCCCCTGGCTCCCCCTTGCCTGTCTCCGTCTTGCCGGGCGCCGCTGATTGGCTGGCCGCTTCAGCAGCCAACCGATCTCGTCTCTTTTCAGCCTTACTAAACACCCCACAGGTCTTCGTCGCACGCCCTCTCCGTTGTTGTATAACGTTCCTCCTGCTGGCGCCGTGATTGGCCGCACCGTCTTGTTCTCCCCTTCTCCCATCATCCTGCATAGAGGATCCCTAGGTATGTTTTCAGCCGTCCGGACAGCTTTTCACCACACGTAACGGCAGCCAGCCCAGCGGTACATTCGACCGACCCAGCTTCTATACAAGGTGGTTTCCCGCCGCGTTACCTCCTCTCCCTACGGATCCGTCCTAGCCAGCCGAGAGCCGGACCGTTAGCCCTTGATTAATCGCTGTTGGTCAATTCCGCTGGGTCCCCCGATATTCCAACCCTGTAGTCCCTCGTTGTTCTAGTGTCCCATCTACTCCTCGCATTCCATGTCGTCCTCCAATTTAGTCGCTATTCCCTTTCGCCCTTCTGGCTGTGACACCCTCTCCCATCACAACCCCAGCGCCACACCCGGATATCCCTAGACACCCCCCCCCCGTCCCCTCCGGTCTCTTCGCTAGTCTCCCTGTATAACCCGACGCATTCGCCCCAGCCCCCCCTGCCCGCCGCCGCGTTCCGACGTGCTGCGTGGTAGCAATGCTCGAGGGAGCAGCGTCACAACCACCAGGTCGTCGTTCCGGGCCTCCCGAGAGCCGCCCGTTATTGAAAAAGAAACCACACCGCCGCTCGCCGCAGGCCTGTGACGAGTGTCGTCTGCGCAAACGGGGCTGCGACGCCGCCGAGCCCTGTACCCCTTGCCAGAATTCCAGTCTCAGTAAGTACCAGTTGCGATACGCGCGATGGCGTAAACCATACCAAACCCGCATCTGATGACGAATTCGCGCTTTGGAAAAGGCTGCACCTACCAGTTCCGAAGACCTGTGGCCGCGCCAACGTCGAGGATCCGCAATCTGCAGCACCACCTCCGGTTGGCCCGGTCCTGGCTACAGGAAGTGCGGGAGAAGGTCGCTGAAGTGCCCGGCTTGGATGTGGACAATTGCCTACGCATTCTCGACTTCACTGTGCCTGAGGAGCAGTCACCACCGCCATCGTCGTCCCCGTCCCGTGACCATGGCTCGACGAGGTCCACGCTTACGAATATGCTGGCCGGCCGCGATCGGCTTGTGAGGGTGGAGTCGGGAGAAACGTGCTTCTACGGCGCCTATTCCGAGCTCTCTTTCATCTTGCGAACACTCGAGCTCTTCGAGGAGAAGCCGGACGCCCGAACGAACCAGACGTTTCTGGTTGTTAATGATATGTTCAACCTCCCCCTCGCGTCGCCAGCCCATCTCGGCTTAGGCTCCGCGACGCGTATCCCATCATGTGAAATTTGCACGGCGTTGGTAGAAGCTGTATTCGCGAGAAATCACCCTATGCTCTCCTTCCTGCCGAAACATCGCATAAGGCGCATGTCCACTTTGGCCACCGAACTTGCACCCGTACCCCTTTCAGATCAATCCTTGTCGCTCTTGCACTTAACCCTAGCCTTGAGCTATTTATTCGACTCTCGACGTCATCGGGCAGAAGGCTGTCGCGTCGTTTTACAGAGGGCCACGGGCCACTTCCACGCTGGTATGGCCTTGCTAAGACCGATGGAGAGAAATGACCTTGTTTCCCTTCAGGCAGTCCTTTGCGCCATCGTTTTCCTCATATCAACCTCTAGGATCGTCGTGGCGCACTCTCTTATCGCAGCAGCCTGCTCGTCAGTTGTACGGCTCGGTCTTCACGCTACGGTAAGGAACCCTGACGTTTCCGAAGAGGAGGGCAGAGAAAAGATACGAGCCTACGCGACGGTGTTGAGGCTCGATTTTTTCGCTAGTATAATTCTCAACCTCCCGCCATTCTTTCAAAAAGACGCCGTTCCCCTATCCCGTATTGCGCGCTTAGCCTCCAGAGCTGAAGCCGAAAAGGACTTGCCAACCGCGGCGGCCTTGAGGCAGGTTTGCCTCTTGGCCATACCTCTACACAAGACGATCGGTACCTCCGCGGACGGCCCCGACGGCGAAGATTCCCAGTCTGTTGATATTAGGGATTTAGAAGAATCGCAGACCGAGTTCCACGGCTGGAAAACGGACGCCTCGTCTCTGTTAGCATGCTTAGGACGTGATAAAGAACATTGGATGTGAGTGTGGATCTGGCACAAAATGCAGGGCTCGGATACTCACTGGTATCCAGCATAAAACATGACCTCGAGATGACGTACAACTTTGGGCAGATCATCCTATGCAGGCCTTTCCTACACTACCTACGAGTCATGGCCGATGGGGGCTCCATATCGATCACACAGTCCTATCATGCTCTCGCTTGTATCAAACTCGCATCTTCTACCATTGTTCGTGCTCAGGAGATGATGGATGAAGGCCCCGTATTGGCGGGATTCTGGCCTTCGATATACACCGTCTTCCTATCTGTGATGTGTCTAGTGTTCCTCATCGCTGCACACCGCGGTACCTCGACACCTAGCAGAGCGTGGCAAAGGGCTGCGGCAGGAATTCGAGTGATCGCCGCACTCAAGTGCGTGGATGACTGTTCGAAGCAGTGTTTAGAGGTCCTAAAGGTCTGCGAGAAGTCTTGAACCCTCCCCGGAAGTGGAAGGACTGACAGCTGCAGGTGGTTACGGATGAACTCTCGCATACCGTCTATTTCGATTTCGACGAGTTAGAGGCATCTGTTATTCGAAACTGCGGCAAGAGAACGTCTAGGGAGGCTTCCTACGCCCTCTCCCCCCTCGCGACAGAACCGATGGGGGACCCCTCGAGTCCTCTTAGTAAGTATGGAAATCGTCCCCCGGATGCGTCGAGCTTGGCCGTAGAAGACTTCGTAAACATTTACACGGTGGTGGAGAGCAACGAGGCCGACCGCATGCTAGACCAAGCAGAAGAATTGTCGACCGAGTTTGATTTTGGCGGTATGTCGTTGGAGCTGAGCGGCGAGCGACATGATAGCGTCGAGAGTTGAAAACCCCCAAGAATCGACCTCGGATATTACGAGTCTTCCAGTTCTTTCACACTGTCTCATCTCCCACCTTAAGAGTCTCTGGTCACTGAGCCGGCTTGCAATCCACACACATTAGCCCTCTTACCTCCCGGTTGTTGCTCGATGAGACCAAAGTATGTATGTGGCAAACGCTGTCGTGCGGTACGATCATTTCGTAACGCTCAGCTGTGTACCTGACCAACCCCTGAAGAAAAAGAGGATATAATAAGGTCCTTCGGGTTTACTCATGTAGTCTACTCATGTAGTCTGTCGGGTATAAAGTCTGCACATAGCGCAGATTTCAATACGGCCGTTGCATCTGAAAAGGATACAGGCTTAGACACAATTAATCTCTTCGGCTTTCTGCCCGTGATAAGCGCAGGGACTGGGTTTATCGTCAGTAACTTAAGCTATCGTGTTGAAACATTAGACAATCGCCTAGTGGGTTCTCATGAACGCCCATGCAGGGGGAAATGATAAAAAGGCCTAACGCGGTTCCTTCAATACTACCTAGCCGCTCGTTTCGGTCATGCTCGGGGCTAGTCGAACATGTTGTTGTGTTTACTGGGTATATCTCTTATTCGTGTAGGAGCATTGGCTGCGGTGTCGGTGACTATCCCTTATAGCTAGTAGTGGATGGCGGGTGGGCGAAGTGAGGGAAGAACCACGTACTGGTAACATGTGGTTCGGAACACGATCCGGCCTCGGGATCATAAAGCATGTCTACCTAGGTTGAAGGAAACCTATGTTTGTGGCCTAAGGTTTGAGAGATAGGGATCAACCCAACTTTACGTGGTGAGAGAGTCCAGCTATATGCAATACTACGATACCTTTACTCGCATAGGAGGCTTATTACTGATGCACTTCTCCCATCCAAGTCGGTTTCCATAGTGAATCATCAACGAAATCACGTTTCAGACGGTAGTATCAGCCGGCATTTAGCTAGAAAGCGCTGGACATTTCGGCTAAGATACACTTAATTAAGTACCTAGGCATCTAGTTCTGTCCGTATCGTATCCTTATATGAATATGAGACGGCGCCACGAGTGCCACCTCAGCCAAGCTTGACCACACGTCGCTCCCATGCACAGTCCCTTCGGGTCTAGACAAGTTCTGAACTCAGGGTAGATGCCGAGAGACTCGAATTCACTCTGCAAGGACGGTATGCTGGCGTATTGGCTGACAAACGTGTCGAGCGTCTGAGCTGTGAAAACACTGGTCCCGACTACGTACGCGTGCAAACGGGCCTGGGGGCAGACGGAGAGGTGCACGGTCCGGAGGCGTCGCATGCGCGACAGCACGTGGCGGTCCCAGTCCGACAGGGTGAGGGTCCCGGTGCGGGGGTGCGTGAGGGTGAGGTTGCGGACCTGGGAGATCCAGTGGTCGCGGGGCAGCTCGGGCGGCGGGTGGCGGCGGATCGGGTTGCGGAGGAAGCAGAACCACTCGTCCAGCCCATGCACGGGGCGGCCCCGGTAGTTGAAGTGGAACACGTCCCGCTCTAGGTCGGCGCAGATGAACACCTGCCTCAGGCTGACGCTGGCATCATCAGACGGAAACCCGGCCCCGTAGCTTCTGGGCGCCAGGATGTGGCCGGTGAACCGGATCTTGGTCATGTAAGGCAGGTAGGACGAGCTGTCGTCCTTTTGACTCACGTGCCTATCGACGATCAACAAAGAGCCCTCGTCGTAGGTCGCATAGATGCGACGTCCCTCGCTGCTTATCGAGAAGCAGTGGCGAATTACCGGTAGGCTGTCTCGGTAGTAGTCCCAGACCAAGAATTGCAGCTCGAGGGGTAGCTTCGTAAAAGGAAAGGATGCCTCAGAACCCGTTGGCTCCGTGTCCGGGTCGTTGTCCGGGTCGTTGTCGGGGGGTGAATTCATGTCGTAGGATGGTGTATTTGAGGAAGTGGTTGTTGGTGGAAGACGATGGCAAAGAGTCAGGGCGAACGAAAGAGGAGCTGAGGGGTGGAAGAGTAAAGGATAGGAGGTAGGTTAGAGGTAGGTACTTGGTGAGTAGATAGGTATTTATACCCATTGCACCTAGGAGGTACCTCCTAAGGTGTGAACGTACCTAAGGTTCGAGAATGAGGATGCGGATGACGCCGATTCGACACTTGGCGACAAGAACGTGCCTTAGGTAAATTGATGGGTGCCTGAGGAAGAAATCGTGCGAGACAGCCAGTTAGTACTTAGGGGTGAGATTACGGTTTTACCCACGGTCTATCTCCGGGCCGGGCGCCTTGCGTAGGTAGATCATCAACCATCCCGGAACCTCCTCATTGTTGGTCAATCTTCTCCTCGACCGCGTCCACTACCCAAAAAGAAGCCGCACGGAGCAAAGTACACGGGACCTCATTGGCGGAGGCGCAGGGCGAGCCGGAATGATTATCAAGAGCGATCAAGCACAAAACAAGCCTGCTAAGTCCGACCTCCAGGCAGAGGCGTGGTTGGTCTAAATTCATGCCGGAGCAGCTGGCCCAGGAGGTGGCTCGTTGGCCTCGTCCGTCGGCCGGTCCGCGCCCCGGAGAGGATAGCTAGCCGAAACAGAACCCCGACCGCAAAGAAACGGAAAAGAAAATGCAAGTCGAAGCAACGCCGCCCAGAAAAGCCCATTCAGATTGTCAAACGGTCACACCCGCCGCTGAAAACCAAGTAACCCGAGAAATAAGCCCCAGCCCGACCGAAACCCCCCTCCCCCTTGTCCCCCTCCCCCGCCGCTCGAAAGAAACGCCGTATCATATAACCAAATGACAAAGAAAACGATCGCCGAGCCGTCGCCCCATCGCTCGGCGAGCCCTTACTGGGTCTGTCTCGAGGCTTCGGGGGCGTAGGTTAGCCTAGAAGCTACCGTGTCATGGCTCCCCCTCGCCTATTCTACGCGTGGTCTGTATTACCAAGTTGACGTCTGTTATTTGCCGCGCTGACCGCCATCGCGCCAGCGCCGGTTAAGATCCGGAACCCCCAAAGCGCCGTCGCCCACCTTCTCTCCCCCTTTCCTGCCGCGGACGAATGACCATGATATATAATCTCGTTGTTTTCTCCACTGCCAAATCAGTAAGAGCAGTGCGTGATCCCGGGGTATAGTGTGTGCGTGTGCGTGTGCGTGTTCTTGTGCGCGTGTTCTTGTGCGCGTGCTTTTTTTTCCCTTCTTTTTTTTTCTTGCGTGTGTGGGAGCGATGATAGTTAGAAGAGGACGGGCAGGGAGGCGTAGAGCCAGCGAGAGAGCAGGGGAAGCCGCTCAGCGGGGCGCGGGGAGCTCAGGCGCACGAGAAGTCGAGGCCCATGCCACGCGCGACCCCCTGCCAGTCCCAGACGCGGGACCAGTCGCCGCGCTCCATGAGGCGCCAGACCTCCTCGAGCACGTCGGCGACTCGGTCGCAGTTGCGCAGGCCCGTGTAGCCGCGGACCGTGCGCACCGCCGCGCGCACGCGCTCGCGCTGCGGCGGCGCGAAGCACGCGCACCCGATCACCAGGCACGGCACCAGCAGCAGCGTCTGCACCGGGTCGCTCGGCTTGAACGAGTCCAGGATCGCCAGCGACTCGTCCACCGCGAGCGTGATCCGGTGGTCGTGGTGCGGCGGGTACCGGATCGGCGGCGGCGACTCCGTCCGTGGCCCACGCGCCGCCGGCAGCGGCTGTCGGGCCAGCGGTAGAGGTCGTGGTGGCGGCGACGGTGGCGAGCTCGCCGTGCTGCTGCTGCTGCCGCCGCCCGTGTGGCTGCTCGAGGGACGCGAGGCAGACGACGGCGGCGTGCGCGCCGAGTGCGGTTGCGACGTCGGCGACAGGGGCACGACGATGGCTGTCGCCGTCGCTGCCGCCGTCACCGCGGGCGGGTGGAAGGATTGGCCCGATGGCGAGGTCGTCGACGAGGGCGGGTAGATGGTCCGGAATAGGTACACCCACATCATCTGCTTGTACAGGAGGCCGACTCGGTCGCGGCTGTCGCCCGGGGGCCAATGCGGCGTCCACTCGCGGATGGCCGAGTCGATCTCGGCGGCGCGGTACAGCGAGGTGTAGTCGACGACGGGGTCGGCCTCGGCGGCCATGTTGGCGCGGATGGTATTGCGGATGGTGGTGATCTGCACGAGGTAGTGGAAGAGGCCGTCGGCGATGCCGATGAGGCGCGCCGGCCGGATCTCGAGCCAGGGCTCCCAGTCCTCGGTCGCTAGCCGGGGGATGCGGCCGTCGGGGTACCGGATGAGCTCGTCGGCAAAGACGCGGTACTGGAAGAACTCGGTGATGAAGACGAGGAACGCGTTGTCCGGCGGCGGGGACTGGTGGATGAGGTTCTTGTAGGCCTGCAGGTGTACCCGGTGGTTGCCGTTGGGGTTGCCCTCGACCAGCGTCTGGAGCAGGAGGCAGAGCATCTGCCCGTACCGCGGGGACAGGTTAGCCTTGTCCTTCGGGTCGTTGCCGTCGCCGGCCGGCTCGCAGAGCTTCTTCATGGCCGCCTGGTGGTGGAAGTGGGACCTGGCCAGCAGCGAGTTCAAGGTGATCTTCGGGTTGGTGCTGAGTATCTTGGCGCCGTAGGGGGTGTCGTAGTCGATGTGTCTACTGGACACGGAGAGGATGGAGTGCATGAGGCCGCGATGCTCTACCGCCATCTGGAGCAGCATGTCCTTGAACGCATTCTTGTGCTGTCCCTCTACGGTGAGCACGCCGCTCAGGTGGCTGATGTAGTGATTCAGAAAGACCATATCCTCGGGCGTCTCGACTCCCTGGAATATGGGTTGAAGCGTAATGTGTGGCAGGCTATGCCGCCTCTGGCGCTCTACACCGACCGTTAGAGGATGAGCGTACACCCGAATACTAGTTCATCAATACCTTCTTCGGCCCTCTCCTTTCCACTCTTCCAAATCGTCTTCTCGTGGTAACCCTCGCAGACGACGGCGTTCTTCTCACAATTCAGGCCTGCGTTGGTTAGACGCGAGCAGGCCGTACGTGACACTCCTACTTACAGCGGGGCTTGGCCTCGTCGCACTTCTTTTTTCGTTTCCGGCACGTAATACACCCCGTCTTGGACCGTCCCTTGGCCACCTTATTTGTCGCCACCTGCGGGGGGAGTGGGTGTTTCCGGGGGCGTCCTCTCGGCCTCTTCATCTTCGCCGGTGGCATCGGCGCAGCCTTGGGCTCCGGCGCCGCCGTCCGGGGGGCTTCCTTGACCTCGTCCATGTGGAAGCCATCGTCGAGGGGTTCGATCTTGGGAACCGCCAGGACGTCATCCGAGTCTTTCTCCCACGGCATGTCCTGGTCGGGGTCCTCGCTCCCTTCGGCGCCGTCGCTATAGCCGGTGCTCCACGATTCGACACTGGACGAGGCGGCGGAATGAATCATGGTCGGTACCGAAGAGGCGTCGACCCCGACGGGGATGTCGAGTTCGGTGCTGATAGGCGATAGCTGGCCAGTGTCCATTCGATTGGCCTGCGCGGGGTTTGGCCATAACGGAGAGGCGGGCATGACGAGGGAGGAAGTTCCTTCGGAGGCGACGCTGTTGCTATCCGACCAGGAAAGATCTCCATCGTCCGCTCCGAGGGCCAGCCGGCAGTCCATAGCTCGTGAGAGGCTATATCATTCCCACGGGGAATTTAACCAGAAGACGGCAGCCTCTGTCTCGCAGGAGAGCAACGCGGGTTCGCAATTCATATGAAGGAGTATCGAAAAATAAAGACAAACCCGAATCGAAAAAACGGCAGGAGTGGCAATTCCCACCGAAGATCAAGGCCTGTTGTATACGGTCATAGGCCCATCTCTCAGTACCATTCCTGCACGAGTATGGAGATGGTGTCGAGGTGGTCCCGACGAGACGGCTGCCGGTGATTGGCCTCCTCAGTCAAAGCCTTGCTGCAGTCGTCGGCAAAAGGCAAATGGGGGGGGACAATCGAGCACGACCCGGCGTCTGACTGAGCTGCAGCATCAGGATGTCACGTCTTGTAGGAGAGAAGCGAGGAGACAGACAGATGGAGGGGTCGGGCTTGGGCAGCGGAGGTGGAGTGTAGGGTCTTATTTGGACCGTGGATGTAATACCGTGGGGCGGCTAGCAGAAAACGAAGATACGTGGGCGGGATGCACATCAGCGTACCGTAGTATGTGCGAGTAGGGGTACGACCAATGAGGCAGGGTTGGATGGGCAGACGGCGAAGGCCCGAAGCCCGTCGCGAGCTATTCTCCACCCCCATTTCCGTGCCCTCGTGCACCTTGAGGGGAAAATCGAGACCAGCCAGCGGGCCATACAGCGAGAGGGGGGAAGCGAGAGGAGAGAGAGAGAGAGAGAGAGAGAGAGGAGGACGGAGAAGGCGGGAAGCAAGCAAGTCTGAGAACGGCCGTCGAGGATGATGGGTCCGGGTGAAGCAGACCGGGGCGGGCTACTTGCTTCCCTTCACATGCGTGGGCGTGTGGAAGGAGGTGTCTCGCGCATCACGGCGACACAACATTCCCAGATACCTCCTATACTGTGGTGAAGGAGATACACGAAAAGGAGGGGGAGGGGGAGGGGAAGGGGGGAGGGGGGGGAAGGAGAGCAGTAGGCAGACAGGCTTAGGTGTGCGAGGGGATGGGGGAGTGTGAGTTGAGGTGTGTAAGTGTGTGTGTGTGAACGAGACGACCCGCGATGGATAGGGAGATGTGGATGCAAGGAGGACGGGGGTTGCTCGTTGCTTGGCGCCTCTTGACCCCTGGCTGCCCATCGCCGGGGGGGGGGGAGGAAGCGCCCCCCTCTCCTCTCTCCCTCCAGCGCTCCCACCACTCTGCGACCTCAGTATGCACATGCAGTATTGGCGGGACCCTGTATACGTGCGAGACGAGGAGGTACTTTGGTGATACTTGGAGCGATGTGTTTGGCAGCTCTCCAGAACATCTTTCCCGCTGGCGTCTCGATGAGGAAAAGAGCTACCCTGCAGCGCGGTTTGTTCGAATTCGTCGATACCAAGGGACCGCCCAGGCACTCGAGACGCCCGAGACCGCTGGTTGCTTTCGTTTGTCTTCAGATGTTCCCGCAGCGGAATCAAGGCCAGGGATCTCTGGGTGAACTGTGCACAAGCAGGACGTCGTGGACAGGAAATACTTAAAGACGGGCATTAGACCAGATTTGGCTCCTCGCAACTCGAGTTGCTCTGCTGATCACTCGACGGACCGGGTCCGAGGCAAGCCTCTATCTCTCACCACCAAACCCACTTGGAGACAATTAGATGACGGAATGCGAGCCAAGAAGAGTACAACGGCCCCCATTTATGAACCCCTCCTCGGTGCAATACCCTACCGTACACAACTTGTGCAGCGAGCCTCTAGGATCGGTCCTCTTTTCTCTTCCTTTTATTTGCTTTTCTTCTCCTTGCTTTTATTTTCTCTTCTGCTTTCCTCTCTCGCTTTCCCGCAAATTCACATGCGCAATTGTATAGTCGCCCGTGACCAGGACGCGAGCCAAGGGAAGAGGGGGGAGGGGGGGCAGGAAACGGGAGCGTATCTCGAAGGTCGCGTCGGGCCTTTTTCCGTCGGCGGATGCAATTCGGCGCTGAGCAGTTAGCCGATGAATCGTTTAGCCTCTGATCCACAACCCAGACCGCCGAGAAAGTGCGACTACTTGGGTCCTACAGCCTCGACACCTACCGTGATGCCTAAATCTCACGATATCTGATGTTTACCGAGGGGCGACCGGCCACGCCAGATGCACGCGGAAGTAGAGGCGGCTGCGTGGAGGATCAACCCCCCTGCGGTGGCTGGACGAGGGAAATCGTACTCCGGGACGGGTCGATTTCATGTTTGGATAGCAAGTGTCGCGTCCTGCAAAATTGTGAGGAATCCGAGAGGATGTCAGGAAAAGGGGACAGCAGGCTGGGAAGACGAAGAAGTTCTGATTTGCCCGGAGTCGACGGATGGGGCACCCGACCCCGGGCGTGGCGCTCTCGTCTCCCTCTCGTTGCTGTCCATGTTTCTTTTCTATCTTGCATTCGTGAAGTCTGCCGAGTTGATTAAGCGACATGCATCTCGCATTCGGCGCTCGCTGCACTCCTTATTCGGTCTAGGGGACAGAGGACACCGGGGGGGACAAGCATAGTTACACCTGCCTACAGCCTGTCCACGCCGTCCCAGGTGAGGACTCGGCCGGGTCGGCCGTCAATCTCACCTGCTCGGCCTCTGGTCGAGTCTGGGGGTCGCTGTTGTGTCACGACATGCGGCTGGTGGCTGATCTCAGCACCTGTGTGATTCCCAAACGGTGTCTATCTATACATATGCACATATACTACAATGTCCGGCTAGATCGCAAGAGGAATCGGCTCGGCGTGCCACACGCGCAACAAGACCCAAGGGAACGGGGTGAGTTGCAATACCAAGACCGAGGGAGAGGCTGGTCTCACGCCTCTTCGGGCCGCTGCTCGCAAGAGACCGATACAGCAGTGGCCGACGATGGCTTTAATATTGAAGCCGCGACAGATCGTGAAGGAATAGCTGTCCCGATTTCCTCCCCAACCGTTGACAAATTATGGGACTCGCCAAACGCCGTCAATACCGAATGGGAAATGCAGGATCCTGAACTTTCGGTTACTGTGATCTGTTATTTGCACACCTTCCTTCTTCTCCCCGCATATGAGAGCAAGAAGGCTACCCGACGCGGTAACGTAACTAGATCCCCAGCTCCCAGGACCTATCCCTGCGATGTATTATATGTGTGTGCGATAGTGACCTAAGGGGGAGCAGGGTGCCGAACCCAAAACGGGAAGAAGCAGGATCCGAATCGCAGATCTAGGAATCTTATCTCTATTCACCATTCGTTGTGGGATCATAGCCAAAGCCTCGCGAACCGTCGGAGAGTGACATGCAGCGGTTGTCTGCATTGTCTGGTGAAATACTAGTGTTTCTAGGCCCCTCCTTGTTGCAAGTGCCCGTCGCGGTCTGGCTGTTCTTTCGAGGCAACGCACGGCGCTTTTAACCCATCGCCTAATAGCCCAAGAGCCATCACTAAGCGGCCCCCCTCAAGCCCCCGGTGGCCAGAAGCGGTATCCATTGCTTACCTTCTGCACAGTGTGTCTGAGTGTAGATCCTATACCTAACAACCACCCCTGATTCGCCGCCGCACGTATAGCTGATGCTGGGCGGCGGTGGAAGCCAATCACACACTCGAGGTATTCAAGGAAGAGCTAATAGAGGCAGCGTAGAATCGGAAGGTCATCCCATAACGTCGTCATAGGGGAATCGAGGCTGACCCAGCCTCCGGTATACTTCGGCAGCTAGAGTCTGGTGGTGAGACGGGCCTACGTAGTCGTATTATTTCCCGGGATGGGTCCCCCCTTGACAGGGTCTTGTTGTTGTGTATGCACAAAGTCCAGTCGGTCCACATCGCGAGCCGGACTTCATGTAGGGAATACGTCACTGGAGCGAAAAGAGAGCACGGTAGAGTCTCTCCACAGTCACATCGAAGCATGACCCCCCACGACTTCATTTCCAGGTACGTTCGGGCTCAGATTTTTGTTTGGGGGATCGGATCCCCTCCATCCATCCCCTCTACTGCTGCCCTCTCTCTTCCCTCCTCCCTCCCTCTCCCCGCCCAAGATCAACGATCGAGATACAGCAGTCGGTCACTTTTAGGCGTTACCGTCGCGAATCCCGAGAACCCTCGGGTTGCCTCGAGCCGTCCGTCAGTAGCAAATCACCAATGAGATGAGAGCAGTTAATTGACTCGTACCCGAGTCCATTCCCGCTGTCCCATTCCACGGGATGCGATCGACTATGGAGCCAAAGGAGAAAGGGCGGGCATTTCAGACACACCGTAGGCACGACAACGTTATGCGTATACCTTAGAGGCTAGGCGGATGGGCCACGCGCCTTCGTGGGATGCAAAGGATTTGCAATGAGGCAATCGACCATCGTCGCTAATCTCCCCAGCTGCACTGTAGTGCCATTCACGATAGTGCTACTCATGATCTCCCATAAGCTACGACGCCATTATTATCCAATACGATGGCTAGGAGCCCATGCGCACGGCAAATAGAAACCTCTAGGAGGGGAGCGAGCGGGCGGGGGGGACACACCATCGTCACGAACACGGGAGCATAGGCCTTTCCGGCTAGATCAGTGAACACACACCTTGGACGGACGTTGCATCCAGTTGCTAGAAAGCGTGTCTCCGGCCTGCCCCGAAGAGGGATGTCTCGATTCTGGGGTTGGGATCTAGTCATAATTTGATATCCTCTTGGCGATCGTTACACCTGATAGCCGAGCCCTGGTTGAATGTCTTCGGAAAAGGGGGGGGGGGGGGGTGCCTACGAAGCTCACCGGGAAGCGAAGACGAGGATCACGAAGAGAGCGCAAACAGAAACGTTAGTGATTACTCTCCTTCGAAGCAAACCTGGTCCTCACACCCTCTCCCCACTCGCAAGCCCTCGACCTACGGGTAATCCTAGCCATATCCGTCCAAGTGCAGAGGTCTTAGCAAGCAGGGTACAGCTGGAGCCAAGGTAACGTTGGCTGCTAAGTCGGTACAGGATGTGCAGATCGCTACACCTTGTCTGTTGGGTCCAAGGCCTACGCACCGAACGAGGAAGAGACGGTTGCGCGGTACGGCAACGCAGAGATAGGGGTTCGTCGCGGTCGGGGATAGATGGGCCATCGTGGCAGATACGCTTGCTTAGGTGTGTATGTACGCCGCGGTTCCGTCTGTATGGCCCCCTGGCGGTCTTTCGAGGGTCCATGAAGCCGCATTCGCACCTCTTGCTCCAGTCTTCGGCCACAATCAATCATTCGAAATGGATCTTCGTAGGTGTTACCCTGCCAGGGTCAGTCCCGAATCCCTGCCCAAGTGCTCCTTCGAGTCTAACAACACCATGCATCGGCCGTCATCTCTCATCGCTTGCTCCACGAGCTATGAGGCTAACATGCAAAGTGGCTGGGTATGTATGTATCTTAGGTGTATCTTAGAAGCTGCAGCACAGCACTTCCGGAACCATTGGTACTGATCAAGGGCGTGTCGCGAAAAGTCCCACGGCAGTCGCTTATTTTGGAGTGTAGGCATTACCAACATCGTATGTTGCCTACATGTAACAGACCCCGAATTTGCTCTGCGTTGTAGCATCGTGGGCGCCAAGTTCAACCTCGTCACTCGACCAGCTTGGGTTTCTGCTACGGGAATAGCTGACGAGGTGTCCTCTCTGCCGTGAATATACCTACCTACTTACAGGGTCCTCACCACCTGCCGTAGATGAGCGTAGTGAGCTTGGTAAGGACCGAGGAGGACCTCGTGACAGCCTAGTCCGTTGGTTACTATCGAGATCCACAGCACAGTGGGCATTCTGGCGAGAGAGGGTGGGCGACAGCACCGGCTAGACCTCTTGGCATCAAATTTTGTTCTTCCTTGCCCGTAAGTCGCAAGCGCAAACGCCAATATGGAGCCCGAAATCCATGCCATGACCGTTGATCACTTCGCTAGCACGGATCGCCGCCAGCACGTCGCTTGTTAGATCTCCATCTGACACGACGGCTCCTCGACATTGACGTCTTTCCCTGACTGCGGGCCGATCCTCGTTCATCGTCATCGTCATCGCCATCATCGTTTACCATAACCACTACCACGACGTTAATACCGCCCAGCTGCCGGACGTCGTGCTGAACCAACCGAACGAGCCTGCGAAGCGAAGCACGCCTCCCAATCGTCTAGCATAAACCGCCTATTCTACTCGGCAAAAATCTATCTTTAACGGCTTCGGACGAAGTTGAAGCTAGGCTGCCAGCACCAACCAGCCGCAACGGCGGTCAATTCGGCCTCCTACGAGAAACAGCGCGACGCAACCAACAAGCTCTCGTCGTGTCTAGCCCGAGAAGCTTTATTTGGCCGTGGTCATCCCCTACTTCGAGCACCAATGAGCGCTGCTCCAAGCTGTATTCCGGTAAGGGGTCATCCATGCGAGACGGCGAGGAAGTGGTTAGAGGGGCGAAAATCCCTATGTGGAACGACGTCGTCGTTCGGCCCAATTGGTCGGGTGACCGCCATTGTAATAGGACCAGAGACTGGAGACTTCCAAGCCACATCTTCAGCGCTGGCTTCCCGTACGCCCAGATGACCTATCACAAGCACGCCGTCGGCTCGGCCATGGGGGACGACGTCGTCGCGGTCTGGCTGCCTCCATCGCACGGCAGACAAGGAGCGTAAGCTTGCCATTTCCCAGGATCATCCGTGGCTGGAGAGGGCCTCTCCAACGCTATCAACCCGCAGCTAAATCCTCGGGAGGGTCTAACGGAGCTGCATGAGAAAAAAAAAACCAAAGCTCATAAGACAGACATCTACGAGGATATACCCTCGAAGAATCCTTGGCCGGACCCAGTCGCTACACAACGCTACGTGACGCTGCTCCTGCTACTGCTGGCTCCCCTCTGGCATATTCTCCGCCGTGGCCACCCCAGAACTCTCTAGCCCTACAACACGAGACCCCATCCCCCAACGTGAGTATGGCATATGTAGGTAGTCGTAGCTAAGTGCTTGCCGAAAATCAGAGGCTAGCCTGCACCGGCGCGGTGGCTCCCTTGGCAGATATCTCGTGCAGGCCTCTCGATGGCGGACTTGCCTTGACGCTATCATCACGGGACTTGTCGCATTTTGACTCGAACGACTGGAGAGATACTCCCCGATGCTTTACGGCTCCGGATGCCAAGCTGAGTAATGGATAGCCCAAGCCCTCCCCCTTTAGCTTTTTAGAGAGTTAGGCGTTGTTCGGATTCTGCAAGTCCCTTAGGATTCGTACGACTATGACGGCATCCCGCCCCCTCCCTCCCCTCTACTCCCTCTTCCCTGGTGATAGAGGCACAGCGTCTGAGGGGAGGGAGAGGCGGGGGAAAGTGAGTGCCGGTTCGTTTAGTCTCCCATGGTGGGTTAGGTGACGACGAGCACAAGTTACTCCTCGACTACACTACCTACACCGCCTCCTGGCCTTGCAGGCCGATTCTCAACTACTCATGTCGGAACACATCAGGAGCGCCCGAAGCCTGCCCGTCCGATTCTCATCGCTGTTCGATTGATTAACTGAGGCTCATCGGTCCTATCGCCGCCCCGGGGGCTAGAACAGAGGAGACGGCAAGAAGATTTTTTTTTTCAGCCAGACGGAATCGCGGATCTGCAACGTGGTCGAATAGGACTGGGCTTGATCGGATAGGAGTAATATGATTTGGGCATTCCCACTAGCCCCGTGAGATTAAGATCGGGGGCGAATGAAACCGTTTGGCACAGGATAGGTGACCCTGTCCTGTGCTGCGGCCTTCCCGTCGAACCCCCGCCCAGCCGCTCTGAGTATGCCCTGGTTTCCGTCCCTTGACGGGTTTCAGTGTTCGAGCAGTGGCATTTCCTCGATCAGTTGTCATGTTTCCCTGAGGATACGGGGAGAGGTATGTGGCGTCTCATCCGACCCACTCGTTGGGCTACGACGATATGATATATAGCCTTGCTTGCTCGGCCCAGGCCACCCCGGGGCGTGATATCATTTCGGGAACCGTCAAATGAGACTTGCTGGTTGGGAGACATCGCGATTGGGCTCTTATTCGTAGAGATCATGTGAAATGGCGACTCGGGTTGCCATTGCTCCCTGGCGAGGCTGGATCGGTCTGTCCCGGGAGTAACGTTGGGAGGGGGGAAGACACCTGGAAAGGGTCGTAAGCACATCACTCAGACCAATTAGTGCCCCGGGACCGGTATCTATTGTCTCGATGACATCGATCATCGACAGGAGCTGGGCACGACCAGTGGGTGTCAAGATGTAGCTCTCCCCATATGCGGCACTTAAATAGGCCTCGAGGGACATCATATCTACCTCAAATACGATTCCTAAGTTTTTCACAAAAACGAAGCAATATTATTCTCGGCTAATGCCAAAAGCCTTCAATAATTGTCCTCGTCTCCTTCTTTCCTCGTTTCCTTTCCTGGATGATAAGAGGTTTCTGTTCGCAGTTGGCCGTCAGTATTAGTAACTAGACACAGCCAAGGCGCATTAAACGTTATTGCGGCATTATATACATCACGCATCGATTGAGGACAAAAGGGAGGAGAGTAATCACAGGGGAGGAAGACACCGCTTTAACAGAAGTATGCAAAAAGCTGTTGCCGTAACCTGGCGTCAGAAGTATTTGCCAATACGATCGATGTGAGGATCCCCGCGTACGCCCGCGTCTCCGCAGAGCCGTATCCATGGAGCACGCACCTCCCTAGACGGCGATCTACATGCAGCGCGCCAGCAACTCGTCGCCGCACCGAGACGATAGCTGGGGAGGGAGGGAGAAGACGATCGTTTCCGGTTTGCCGCCCCGGATGGCACCCAACGGAAATAGGAGAGGTCTCGCGGCATGCAGCGTCGCATCCCCATCCCGTTCATGCATGTGTCGAGGTCGCACTTGATCGCATCGAAATACGCCAGGCGGGCAGGTCATCGAGGGCCGAAGGGGGGGGGCAACTGTCGCTGTGTAGGACGGCACGCTCGATGTGTCCCCACCGCCGGCGGAATCGCGATCTAGCGAGGCGATCAGGACGGGGACGCGCAGGTGTGCGGACGATGACGCCCGCCACCGGCGGACTGGGTTGCGAAGACTCCCCCTGCCGGTGAGCAACACATCGCGTCCCACTCACGTAAGCTCTTGTATATCCGAGGCTCGTTAGCGAGATTATCTACAAACGGCGCATTCACGTCATATGGCTGGGCGAGCAGAGCTGAACGAGTTCTGCGACGTGCATTTTGTTGTACTCTGTCCAGTTTGATTTCATCCCCCTCTCCTTTCATTTCCTTATCGGCCCCCCTCGACCGATCTGGCGACCGCTTGTCGTGCCGTCGCGGGTCTAGGCCCGGGGACTCTCGAGGGGCCAATGGAGGATATTCTCCCGGCACCGAGTGGGCATCGAGCTTGACGGCCGAAGCCCGTTGGGGCCGGTAGTAGAGGAGGCGAATAGCACCAAGTCCGCTTACGTTAAGCATAAACAAACCTCACGATCTAGATGATGCGGGGAGCCTTCGGGATTCCTCGGCATCTGGCCCATTTACACCGACTCGGGCTCTCTCTCCTCATGCCTGACATGCTTGGGCGCTCTATCACGAGTTGTTCCTCGACTTCTGGAGCGGTGAAGAGCTAACCCTCTTATCACAGATCCAATACGTCGTGTGGTGTCACAGGAGGCACGCTGCAGAGCATCCTTCCATCGGATTCATCTCGAGGGCAGGGATTTCATTGGGAGGTCTGATTCTTGCCCGACTCCTCAGAGAGCCCGAAAGCGCTCTCCTGGCTCAGTCGGGGCAAAAGCCCGCAAGTCTATTCGCTACGTTCCCCTCTGCCTCCTCATTTCTCATTTATCTCACTTAGGAATACTCTGTAGCCGAGCCAATTGGTAAATTCTAGTATTAAATCCCCGTTGAGCTTACCAGTTTTGGCCATAACTACATAGGAGGCTTGCCTTGCTTGCATATTGTCACGTCTTGCCCGAGCCTGTCAGGTTTCCAACTGCAGATAATAAACAATCATTCCACTTTCTGGCGTCCACGAATGGCAATACCGTGACGTAATTAGGCTTTGCAAGTACGTTATCGTGAATCGGATGCGTGTCGAAGGGATTGAGACAATTATTGGCGCAGCTGTTGTTGGCCTTTTGTTGTCTCGGTTCTGGGCGATTCTCAACTTCCCAACCGCTCAACACTCGCGAGATATGATCAAACGTAGTTATGGATTTGGTTCTCGTAAGACATAACTTACGCACTCGTGTTTACGTGGGTAGGTATTAGGTAGTTAGTACGGCAGCGGGACGGCACTGTTTGTATCTTGGCTGTTAATCTTCTGCTTGCTGAGCGTGAGGATTCCTAGTGGCGGCCATGCTATGCCTACGTTTGCAAGTTAGAGACGACGAGATTGCACAGTTATGCACGTACCACTCTAACGTAGTAATAGTGTAGGGGTATTAAGACGAATACTTCATCGAGTGCATCAATATCAGACAACCCTTGCTTCATCCCCCCACCAACTAAATCCGGGGAACAGCAATATCTGCAGCCGCATTGAGATCCGCATTTCCGACCAGAGTCAGCGAATGTATGGTAAGCCGGATTATCCACCAACAGAGGTTTTCAGAATGATTGGCAGCGGCCAAGGGGCTACCGGACCAGACCGGGCTTGACAGGTTGGGATTTGGACGGGAGCAGAACGGCATTGTCGGAAGGCCATCCTCACCATCCCCAACCCACTGAGCCATGGGATCTAACGCTATCATAACGGCGTTTGAATATGAACCCATATATGTTAAGCAAGGAGCGGTTTGAGGATTCATGAATGGAGTAGTTACGAGTGGACGTTAGTGACATCGTAAAGGGGCTTAGGGAGTCTACCACATTTGGCAACGTGACACCAAGGCCTCCTCTCTTCCACCACACGTCGCCTTTCCCGCCTCGAGTGGAGATAGACAAGTGCGCGGCATCAACTCGCCCTCGCCCTAGCCTGGGAGGCTTTGTGAACTGCTCGACGCCCCCTCTCACGGCCTCTCTCCATCAACGCCGCTCTCATCGTCCAGAGGGCCCTTCTCTTCGACCTCAGCCCCCCGCCGCCGTGGCTCACAGCTTGTGTCGGCGAGACCGGGGCGGGCACAACGTGCTCCGGCTATCCGTCTGGGCCTCCCCGCCGCCACGGCTCCGAGCACGGACACCGCAAGCGCGGACACACACACCCCTCCCCCATGCAGGCCGTCCTGGTACACCCCCCCTCCTCCTCCCCAACCCGTCCCTCACTTAAACAACCTGCCCACCCCCGAACAGCACCCCCCTTTCTCCCCATCCACCGCGCCAACGACAACCGGTGAACAACGTCCACGCCACCGAATGCCGGCCCGTCTGTGCGGGGGGCTTGGATGGCACGGAGACTACGCACGCCGGACGTGGCTTCTCGCACCTGTGTCGCACCGAAAAAGGGGAGGGTGCCCATCCCCATGCTCCCGGGACCACTACCACCCCGGGTTAAGGCCCCAGCATCAGCAGTTAGTCGCCTTGAGAGCTCCTTGACACCTTATACCTCAATTTCTCTCGTAGCAGTCTCGAAAAGTAGGGGTCACAGTGCGAGAGCTCACGGGAAGGTTGCGAAGTGCGGCGCAGTTCTCCCCCGCCTCTCGGGCTAGCAGGGCACCTGGTGTGGCGTACTGGTCAATAGCAAATAAGTATACCGACCGTCTCGTTCGACGCCGAGGGGGGCGGACCAGGGTAGATACCCACGTCGTCGGGAAGCAGAGTTGTCGCTAGCTGAGGGAAATTTTCACCCAGAAGAACCACGACTACTGTGTAGGTCACGTATCGATACTCTTGATTACAACACCTGCTGCTGCTGCTGCTGCTACCGCTACCGCTAAGACTAAGACCAATACCGTGATAAAGGTAGGCGGCCCTAGGTGAGGATGATTCACAAGCTATCGTACGGAATATTAATTGAGTCCGAAGCTAGCTCTTCCGAAACTCGGCGCGTACCTCGGCGCGACGTTCGGCGGCGACGGCGCCCTCCTAGCCCTCGCGGCGAGTGTCCCGTTGAAGCCGACATATTCGCCGAGGCTCGGCGGCAGGTCGGCCACGGCTGTGCCCCAGGCGCTCTCGTTACGGCCGAGCGTGAGGACGAGCTCCTGGCCGTCGGTAAAAAAGCTGTGGTCGATCCAGCTACGCGTATAGGGCTCGCCGTCGAGCGTAGCGCTCTGGATGTAGATGGCTTCGTACGCCGGGTCGAAGTTGACGTTGCGGATCGTCGCCGTCTTGCCCGTCAGCGGACTGGTGATGTTCACACTCTCGAAGAACGGCGGCGTGATCAGGTAAACATCTTGTCCCGGGTTCGGGAACAGCCCCATCATCGAGAACGCCACGAAGGAACCCATCGCACCGCTGTCGTCGTTGCCAGGCAAGCCCTCGGGCGTCGTGTCAAAGTACCGAGGGATGTAGAAATGTGCGCGGCGAGCGGACAAGGCAGGCCGGCCGGCATAGTGGTACTGAAAGACGGTAAGGAAAGCAGGCTCATTGCCAATATATGTGATGTTGCTATCATGTAGGAAATCTAGACGGCGAACGAATTCCGCCGGACCACCGTACAAGGTGACCAGGTCCCCTTGATTGTGTGGCACGAAGAAGCCGTACTCCCAGATGCTACTCTCAAAGGTTTCGGAAGCGGTGTTCTGAAGTGAACAAATTGAACCGGCATTGTCGATATTGCTGCAGGCCAGGGGATCTTGAAAGTGCCAAGTGCTATTCAAGTGCTTCGGCTGGAAGAACCCAACAAAACCGGTATCGACGCCTGTAGCGAACTTCGAAGTCTGGTCTGCCTTGAATATATTTTTCCAGTTCTCGCTGGAACGGAGGTATTTCTCTTCGTCGCCGGCGTTTGCCCTCTTCCGGGCCATCTGAGCGATGGTGAAATCGTTGTAGCTGTACTCCAGTGTACGAGAAATACTTCTTGTCATGGTGCCAAACCCTTTATAATCGAAGTCTTGGACAGGGATGTATCCGAGAGCCTTCCAGCTGTCGAGACCACCGCGCCCATTGCTTGACCAGTCAAACGGCTCTACTTCGGCGTCTTTCACAACTGCTTGATAGCCGACATCCCACTATGTACAAGTCAGCCGGGAGGTTGCCAGAATGTGTTCACATTGGGGTTTTCTCACATCAATGCCATCAGTGATGCCTTTCAAAAACGCGTCGGCAAGCACCACATCGGCGTTTGAACCGCCCTGAGAGTTATGCGTCAGTCTAGGACACCCTTACGGACGCCGTTCGGAGACTTCTCACCTGCGTGTAGCCTTTGGAAAACGTCATGCGACAGTCTGGAAGCCAGCCCTCATAATTATATGTGTCGATCAAGGAACGAATCATCTCCGCCACCGGGCCTGGGTCCGTGATTGTCAGGAACGGGATTTGGGACCTGAAACTGTCCCATAGACTGTAGGCTTGTCAGCAAGGGGGCGAATTTCTTCTTGGAGTGACACGTTTCGTACCAATAAAAGGAGTCAAAGTATGGCTCGCCATTATCCCAGAGAGGGTTCTCTCCGGTGTAGTTTTGAGGGTTGACCATCGTCCTATATATACCACTGTAGAAGTTCGTGAGGTACTTCTCGTCTACTCCGACCGTAGAAACCGTAATGGGACTGAGCTTCTGCCTCCAGGCATCTGTGGCGGCCTTCTCAACGCCGTCAAAGTTGAAATCAGGGATTTCAGATTCGGCGTTGGAACAGGCTTGTTCGGAGCTCAGGAAGCTCAGGCCGACTCGCGCCAGCACCGGCGTATCCTCAGACTCAAACCGGACGAAGGCGCCGCCAGGGAGAGGGTACCCGTTGATTGATCGAGAGATGGTAAGATCCTTGACGTCCGCACTGGCTCTACTATTCGCGAAGATACCGTTATCAAGTATTTTACGACCAGAAAAGTCTGTGCAAAAATAGGCGACATATCTTCCCTGGCTGAAACTGGATTGGAAGCGAGCGTTCCCCGTGATCCGCCCGGTTTCCGAATCAACGGAAACGGTGCCGTTGTCTTGGCGCGAGTCAGACAAATCTGTCAAGTCCTGAAGAATGAGCGGATGTGAAGCATTTCCACCAGGGGCTGACGCTGGGAACGTAAACCGAAAGAGGGCGGTGTGTTGAGCCGTTGTCATCTCGGCGCGGACTCCAGTATCGAGCGTGATCGAAAAGTATCCGGGGCGCGCCGCAACATTACTCTCATCAAAACGCCCTTGTCGGGAACGGGTCCGTTTAGGGAAATCGCATCGATTGATATCATCATCGGGGCAGCTCGCGTAAGGGAATAGCGGAAAGTTCCCCAGAGACGGGGAGCCCCCGGTGCCCGAGTCGTGCAGTGCCGAGAACCCGGAGACAGGAGCGCCGTCGAGCGTGAAACCGCCCTGGTTACTCCCGCTCGTCGTATCGGCAACAGCTTTCGCCATTCCATAGGGAAGCGTGGCGCCTGGGAAAATATTCCCTCCATTCCGGCTCCCAATCAGTTGGTCGATATAAGGGAGGGGGTCGAAGTCGGCAGCGTTGCTCCCCAGGACGACCGACGCGACAACCAGGGCAATGGAACCGAAGCGGATGCCGTACCGATGCATTGTAGCGAATGTAAAACGCCCTACAACAATGAGGCAGAGAGTCGCAGGGCAAGGGAGGGTAATATATATATCATGTGCCTTGTTATCACCGAGTCCCTGGTTAAGCGATAGCACCTAATTAATCAAGACATTCCTGAGCGAGATAATAACGGGGAGAAACATGTCTTGGGATTTGCCGGGCCGCCAACGAGCTCGCACGGTCGTCGCCATGGGATAGCGATCAGTTAACCTTCCCTTCCTGGCAGCCGGGTGCATCCAATTCCTATCCCACCGCATCATGCAAGCTGCAGCCAGGCCGCAAGCAGGGCTTCACCTCGCGCCCAGTGACCTTCCCCGCCGTTACATCTGGTAATCTTTCCCCGAATCGAGGGAGCGTCCTGGTTCCACCTCGTCACCGGGGGGCGCGAGGTAAGGAAATACGGTAGCCCGGAGACGGCGGGTCGCGAAAGAAGATAAATATATGCCTATAGCTATACGCTAGGCAGGCAACTTTCCTCGGAATGTGTCCGTCTGTGCTACCTCTGCGCCATGGTAGACATCGGCGCAGATACGAGCCGGTGGAGTGACACGAAGTAGGGGGGATGTGGGATCAGCAGGTCGGAGAAAAAGGCCGGGGCCAGGATCCGATACGACGAGCAGGAAGACAGAACAGAGGCGATAAGCACGAGGTGATTCTGGACCGATCTCAAGCATGGAAGATACATATCTCAGGGGCCATCAGGGGTGCTTTCAGGATAGTTTGCGGTCTACCCACCGGCTGGCTCCTGCGGACCGGCCGGCAGAGTCAGGCAGGATGAGGAAGGTTGCCAGCGGCGCTGGGGGCAGACGACGGTGTGAAATCGAAACGGAATCGGTTCCCATCTGGGATGGTTACGCATGCGGCTCCCCCTTGCTGTGCTTCGTTGCGTACAGGTGCGCGCGCGTGTGTGCCCGGCCCCCGATTCTATAGAACGAGAAAGGATGGATGGTGAACGGACGATGGAGAGAGAGAAATCAGGTAGGTGTCTAAAATCCCACCCACGGAAAATTCCACAACAGTCCATGCTTGCCAGCTGAAATCGGTTTCCGCAGCACCCGTCCAACAGGTGTCCGGCTTCCCATGTGTAGGACTCACGCAGAACCTACAGGTAGGTACCTCCGTAGGTGGGAGTTTTATGCCATTTCTATTCATCTCGGAATGATCGTAGAAATGGGGGAAACATGCACATAGTAAAAGAGGAACGCTAGTTCTCACCGCCAGCGGATGCCCAAGAACCGCTTCAGCGTTACGAAGGTACCTCTTATATGCCGTCTTGGCCCCTATCCTAGCGCCCGTGAAGTCGGCACTTGTGATGTAGCCAAGAAGTCCTCCCACCCTGGCTCATCGTCGACCCCGCCAAAGCGAGATTATCGTCAACAGAAACGAGGATTAGCGATACGAGCGCTTCTCTATGTTCACTCTAGATTTCTAAAATTCCGGGCAGAGATCGCATGCCTGAGGGAGGTCTTGCCGGCTGCCCTGGAAGATTGCGATACGATGCATTTCATCAAGGGATCGCCACGTGTGTGGGACCAGCACAACCACTGACGGCTTCTTCCACGAAGGAAATGTCCTCGACGTTAGTAGCCGTGTCGTGGTGTCTAGCCGGTATCACCGCGCAGAATACGCCGGCGTACTGACAGTCATTGGTGATAGGAGAAGACAGTCCACCCGAAAAATACCCGAGTAGAGTATACCTAGGCATGTTGAAGACGTTAATAGAAATCCACAAGGTGGAATTCCTTGCCTGCAACAGAACACTATGTTCTCCCCCGGGTTCACTGAGTCGAAGAGTGGAAAGATTGAATAGCATGGAGAGTTGCCGTAAGCGCAGATAAGGGAATGAGTGCCCTGCATGTAGCCATAGGCAGAGATGGGTGAGGTAGGCATCGTGTGGAGGACTCGGGCAGAGATAACAATCTCCTTGTTTCGAGTAGTGTCAGTGCCTGGTCCTTTGTGGCCTCTGGAGCGAGAGTGGTTAAATGGTTTCAGATATATATTGTCTGCGAGTAACCGACCTCAACATGCCTCAATACACTGCCTATGTCCTCACCGGCACACTCAGCAGCGTATAGGCCGTCCGACATAAAGGAGTATTTATCCTGTCACCCCGTACGGTAAAGCCCCCTTCCTTGGGGGCCTTGCGATACCACGTTGTCTCGGAATCGGTGACCGACGAGTGTCAGCCGTCTCGAGCTTCGTCGCTGGCCAAAATGCCAACTTTGCGTCAGTGCTTACGCATACCGTCATTTTCCTTGCGGCAGTATTTCAGAGATGCCCCCGACAGGAAGGCGAGAAGGTGCTTCTTCGCAGACCTAGCCGACTCAATAGAGTCGATCAGGGCGAGGCACCGTTCGCCGACTCTGCCAGCCGAATCCCTGCCGGATCTGAGGCAGATGGGAGAAGAAGACCTCATCGTCGGCGGCTTCTGCATCCTCGTCACGGTCCTTGACCCGCCGTCTAGTCCCCCGCTCACTCCTGAGCAATGCGCTGCGGTTCTACGATCGAAAGCGACCATAGAGCATGAGCCGCAATCGGGCTGGGACCTGTACCTCCACCTGGGAAGCGAGTACGGCGTTCGATATCGGATGCGCGCCGATGGCCAAGGCGCTTACGTCACGTCCCAGCACAAGGTCTTCCGGATACGTGGTGACCCGTCTGTCATCTGCATAGTGCAGATCCGCCAGTTTCCATGGCAGTATGTGAAAAGGCTAGAAGATGCTCGGGAACTCATCTCTATCGTCATGGGCTTGTGTCACAAGTCCACCATCATACTCGCAGAGGAACGCCGCCTCAATTCTCGCACTTGGTGTTTTCTAGTGCTGATGAAGCTTTGGGAATGCGACCAACCCGCCGATAAGCATATACCACCCGACGAGGTAGCGCGTGTTCAAGCCTTGCTTCAACGCATCCTGCAGGATGTCGTTAGTAGCTGGGTAAGGCGAGTTGCCGGTAGGATGGGGCCCGGGCCCGCCATGTGTCCCGTCGCTTTCTGGAGGCTGGACAGCTGGCCGTGGACTGCGTATTACGGCGTACCCAGTGGGTGGACGGATCTGCACCAACGCTCTCACCATTAAGTGGACGTCGCGACCATCTGCCGATGCCAGGGGACTCCTTGGTTATTGTCCAGGGCTGCATCGTCGCGTAATAGAAAACGTTGCAACAACTCAAGCAGATTTGCTAAAGAAAGACTTCGCGTATGCCATCGTTAGCGTGAACACCATGATTTGTGTGTCCCTTAATTCGATTGCTGACTTGACAGGACGTCTGGCCTGTTCCAGTCAAAAGTATCGAGAAGGTCAAAATTGAAATCAAGCTGTGTCGAGGAGTCCCACTCGAACGCTGCTGACGTGTCGTAGATACTCGACGTTGCATTTAACGTGTGGTTAAGAACACGTTCAATGACCGACTTCGCATCGCTGCAGGGATTCCCGTTCGGACCTGACGGGCCAAGCCAGTCGAGGTACCCGATCAGGAGGCTGAGCTTCTGGATGATGGCCGATCGAGTGATTATAGGGTCAATGTGGGTTCTGACGTGAAGAGTGGGCTTCAGCAACTCCAGACACAGAATCCCGCCAGCGGGAACAGCGTAGGCCATGACCTTACGGGATTTATCGTTAGAAAATGGATATCAAGATGCGAATGGCGCTTGGGAACGTACGAGCCACTCGCAATCGATGCGGTATGGGGCAAGCCGGTCTAAGTGAGTCCAGTAACTCAATGCCAGGGAAACCATATCGAAGCTGACTGAGAGCAAATCCCCGTTGTCTTCGTGACCGTACCGAAGCAGAAGTCTCTCGATAAAGAATAAGTTTTGTAGATGTTCAAGCTGAATGAAAATTCTCGGCCCGAGCGTCTCGACAGGGACTTTGGGGTTCTCGAGGTCCTTGGGGTTATAGTGTAAACAGTGAGGAAACTCGGATTTCATTCGCAATTGCCGGGCTCTCAAGTCCCTACACCACCATGTTAGATATATAGCCACGCTACCGAAACGAAAGGCTTGTAACGGCAGATTTTCCTACAAGAGCGTTTGGATCGATGCGGTCGATTTGTGGCTCAGAGCGATCTCCAACACCTCCTCAGAAATCGCCGCAATTAACCCACGAGCGCGAATTTGCGTAGCTTTGTGCATCCTCCCATCGGTATTCCAACCCCGATCATCGAGCTGTTTGACAGCTTTGGCGAAGTTGTCTTTGGAGAATAAATCGTCATCGCTTATGTCGAGGGGGAGCGGCGTGGAAGTAAAGCGGCCGCTGAGGAGTGGCGGCCGACCAGTAAACGCTACGACGACCATGGCTACGGCATATATACTATAAAACAGCCGTTTTTTGATCTCGGACGACATACACGCCTGGTTTCGGTCCGTTTCGGCGACGGCGTGGAATCCGAGGAAAGTCAAGAGAGAAATTCTCTCTGCGCTCCCCCTCCATACGGATATATCTACCAAGGTTGCGTTCTTAGTTATGACGCGCCGAGCCGCGCCGCGAGGGGGGTGGGCGTGAGGCTTTGACCGGAATGAACGTACCAGCATCGCCAAAAATCCTCGAATCCACGACAGTACATCTTAGGCTCAAACAGAGCACGAGAGAATTAGCAGCAGAGAATTCCTTGCATAACTCATGGCATAGATGCAAGCTCCCACTCGTCGTACGAGAGGCCCGATCGAATCCGGCAGAACCACTGCCCTTCCACACGCTCCCGGGGTCTGGCGTGGGAGCGAAATCCATAAATATCGACAGGATTCCCAAGGCCTCCCACCGCATATTTCTTCCCGAGAACTGGGAAACCCATCGCTCAGGGTCGGACTCGTCGTCGGAGAAGGGACGAGTAGTATTAACGCACAGCAGCCGGGCCAGTTCTTCCAATTTCGACACCGAGCGGTCCGGGACGAAATAGTGCCCAAAGGTGTCGTAAAGAGAATGATAGAGCCGTTGGGCAACTGGAAGAAACCAGGAGTCGGAACCATTGTAAAGTGATAAGGTGCACTCCCTGCCTGCGTCGGGCACGTTGTGCAGTACGATGAGACACATATCGCGTATCCTAGGCGACATGATCTCCACCGGCTCATCAGGCGGTGATTGAGCAGCGCTCCCGCAATGCAGGGTGACGCTTCCCGGCCCTTGGACGCGCGAGAGACTGTTCTCGGTCTCTTCGATAACAGTGCAGTAGCTAGTGAAGCCCAGATAACCAGGGCGGCCGGTCGGAACCTGCACCTCGGGTCCTATCGTGGGGCCGACCTGAAGTGGCCGTATCGTTCCATTCCGAGGAGGCGAATGCTGGCCAGGGGACGCTGGGGACGGCAGTGAACGTCTAGGTCCTGACGGCTTGGAACTACTCGGAAGGACGACGTACACGCATGATTCGCCTTGCTTCCTCTTCCGACACCGGCTGCAAACGGGACGCGTATGATCGCAGGCTAGTTTGCGTTTGCGACAAGGCTTACAGAGGCTTGTTAGTAGGCGGTCGTTGAGTGAAGCTGCCAAGAGCGCTCACCTCACAGGCTTGAAGCCGGCCGTTAGGTCGGCGGAGAATGAGGGCGTTGCTAGCATTCTCCATCGGAGTCCATAGGAGTCCTACGACAAAGCGACACGGCTTCCGCTGTCTTGCCCGACAGAGACACCAAACCGGGACTCCTGATCCCGTCTTCAAGAGGATCCGAGGCCACTATCGGGAGTCAAACAATCTTATCCCTCGGCGAATGAGCTTTGTAGATATGTCGAGCCGGTAACGAGCTGTGAGCAACGGACTATTTCCACAATTGTGACCGCCGCCAACAAGCCGACCGAAACAAGGCGTCTGTGCTAGCGCAATTTCGAGCCGAAGCCGAGGGGCCTTGTGGGGTAACCCCGATATGGCCATAATATCCTCCCTTTTATGCCATACTACCATTTTGTACATAACAAAGAAATATTTACTTATGGGGAGTATTATCCTGGATAGCAGAGACGAGACTCTCGACACCAAACGTTGAGTAACCAACATTCTTACTCGGTAAGTCTACAGGTAAGAGCCATATGGCCAAATCTAGATATTAGCGCTAGCAGCCAGTTGACGAAGAGCTATCGCGTCAAAAGAAAACTCGTAAGATAATCTCACGACAGCCTAAGTCAGCTTAGGTGTCTCCGAGCTTCCTCCCGTCCTAGGATTACCCGCCGCGCCTGGTTCTTAGGACCCGAGCTGGCGTGGATAGGACATTCAATGCGTAATAGGTGCGGGGGATTATCTCATCAACTAATCACACGGACCTGTTGCCCGCGTCGAGATCCATTATGCCACAACGTGTCGTCACGAAGACTAGGTGTCGAGCAAGGCGGGCAGTTTACGGTTAGTGAGAACTCGGCTAGGTGAGTCACCGCCGACCCAACTTGGATTAGGTTAATCTCGGCTCAGATTGATGTCGGCTTCAGATTCGAATTAGTAATCGGGCAGGGGTCACCGATTCCTACCGTTTAATCACCTTAATATTCCTATTGGCTCTTTGTACAATGTGCACATCGTCCAAGTCCCCCTTCGGCTTGCCGTTAGCTATCTAAGCCGAAGCCGAATTGCGGCCGCCATCAGCGACGACAGACTCAACAAGGCCGACATAGGTTGAGAACTATTAAATCCCAATATTGTAATGAGTGGGCTATATTATGGCCACCTACAAAAACCAAGCCGTCTCTCCTCCCCAAAGAATGTGTATAGCTCAACTGCGACCAAATTGCCGAACTGACGACCTCGAACCTGCCCATACGGTGCTTTTGCCTAAAATTTACCATCCTCAGCTCCATATAAGTCCTCTGGGTGACTTTACCACTGGGCCATTTTCTGATACCTTCTCATAACTCTGTTACTCCGATCACGGCATCATGGAAGTTTCTTCGGCGTCGAATCCTACTGAACGACCAGGCCGGTCTTCCACTACTTCCGACAAGACACTGGTTGGCGCCGCAAACCCAAATACAGATAGTTTGGCCAAAGACTATACTTGTTAGTAGTCCCAAATTAATTTCTAAGCGCCCCCAATACTTAGCCAATACTTACTCGCCCTCTCGCAGTCCGCAAACCACCTTCCGATGCCAGTTCTTCAAGTCAAAATCGAGGTAGCTCACTTCCCGGTCTGGTGGACAAGGTGAAGAGCAAGATCAAGGCAAAGCTCAAGGACAAAGAAACAGACTCGAAACCGAGCTCAAAACCGAGCCCACTGGCAAACGATTTCTATCCTGATTCAAGGTTTATGTGGCAGGCATTGGCGGGTAGGTGTCTCAAGACTTTATCTCCCACCAACAGCCGTATCACTAACATAATACCAGAGACAAGAATGTGAACTATGAAGAGACGAGGCTGGTTTGTGGATAGTTGTTTGGGTATACAAAAGTCTGAAGCAGCTCGCTAAGCCGCGGGCCGTGATGTCGGGGACAAGGTAGTCTATTCCCGCGTTGTCGTGGAACACTCTAATACCCGCTCTGTGCAACTCAGTTACGCGTGCACGGGCTATTCGAAGAGAGAGAATGCAAATCAAAGATTGATAAATGAGCTGGACATCTGTCTTTAGCTATCCTTACATTTTCAAGCCTACATTTCGACGTAAAGATAATTGACGAAATTAATGCATTGAAATTCTCAATTGGTCATGTCACCTGGGGATCTAGACGTTTCACCGTCTAAGAGACCCCTGTCCATGCATAAGATAAGATCCTCCAGCCGTACGCACCATCATCCCAACAACTTAATGTCAGCTACAAACCTGAATATAGAATTTAACACTTTACCTACTATATCTGCCATCTTCCGTTGGTCTAAAGCGCATAGAGGCTATATTGAATCAATTACTGTCAGCTCGGAATCTCCGATTTCGCATCTCTATTTCACGCGAAGGCCGTCCCGGCGGGCGAGCAATTTCCCAGCTTACGGCGCGTGGCCGTCTCAACCCTGCACGGTAGGGCTGGGTGTCTGGTATGTGGTCGACCAATGAGCCTGGTAGGTTGACGTGGCCAGGACGCCCGCCGAGTTCGACGACGTCACCACCGACTTCACGATCCACGTGTTCCAGCTCGTGGCCTTTGTGACCCCCGTCATCGCGCCGAGCTCAACAGACGGCGTCTCCGGCCAGGCCCCCGACCACACCGTCGGGCCCGGGATCTGGTAAGTAGTCGTGCACGGCGCTGTCGTGGTGGCTTTTGTGGAGCAGTATAGCTAGGACATATACGATTAGCTGGTGACCTACATAGAGGGAAAAGGGGGGTGGGGGTGGTGAATACATACATCGTACAGAATACCTGGGTCGTCCCATTTGTAGGCCCCTGGGAAGCTAACACCCGCGGGCAGCTCGATGTCGCCATCACCCTTGACCTCGATCTGGACGCAGTTGGGGTAGAACTGGGCCCCGCGGATGGGATTCTTCTGGTAGCTAACTTCCGCCTCGTGAAGGCCGATCATCTCGGCCCGGATAAGATAGCTGCGGCGCGTTAGAATGACGAGACTACGAGGCTGGGAGTGAAAAGGGAGTCAGGCAGAATACAAGAAAGAAGAAGAGCTCACAAGCCGGCCTTAAGCCCTTTCGGGATCCTCACGTTCATCCTGCCTCCGTTGGCGGCAATATCGGCCGTCGTGGCCCACTTGCCGGGCGCGCGGGGGCCCTCACCTTGCGCGAATTTGCCCTCTTCCCAGATCTTGACGAAGGTATTCTCGCCCGGCGGGTCCGGGCTCAGGTACACGATCGCGGGGCCGTGGTGGCTCGACGCGATAATATCGTCCTTAGCCGTACGCTCGTCGTGGTGCCATTCCACTACACCGATGTGTCCAAGTTTAGCCTCCATACGAGCTGTGAAGTGGACGAGGCGACAGGAAAGGGGAAACGGAGGACTGTAATGTGTGGCGAGGGTGAAAAGGGGGTTGCCACGTGGGGGAGACAGGTTCAATTCAGGGATTCGGACTCACTCGTTACATTATCGCCGGGTCTCACCTGGATCGTGTGTGGCACTTGGTGGTCCCCTAGGACATTGCATCGCATATCGATGCTCTCGAGATCCTTGACGGGACTATTGGCGTAACCGCGTGGGGGCGGCCCGTTATACGCGGGCGTGCGAATCCCGGAAAACGTGCCCGAGTCAACGCCATTAACGTAAACAGACTGTGTTGCGACACGGTTAGAATGTTACTGTCTACCCCTTTCTCGCTTTTGCCTACAGAGAGGAGGGGTGGCGTGAGTCTACGACTATCACACGGGGATGGAACCCTACGCTAATAAATCAGGCCATAAAGGTTAGGAGGATAATATCGGGCATTAAGGCCGTTACCTCGGCGACCTATTAAGGTAAGTCCTAGATAAGCTTCGGATAGCTACGGTATTTAGGTATAAAGGTATATAAGTATAAAGGTACTTCCGGGTTATATTAGAACGAAAAAGAAACGTAAAACTTAAAAGAAGATAAGAACCTAAAAGACCCCCTATAGAATTATTAATTAAATTAAACCTATTCTAAGTATATCTCCTTATTATAAATAATTTTATATTACTCTTACCTTTATAACTTTATTATAAGTTAATAATAAGAAAAGCTTACGCTTAAGCCGGCGTTATACGCTAAAGCCGCTACCCCGGTATTATTACTACCGGATTAACCTCGATCCTTTACTAAAGAATTAAAACCGTAAGCTTTCCTATTCCCGCGATTAGTTACTTCGGGAGCGGCGCCGATCTTTATAGCGGAGGTAACTTAGATAGTAGCTACGATTAATAAATTAAAGGCCGCTATAGCGGAATTAAAAGTAAAGGACGCCGAACGAATTACTTTAACGCCTTAGCCGGAGTTAACCCCCGAACTAATTAATAAATCCCTCGTCGTATATTAACCCTAAGAATATAAGGTAATTATAACGAATACTCCGGAAATCGTAAACTTAGGAGTAGTTATACGTAATCCTTCGTAATAAATCGTAAATTTATATAAGTAAATAAGGTAGGTATATTAAAGCCTAGTAATATTAACTAACTAAGTCGACGTAAAATACCGATAAAATACGATCCTAAAGAAATAATACGAATAATTACGATAGTTTTATTAAACCGCTACGGTAATATAAGCTATAGGCATCCGAATTACGAAGATATAGATCTACGAATTCTAGAAATAAGTCGTAAAGTAAAGTACTTACTTCGCTTAGAACGTATAGGAAACCGTAACTAAGTTTACCCGGTAGGATAAGATACGAACGGCCGTAATAAATTAACTTCGAAACGCCGCGCTATAAAACTAACGAGCCTTAACCTAGCTACGCGAGGAATATAATAAGTTAGTAACGGACGTTAGCTTTTAAGCTACGTAAAAGGATAAATAAATTAATAAAATCCTTAGTAAAGAATACCTTATTCCCGGGGCTATAAAAGAAAAAACCTAGCTAATTAAAAACGACCTTAAGGCTTACGCGGTTAATTTAATTAAGGAATATTAATAACGACGATTAAGTAATAAGCTAACGAATATTAAGTCTATTATCGTAAGAGTTAGTTAGAGAATAAGAATACCTATTCCCGCGCCGGGCGTCCGTATTACGATAGCGTTTACCGGAAGATATATTAATAGCGAGGTTAAAATAAGGGAGATTATTTCCGACGGCGTATTTTAAGACGCCGCGGTTAAACGTATCGCCGCGCGCGTAAGAATCCGTTTTTAAAACGCCGCGGTAGGCGCCTTTATATTAAGGAGAGCCGGGTAAGAATTACCGTAACCGCTACGGACCCCGCGGAATACCTTAGGAGACCCCGGGAATTCCGACGGCTCGGATAACTTAAAATCCGGGGACCCGTAGAAACCGCGGCGCCCGTCCGGCGCCCCTAAAGAACCGTAAAAGCCTTTCGATCCGGCCGAGGAACGTATAATTAAGGCTTAAATTAAAGCTATGAATAATCGACGAAGTATTACGATAACGATTAATTTAATATACCTTATTAAGCCTACGGTTTATAACGGTAAGGACTTAGTTAAATTCCGACTATAATAAATTAAGGTTAAATCCTACCTCGAAACTTATAAAAAAAGCTTTACCCGGAACGTTTAAAGAATTAACTAAGTAGGATCGATACTTACCGAAAAGGCTTAGCTCTAATATTAATAACGGCTAACTTAAGTAAAAAGGTTAATAATCGTCGATACTTAGGCGGGATATTCCTAAGTATTTTAAGAACGGTTTAAAAACCCCGCCGAACGATATCGTAACTTTAAAAAGATATAAGAATTAAAGTATTAAGGAGATATCTCTTAATACCTTACCGAGCTTATAAACCTTAACGATATCGTCTAATAATCCGGAACTACCTTTTAGAATTATATCGTCCGTATCTTATCCGATAAAATAATTAAGCTAGTTTATTTACGATTAGGTAGTATCCCCGAAAGCGATAAAGCCTTCTTTAGAGTAATTAAAAAAGCCGGTTAAATTTACGAAAACATAATAACTAACCTAAGGATTTCGGGAAAAGGAGGGTCCGCTTCGTAAAAAAAGCATACGAAAGCGGATTAATAATAGCGGTAACCCGTAAAAGAAACTCGCTTCCGCTTAAGCTAACCGGTAAACGAACGTAAAGGAAAGGATAATAAGAAACCCGTACCGATTAAGAACTTACGATAAGTAGGTAATAAGGAAGCTTTAATTAGGATTAACTAAGCCGCTATCGACTAGCGAAAAAAGGATAAAAAGGCTTATTAAAGATACGGAAGAAATAATTATTAAACTCTAGCTTACTTTATAAAAAAGGATTTAAAAGGACGGGATTTACCGGCGCTACCTAAGAAAGTCTTATCGGAAAAAAGAGGAAAGGAAGAACCCGAGCTATTACCTAATAAAAGGACTAGGATCGATATTATTATACGTTAAGAGGAAATTCTTCCCCGTATTATAAAGCTATCCGATTCCGATAAAGAACGGGATTTTTAAATGCCCCCCCGTAAACGTTAACGGGAGAAAGAGGCGATAAAAATAACGTAAAGATTACGGCTATTAAACGGCCCGGAACGCTAGAAGTAACGGAAGCGGTACTAATAGCGAAGAAATTACGAGTCCTTTAGCGTAACCTAAACGAATTAAGGTTAAGTAAACGGCTTATTTATACGATATAAATAAAATATTAGGAAAAAGAATACCTCTTACGAGTCTTCTTAAATACTAGTAATAAGGTACCCTTAATTAACGCCGTTAAAGTCGAATAATTACGCCTTTTTATTAACTAACGCTTTAAAGCTAAAACCTTAATAAGATTCGACGGCTCGGAAATCTCGTTAGGAGGACTCTAATATATAAATAAAATAAAGCTCCGTAATTACGAATATATCTACCGTATCGCTTAAGAAGTTAGTAAATTAAATAAAGAGGTCGATATTATCTTACCTTAGTAATAAATAAAGGAATACCTCCCTTAAGGATTATTTATAAACGAACGGCTATACTTTAACTCGCTACGGTACTAGAGTTATCGCTTACGGCTAGCTCGCGTAGGAACGGTACGAGAAGTAAAGGCTCTAGCTTAAGTACCGGAATAATTTCGCGACTTCGTTCCTATTATAACCAAAGAAGCCGGATAACGGTTCCCTAATTAGTAATTATAGGACCACGCTATTAAACTCCGACTAGGAATTACTCCCCCGTAAGAACCCTTATATATTATAAGCGAACGATAATTAAACGCCTTAAAACCCTAACTCGACGAAATAATAACTATAGGAAGAATCCGAAAATCTAAGGCCCCTTACGGCGTATCCATAATATTTATAGAAAAAAAGGACCCGGGCGCCTTAAGACCGGTAGCGGACTACCGGGGGCTAAATAAAATTATAATACCCGTCCGATATCCGATTCCGTTAATTAACGAATTATAAAACCTATTTTAAACGGCGCGGTAGTTTATTAAGATTAATTTAAAATCGGGGTTCTATATAGTACGGATTAAGGAAGGCGATAAATAAAAAACCGCCTTTAAAACGCGCTACGGGCTATACGAATATATAATTATACCTATGGAATTAATTAACGCCCCCGCTACTTTCTAAGCCATAATAAACTATATCTTCCGCGACCTCCTAGACGCCGGGGTTATCGCCTACTTAGATAATATCTTAATTTATATTAATACGTTATAGGAATATAATGAATTAATTAAAGAAGTCTTAAAACGGCTTATAAAAAACCATTTAACGATAGCCCTAAAGAAATATACCTAGCGAATATAAGAAGTTAAATTCTTAGGATATAATATAAGCCCTAGGGGTATTACTATATCTAAAGATAAAGTAAAAGCCATCCTTAACTAACGTATCCTAGCTATACTTAAAGACTTATAAAGCTTTATTAGGTTCGCTAACTTTTACCGTAAATTTATACGTAATTTCTCGGGTATAGCTAGACTAATTACTAGCGCTAATAAGGGAAACCGTAAGCTATAGAAATAGGAAATCGAAATAAAGAAGGCCTTTTAGGAATTAAAAGAAACCTTTATAAAGGCCTCGGTATTTATATATTTCGATCCTAACTAAGTTTTAATTATCGAAGCCGACGCCTTAGATTTCGTTATTTCCGCGGTCTTCTTATAAAAGGATAATAAAAGGAGACTAAAACTAATAGCCTTTTTCTTACGACGACTTATCCTAGCGGAAATAAATTATAAGATATATAATAAGGAACTATTAATAATCGTCGACGCATTCGAGAAATAGCGATATTATTTCGAAGGTACTTAGTATTAAATAGAAGTATATTCCGATTATTAGAACCTAACGTACTTTATTACGGCAAAAGTACTAAATCGACGCTAAACCCGCTAGGCCTAATAATTCTCCTCGTATTACTTTATAATATATTATCGCTTAAGGAAGTAAAATAAAAAGGCCGATATTTTATTTAAACTACTATAATATCGCCTTAAAAAAGGAAGAGCTAAGGACTAGCCGATAGCGACGGTTCTATAGGAAAAGCATTTTTTAAAAAATTTAGGCTTACCTACGGTAATACTTTCTAACGTACGACTAAATAGTATCCTAATACCCGCTTAAACCCTAAAGTTCGTTAAATAAGTTAAAACGGTAGCTATATAAGACCCGGAATACTAAGCCTAGCTAGTTAAATTACTCGGTAAGGAAATAAAGCTCTAAGAAGGCCTTCTTTATCGGCGAAACCGTTTCTAGATACCTAAGGACTTATAATAGGAAGTAGTTAAATCGGAATACGATATTAAAGTAGCGGAATATATAGGCATAAATAAAACCATAGAACTTATCGCTCGTAACTTTTAATAACCTAACCTAGAAGTAATAGTTAGGGAATTCGTTAAAAGGTATTACGAGTACTAATAAAATAAGGTATCCCGATATATCCCGTTCGGATTATTATAGCTTATAGAATTATATTATCGATTATAATAAACGATCGCGATAGATTTCATTACGGACTTATTAATATTTAACGGTTACGATTCTATCTAGGTTATTATAAATCCCTTTACTAAGATAGCGTACTTTATCCCGCTAAAAAAAGACGGTAAAAAAGCCGAAGACTTAATACCTATCTTTATACGTAATTATTAGCGGCTATATAAGATCCCCTTAAATATTATTTCCGACCGAGACTCGCGATTTACCTCCTATATATAAAAGGGCGTCTTAAAGCTCCTCGGCGTTAAGCCTAGAATAAGTACCGCCTTTTACCTTTAAACGGATAAATAAACGAAAAAACTTAACCAAATCTTAAAAGTATACTTACGCGCTTTCGTAAATTACGAAATAAGCGACTAGGAAAGCTTATTACTTATTACTAAATTTACTTATAATAATACCGCTTTAATAGCTACGGATATATTACTTTTTTACGCTAACTATAAGTAATACTTAATAATATATAATCCTCCTTTAGGTACCCCTAAGAATCTAAGAAGTAACCTCTATACTTATTAAATAATTCGGATATATAACGAAGCTAAGTAGTATTTAGAAAAAGTACGGTAGCGGATAAAAAAATAAGTAAATAAATACCGAAAAAAAGAATTCCCTCTAAAAATCGGATAGCTTATTATATTAAATACCCGTAACATTAAAACCAAACGCCTTATAAAAAAAATAAATAAGAAAATGCTCGGTTTCTTTAAGATTTAAAAGGTCGTTTCCCCTACCGCCGTAACTCTAATACTTCCGAAAGGCTAGCGTATTTATAATACCTTCTACGTATTCCTTATTAAACCTTACCGCGCTAGTAATTAGGAATTACTTAACCTTAACTAGGTCCTACGGAAAGTAATTCCGATCGAGGCAGAAGACTACGAGGTAAATAAGGTATTAGATTCCGTAAGAACCGGAGAAGTTATTAGGTACCTAATAAAGTAATAAAACTAACTAACTAAGCGCTATTAAACGTAAGAACCGTAGAAGTACTTTACTACCGAAGGAACGAAAGAAGCCGTTAAGTTATTCTATCTATAAAACCCTAATAAACCTATTAACTATCGGGCCTAGGTACTACGCTTAGGAACGAACTCCTCCGAAAAAAGGAAATAATATTATACGGGAATGGAACCCTACGTTAATAAATCAGGCTATAAAGGTTAGGAAAATAATATTAGGTATTAAGGCCGTTACTTCGGCGACCTACTAAGGTAAGTCCTAAATAAGCTTCGGATAGCTACGGTATTTAGGTATAAAGGTATATAAGTATAAAGGTACTTCCGGGTTATATTAGGACGAAAAGGGAACGTAGAACTTAGAAGAAGATAAGGACCTAAAAGACCCCCTATAGAATTATTAGTTAAATTAAACCCATTCTAAGCATATCCCCTTGTTATAACGACGGATACGGGCATGCCGGGAGGACTATGAAAACGTAACTTATGCTGACGTACGTAAATATAGCTGTGTGCATTGGTGATACCCCAGAATGCGGTAGATAAAACTGCCAGTGCAGATAGCGAGTTTTGGAACCTCATGGTCACGATAGTCGCGATGGCAAGGCTGGGTTGAAGCACCACCGGTAATAATACTGAAGGCGCACCTACACTCGAGAGGGATGCTGTGAGAGAAATTTGATCGTAGGGATAAACGGCGGCCTGACACATCTTATTTGATATAAATAATAGATGGATATAATGCTTCTGGTATTATTCCACGTAGGGGCGTCACAGCTTATTTAATCTATTATTTATCTGGAAGACCCGTGACTGGCGGAGACTCATCTATTACTCGGGAGATATCTACGCCGCGACTCAAGATCCGTACATAAAGCTGTCGGCAGATCTCCATGACCGGAATAAGTAATCGGGCTGGCTATGAAGAGTACAAGCGGTATCTACGAAATTAGCCGGAACTCGACTTGTGCGTATGCCCTTTTAGTGATATTATAACTTGCTGCCACGCGGAGCGAGATGCAGTTGTGACTTGAGTTTAGATAACTGATCTTTCTCCTGTAATATATTTTACTTGAAGTAATAGCTAACTAAGGTAGCCACCTAATGTACCTTACTGTGTTGAATCGGTAGGTATCCGCTTGGGAAACGAGCCTCAGTCTCGGCACAATAGGACAATCAACTAAGGCTTTATCAATAAAGTTTTTCACAAATTTTTCGTAGGCGGGAACCGAATAGGTGGGGATTGAGTTGTTGATAACTGCGCAAGATGAGTTAGAGGGACAGAGCATCGCAAGCCTGCATTGGTCTTGGTACCAACCCGACAACATCCTCGATGTGGCCGTCAATGCTAAACCTATCTCCACGGCCGCTGTCGTCGCATTCCTCCATCCTCCGTCTCTCTCGGGAGATCCATCGGTGTCCCTTCGTTGTATAGATCCTCTACTCCACTGAGAAAGCACAGTCTCGTGCTGCTTAATACCGTTCCCGGACCCTGACGCGAAACTCGCGTGCTGCGGATACGGCGTTGTTTATTTCGCCCAAGAAACGTGCTTGTGCGATGTCTGTAAGCAACCAATTTGCTCGGTATGACTACTTATTCACGCCCGTCTCGGCTTGGTTGATTTCACTACGTTATGGCGGGGATAGGCATCAATTCAAGATCTCAACGTGTTTGCCACGAGAGTAAAGATATCCAACATGAGAGTTACCTTAATCGACGGTATAGCTGCCCACAACAATAAGAATCCGAACAAGGGCGCACATTAGGCCACCAGATCTTGCTTTGGTTCATGGGCATTTATGGGGATTCAACTAGCAATCCCGGTTATTTCAGAGGATATTCCTTCTATGGTAGCATTGCCTATGAGCCCGCCTCCGGGCCTTGAGAACTGCAGTTTCTAGAGTCCTTTCGTGCGTGAATCGCCCTTCTGCTATGAATGGACAGGCTGGTTTCATCGTTAATCCGGGGAGTAAGCATCAAGTAATTAAGTAATGACGCAAATAGGATCTGTTATATATTGATACCAATGCCGTGTCCTATCTTCAATTTCTCGGGTTCGAGGAGAGCAGGTCTAGTCGGCACGACGCCGATAACTAGAACATGTTGTAAAACGAACAGATGAACACGGCATTAGTGGGCATTGTAGTGCAAATTACCTGCTTCCGCGTCCCCCTTTTCCACTTCTTCGTGTTCGGATATCGTAGCCCCTTCATCAAGGATGCTGCAGTTGCCTAAAGCTAAGCCTGTCCTTTTGTAAACGCAAGCAGTGCCACGAGGCTAAGCAGCTGGGCGCTTATCGTGGTAGTACCGAGCTTGGTGCGAACCGAGGACTGGTGCCATCAGTGAGCGGGGATGCTCTCAACTCTGCTTGCATTGGTATCGCTGCTCAATGAGCCATCGTCGTCTCTGTTTTCGTCTCGGTCGGATTCCTGATCGGATTCCTTCACAATGTCCGTGTTCGCCGCCGCGTCGGCGGCCGCGCCCTCTGAAATACCACCTATTGGGGATCGGGGACTCGGATTCCGGCTTTGTGCATCAAAGCCTAGGTCAACACTACTGGCAGCGTCGCGATCTACCGTAAATCCCATCACTGGGCTATCGATGTTGCCGTTATCATCGTCATCCCCGCCGACTTCGGAGTCGACTACGCTTTCGATATCATCTTTGTCAGACGCGCTATCATCGTCTTCATTGGCTTTGGAAATACGGCGTTGGGTCTTCGTTACGAGATTGGGCTCGGAATTTTGCTTTATATTGGGCCCTATTTCGAGGATTTCTGCGTCAAGATCCAAGTCCTCTTCGTCCGGGAAGTCCAGCTCGCCATTTTCGCCATATGCGGCCGTCAATTTGTCGATGATCTCGGGAACCGGCATCGTATCAGAGTCAGGGACAGACAATTTGAGGCGGTACCAAACAAGCATAAGAGTAAGTCTCGACCATCGGTTGGCCAACATCTTTGTCTCGATCTTCGGCCACGGGATCCGGTCGTTGGATTTGGTCTCACAGGCTCGAATAGCCTCGATGATGCGGTGCCGATCTTGATGTGACGTTGCGGTCGCCTCGATGCGAGCTTTACGGATGAGTTGCCTGGTGGTCAATGTGATTCCTTTGTTGGGACCGTTCAGAACGGCGTCTCGGCGTTTCGCTATGGCCTTCCATTTCTGTATGCACTGAAGACGGCTACGAGTCCGACCCATCTGTTCACTGACCAATTGCCAGTCAATGTAATCGTCATCTGGGCCCTCAAGTTCGATGGCTTCCCGGGCGCGTCGTCTTCGAATCTCGCGTAGGGCATCACTAGTAATCGAGTCAAACTCTGCCTCCTCTGCTTCGCTCCACGGGTTCGAGCGACGGTTATCGCCGCAAACGACATAATTTCGGACCCGATCCCGTACATCATGAGGATCGCGATTAATAAGCTTGCCAATCCGGGAAAATTTGTTGCCATGGAGTTCCCACATGCGTCTGAGCTCGTCATGTTGTTCCGGTGTCCAGGCGCCTCTGCCAACAAAATTATGGAATTCTCGTCGGCAAACGTCGATTACCTTCTGCCGCCGACGGTTGGGACAAGTCTCTACGATGTGGTCCCAAAACTCCACAAGAGTCTTTGGGGAGCCGTGGATCATCGCATTCATGTTATATTGTGTCAGGCCATGATCTTTTCGCCATTTCTCGACCGCCTCGCTCATCCGATTCAGTTCCGCCTGGCTGAACTGACCCTTCACCACTTTTCGCGACTTCTCGTGGGTTGCCTTTCGCTCCGATGACGAGGCAGCAGTCCTAGAGATTCCACGCCGTCTTTCTGTTCCAGCCGGCTTTGGCGGCCTGCCGGCGGTAACATCACCAACAGCGTCGGTGAGGGTTGGAGTGAGCTCATATGTGATGTCGTTTTCTTCTTGGCGACTGTAGAAATCTCGTTTCGCTACGCGCTTTTTCGTTGAGCGGCGTCTGGGCCGGATGGTGCTGTCTTTGTTCTGATCGTCCTCCGGACTGCTTAGTGACTCTGTGCCATCCGCGGGAGCTTGGTCATCTGTGGGGTCGGCACTAAGGGATGCGGGCTCGAATACGGAACCACTTGGCTGACTGCTAGAAGTACCCTCGACGTCTTCTTCGTTTTCGTGGGCACTCTCAATAGCATCGTACCCTCCACCGCCGACCTCGGCGTCTTCGGCATCTTCGTCATCTTCGTCCCTCTCTTCATCCCTCTCTTCATCCCTCTCTTCATCCCTCTCTTCGTCCCTCTCCCTCCCCCCCTCTTCGTCATCTTGATCCCCCTCTTCGTCCCTCTCTTCGTCCCTCTCTTCTCCCCTCTCTTCTCCCCTCTCTTCTCCCCTCTCTTCATCCCTCTCTTCATCCCTCTCTTCTCCCCTCTCTTCTCCCCTCTCTCCCCCCCCCTCTTCTCCCCCCTCTTCCTCCACCACTTTGCCCCCCTCTTCGTCTAGCTCTTCGTCCAGCTCTTCACTCCTCTGGGCATCGTTCTCTTCTTCACTTGCTTCCCCTACGCTGGCCCCTTCGTTTCTCCCTTCGTCTTCTTCACCTACCTCTTCTTCACCTACCTCTTCTTCCCTCCCTTCTTCCATCACTTCTCCCATCGGTTCCTCATTCTCTCTCTCCCCCGCCTCGCCTCCTCGTGCACCACTCTCTTCTTCACTCACTTCGCCACTCCCTTCTTCCCTCGAATTGCCCTCTTCTTCATCCCTTTCTTCACCCCTCTCTTCGTTCTTCTCCTCGTCCCTAACTTCGTCCCCCTCTTCGCCTGCGTCTTCGTCCCCGTCTTCGTCCCCGTCTACAACCGGTTGATTCTGGGTGTCGACCTGCCCAACTTCAAGCAGTGAGTCGCTTCTCATGGAAGAAGTGTCGAGATCGGCACGATTTTGCTTCACAGGTGGCCTGTCATCGTCTTCAGAAAAATGCCCTACCTGTGGGGGCAGGTCAATATCCATCTCATCGCCGGAAACAACGTTGGGGTAGGTGGCTTGGACCCAGTCTATACCGTCGTCACCCTCATTTAAGCTGGGTGCGGAAGCATGTAGCGGGGCCGGTTCTTGGTGGGTCGAGCTCGGAGAGTGCCCTCGAATCTGAGTGGTGCCATCACCGATAGAATCAGCCGTGCGAGCGGCGGAAAGCCTCTTCTTTTTACGACTAGCATATAGACTCTCGGCAAGGCCGCTGAAGGAAGTTATACTATCGGCAGCACTGTCTTCCCCATGGACGTGTTTGCGTTTCTTGCTGTGCTTGCTAGAGCCAGACGCCTTCCGGTTCTTCCCTAGAGCTGTGCTGGGTTCATCATCGACACCTTGTGAATCCAAGACGATGGCGGATGTTTCGAGATTGTCATCTGACCCAAGCCTATTACGCCGTTCTGAAATGCTAGTCCTTCTTCTCTTGCGCGAGGACTCTCCGGAAGGCGGGTCTCCATCCACAGGCGAGATGACGAGGTCGGTAGGAGGGGTAGAGTGGGATTCGTTGAGGGGCGGAGTAGGAGGGTCTTCAGATTTAATCGCTGCCTCGTGTCTAGCCTTCTTCCGGGACCTTCGGGCCGTCTTCTTTCCCTTCTTCTTCTTCCCCTTTCCCCCCGGTTGTTCCTCATGGGCCGAGCGAGCATCGTCAATTGCCAAGGGTTCGTTCGTGCCTAGCGGCGTGCCTTGGGTCGCATGGGGATCAACTGCAGAAGCCGGAATGTCGAGCTCGGCATGCTCGGGGGATTGCGGTATTAACACTGGCCGATTCCCAGATCTTCGCTTCTTGGATCTGGGTAAATTACTGACCGCTCCCACATGGTCCGGGGACGCGGGGATCTCGACATCGTTTTGGGCGTGCGATCTCGCTGCGGGGGACGACAAGGGGGAGACACCGCGATTGCCAGACTTTAGGGAGTGTTCTTGGTTAGCGGAGACAGGAGTTTTAAGACGATCGGCCGACGGGGATTGCGGCGGCGAGGACTGGTTATTTTTGATGTCTGGCAACGGATCGCGCGCCGGACTGCCATCGGCGGCATCCTTCTCCTCGTCGGTCTGAATACTCTGCTGGTTCCCCATCCGGTAGGCTATTTTCCGCGACTCCACGAGACGAGGGTGAGAAGACGGGGATGAAGGTCAATATGGTCGGCCAGTTTGCCGCGGGCTTCAACCCGAATAGCGAGATGGAAGCTAATACAGAGACACAAAAGACAGGACGTAGGGCAGAGATTTTCAATACCAGGACGTCGAATAGCCAATTCAGAGTGCTACCCGTTTCGATTGCTGCTGCTTCCAGTGTGGTGAGATGAAATTAGCGAGAATCAAGGACGCGAGGAGAAGGACGCGACGGCACGCGAGATTGTCTCAAGAAGAAAGCTCTGATGCTCCCGCTCTTGATTGGATAGTTTATGGAATCAGTGGATCGGGGTACTTTACGTTGATCTGGTGCAGGTACCTGTACCGGCGGTAGTGGGTGGGAAATGGGGCGTGGCTGGTAGCGAGTACTTGGAATGCCGAGAGACTTCATGTACTCAGCCGGATCCCGGGCGGATATTTGTGGGACGCTACCCGAAACCGCGGGGGTTCAAAGGAGGTGGGTCTGCTACAGTGTACTTGAGCTATAGCGCGTCGAGTTGAGGTAAGTACCCTGTGCTTAGCGGTAAGTGCCTCGAGGGTACCAAGCCAGCCTAGAATCCTACAAAAATACCTGACAACCACTAAGGTACCTCTAGGGTTAGAATCTAGGTACCTACCTAGTTCATTCGGGTACCTCCTCGGTTCCTTGGGTGAGTAAGTGGGCAGCTTGGGATGGAAGTTCAGGAGATACCTTAGGTACCTAAGGTACTTACCTCCTACTGATGCAGACCCTGAGTGTGCCGAGTAAAGCACATATTACTAGTAGACGTAGGCGCCTAGGTACCTTTGGCACCTGATTTCCGGAGTTGAGGGAATCAGGTAGGTACCTAGGTACCTAGCGTGATGCTCTCCATGCCGGTAGATCAGTAGGTTACTTAACGAAGGATAGGTTCGATTCCTAACAGCGCTACTTGGTAGTCTTCGCTATTTAGCCCATCTCGGGTAGGTATCTTACCTTAGGTACCTAGGCACCTCTTAGCCTACCTATCTACAGTACCGAGTTAGTGCAATGGATCTACCATACCATAGTTCTGCAGTGCTACCGTTGGTTAAGAGGTACCTAACCTACGCATGAGCTTCGCCCAAAGAAAAGAGCTACGATCCATGAAGGATGAGTTGTCGCTTACCGAGCGAGAGACACACCGTCGCGACGGGTGGGTTGGCTGAACCTGTTGGATAACTTCGTCCTCAGACCGTACATAGAGATATATCCCTATAAAGAGGGCTAATTATTATACCAAACCTCAAGAGGGGCAAGTTGATACCGGACATAGAGGTAGGTACCTAGTGCCATGGAATTACACAAATTACCCGCAAATGCTAGTATACATACGCGCCTACCCTCGACCCATCACACAAACAGCGTAGCCTCCTCGCCCACGCCCGAGCCCACAGCCCGGACCCGAGCCCCGACCTCGAGCGGGCTGCCCTCGAAGACGACGAACTCACGCGGCGCGAGGGATCCTTCGCCTGATCCCGCCGCGTCCGGCTCCTTGAGCCCCAGGATCGCGTACACGTTGGCAGAGACGAGGTCGAGTGCGTCCGCCTCGCTGATGGCCCCGCCGCTGTTCCGGTGCGCGATGCCCGCGAGCAGCCCGATGTCGCGCACCACCCAGTCCTCCTCGGCGCCGATCGCCACCCCCACCCCGGCCGCCACCAGCCGGTCCACCGCCGTGCCGTTCGTCAGCGGCGCCCCTGTCAGCGCCCGCTGCTGGTCCCACGACGTCCCGTACGACAGCAGCGGGCTCAGCACCACGCCCACCCCCGCCGCCGCCAGCTCCGCCGCCAGCAGCGGCGACTCCGCGCCGCCGATGATGACTAGCGAGATGCCGCGGGCGCTGGCGCTGGCGTTGTCGCCGAAAGCGGGCGACGCGGCGATGGCCGCGTCCACGACTTTCTTCACCTGCAGCAGCGCCGCGATCGTGTCCGCGCTGTGCACCGTCACCGCCAGCGCCAGCTCGCCCGCGACGACCCGGCGCAGGAACGCGGCCTCGGTGAACGGGTCGGCCGCGGCGCTCTCCGCGGCGCCGACCACCTCGAGGAGTTTGCGCCGCAGCGAGCCGACGGCGTTCGAGATGGAGGTGCTGCCGCTCTTGGCTTTCAGGTTGAGGGTGTAGTGCACGGCGACGTCGTCGGCGAACACGCCGCCCGCCTCGAGGGCGTGGCGCGCCCCCGTGCGGAACCCGACGCTCGTGCCTTGGTGGGTCCCCGCTTCGCTGTACTTAGGCGCCGAGATGGCCCGCGTCACCCCGTACTGCAGCGCGTAGTGCAGCTTCTTAGTATCGAGGGCCAGCCCGTCGATGCCCCGGCTGAATATCTCGGGGCCGCCGCCGTTGTCGGTGTCCGACTCCGCGTCGATCGCGTTGAGGCCTAGCAGCGAGCCGAATACGGTGAATGGCCTCGTCAGGTAACCGTTGCGCAGCTCAACAACCCTGGTGCCAGACTTGGATGCGCTCTCGAGTTCGGTCGCGCAGGTTCCGACACAAGTAATCTTGCCGCCAGAGATAACGACGGTCAGGCCTTGGCTGTCGTCACTCTGCCGGACTTCGGAGGACAAGAAGGACTTCGAGACTCCCGTAAATATCACTTCACTTACGGTAATGGCTTCTGCGGCAGCCTCGGGGGCCTCCGGGATAGGGCTGGGAGCAGGGGTGATGGGTTTATCCAGCTCGATCGGGTTGTCAAACTGCGCGGTCCCATCGATCCAGACTTGGGCCGGCGTAGCACCGACACTCAAGGGGTCACTATCCCAGACGACGATGTCGGCGTCGAACCCGGGTTTGACCTTGCCGAGACGCTCCCCGAAACCTAGGCGCTCAGCCGGCGCGGTGGTAACCGAGGCGAGAGCTGCATGGTACGGGAGGCCATACCCGAATGCCTTTCCGGCCTCGAAGACGACGTGCTGGGCGTTCAGTACCGGGTTATCGCTGACGTAGATAGGGGTCAAGCCGTTCTCGTAAAGGATCTTCCCGGCGTACTCGGACCCTATATAGGCCTCGGCCTTGAACCACATGTTGTCCGCGAATAAGGCCGAAGCGGGCGGGGAGTCGCCCCAGGCGCGCTTGAGGACCTCGGGCACGAGGTACGTCTGGTGCGCGTGATGAAAGGCCCGAACTGCGAACTTGAACTCGTTGGTGTGATCCACAAATGCCTCCAGATCGGTCGCGGTGTAGCAGTGAGTGTTCACATGAACCTGTCCGCGAAGAACGGCACCCAGCGTCTCCCACTCCAGGTCCAGCGGTAGATAGCTATCTAACGCCTCGACGCCGGCTGACTCGGCCACGCTGCACCAGTCGTCCTGGGCGCGCACCAGCTTAGCGGCCTGCTCAAAGGCGCGCCTGAATTCCCAAGACTCGCCGAGCCGACTGAAGGGGCTTTGCTCGCCCGCCCTGCCGTAGACGCGCTTCGGGTTCTCGCCGCAGGCCATCTTGATGTATCGCCAGGTGCGATCGGGATCCGCCAGGAGATCAGCAATCGAGGTTTCGTTGCGGCCGTCGGCCTTCCCGACGGCATGCTTGATGACAAAGGCCTCGCCCCCGATGTTATTGCCGGAGCCGGGAAGCACCAAGCTTGTTGTCACGCCTCCAGATTTGATGACTTGAATCTGATGATCGAAGATGTTTATGCCATCAATTGATCGCACAAATGGGGTGATGTTCGACCCTAGTTCATTCGTGTCGTCATTCCCATTGAGTTCCGGCAAGCTGTCGACGCCGGCATGAGTGTGCATGTCGATGATACCAGTGGTAAGCTGCCGGCCCTTGGCGTCCCATACGATAGTATCGGAAGGAAGCGAGGCAGCATCTATGCCCTTTCGGACTTCTTTGATCAGGCCGTATTCTAGAAAAACGTCGGCATGAATCCACGAGTAGCCTTTGCCAGCACGTGCATCCTCGGCGCTGGTCCCTTCGGCGGGCTCGCCCACCCAGACAGCAGCGTTCTTGATGAGAGTAGGCTTGTGGCCATCGACGTAGCGGGCATTCCGCTCGCGACCCCAGCCGATAGGGTCTTGTGGCTTAGACCGCAGTTGGTAGCACGTCCGCAGGCCTTCGGTCAATCTTTCGATAGATAGCTTGGGTATTATTGGGCTCCGTTTCGGATGCGATTCAATCTGTCTCCACTGCGCGTAAACAATGAAGAGGAGGCAGGCCAGGACAAAGAACTTGGCGCCGCGAGAACGCCGTACAGACCAGCGCCTGCGCCAGTCCGGACCGGCCGTAGCCACGGCGCTGTAAGGAGGAAGCTCGCCTTTCTCATACTCCATCTCTCCTAGGGTGATTAGGACGTTGATGGACGACAAGAGGAAGGGAAAGAAGAGAAGGAGTTGAAGCTCGTCCAAACCCCCTGGATTCCTACGGCAAAGTACTTAAACCCCGGAGAACTGGTCGGCTGGACCAATCAAGGGAGGTCTGGGCACGAATACCAGGGTCTCGCGATCTTGCGCCAACCCCCGCAAAGATAACGCCAACACAGATGGGGTGAAGGGAGTTGGTAGACCTAGACCACGATGTTTCACGCTTCTTTCTCCTCCCGCGCCCTCCCTGCATATGCGGTGTCAACCTGCACCACTTAGGGCCGTCCCCCCTGGAGATGAGCTCAAAGTAAACGATGCAGAACTGTTGAGTAATACCCACAGGGCGACGGGCAGATCTGCTGATCAAGACTACCTAGGTAGTATGAACCCACCACCGAGTAAATCCCCGCTCGTATGCAGTGCCTGACAGCAGTCTTTTGACCCTCCCCCCCCCCCATAGCCACGCCAAGTCTAATATCCTACCACTTCCCTCAACAACAACATTTTCGTGTGCGTTCGTTGTGTAGGCAGCCATAGAATAAGCATCACCAAATAAGGAGGCGTAAGCGCCTATCTTCTCCCGTGACAGCTTCCCTAGCAACCCCTAGCGAGTGAAACGGAAGAGTTTCAGTGGTACCAGAGACCGGACCATTCTGTTATTCCACCGCAGGGTGGTACGGCACTGTTCCATTTCCTGCTTTATAGTTGCAGTCCGCGGCCCATGTACGTGTACATCTGTTGCGATGCATGACACATTGTTTGACTGCTCACGTAGGTGAAAAGGTGGTTGTATTTTAAGATTGGAGAATCAACTAGCCGAGTACGAGGTAGGCCAGCTACCTACCTATATCGAACATTATTAGCTCTTACAGGTGAATATGTTAGGCGTGCGACGGTGTTCCTTGCCGCTAATACGCGACATTCCCAGGTACGCTCTCGGTAAAAATAAGGTATTGCCCTGGAAGGCCGTTTTTCATTTGACCTCGAAATCGGAACAAGCTTTCTTGAGTAGATCTACCATTTGCAAGGCCTTCATTTCGTCCGTCGCCCCGCGCCCCGCGCCGAGATCCTCGCGCTTAGCCCGGGAGGGCAGCTCAGTCGCATCGCATATCGATGTGCTTCGTTAGCAGCGAATCGACTGGGCTCAATGCCGTTGGTTTCGCTTTTTTTGAGCAGGTTAAGATAGCAGTTATCGGTCGATAGCCTCGGTCAGGCACAGGCTTTGTGGTCTCTCGGGGAGTAGTCTCGATTGGAAGGGGGGATGGATCCCACGACGGATGGTACAGGTCTCTGAGCTCGAAATTTGGCAAATGGCTATTTGTGCTTCTCAGGTACTCCGCGTCCTGTGATCCCACGATACCAGTCAGTAAACAACCAGTATGCGAGTCTTAGGATGCCGAACCTGATAAACCGTTGATCAATGAGGAGAAATAACTAGGTCCTAGAACTGCCAATTGACGAGCTTAAATACAGCTCCTTTTGCAGTAAATACTGGTTCAGCTCCCAAGGTGCCGCATACCTTGTTTTCGTTCAAGAGCCGAGCCAAATTCGGGGTATTAAGCGTTGTTTGTGCTGCTTGATCATTGGGGTATATCAATTCCTTGCATAGAAGAGTCCTAAGGTGGCACATTATATTGGAGTATTCCCGTTAATTGAGGTGATGGAAGAATATTTTCGGGGATAAGAGCTCGCGGTGAGTTGAATGGATTGATGTTCATTAGGAGAAGATGTGGGTTCGGACAGACATAAAGCTAAGAACATAGAAAGCCCTAGAACCGGAGATACCTAGGCGGGTTGTTGTGGTGATTTCTGTTTGCATGCCTAAAAATATTTACAATTCACGCATTCATACTGTGCTCTTGGATAATAAGGGGTGCGACTATCTCCATGGTGGTGTCTGTATGTATTAACGTACGCCAACACCTTCCCATCTAGTTATGTGGACTTGAGTTGCTTTCTACGAGATACGTTCCTCTAGAGACCTGTGTTTCGCTTTCCTGGGGTACAACTGTAACTTCGCCCCCAGCATGCTCTTTTCGTTGATAATAGCAAAGACAGACAGTAACGCGAGCTTGAGAAGAAACAGAGCCGGCTTCGGCAACAGCTCCACGTCGAGAGCCGGTGGTGCCGGCTCTACACTAGGGATATTAACTACTATTACCGGCGTAGCCTGCCCCTTGCAATTCTACCCGGGACATGCTACTTAATCGCTGGCTGAATGTGAATTTGCCGTGTCAATATGTACCGGTATGGGAGCTATACCACCATTTAGATAGAACCAATAATATTAGTTGGTTATGCCTACAGTGTTAGATGTGCTAGAGTTGTCTACGGTGGGACATTGTTGGCTCCAGATAGGGGTGTGTCATATCTGTTCGCTCACATCGAAACCGGTCAGCCCAGATTCGATAATATACGAGGGAAGTATTCGCATGCAACATACATCTACTCGCTGTTGCGGTATCGTCAATGTGCCAAGATATCTCGATTCCTTACTCTAATGGGTCGACGGTTCTGCTCGGCCGGCTTCCCCTAAGGACCACCAGGTCAAATATCTAAGTCGCATTTACACAGCTTCCATCCACGGCTTTCTAGGGTAAGATAGAGAGAAGATCGCCCGTCGCGGCCACCTAGCCATGAGCTGGGCCTTGGTTCCACCAATGTAGGGGCAGATATCTTAGACTATCTGGTATTGCTCCTAAAAACCCCTCTCCGGGGTCTAAGTCCCAAGAAATCACGTCGAGATATGCAATTATATATTTTACCATCGTAATAAGGAGAGCACTTAAGAGGGGTATATGGCCTCGAGTCACCCATGATCATGGCCGTGCATTCCGCGATGCAGCAGTCTTGAATCTTAGGCCCCGAAGTCTTGCCTATGATGCCGTACCTTCTTGCTATGATATCTAACATTCTTTACCGTTCACCTACTCACACTACCCTAAGCACCGTGATTATTATAGTTGATACAGCGTCTCAGAAATAAATGTCACGATGAGACCAGGGGAGTCTCGTCAACCGTTGCATACAGGCGCGCATGAAAGCAGGATCTTTCCCCGTCTTGTGATTGAAATGACTCTAGGGGCATGAGAAAGCGAGATTAATCACTCTCTAGGCACATCCTCAAGCCGTCCAAGGTGAGCAGACAAACGGAGTAGTCGGCCATTCACAGAATTACCAAAAGCCCACGGCTTCCCTAGCTTCGGAGGAGGCCAGTCGGTTACTTGCTGACTCGGAAGAGGGGCGGTGTGAGATATCCAAGGCGTGTTCGTACAAAATTATTGACTTCGACGCCAACGGCGACTGGGGGAACTCGCCTGAGTGGCCAACGCCGTCCCACAAAGGGTATTGTTGCCTTGCCGGTATCTACCGGGTTCATGGAATATGTGTACATGATAATTATCCACCTAGTTACCCCAGAGCGAGGGAGGTCTCGTCGAAGCTGGGGTTCACGTTGCTATATCTGGTGTGTTCAATTGCATGTTGGTCGTCTTGGTAGCCAATAGCGTTGTTGACAACATCCTATGGATCAGGCGGGGCTACTTCCGCTGCCGTGTTATCCGTGACGATGTGGGAGCTGGGCGAAGCGGCGGTCCCCTACTTATCGTGTGGCTATCCAAGATGCGTAGGCACGTTATCCCTTAGCTAGCGCTTCCAACGTGTTTTCCTCGTGTTCGCCACATTACTCGAGGCTCTCTCGCAGACGATGCCACGGTTCGTCGCCGCCCGCGCGCTGATGAGCATGATGGTAACCTCCAACGTTCCAAGTCCGGCCGTTATTGGCAATATGATCTCGCCCGAGGAGCAAGGCAAGGCTGCAGGCCTAATCTTGTTCGCACCTATGCTAGGTGGCACCGTGGGGCCTGTTGTTGGCGGCTTGACCACGCAGGTTCTGGGCTGGCGCTTTGTGTTTTGGATATGCTTTGCCATAGCAGGTGTCTGCGAGCTCGTCTTCTTCGCCTACTTCCAGGAAACATACAAAGTCGCTATCCTGTGTCGGAGATCAGCCAGGCTACGCGAAGAGACCGGGAATACCTTCACGTATGGCACATCCGGGGAGGGCTTGGGCCTCGGGCAGTGCCCCGCCGACCTGTCAGCTTCCATTGTGCGGTCAACGGTGGTGCTCTTTAGCTCTGGCGTCTTGGTAGTCCTGTCATTGATGGGCTCGGTTACATTCGCTCACTTCTATGTTTTACCGATATCCCTTCCGATCATCCTGGAGGACCGGTATGGGTTATCGCCCTCGGCGGCAGGTTCGGCCTTTTTAGCCAGCGGTGAGCATCGTCCCTCGGCTACAGTCGTGAGCGTGCGCGTACTGACCCACGCAATTCTTCAAGGCCTTGGCAGTTTCGTCACCGTTGTGATCTGCAACTTGTACCTAGACAAGATCTATCTCAGGCTCCGCGTTGCCAACAACGGAGTAGGCCTTCCCGAATACCGGCTTCCAATGACTATCGCCGCCGCCTTCATGCTGCCGCTGGCTTTGGTACTGTACGGCTGGTGCGCTGAGTGTAAGCTGCCTCTGGCACTCTTCCTCGTGTCCGTCGTCTGGATCCGCATGTCCATCGTTATGGCGATTCTGCCACTGATGGCGTATGTGGTGGAAGCAAGTAGCCTCTACTCGACGTCGGCCCTAGCAGGTATTGTCGTAACCCGATGCTTGGCCGGCGCGTTTATGCCACTCTCTACAGCGCGTACGGTGGAACGTCTCAGCTACGGCTGGGGGTTCACCGTGTATGGTGTTGCCAGTCTTGTTCTCGCTCTGATTCCTGCACTGGTTCTGCGTTATGGGCCTCTATGCAAGCAGCGCGCCGTGTATGAAATAGCTACGTCAGGATCATAAAGATCTGCTTGCCGACTAGGTATGTGTAGGAAGGCGAAGGGTTTCGACAAGACATCGTCAATCAAAGTCGAGGACAGGACTAGGTGTTGATCCGCTTAACTAAATGGAGCGTTGAAGATGATAGATTACGCAATTCAGGTTACCCCGGTAGGCGCATTCAGTAATGAATGGAAATACACATTTGATAAATGCACACTGCCAGAACGGTATTCCATTACGCGAAAACCTGTTTGAAAATTCAACTACAGAAACTCAGGAATCTGGTAACCTCCGCATTACACCATCAGACTCCTTTAACCAGATAGGCTACACTTGTGGCTGCTACTAGGGCCTCATCTTCCGATCAAGAGGGCAACCGTCCACAACCTGACTCCCGAGCTCAGGGGTTTACGTATGTGGGGGCCCTACTCTCGATATACCTATCAACACGCGAAGGAAGAGCATGTCAAGCCCTGGGGGGCCAAAAGACGACGTTTGGACTGCCTCACAAGCCACAACACTCTCGTTCGACGCCCAGGGGCAGGAGGTCCGAGTTTCGGTGTAGCCACGTCCATCTCCTCTTCCTATCTCTCTTTTGCTTCCGACATTCTCGCCCTCCAACCCTACCGGAGAGTTCCCCTCGCCCGCCGGACCTTAAAAGAAGTTTCCTCGAGGTCCCTTCTGGGCATCCTGCTCCTGGTCATTTTTCTCGCGCGGCTCGTCTCGCTGGCTGGTCTGGCTTGACGGCGTCGCGGCGCGGGGGGGTCGGCGCAGGGCCTGGAAGGCGCGGCGGAGCGAGCCGGTGAAGCTCGTGACGGTGTTCAGGGCGCGGAGGGAGCTAGCGCGGCGCAAGGAGGAAGAGGCCGAGGCCGAGGCCGCGTCGTGGGCCTGCTGCTGCTGCTGCTGCTGCTTCGCCAGCGCCTCGGCCTTATCCTTCTTCTTTTGTTCCTTTTGTTTCGCGTACTCCCGCTGCCGCTGCTCCCGCTGCTGCCGCCGCTCCCGCGACTTGCGCTCCAGCTCCACCGGGTCCGACGCCTCGTACAGGAATGGCCACGGGGCCGCGTGCACGAGGTCGCGGCCGAGCTCCTGCCGTCCGGCTGGCGTGGGTCCGGCCTGCGGCTGGTGCGAAGGGCCCTCAGCAGCCGGGGCGAGCGACTGCGGTTCTCGGCGCTGCAGTTCTTGATGTTGGACGCCTTCATGTTGTTGACTCTGGAGAGGGTGGTTCGACCGGCTTTCGGTGCTGCGGCCAGTACGGTGTACTGTGGGGTCCAGATGTCGTCGATGCTGGCTACTCGAGATGGTGTTGTGCATCTCTGGGGCACGCAGGTGAGGCGACTGAGAATATCCAGCCTGGTATCCCTGGGATAGTTGTGTTGCGCCGTATGACAGTCTGGGAACAGCTGGACGCTCAAATGGTAGAGCCGAATCATCCGCCAAAGACATAGGCAGAGCGTAATCGTTCGTCAGTCCCTCTCTGGTCTGGCGGCTGGGCCCCTCGTTAAACATAGGCGGGTGAGGCGGCGCGGGCAAATTGATCCCTTGAGCCCTATTGTTGGTGCTAGGACGGGAACCGTAGTACATCCACGACCCATCACTACGTCTCTGGTAATTCTGCGTGGCAATATTCGAGTACCGCTGAGCCGCTGGAGCGGCAGACGATGGGCGGTTCACTCGGCTCGCCGGCTCGTAGAATGGATCATCCTCGAAACTTCTTTCTTGTAGGGTCACCGGGCCTTCATAATTTCCACCTTCTTGCTCGGCCAGGGCCTGGTTAACAACCGATAGAATTCTCTCCGCGGCGGTAGCGTTCCGGGCTCGCATCTCATCCGCTCCCTAGGCAGCTGAGAGTACGGGCACGTGGGACGGAGCATGTCGTCGTATGAATTCGCGCAGTTCAGCTTCGGTGCGAAGCGATGATTTCGCAGGCATCCCCTGTATCGAGGTAGATCCCGGGCCATAGCTTCTACGGATGGGGTTATCCTGCTGTAATTTTGTCATCTCGTCGTCGATCAGATTTCGGATAAGCTCCTGCGTAAAAGCCCGGCTCGATGTACTAGACGCTACGACAGATACAGGTCGGAAGGGAGCGGTATCAGGACTGCCAACCGAGAATGCGCGTGTGCGTCGGACGACCAGGTCGGGAGTAATCTCAAAGTCGGAGGTCTCGTCGTCATCTTCGTCTATTTGATCCATAGAGGCGCCACCCACTGGAACGTTGGACAGTCGCTGGCTCAGTCGTCGTAGGTCGTAGGTAGCGTCAATTACGCGTCGCGGCACGCCTACTTAGGAGTTAGCGATGTCCCGTAGGATGCTTAATGGCAACAGAGGACCCCAAGGACCCCGAGGATCCGAGGCTTCCGGGTCGCGCTCAGCCCTCGCGAAACAAGCACAGAGTTGAATATCACGGCCCAGTGGCTCGAGATGGAACAAAATCCACGCAAAATGGGGCGAAAAGCTGCTTACCGGATGCTACTCCATCGTCAAGGCTAGTATTGGCCTTGTTCTCCATATTCGACTGCTTTACCCAGGGCTCTCGAGGTAGGAGATCAGGAACTTCAATCTGGTTAGCTTTTCGCTATCGGCAGAGATTTAAATGGCCTAAGATACCTGAGAAGCTAAGAGGGAAGGTTGGCGGGTCAGATATTGGTTGGCCAAAAACAGGATCTTCCTGTGAGAACAATCCAGATGTGGGGTTTGAAATGGCGACTGGTTTAGGACCTTCATCTAAGTGTTTGGCAAATCCCCTGGGCGAAGAAGAGTTGAGATAATTTCTCCGCTTCGAAAGTGGTGTTTCATCGAGGGAGCTGTTGCCTTGGAGAGGAAACTGGATCTCCAAGCTTTCAGCTTGGTGTGGTTTGGAGGTGTTGGGTGTTGTTGGATCTTCCTGGATGTTTGACAGCGGCCGAGTATGGCCTGCTTGGCTTGACTTTGGCGGATACGACCTTCCTAACGTTGCTCCAGCTGCTCTGCCAGCACGCTGAGCTGGAGTTGGGGGTGGCGTACTGCATGGCTGGCCCTGCAAGGGTTTCATATGTGTCCCCGGACTGTGTTGCCGTGCGAGACGTATTCGTGGCCCAACTCTCTCCCTGTAGTCCAGGGTAATCATTGGTATTATGGGTTTCAATATTGAAGCTGCTAGCACTGTGTCTGACTTTGACAGCCTGTCGTCTTCAGCAGGTGAATTGTCAACAGATCCATCATTACTATCTTCACAGGCTGCTGTCTCTATTGCTGTGATCTCTGAGGTCCCTGTAGCGCTCCCCAGATCGCTCTCGGTATCCAGCCATTGCTGAACACAAAGCTGTGTTTCTTCACGGTTATCTGTGCTTAGAATAGTTTTGCCGGCCTTGGTATTTATATTATGTAACGTTGGAGCAGATGTTTTGTCCTTTGTTGTACCCCCACACCACCATCTTGTGTTGAATTGGCTTTCTTGCTGTTGTGGGTTCTGGGGAATGAGACCAGTGTCGAGCAGCAAGGAGGATCCAGTGGAACTTTCTCTCGGCGTTGACGGATTAGAAGCTTCTGTGCCTCCTAGCATGCTAGTTGTCCGAACGCCTATAGTTGTCAGTCCAAGGTTGCGAATCCTGTTCGCTCTTGAGGGAGAAGCATGATCGGATGGCGAATAGTTATTGTTGCTAGTGCTTTCCCATATGTATCTTTGTCTTAAGATGCTGTGGGGCTTTTCCAAGGACTCGCCTTTTGAACCAGTATCATGGAGTGCTTGATCGTATGACTCAGTGCTCTGAGGAGTAGGAAGGTCGTTAATGAAGTCGTCCAGAGCGTCTGCAGAGGTTCTTGCTAGGCCGGTACTTGAACCCCCACTAACGTAACTGTGACCAGGGCTGTGTTGATAGTTTGATGAGGATGATTCCGGAGTAGTTCCTAAAGGCAGAACCAGATTACGGCGTAGTACTTGGTCTAAAGGCATATCCCTGAACCTGCGATTCAAATGGGGACTAGGCTGATCTTTAACCCTAGTCATGGTCGGAATAGATGAAGCGTCCGACAGGCGGTTCAGGGCTAATACCAAAAGCCAGTGTGGCTAACGACTATGTGTACCAAGGAGAGGTGCTATCCATAAACCTTAGCATGCTAGTGTGACGCAGATATCATAATAGGGAAGGTTGCAGCATTGGAGTCAAGAACTTACTCGATTACAGTGAATGGTACCATTTGGGACACATCCTCTAGCTATCCGAGGTTAAGGTTGATGAATGTGTTAATATGGGTAGTAAAGTGTAGGTGAACGGACAGCCCAGAAATGATCTGACAACTGGAGTCCAAGGCCGTATGCTGAGAGTACAGTTCACACTGAAATTCGAAGAAAGGAGGCCGAATAATAACTTCAAGAAGAGAAAAGGGAGAAAGCTGAACGCCGAGGACTGAAGGGGCAGGAGTAGAAACGGCGGGAGATGGAGGTAATTTTAACAGGAGAGGCTTAATCGTTACAGGAAAAAGATTTCGACGTCACGTTGATATTGCTGTGGTTGCTGATAAGAAGCAGCAAAGTACCGCTGGGCTGATTACGAAGATATTCACTGCACCTCTAAATATCACGCCGTAGTAGGAAAACATCAACCTCTATCTACACCATTCTGATTTTAGGCTAACATAGCTTCCTAGGTAACGTACACACCGTATACAGAGCTTTCCTTCGGGAAAAAAAAAAAAAAAAGAAAAATCCCATTCCAATTACATAGGTCAGCTTTACTCATAAGTAACCCTCCCCATCACCTCCCCCCCCACGTACAATGTTTAGTTTATAGGGGATGGATTTTAAAGGTAGGGTGGGAACCCATTTACCCTAGTCATCGTGGTGTATCGGGATTAGGGCAGATATGCTATTCCTTAGTCTGCCAGGACTGGGGTTAGCCTCTGTGATCATGGTAGTATGCTATTTTGCTGTAGTATCCCCGCTCGCGACCTATATCGGTTCTGATCTACCATACTCTGCGTCTCCGTGCACCTCATCCCGTATACGGTATACTATAGGATGTGCTTGTATCTCCCCTTACCCATCCAGCCAGGATCGGCGGTACAGCACATGGGGTCTAGGGTTAATGAATCCACCCAGGTACGCAGTAAGTTTCCTGCGTCCATACATGAGCGCGTACCTACACGAAAAATACATCCATCACTCATTGATTATAATGATGGCGATATTTCCCTCTGATTGACCTGTGTGCATCGACCTCAAGTAGGAGGTACCTACTAGCGCGTGAATATATGGATCTGCACGGTACGATAGGTACCTTAAGTACTCCTATATACCTATTCAGGGTTTCGGAGAGCTACATAGGTATCTTCCATGTACCTCCAATCATGATATCCACGTACCTATACAGACTAGGTACATGATACGTACGCATTCGGCGCCTTAGGTACATTCAATAGGCACCCTCCTAGATGAGCTAAACAACGAAGACTACCAAGTGGCGCTGTTAAGAATCGAACCTATCCTCCGTTATATAACCTACCTAGGTACCTACTGATCTCTCCTAACCTAACATCGGCCTGATCTTCTCCGCGGTGCCGTAGGTACGTACCTCACATCCCACCTCGCCCGTATCAGGATGTATCAGACAAGGCAATATCCATCGCCAACGCCGGGAAAGATACCTAGGTAGCCAGCTAAGCCGCTAATTGTACGTCAAATCCCAGGTGCCAAGGCAGAGGCCCAACAGTACCGGTCTCCGTACCTAGGGCATATACCGAAAACGCCCGTCAGATGCGGCAAGTAGGTATATGATGATGGCCGTGCTGGAATGGTTCCGCATTGACACGCGGGAGATCGCCCCAGGGGCTTCGTCGACCTCTGCTGATTTGCACTCTGTCGCATGCGGAAAGGCGCCAACCCAGCTGGACGGTTCAGGGAAAGTCACGAGACACCTTCGTCGGCTCCTTCACACGCGGGCCCCCGCTCGGTGTGGCTTGACTCGAAGACCTGGAACTAAAACAGGTCTAATTTCCGTGGCGCTTGGCGGCCTCTCCCCATCTCCTTATCACCAAGTCCCCTTTTGCGTATGTCACGTCATCTTCCCCCCGGCATATACGTAGCCGGTAAAAGGGCTTGTGGTCGGCGAGAAGCTCTTTCGCGATCAACAGCTGGACCGATCATGTTGCCGCGATCGGGTCGTCGAATTGCTTCTTCGAGGCCGTCGGCGCTTCACCGTAGGTGTCCCAATGCTACCTCACCACGCGTGGTGCCGTTCTGGCCCCCACGGTCGCGCCCGTTCTCCACATCCACCATCGCGAGGTGCCCCTTTGGTCGCCCACCGCACCCGGGAGAAGAAGCGCAGCCGTCGCTATGGTCGAAGATGGGCGAGTCCGCCGCCACTACTTTCGCCTCCGTCTTCGTGCTCGGCATCGGCTTCATGGCTGCGGGCTATGCCTATCACAAATCTTACAAATATCTGCAGCTAAAGAAGATAGAGAGGGCATTCGAGCCAGGCGATCCCGTGCTGGTTCTTGCAGCCATGGGTAAAGAGGTTCCGGTGCCCCCGAACGCGGAGCACTGGATCATGCGACGGGAGCAAGCCAAGATCGACCGAATCATCGACGGCACTAACAAGGGCCACTACTACCTCATCATGGGCGAGAAGGGCTGCGGCAAGAGCAGCATGCTCTTGGAGGCCATGCGGAAGGTGGACGGCGAGGGTTGCGCTATGTTCGAAGCGCACGCAGACCTGGAGATCTTCCGAATTCGGCTGGGCAAAGCGCTCGATTACGAGTTTCACGAGGATTATATCGGCGGATACTTCAGCGAGCGCGGTCCGAGAGAGTCCACCGCGCTGCTAGACATCGAGAGGGCGATGAACAAGCTAGAGAAGGTAGCGCTGGCGCATAGGGCCAAGAAGAACAAGCCCTTGATTCTCATCATCAACCAGACCCACCTGATTCGGGACGACGAGGACGGAAAGGACTTGCTGGAGCTGCTCCAACAAAGAGCCGAGCAGTGGGCGGCTTCTAACCTCGTGACCATGATTTTCAACAGCGACGACTACTGGGTGTACGAGAGGCTGAAGCAGCTGGCCACCCGGATGGAAGTCTTGCCAGTCATGGACCTACCAAAGTCGCAGGCGATTAGAGCGTTGCGCAAATACCGCCATCGATACTTCGCCGAAGACGTAGATAGCGCCATCCTCGAAGAAGTGTACGACCGGGTTGGCGGCCGGCTCTCGTTCTTGAATCGGGTAGCCAGGTCGCGGAACATGCTCGCAACGTGTGATCGAATCAAGGAGATCGAAAAGACCTGGTTCCTAAATCAGTGCTGGATTCTCGGATCGGAAATGGATGACGACGTCATGGACAGCCAGAAGAGAAGTGTCCGTACTCCTGTCCTCCACCTCCGCGGTCCTCCTCGCTCCCGTCTCTTTCGCTGGGTAGAGGGTGACGATAGATCGCTAACATAGCGCAGGCAGCTGCGATGGTCCTCGCCTTGGCTCTCGTCGATAAGGAAGAAGAGATGGAGCAGACCTACGACCCCCTGCAGGGACACATACTCCCGTCGTTTCCCATGCACATAGCGCAAGAAATCATGACCCGGGCCGACTTCATCCGCGAATTCGATCGGCTCAACCTGTTCACGATTACGAGCACGGCTGAGGTCCGCGCGAGCTCGGTGCCGATGCACCGCGCATTCCAGGAGATCTGCGCCGAGCCCAGATTCCGGCAGTTCCTCCAGGATACGCTGGAACGCATTGCCGCCATCGAGAGTCTCGGCCGCACGAGAGAGTTAGTGGCCAAGGACCTCGTGCTCGGCGGCAAATACAAGATCGTCCAGCGCAGCGGCTGGTCGGATAAGGTCGAAGTATCGCTTGAACAACCAAAATAGCCTAGAACGACGGGGGGCTCCCGAAAGGAAGGAAAAGGAAAAATCGGCGAGCTCGCGTGTAAAATGCAAATTTTATGAGGACCAGATACGGAGAACCACGGAGACCGGCTGCAGGGCCAGCCTTTTCCCTTTGTAGACACGACAACCAGGGCATTCTCTTCCTGCGGCAATAGGTACTGTATTATATCGAACTGTATGCTTACGTTAGTAGATAATAGGATTTTTTATGTTCCCCGAGCCTGTCCACCGCCGGCTTCTCGTCAACTGGAGAGAACGGACGAGGCGATCTCACGCTACATAGCCTCGACACGGTAGCCATGTTTAAAGGGAACGGGAGATAGCGAGACTGGGACATGATGAAATTGACAAGGAGTTGGAGTTGAAGGATTTCCTTGGGATGTAGGTTAGAAGGACGCTCGCTTGGGTTCCTCTTCTACGAGCAGGGAAAAATGTGAAGGCAGGTTTGAGAAGCACCACCAGGCAGAGGCAAAGACGAAATACCAAATTTTGGCGCTTGAGAGTTCTACTTCTCGGCAATCCGGCACTTGGTCTTGGCGCCCGACTTGGAGGATATTACATAAGGCAACTAGTCATGGTAGAGGAATAGGTATTCTTATGTTTTATGTTGCATTTTGTGACGGGCATTATGTTGCATAGTGTCAGATGAGAAGACATAGGCAGCATTGGTTTTCCTCCGGTGCCCTTTAATGCAGTGGTGGGCGCGCATAACACCACTAAGAACATCTGCTTAGGTGCATAGGCAACCTACCTATGCTTTTAGAGCGGATTGAACCCGGGAGCTGTCAGGTCCAATAACTGCCCCCTGAGCACTTACTCAGACCTCGTCCGGCCATGGACTAGAGTCAACTAAACACCCCTCTAGATCCGACTTGTCGTCGTCCGAATCCCAATTCCCAATCGGCTCGTGCTCGCCAATCCCTCCCTCCGCTATGTCGCCCCGGAGCCAAGTGAAAACGTTCCTAGCCGGCCCACCACTACCGAGACTTGGTCCCCGAAATCCAGGCCCTCATTATCGGCGGCAATCCTATCGTCCCCACCCACCGGGAGGTCACGCAGCTCCGGCGCGGAAAGCAATTGCGGGGAGGTACACCAGCCGACACTCGTTAGGTCGCGAGATCCTGTAGGCGCTAGAACGAGCCTTCGGGACGCACTCTTGAACGAAAGACGTGCGCGTTCCGGTCTGAGAGGCGGTGCTGAGATCGACTTTCCACCATTTTAATGGCGACGTGCCTCGGCGCTTGTAACGAAGGCGTCAAAAGCTAGAGAGATTCGAGGTTCGGATTCCGTTCTATTGGCGTGTTATTGAGAGGACGCGCCGGCCGGTGGCCTTTGAGGAGTCGGGGGACACGAACCGGCCATTCAGCCAAGCTCCGCAGACGTCGCAGGCTACCTCGAGCTAGAGGAAGATGCTATTCGACACGACTTTTACTCCCCCCGCATTAGGCCCGTCCATCGTGCCAAGGGTAGGTATATATGCTCAACTCGATTAAGCACCAGGACAGGATTATGGTGACTTTTCTCTGCGTAGGAAGCTAGGCAAATTTACGTGTCGTTGATAAGGTCGGTAAACGAGCATTGGTGGCCGCTGAGACAGGTTGAACGGAGTCCTACCTTGTAGATACCCCCATCTCGTGTGGCATATGCCACTGCGCTATCAGGTATGGGTTAGGTGCCAGAACAAGGTGGCACTCGCACTCACTACGTTAGGTGCTGACATCGTGCGCGGGCGTCGCGGTATATCACCACATGGGGCGCCTTGCCGCGAACAGGCGTCTCACCGCGCAGCCACGCCGCACGGCCACATTTGCAGCCGGAGACCTTCGTAGATGTGCTATCGTCGCCAGGATTAGTGAGACGAATTGCCTGGCGCAGGATGCTGACCGCGAGTACCGATCGCAGTGGCTCGGAGGAAAATCGGGTGATGCCGCTCTCGTGCCAACTCCGAGGGAAGATTCCAGAGTGTGTCTCGGGGTAGCAGAATTGTCGAGCAAGCTGCCTTGCATAGTCCATACGTAGGTACACCGTGGCATCCTACACGGCGTGGCGGGTGCATATTGGGTCTCGTAACTCGGGTCGGGAGTAGGCGCATAGATGCCAAACTGGCCGAAGAGAGATTGGGGTAAGGGGATAGCGACGCCGCAAGCGATAGCTATTGATAGCATGGATATTGCGGTCGGCGGTTTGGATGGACGGTGTCGATATAACAGCGCCTGCGTGAAGGGCGATATCGATTTTAATTGTACAGTACGCCGCAGGGGTTTTGCAGGCTGGATTAATTCCACGGTCTGCGCCCTTAACTCCACGCCTGTACGAAGCCTGTACGAAGTAGAAGCAGACTTAGGCTTTGCTTCCCCCGCCAACATGAAGCCTCCAGAAGCGACACGCGGAAAAAAAAAAAGGAAAAAAAAAAGAGAAACCCCCCCCCCCCCGGACGTGTCTAAAATTGAAGAGAGCTAAGCCGGAACAGGCATGATGTGGAGAAATGATCGTGGAATTGATCGTCCATACCGTAGAATTAACCGATCTAGTTTTACAGGCTCGCCCCCGAAAAAAAGGCTTTTTTTTTTCCCCCTACACAACCAATCGCCAATATCCATCCACCAAACCGGCCGGTCCTCTCCTGCGCCTGAGACACGTACGCAGACCCATCCCCCCTCGTCAGAAATTCTGATAAATAGGTCCGCGAGCCGATGCTCTCTTCATTCTTTTTAGAATTGCTTACCCCTTTCCATATCGATCCATGGGGGTCCTTCGGCGGAGCGGGCGCTACTTCTTTACTGTATACAACAGTATTATTCAGCCTCGAAAAGCCTTGCTCCCCATGTCCATGTCCAAATTCACCGATCTTCTAGCATGGGTCGACGAGGAAAAGAGGGCAGAGGAGGTCCCCATGCATGAGCGGCACGCGGATATCTTCGTCAACACGCCGCTCTTCTCGGCCGCTGTCGACAAGTTCGTCCACTCGCAGCTCCCGAAGACGGAGACGGCATCAGGTCTTATCCCGCACTATGGACTCCTAGGCATCCGGGAGGAGCCGACAACAGGCAGCGCCTCGGCAGAGGACCGGCTGGTTCTATCCAATATGAATATGCCGTGGTCGGCATTCATATGCGGTTCTCAAGGTGCGGGCAAGAGCCATACGTTGTCTTGTCTGCTGGAAAACGCGCTCCTGGTGAACCACGCCAGTACCGAGAAACCCAATCTTCTGACCGCCATGGTGATGCATTACGACCGTTATGCTAGCCACAATTCGTCTCAGGTCTGCGAGGCGGCATATCTCTGCTCGTCCGGCATCCCCGTGACCGTCCTTGTATCTCCGTCCAACATATGGGCGATGCACCGTTTGTACAGCAATCTGCCAGGCTTACCTCCCGCGTCGCCTCCTCCTAAAGTGTTCCCTTTATACCTCGACGAGGACCAGCTAGATATCTCCAGGATCCTGAGGTTGATGGCCGTGAACCCCGACTCAAAAAACCCTCCCCTCTATATGGAGGTGATAATGAATCTTGTTCGTGGGATGGCGATGACGGGGAGGCGGTTTACGTACTCGAAATTCAGAGCAGAACTGGATAAAATAAAGTGGCTTCAAGGGCAAAAAGGGCCGCTAGCGCTCCGCCTGCAACTTCTGGATACCATGATTAAGCCCTCGTCGAAGACCGCGACGCCTAGGCCCGCGCCAGCCCCGGAGGATATATGGGCGTTCAAACCAGGGACTCTGACTATCATCGACTTGAGCGATCCGTTTTTGGGGTCGGACGATGCCTGCACACTATTCTCGATCTGCCTGTCCATCTTTCTCGAGAACAGGAGCAAATGCGGGCGCGTCGTGGTTCTCGATGAAGCGCACAAGGTACTACCTACCATAGAAAGTTACCGCATAACGTCGGAGACGATGGACGGAAGAGAGGAAAAAGGGGAAAAGAGGAGCTAACTGAATTTGATAATAGTTTTTGACCCAGACGGGTGAAGCCCAAATACTCACGGACGACTTGCTGTCAATCATCCGGCAGCAAAGGCATACTGGCACCCGCGTGATCATCGCAACTCAGGAACCCACGCTCTCCCCAAGCCTTCTAGATCTGTCAAATGCAACCTTTGTGCATCGGTTCGTGTCGCCCAGCTGGTACGAGATGCTGAAACGCCATCTCGCTGGCGCCGACAAACTAGATCGCGGTGGGACGAACGTCCTATTTGAGACTATCGTCGGTCTTCAGACAGGAGAAGCTTTACTGTTTTGTCCCACAGCACAAATAGACACGCGACAGGCGGAAGATAACAGCGAACAGACGATGAAACCCCTTGGAGACAGCTACGTCAGGCTGAAGATCCGAAAGCGTATCACGTCAGATGGCGGAAAGAGTATCATGGCTTCGGATGTGTCTGCCGACGTCCCAGTACATAAACCCGTCGGGGGGGTGCCGATGTTTGGCGGACCGGGAGAACCAAAAAAGGTGCGGAAGCGGAGTGGTTCTAGAGAGGATATCGATGACGAGGACACCGATGACGAGGACAGCGATGACGGCGATGCTGATCCGACATCGATTAAGTTCTGGGATACGGAAGGTGACGACTCAGATGGCCAGGGTGAAGAATCCTCCGGTGACGGCGAAGTCACATCGGAAGACGGCCAAAAGATGCCAAGTTTTTCCAAAATCAGGGAAATAATTTTTCGCCAGGGAGAAGCTCTGGTCCTTAGAGATCCTACATTGAACTTAAAACTCCCGGATGACGTGAAGGTAGAGATTATCGCAGAGGCTGAAGAAATACTTGGGCTGAAGGAAGAGACGCTTACGAACGGGGAGAATCTACCGGAGAAGCTAAGGGGCCCGATGACATCGCTTTACGACACCGATCTTCGCAAACACCTCGTAAGCACGATCGGTCCCAACGTACATTATTTCGTATGCTAACGACCACCCGATAGCGTCTATTTCGTTACCAAATCCGGATGAAACAGGAGAACAAGGGGAAGAAGAAGAAGAAGAAGGGGAAGAAAAAGGCCTAGTTGGAAGGACAAGGAGGTGATGTACGTTACTGGATGGATGCTGTACCAAAAGGACCCGGAAGAGGGAGGAAGGAGAAGCAGCAGATATATCCTCGGACAAGATACCACTACACTCAATTTCCCCTCCCATCGCACGCCTAGGATAAACACGGAACCAGGCTCGAGGGGCAGTCGTGAAGGAGAAGTCGATGGTGATGACACCGCTAAGAACTGCCACCGAATCGCACTTCTACTCGTATAGGCACGAAACGGCCGGCATCGCTACGAGGGGGGGATGGACGGCTACGAGTCAGTCGCCAAGACTGAAGAGGAGAGAGGGCACTACGCGTTTGATCGCGCATATGTAGATGCGGACCGCGACCAAGAATGTGTTCATACACAGAGAGTCCGGCCATGGCAGGGCATATCATCTCTGCCCTCTGTTCCTTGAGATTCTCAGCTTGGTGCCTGCTGTTACGTCAACCGGCTGCATCCCCGCATCAGTGCGCTAGATGGGGGGGGAAGGGGGGGTGGCACTGCATCGCCACACAATGAACCCCTCTATCGACGTACCTGCGAATCAGTAGGTACCTAAGGAGGCACCTAATCTAAGGTTCTTTGCGGCTAGGTACCTAAGGTACCTAGGTACATGTACATTACTGCCATGACAAGCCACATTATGGAATACTTCCATGAGATCCTCTGAGTCCCCATGTACCTACACATATAAAAAGCAGAGCAAGCTACATACCTGTCATATACCCCAGGGACCTAGGTAGGTACCTAGGTACCTTTAGGCATGTAGGGATCTGGTATTTGCATATATCAAGTTGATGCATGGATGCATCCATCAACAATTGTGCGTTTTGGCGGTTCCTTTCGTGGCCTCGCTGCCTTAATTGTAAGGCATGCAAGACGTGTTGAAAGCTGAACCTAGTTGTTGTTGAATTGAAGGTGTAAAAACTAAACTGCTAAAAGGGCTTAAATACAGCGTTTTACGAACAGTTAGCTGTTGCGTGTTTTTCCTCAATTCCACCAATCACAGGCCTCCATTCTGGATGCCTGAGGATCCACACAATGCGCAAAGACAGATTGGTTGCCTTGCTGCTCTTATGACGCATTTTCCTCATTTCTCTTCCTTCATCGCCAAATCATACCAAACCCACCCATTACGCCCGCACGGAATATAAGACCCGCGTGTCGACGACGCTGAGAGCGACAGCATCCCCCCCTCCCATGTCCTCCTCAATCTAACCGCCCCCTCCTCCTCCTCCCTGAACATCCGAATATTTTAGCCTCTTCCCTTCTCTACGCAGCCTTGGTACTGGCTACACCATCGCCATCCTTGCCAACATCATCACCATCATTCGCCCCTCACCTCTCTCTCATCGACGTTGTGTCGCTATCGCGATATCGGTCATCGCAAGCTCTACTACCTCTGGACAACATGTTTGTCCTCAAAAATGGTGAGTGTTACCGCCCCAATGCTGTTGCCCAGCGACCGGCCCGTTTTACTGTCGAGACGGGGGAGGCAGTGGGCGACCCCCCGCTCCAGTTGTTGTAACCTTTTTCTTCATCTTGCTGTTCACCCCCTCTCTCCTTCGCCTCATTTACTTCGACTGAATTCCCCTCCGTTGACCCGGATATGGGTGCGTAGCTGACGTAGATAACCTCCCCTGTCAAGTTGGCAAGCTCATCTTTGGCAGCAGCAGCCAAGAGTCCATGATCGAGTTGCCCCAAGGTCAACTCTACCTAGTCCGACCCCTCTCACCGAAAGGCTACTCCGAGCTCATCTTCAAGGACGCCACCGCCCGCATCCGCCGTACTGGTCAAGAGTTCCAGTACCAGCTTGTCGTGCAGCGAGTTTACGAAGAAGGCGAGGCTGAGCTGCTTGACGACGAGGAAGGCGAAGACGAAGAGCTCAACTCTCTCGCTGCCGAGAAGGACGAGAAGACTTTCCTGCTTGACGAGGCCCTCCACTTCCGTGTAGAAAACCGAGAAGATTCGCAGAAGGTGCTTGCCTGGAAGGACTTGAGTGGAGACGCCGGCGACGTCTACGAGTTTGTCTGCGACCCTTCTACCAAATCCGCCCAGGTGGAGACCTTCGAGCACATCGCCAGACAGTGCCAGTACGAGCGCAAGTACCGAAAGCCCCACAGCACCGCGTCCGAAGCCGATCTACAGCAGTTTGACTTTGAGGCACAGCCCATCCCCCAAGCCAGTCCCATCCACAGCCCGACCCTCGCCCGGTCTATCGACTCCTCTGACGCCATGTTCCAACTGAAGAACGAGACCAACACTAGCGCCAAACGAGACCGTGCGCCGCCGGCCGCCGCCTCGCGACTCGCAGAATCAGAATCGGAGTCTGAACCATACCCCAAGCAAGCGGTCGAAGAACCCAAGCCCCCTAAAGCGATGGGGCCTCCGAAGCCTCCGGCCCAACCCGAGCCGCTGGAGATCTTTTCCATGGAAATCGCCGAACTTCATTTCTTCGACTTTCCTTCGGGTGCCTTCGTCCTCCAGGACGCCTCAGTTACGGCCCAGGTCTCAGACGTCGGGAAGTGGAATTATTGGATGCACATTGCTAGTAAAGATCGTGAATGGCTTGGCGTCCCCGTCACTGCCGATATCAACCCCGTATTCAACTTTGAGTTCCTCTCGTTTATTTTCAACCAGTTTACCGAGGATGGCTCTGCCTACTCTTGGCTACTGAGGTTCAAGGACGGCAAGACGCTGGAGGCATTCCAGGACGGCTTGATGAGGGCTCTCTGGGAGCAGCTGAACGAAGTCAAATGGGCCAAGGTCAAAGAACAGGATCGCCAGTACGTCCTGGATGCTTTCGAGGATCTGAAGATGGACGACGCCCCTATCGAGGAAGAAGAGGAGTTGGAAGCTGGAGAACCCGAGGAGCCGGAGGATGATGCGCCCCGAAGTGAGCACTACGACAGCGAAGAGGAGCAGGACGACGTCGAGACCCAACCTAAAGATAACTACACAAACTCCGCGCTCGCCGTCGGGTACAGGCAGGATCGGTCGTACGTGGTGCGCGGTCCCAAGATCGGCGTGTTCAAGAGCAATCGCGACAACCATCTGGAGTTCACCACCAACATATCCAAGGTCGACACTCCGGCAGGCAAATCTTTCGTCCCCAAGAAAATCATGCTGCACAACGAAGATCGGAACCTGATCCTACAGAACGAGACGGATCCCAACAAACTGTATCGCATGGACCTCGAATACGGGAAGGTTGTCGACGAATGGAACGTCCACGACGACATTCCTGTCGTCACCTTCGCCCCCGAGAACAAATTTGCCCAGATGACGCACGAGCCGACCTTCCTAGGTATCTCCCGCAACGCGCTATTCCGCGTCGACCCCCGCCTGGCCGGCAACAAGCTGGTCGAATCTCAGCTCAAGCAGTATGTCTCCAAGAACGACTTCTCGGCGGTCTCTACCACGGAAAAGGGGTACGTGGCTGTTGCTTCGAACAAGGGCGATATTCGGCTATTCGACCGTTTGGGTATCAATGCGAAGACTGTGATTCCCGCCCTCGGCGAGCCCATAATCGGTCTAGACGTGTCAGCGGACGGTCGCTGGGTCCTCGCCACTTGCCGCACATACCTGCTCCTAGTCGACGCGTTGCAAAAGTCGGGCAAGAACGAGGGAAAGCTGGGCTTCGAGAAGCCTTTCGCTGCGGATTCGAAACCCCAACCCCATCGTCTCGCGCTGACTCCCGAACACGTGGCCCAATTCCACCACGAGACAGGGAAAGGCGTCTCGTTCACGCCCGCGCGATTCAACGCGAGCAAGGAGAACGGGGAGACGTCCATCATCACGGCGACCGGGCCGTACATCGTGAATTGGAACCTGGAGAAGGTGATCCGCGGCCTCAAGGCGCCGTACATCATCAAGCGCTACGAGGACGTGGTCAGGGCCGACGACTTCAAGTTCGGCACCGACCAGAACGTCATCGTCACGCTGCCCAACTGGGTCAACATGGTGCCGAAGCGGCAGCTCAAGCGGCCCACGCGGGAGAGCATCGCCGGCGACTTCCAGCGCGCGGGCGCCGCCCGACGAAGCTCCGGGCGGGTCGGCACGCGAGAGAGCGGCCGGTACAAGCTCGGCAAGGACGAGGTGGTCAACTCGCCATACTAGGAAGGCGATAGTAATTCTTGGAGCGCGCGTCTCTAACCCGGTATCGGCCGAGGCGCGAGAACCGGGATGGGTCCGAGGGAGAGGAGTCTATTCGTGTGTGTGTGACTTTGCGGATGAGTAATGGATGGTATGTTACGAAAAGAGAGAGAGAGACAGAGGATGCGTGTATGTATGACAGAAGACCAATAATAGCGCGCGCGCGCTAGTTTCTACGATAGGTACCGCCCGGTCCGGCCCCCCTTGCCGTACGGAGTTTCGGACGGAGAAGGGCAGGCCTGGTCTGGCCGGGTGTTTGATGCGCAGGAAAGGCGGGGGGGGGTTAGGCTGTGTTTTTTTTTTTTCCCTTCTTGCGATGCTTCACCAACTAATCCATGTTTGGCTCTGGGTGAGATACCCGCCGTGTACGCCAGCACGGAATCGACGAAGCCCACGACGACGAGTCGGCGTAGGTAGTTTCGGTAGTTAGCTAGCTGCCTAGGTAGTAATAAAGACAACCTCCCTGTGTTGTGTATCGGGGGGGGGCGGGGGGGGGGGGGGGAGATCGGGGAAGCCAAGTCGGCCTGTTGTCGGATTCCGGGGCGGCGCGTCCTGGTGGCGTTGGGCGGTCGAGTGCGCGGGACCCGTAGTAGGCGCGCACTTGTGCAGCTAAGTGTGTACAACCGCTGGAGCTTACGCCGGCGCCGTGTCCTGGGAAACAGACAGAGAGGAAAGACGGAGACTAGAAGCTCTCGGGCTCAGACGGTAATTGTATATATAGATAATACTTACTGTCCTGGGTAAGACGGAAGAAATCCGCAATCGGGCTCCACGCGAGCATTCCCAACTTGCGCGAGAAGAAATCGGTTTTTATATTTTGTTTCGTTTCCCTCCTCCAGCTACCTAACCTATGTACATGTCTGTCCACACAGAATCCAGGAACTGCTCCCGTGCCCGCATGTATATCTAGCACTACCTATAATATCCCGCGAAACTCCAGTCCGGTCCGTCACCCGTCCCTCGTCTCTCTCGTGCGCAGTCTTTTTTTTCTCCTTTTTTTTTTTTTTGCTCTTGCTTTTTAATCTTTTCGTTTAGGCTTTTGTTTGGGGCGGGGCAGAGGGAGTTTTTTTTTCTTCTTCTTTTACTCGTACGCTTTGTCTATTCGATCCCCCCCCTGGCTCCCGTATCGCTGTCCATAGGTATGTCCCCATTGTCCGCCCGAGATGCATCATCTAAAACCACCACCCCCACTCCTAACTACCCGAGAAGGGCGAGGAGAGAGTGCGAGGGCGCGAGAGCTATCGCGACGCGGCAGCATCCGCGCCCGCGCGCGCGTAGGTAGGTGTAGGTAGGTACTTTTACTTGAGCGAGCCGAGCGCGCCGCCCGAAGGCGCGGCGGAACTCGTGGCGACCTTGACGCTCTCGAAGACGCCCGAGAGGGCGCGGCTGCCGTCGTCGCCGAGGACGGGGCGGGCGTTGGGCGGGGACTTGCTGTCGACGCCGTGGCTGTCGGCGCTGCTGACCTTGGTGAGCTCGTTGACGAAGCTCTGCCCCCACCAGGCGGACGTGTACTTGAAGATGTAGCGCTCGAGCTTGCGGTAGTTGGCCTCGCGCATCTCGGCCGACATGGTGACGGCGTCGTGGATCGCGTTCGCGAGCTCCTCCGTGTTCCACGGGTTGACTATGAGGCTGCCGTTGAGCGACTGCGCCGCCCCCGTGAACTCCGACAGGATCATGACGCCGTGCCGGCTCTGCTGCGTCGCGATGTACTCGTACGACACCAGGTTCATGCCGTCGCGCGTCGAGCTCACTAGACACACGTCCGAGACGGCGTACAGCGCGCACAGCTCGTCAAACTGCACGCTCTGGTGCAGGAAGTGGATCGGCATGAACTCGACCGTGCCGAAGCGGCCGTTGATCCGCCCGACGAGCTCGTTGACGACCGCCCGCAGGTTCTGGTACTCCTCGACGTCCTGCCGCGACGGCACCGCTACCTGCACGAGTACGATCTTGCCAATCCACTCTGGGTGCTCTGTCAGAAAGACCTCGAGCGCGTGCAGCTTCTGCGGGACGCCCTTGATGTAGTCGAGGCGGTCGACGCCGACGATCAGCTTCACGCCCTCGAACTTGCGCGACAGCGACGCGATGCGCTCCTGGACTTTGGGCCTCTTGAGTCCCTCGACGAACTTCTCCGGGTCGATTCCGATCGGGAACGCGCCCACGGTCACGAACCTCTCGCGGTACTCGACGCCGTTGGGCGTCGTCGCCGCCTCGAGGATGCGCGAGCACGAGCTCAAGAAGTGGCGGGCGTAGTCGTAGGTGTGGAAGCCGATCAGGTCACATTGCAGGAGACCCTCCAGCAGGGCTTCGCGGACGGGCAGGATGCGGTAGATCTCGCTGCTCGGGAAGGGCGTGTGCAGGAAGAAGCCGATCTTGATATCCTTCTTGTCGCCGAGCTCGTTGCGCAGCATCTCGGGGAGCAGCATCAGGTGGTAATCGTGGACCCAGATCAGATCGCCATCCTGGACATCCTTGACGACAGTCTTGGCGAATAACATGTTGACCTCCTTGTAGGCCGCCCATGCGTTCTCGTCGAAGGTGATCTCTCCGGGATGGTAGTGAAATAGCGGCCAAAGGATCGAGTCTGCAAACGACAGCGTCCGTTAGCAAAGGCGAGGGTAAGGGGGGATGATAGTGGGACAGACGCACTAGAAAATCCGTTGTAATGTCTATCGGCGAGTTCGTCATCGACGAAGATGGGATGCGCGTTGTATTGTTCCTTGAGCTGCTGCTTGACGACGGGGATCTCGGCTTCGGGGACCTCGAGGCCGGGCCAGCCATACCACTGGAAGCTGGTGGTCTTGCTCAAGCCGCTTAGGCCGGTGACCAAGCCTCCGGAAGACATGGAGAAGCTATAACTGCCTTCATCCTTCCGTTTTATGGTGATGGGGAGCCGATTCGAGATCAGGAGCAGTCGGCGGTCGCCAGTAGAGGGGGTCTCGCCCTCGTCAGCCGACGGCATGGTCACTGGGCGGTAGGGAGGGCCGTCGCACGATTGCGTTACCCGAATCTCGCCAGCTACGGCAGCGCCAGGTCCTCGGTGGTGGCAATCGGTGGCGATCCGCACGGCACGGTGACTTGGGCGATCGGGTCCCGAGATGGAGGACAGATGTCTGAGCGGGAAGGACGGAGAGCTGTAGTTGGATGCGGGTAGGGAGGTGTAGCTAGGACAGGGCAGGTAAGCAGGCGAGCGAGCGGGACAGGCAAAGCGGATGGCCAAGAGAGCGAGTGGTTAGCAGACTGCCAGGCGTGCCGGGTATCGATTAGCCGCGGTAGCGTTGGCCGATTCGACCTATAGAGGAGGCTAGCGGCCAGAAGCGGAGAATGTGCAGCATAAGAGGAGGCAGCACGGGTAAGAAGCGGGAGCTGTGATTCGTTCCAGGCGGCCGGTCGCGTTTCTTCGGTGGGTGGACGGGCAGACAGGTTGGTTTGCTCGAGCGAGGCAGGCTGATGGATGACGAGGGATAGGGAATCTGACGGTGGTGAGGAAGGGAAAAGGGGGGGGAGGGGCGGCGGCGGCGATCCGGAGAAGAAATAGGGAGACACAGGGAGGGGGGTCTGCACGTTAGCTGTGCGCACCCGCGTGGGTGTGAAGGGTGAATCAGCGTGCTGGGTAGGAGACAGAGAGAGCGTGTGGTGATGATGACGGTGACGATGCTTTCCCATAGGCGGGGCAGCCTTGGAGGGGTGGAGACGATGGAGTGAGCGTCTGATGAGGGGCCAGCAGATTCCATCGCAGACGCACACATGTAGAGGTATACACACCTACACACGTCTACTTGTCATGTACATACCTCACGTCGCGCCTCTCCGACTCAGAACAGGTACCTACAGTAACAGGTACCGATATCGAGAGGCCAGGTACCCGTCCTCCTCTGAGCGCCATCTAGGAAACCTAGGTACCTTGGGCCCGTCGTAGTCTCTCGGAGGTACGTAATTCGGTACCTCGGCCACCTCCCTGGGGACCGATGGATGGAAGGGAACTCTGTCCCGGCCCAGTACTGAATTGGGCCGTCCCTCGACGCGTGCATGTGTGGGTACATGAAGAGGTGTAGATACAGGTACCTACGCACGTAGGTACCTATATAATTACATACAGGGATAGGTACGTCATGCCGAAATGGCCTTCGTGCGCCATCGAGATGACGGTTACGAGCGAGGGCAGCGTGGGAAATGCCTCACAGCAATCGATCCGGTAAGGCTCGTCCGTGAGTCAAGAGGACCGGCCAGGCTCGACTAGCGGTAGTGCGCCGGCCTACATCCGTATACACCAACCTGCCACGCAGTAGGTACCACTTACCTAGTACTCTCAATTCGCACGCCTTCTTTGGCGGGGCATGGCGGGGCATGGCGGGGTTACGGTGGGGCGCTGCCGGGGGCGCTGTCAGCTGTCAGGCTGCTGTTGTGCCAGCAGTCACCAGTTCTTCATGCGACCTCACTCAGGTATCTGGGCATCATAGGTATCTACTCCGCTCTAAGCTTGGATTTGTATTAAAACATTCTCCGATACATTTACAACAGTATTGCGGTTCAACATGACCATGGCTCCTCTTACTGTAGCAGCATATGTCCCAACCGTGGATGGGCTGGCTGCCTAACGAGACCAAGCACCTAGGTAGCATTGCAGAGATTGGGATCCTTGATAGCGATCGTGGAAGAGGAAGAAATATTAATAGAGTCTAGGTTGCGCTCGGCGCTTACGGGCCCATGCAGTCTTGGTTGGGATAGCAATGACAAGAACTCCAAGAACTCTCGTGGGAGAGGCCTGCTGCTTCTAGAAGCTACCTCGAGAAAAAAAAAAGAAAGGACTGGTGATACCTCCCTCGACTCTTCACAAAGGAGACTGTTCCACCCTCGCCATCTAGCTCATCCGGAGATCTGTGGCATAGATAGGAGCTACAGACCGGCGCGCCATCCGCACAGTGTTTCCAAACGTCGCCAGAGGAATATTCCCATGGAAACAAAAAGAAGAAAAAATATATAACGAAACGGGGACGTGATCATCTCCTTTCCCGGCATATTTCGAGTCGCTTCGCCCAGACCTGGCCTTGTACGTATAGAACTCCCCCTGCACACCTTCGGCCCGACACCTTTCCTCCCGCCGGCCCCTTTTCGTCTAAGCCGCAGGTGTATCGCCAATCACACAGCATGCAGCCGCCTGGTCGGGTGAACAACTCGGCCCTTCCCGCGGGAGGCGGCCTACCATCCGGGCCAGAACGCCCGTCTCTTACCGTTGCTGCTAAAAGTGGGTTAGAATAAAATATATTTCCGCGCGTCTTATCGATCTGGGGCCGAGGGAATCTACTTTCGTTACCAGGGCCCGTATATGTCGGCTGATTCAGCCACATGTATGGCAACGCTTCTGAGATAAGGTGTCCCTCTCAGGCTCGAAGTATCGGCTGAGGACTGTCAGTCCTGTCGGCCTTGTCAAGACGATGGCTCGAAGGATCTCGACGCCATCTTCTCTCAAAGATCTCGAAGGCGACGGCTTGGGGCATCTCGGGGGCATCTCGGGAGCGTGTCGAGGGTGGTGGCTCGAATTCATTTTCAAGGCGCCTCGGCGAATTTGCCCTCCGGCTACATTGCGTAAGTTTGGGCAGACAAATCGCGGTTTACCCTCACCCTTGAATACCAAGCCCCCAAACCGAGGCGAAACTGGCCGCCCCGGGCCAAAAATCCCGGCTCTGCCAGAAAGCGCAAGAGTAACCGATCCCGGAAAAAGCCCAAGAGAGAGGACGGTGATAATAAGCATATCTTAGGGGCGATTGGCTCAGTTGGTAGACTGACATGTGGAAGGGTGACTTTTGATGGTGATGTAAAGTGGGTTGTGCGTGCACGCAGGGGGGGACTGTAAGGAGTAGGGTCCGCTCGTTGACGATGGGAAAAGCTGGCGTTTTATCAGGGAACGCGCAAAGGTAGTTTCGGAGATGGTGGGTGCTGTAACAACGCCCCGCATCTCCTCACGGCGCTCTCCCCGGAGTCAGTTCTGGCGTGCTTGTTGATGCGGCCGACCTGGCCGCCTCTGGTACCTATCTGCGTAAGGTGTGTAATGTCGGCTTCAGATCCTATATCCTATGCCAAGAATCCCGAACGAACGGCTTACAAATCTGTTTCTTTTCTAGCAATGTATCCCATCATTCCTAGGTGCCTCCCTAATATATTACTGCCGTTGGTACCAGCCTGGCCGCTCTCCCGCAGTGGTTATCTTCGTACCAGTGGCAGGTCGCCGGAGGATCGCTTTTTTACTCCACCTCTGTCCGATATCTCACGGCCTCGGTGCCTCCCCCACCCGGCCTCCTTGATTTGCCAGCCGTAGCCGGTGCTTCCACGGTAATTTGGCAGATTGGCGAATGCCTCTCTGCCTACCAAAACCTTCTTGAATTTTACTCTATCCGTTGACCCACCTGTGCGTTTGGCAAGGTTTGCTTCCGTTGCTTCGTAATCACTTAGCCATCTAAGGGCATAGGAAACGTTGAAAGCTGAACCTAGCTGCTGATCTATCAGGAGGAGATCCAGGTCCTAGAATTGCGAAATAACGAGCTTTTTCAGTTGAATAGGCAAGCGTTGCAAGAGCTCAGTCAACAGTATGCTGACCAATTGGATGCCTCAGGATCCACACACCCACAGTTGACTCATTTTGCTTATGACAAACATTTCTACTAAGCTCTGCTGCACACACAACCCGAGACCTTCCACTCCTAACTAATATAAATATGTTGCGTAAAACGTAGACGCCTACATTATACTCTGTGCGGTATGTAGGCATATCGCGTAAAACGTAGACGCCTACATTTACGCTCTGCGGTATGTAGGCATATAAGGGCTGGTTCAATTGCTACGTGGCAAAATATTATATAGCCTCCCTTCCTACTATTCCTACGCTTTATTCTCCTTCAACCACCCTATCCTTTCCCATTTACACTTGCCGTGCTCCGCACAATCGTCCTCGCCTTTCAAAACTCCATTCCAAGCCACCGATACAACGCGAGTCCGTCATGACCAGACGCATCCTCTGCCCGGCGTCAGAAGCGAGCGCGACTGCCCGACAGGTACCTCGCAAGCCGGGTTTTACGTCCATTTCTCGCGCATCCTACTCTTCCTCCTCGTCTTCCTCCTCCTCGATCTCTGACGAAGAGGTGGTCGATATCCCGGAAGTCTTCAATTCCCGGGAGACTTTGGAGTTCTGTGGGCTCAATTCCGAGGTTTCAGCCCTCATCTTCGACTCTTGGGAGAGGCTACAACAAACCCCAGGTGAGCTGGGGTATGGAAACGACATAATCACGGAGGCAAAGCATTTCGTTAGAGCAATGGGCGAGCGGGAGGATGCTTGGCTTCCGGAACATGATTGGCGACGTGCTCTGGTCGGGATGGGTGCAACTCAGCGGCTTTGCGATGCTATCCTGGATAGTGCTTTCGCTCATCTCAGAAAGACACAATCCGCTTCCTACTGGGTTCTGGACACTATTGACATCTCTTGGGAGTTTCTCGAGGGACTCGATAAGAGAATCCGCAAGAAGCGGGATGAGACGAGGGATCTTGTCACCCCCTCACCGAGCATCCAGCCGGGACTCTTAGGTACCTACCGCGGACCTTCTGTCCTCAGGACAGCTACCATCGATGCTGTCCCGTCGAGCGTGGAGGGAAGGACTATGCTTTTTAAGGGGGGCGCCATGGCCGGGTTGGTGTCGGTTTTCAACGATGACGGGTCTCTTAACCTGGCCCGACTTTGGTCACGTAACCCGACGGATTTCCATCGTTGCAAAGATGTTTTGCTGTACTTCACTAAGCACGTCGACGTTGCCGAGATTTACGCCGACTACACCATGCGTCGTGTCTCTCCTGAGGAGGGGGTGGTCCTTCATTTTGCCGTCCCGTCGGAGCTCCTCGAGGACCACCGAGAGATTTTTGACCCCGAATGGCAGCAGCTAGTATTCTGGTCTCGAGGCCCGGCTAGTTTCGACAGATTATCCGTCCCTCCTCACCTCACTCAGTTCACGGATGCCCCGCTTCTCATTGGCTGTATTTACGGGATGCCCAATAAGGCGGTCGCTAGACTTGACAGGTCCTCCGATCTTACTGGTCAGTACATGAAGACGAGAAATGGAGGAAATGCAACTCAGTATGTCTTCCAGACTGAGGCTATTCAGATACAGCTCCAGAACCAGTGTCGTGGCTGGGTCTGGTACCAGTCTATGCGGTACGCGAGGGACTTCGCTATGCGGTTCTTGCCGCCTGATGAGGCTTGAGGAAATGGCTGGGCGGTGGACATATATGGATGAGAGCTGAGGGGAATAAAAGGTTCTATGAGGAAGTGGTGTCGTGTGAAACGTAGACGCCTACATTTACGATGGCGCGCATACAGACTTGTATGACATTAATAGTGGACGTTCACGGACGAGGGCTGACTTGGAGGGGGATGGGATGAGGTGTTTTCATGCATCTCAGTGGGGATTAAGGAGGTTGCGGCGCTGGTTTTATGCACATTAGAGATACCCTCGTCGAAACGGCATTGAGTATCAATACCAGCACATTTCGTTAGGATCCAAAATTAGGCACCCTGCCCAATTCTAGGCCACCTGTCTATGTGTAAGTAAAATGGCAAGCAGGCCTAGTCAAGGTGGTCACAATGATGTTAAGCAAGAACTGGGGAGAGCGTAAGACTTCAACCTGACCTTCGCAAAGAAAGGCCGAAGGCCTGATACTTACCTAAGTACAAACGAGAGCCGTAGCAAGCAGGTAGAAAGCCACTGCGGCTAAATTCAAACCAGCTTGAAAACCGGGCAAGCTATTATCGGAACATTACGCCGGGCCAATGTTTCACGTCGAACTTATACCTCTACTCTTCAGTCACCGAGATCACCAGGTCTCAAACTTCTGGACTATATAGTCGGAGGAAATATCCTAGAGTAGCTGTGGGGGGAACAGCGTCCCACGCTACGTTAAATTAGTGAGATATATCACGAAGTACGGAGGGTAATAACGATCATAAGCATCGCATAGGTAACCATGTCGATAGGAAGCAGGAATACAGAAGGGAGGGCATATCGCGGTCGACGGAATCTCTCGCACGTATTTAATGCGGACGACTCTCTATCGCCTCACCACTAAAAGCTAACTACATTGTAGGGATAAGCAATCTAGTATATAACAAGGTAGGTAATATCTACTGACAAGCGTCATTATAATTGTCAGTATATTAACTACTTCGCTGCTACCTTTCCTTCGTCAGTCAAGCCGTCGCGCATCACTCGTAGTCGTCTTCCGCCATCTCCATATCGTCAAAGTACAAACTGCGGCCGCGTCTATCAGCGAGGTTCTGGAGTCTTCTCGCCTGCAGTGCTTGTTCTACCCCTGAATACAGTCCAAACGGGGTAGCTAGGTTTTCCCCGGCAATAACCGCATTTGTCGATAGTCGCTTACTAGGCAGAAGACCGAGCCACTCGTAGACATAACGGACACGGTGAGGGCCGGTCAGCAAGAGTTTAAAGGCGGGCTTCAGTTTGGTGTCGTTGACAATCACCCGGAACATATTGGTAACAACTTCCAGATCACGGTACCACCGCTGCTGCTCGTACAGGGCGATACCATCAACCACGCAATATACGGAAAGGTCGACGGCGTCCCGCATTTGTAGGCGCTGCAGGATCCGGTAAAAGGCATCGCACAGGTAGTGGATGTTTTGGCTCTGGATGCCATCGCGATATGTCTTATCGTCAATAAAATCGAGATATAGCCAACCTCGACGGTGTGCCTCCTTTACTAACTCGCAAAGGAGACTCCGGATCATGCCGCGAGGGCCATCGCTTGAAGGGTCCTTCTCGGAAGAATGCAATCCAGCGAAGAAGAAAAGCTGGAAAGTTTCTTGTTGGGAGCGGCCAAGAGTGGCCAAAAGCGACGCACAGAGCACCGACTTGGCCGAGACACGCTCTGCGTGGTCGAAAAATTCGACGGCAGCGCCGGCACCATCGATTAGGATAGCATCGGAGCGAGCGGGCTGCAGCCAGGCACGGAATTCATCGGTTCGAAGTAGCGAGACGGCCTCGGCCTCGGCGACAGGATGGATAGAGCCCTGGAGACGGAGAACCTTGTCGATATCCTCGGTTGACTGGTGAATGAGCGTGGATGCGCCGATGGCGGCCAGGAACTGTTCCGCTGTCATGAGACTTGAGACTGGAGTGCGAGCACGCATATACTCGAGCTCAGCGCGAAGTCTTTCGTTTTCATGAGCTGGGGGCAATGTCAACAAATGTCGTCATGATGTATCAGGGATTTTTAGATCTTTACTTGCCCTTCCTTTGGCTCTCAGCAACAACTTCCTCGAGTGTCTGCGCCATCAGATTTCTCGACTTCTCTGCTTCCTCCTTCTTCTTCTCGGATATCTCTCTCTCTCTCTCGTAAATTTGCAATCTTTTTTGATAATCGCTGGCGAGCTTGTCTCCCAAATCTGTTAACTCCACTCTGATGCCCGATGTCTCTGAGATGAGGGTGGACGTATCTCTCTGGATCCCAGAAGTCGTCGTCTTGAGTTCAAACGCATAATTCTTGAGATCGGCCGTGTTTCTATGGATATTTGACGCCGTCTCCTTCAGGTCGGATGTGTCCTTCTTGATATCTCTCGTCGCCCTTTGAATTTCCCCGATAGCCTCATCCACAAAGTCTTGCACCAACCTCTTAAGAGCATCAGCCTGATATCGGAGTGATTTTAGCACATCATCAATAGTAGATTTTCCGAGCTTGCTCCTAAACCAGAAGTATGGGACCTTCTTGGCTGCCTATCAGTTAGTCCCCGACTGTTTGAATACGATTTCACACTTCATGTTGCCGTACCGTGCTTCTCTGGTAGTAAGGCACCCACTAGCTTCGATACAGACACGACAATCTCCAGACTGAGCTTTTTGTTACACGATTTCAGTTCTTGGTTATCTGGGAAGGCTCTCAGCTTCGCCTTAGCCGACGCCACGATAATCGGGATCTCTTCGAAGGCGTTAAGAATCTTTTCGCGGTTTTCGCTGGCGTTACGAGCAAGCTACCAGTGTGAACTTCTTTGCTGCATGCTTGGGTGGCCGGTTATGTAACTGAATATGAGCTCACCATGAACATGATGGAGATACCGGCACCTATAATTCCCATGCCGTACTCTGGTGGGATGAGCTCTAGCCAAGGATTAACATCCTCTGCACGATCTCCAGCCTTTCTGAGCAATCGACGACCGACGCCTCGCCAACTCTTCGCTTTCTGCTCATAGTCTTCTTCTGCTCCGGTCATGCATTCGAAGACATTCTCCCAGGTGCACGTGTCCACGTCTAGCTCAAGGCGTGGATCGATCGCGAGATTTTGATACTCAATTAGCGCTGCCCGCAGGCCTTCAGATTCGTCGAGGACTTCGCTTTCGTCTCCTTCGGCGCCAGGCTGTGGATTCCCCGGGAGGGAACCGGACCCCGCGTTAGGGGGAGGCCCTGGTTGCTTTCCGAAGGCCTTGTCGATACTCTTCCCCTCGGTATCAAGCCATCGATGAACGATAGACATGGGATCAGCGTTATCCGTCCGAAACGGTATTTCGATGAAATAGAAGGAGCCGTTATGTCTCGTTGGGCGTCACAAGCAAAGGTATTGTGATTTCTGGGTTTACTCAAGTATCTGTAAGCACCCAACATAAGGATCCATGCAGTTACAAAAGCCCAGTGCGGATCTACAGCCTGATATTGAAATGGGTGCTTCTCGGCTATTCAAGTCAGGCGGCGTGCATCAGTGCCCTACGTGTACAGTAAAGCAATCAGGCTCGGCAACGCCGGAACCCGGACAAGGCTTGGACTGGGCCGCGGAGGTTGAGGCCCGGTATACTCCTGCAGAGCCATGACGAGCTGAACCTCGCCTGAGCACCCAGATGGTGTCATTGGTCGGCTCTCTTCTATCTCCGATGCGGGAAACCATTTTATTGAAGGGATTGCGCGGTTGAGGCAATTTTATATCAGTTGTCAATCCTATCAAACAACGCCGCAACCGAGAGGATCGGCCCAAGCCAATTGTAAGACTGCCAGGGGGTTGGGGGCCAATACATATTGACATATCACGTTGTATCGGGCAAAGCCTTGTTTAAAAAGCTTCCTTATTATCCCGAACGAACTCCAGAGCCTTTCTCTACGTGCTTTTCCGTGTCCCTTCCCCGGCCAGCAGAAATTTACTTCGAGCCAGTTCCCTTCTGCATTCCTCGTTTGTATAAACCGTCCCCTGAAGCTCCACCCAGCCAAGCTATCCAGTTGGGATAGACGTTATCACAATCAGGTGTAACTATATTGAAGCAAATATGGCCCAGAATTTGTTGGTGAGTTGAACTCTCTACTGACTTCATCTGACAGGCGGAACACCCAGCTAACTACTCCATGCCAGGTCGTCTCGACCTCGGGATTGGGCCAAGAATCGGCCTTGAACCCAGAGAGCGACCTCAAAGCCCCCGGCATCGTGACGGAAACGGCGGTCACGCCAACGCCACAGGTCGAAGCTGAAGCTGTTAAGGAGCTTACACACCAAACTGAACAGCTCGAGGCGAACTTGGCGACCGACGGCAGCTCCACAGCGGCACCGGTTATCTCATCAGACGAGGTTGCACCCAAAGAGGGTGCGAGCGAGAATGAGACCAAACTCGACGCCAGCTCTACTAAGAAAGATGGTGATGGAAAGGCTGAGTTGTCATCGAATGAAGACGAAAAGTTGGGGGCACATTCGAACGGAGATGCAGAGGTTGAGTCATTGAAAGACGAGGAGCAAGAGGCCAACAAGGACAAAACGCCAAAAAGAAAACCAAAAATCCCTCAAGTAAGGAAAGTCAACTTTGAGGGGTTTAAGAACCGCTTCTCGGAAGATGAGGATGAATACGCCCTTGACGTACTCGTCGCCGGCAACGACCTGATGGATGAGATCCGTCGAGAGCAGCAAACACGACGGAACTACCAAAACCGACTAGACAGACGTCTGGAGCAAAAGAAAAACAAGTCACGTAACGTGTCAAGCAAGACAAGTCAGAGCCCCATCCCAAAGGCCGCGACGCAGCCAAGAGAAGGCGGTTGGATCCAGCGAGTGCGGATTCAGTCACAGGCGATTCTCCATCACCTCTCTAAGGTGACTGGTGAGTCGTGGGATACCGAAAATCCTCGCACCTTTAATCGGCCATTTAGCGTCTTCATCTACTTTCAAGACAAGATGAAGGAGGCCTTGGCCGATCTAGAATCACGGTGGGCGGAAGAGGAGCAGCGCCGCCAGGCCGTGGGTGCTGAGAAAAAGCCGGATGCCAAAGCCGACGACAGTAACGACAAGGCCAACCATGACAAAGAAGCTAATGATCTCGATGACGAAGAGTCTACAGACGCGGTGGGGGAAAGTGTCGAGGCCTTGAGGGACATTCGATGCTACGTCAGGTTCGTGGAGGAGGAGATTATGCCCTTCGCCAAGCAGTTTGAGGGCACGGGACGGAGCAAGGTCCGTTTTGACGATCTTTGGTTCCTGTTCAAGGTCGGAGATCTGGTTTGCGCCCCAGGCGCAATGGTTTCAGCCGTACCTGGCTCAAGTAAGTCACTTCCCACGGCTGATACTTCTTTCATCACAGCCTTGCGATGCTAACCGGTCTCCACAGAGAGCTCCGCCATGTACCAACCTCTCTGGAGGGTCTATACTCTCAACCGTCCCACGGACCCCTTTCAGTACCCCGCCCGGGAACCCGATTCGAAGCCGCGGCCGCCGGAGCCGGACGACGCAGATGATGAAGACAAGGATGGGGGTGTCAAAGGCCAGTTTAAAGTTTGGGCGTACTACATCGACCACGACGGCACTTCTTACGGCGCCGTGAAGCACAGCTTCGTGATCCCTCGGTATCCAGGTGAACGCGAGATAGCCGAACTCCCTTGCTATCCGCTCCGATACCTTGATGATTGGGAAACTCACTTCGAAGAGCTCAAGGCACTGGGTAAGAAATTCGAGTCTTATATGACAAACACTCACCTATCCTACAATGGCTGGACTCTCATTTCTACTCCGGATGGCGAACCTATGACAGTTAATTCCGGCAGTTTTCAGCGAAAGCTACACTCAGAGTACATCGACAGTCACGTAGTGGTTGATTTTGCTGAGGCATTCCACCAAGTTGGCGACTGGAAACCCACGTTTCATCGGCCGACGGTCTACGTGGACGGATGGATATGCCAAGACGACAATTTCCCTGTCGTAACATGGTTCGACGAACAGAGATCGGACCAGGTCGACCAAAGGATTGTGGATACGGTCCAGGTCGTAGATGGAGTCACCATGTGGCAGCGCAAGGACGGCCTCGAGAAGGACGGTTTTCTTAAAGCGAGCAGCAAGCTGTCCCTGAAGAGCAGAGAACATAGCCGCATACCACTGGGAGAGGAAGACTACGCGCTCCTCTCACGACGCATGTTTGCATACGTGCTCAAGGACCGCAAGTTTGTCTGCGTCGACGTCCAATATTTGAATGAGATTCCACGCCAGGACAACGTTTTCAAAAATCTCAAGATCAATAACGAGTATAAGCAAATGGTCAAGGGCCTGGTGAGATCACATCTCGTCAAGAAGGAGCTCGAAAAGAAGCACCCTGGCGCTTCCAAAGTCAACCAGAGCCAGGACATTATCTACGGCAAGGGACGTGGCCTCGTGATCCTGCTCCATGGTGTGCCCGGCGTCGGCAAGACTGCAACAGCCGAGGCTGTCGCTCTCGAGTATCGGAATCCACTTTTCGTCATCACTTGCGGCGACCTGGGATTGACTCCCAAGGACGTGGAGGAGTCCTTGACTGAGATTTTCAGGTTGGCGCACCTGTGGCACTGCGTCCTTTTATTTGATGAAGCCGACGTTTTCTTGGCCCAGCGATCGAGGTTTGACCTCACAAGAAACGCGTTGGTATCAGTATTCCTCCGCATCCTGGAGTACTACAACGGCATCCTCTTCCTTACGACCAACCGTGTAGGGACGCTTGACGAGGCCTTCAAGTCTCGCATCCACATGAGCCTCTACTACCCGCCCTTGAACAAGACTCAAGTCGAACTGATCTTCAAGATGAACCTGGAAAAGCTGATTGATATCGAAAAGGAGCGCCAGGAGCTTACGGGCGAGCCGGAGCTCGACATCCGCGTGTCATCCATCACCGACTTCGCGACGAATCACGGCACCAAGACCGAGGGCCGCTGGAACGGTCGCCAGATCCGCAACGCTTTCCAGATCGCATCTTCATTGGCTCGATATCATGCGCTAGAGGAGTACGAGAGCGAGCTGGCCAAGGGCAAAGATCCTGGGCCGAGACGGCCGGTGCTGGATGATACTCAGTTCAAGAAAGTCGAGCGTGCGACTGAGGCATTCAAGGACTACCTCGAGAAGACAAAGGGATACAATGATGCTGACCTTGCACACATCCTCGGCGAACGGGACGATTTCTACCGTCAAGGCAAGCTCTTTGGCGGCATGGCCGGAGCGGGTGGTGCAGCTGGAGCTGCCGCAGTGGGATATCCCGGCCCTGGCGGTCAAGGTCCCGGGAATCCTTATCCAGGCGGTCAGTACGGCCAAGGTATGCCTCCGGAGCACGCCGGCGGCGGGGGCGCCCCGAATGTGGAGTTTCCCGCTATGAAACCGGGTCCGGTGACATACGGCTACAATGAAAACTCTCATCCGCTAGCAGCCTCGCACGGCGGCGGGCCGAGCATCTACCAGCCACCACCTGCCGGGCTCAACCCCCAATATTTCCACACACCGCCGACTGGTGGGAGTCAGGGTCGCTCAGGCTTGGATCCATTCATAGGTGATGGACGTCGGGAGGATTACGGGCACAATGTGAACTACAGCAGCGGTGGCCATCCGTCTGCGTATAACTATAGGGCCCATCAGGCGCCTTCACAGTCACAGCCACATGTGGCTCCGGATGAAAGCGGCTATGACTAAATTCCTTATAGAAGGACTTCGGAACCACATCATACTGCGGTGCGTCTCGGGTCATGGTTGAAATTGCCTCGTTCCCAGGCTGTGAACCATGGCAAGTTAGCAACTAGATACGGGGTTGCCGAAGTGCAAAACACGTGGGATTGGCTAATTGGTTATATGTTTCCATTTATGCTTGAGTAGGTCAGCCTGTGTATAACTGGCCTTGACAAGAAATATGTTGCGGAGGATTTAAGAGAAATGCCGTTCTCTTATAGGAACTCTCTGGTGTGAGAAATATTCAGCGAGTCCACATTGCAACGAGGTTAAGATATCCACATAATTGAAGTTATCTCCTGAGGTACAAGGCCTATTAAGGGCTCGTTAGACATTGCAATAACTAGATGTTTGTTTAAGGACACTATAAGCCCTACCTAGAAATATGAAAAACTGACGGTGACAAGGGTATAACCTTTACTATAACCATTATATTTAGGCCAGCATACTTAGTAGCCTAGGAGTCTATTAAAGGTAACATCAGCAAGGCAACCAGACTCCTTCCTCTTTGCCCTCATCTCTTTCAAGCAATAGTAACATTTTGACCCAGGCCAGACCCTTCGAAGATAGAATAAAATGCCTAAACTTCCTTCTTTGGTTAGCGATAGTGCTGAGCAGTAGAGTATATGTTAAAGGCCAACAAGTGAAATCATGGATAGGGTAGCCAGTAGGGTCACACAGCCGGCTCACTTAATGAGAACCATCAACTTCCTCTTTACATTTAACCTCTCTAGCACCTTGTACCCTCAGATGCGATAACACGCATAAAAGGCAACGCATCCGTAAAGGCTGCGGAATGAAGAGTTTAAACCTAAATTTGTAAGCTTAGCCCAACGAAACCCTGTATAATAAGGGTTGAAAGCCATTGATTAGACCCTGGTTTCTCATTTTCCTCACTCTGGATTAGACTCTCCTTCCTATGGAACCCTTATGTCAAGATGTGAAGTCTAGGTAAGTTAGGTTACCCCTCTACGAACCACCTAAAAACCCTTACAGTTACTATTACTACGTAGGTAATGTAGTGGTGCAGTGGAGCTAGGCCACGTAGCCTTTCCGATGAGTATTCATGTAAGTCTCGTACCTAGATGTTCATCCTATAGATATTATGACCTATAGTAATTCACAAGTTTCTTAACATGCCTTTAATTACCATTTCTATTTATTTATTTTCCTTTCCTAGCTGCCGTTTCAGTTGGCCGATCAGCTAATTACAGCTATTTATAGCTGTAATCTAGCTTGATCGGTACTGGGCCAGTTATTAGTAGTTAGGTGGCCATTGCTATACGAGCCTCCTATAGCGTGCCTACGCTGTTCCTCTTCAGTACAGGGGACTAGTTGGGCTGGCCTGCGACCCCCTGCTAGAACAGGTCCGCAATTATCCCCCACAACCGAAGTTTCCCGATGCCCTTGATCGAACGACGAGCCTTGCTCAGCTTCTCGCGGATGACCAGCCGTGCCGAACGACTGACCAAGCTCCCGACGGAACTGGCTTCTGTCTGAGCCTCTCTCGCGGTCCGCACTATGCCCTACATGGCGCCGTCATTGGGCCTGTCAACTGCTTTTCCCTTGTACCCATCGTCTTCGTCATTTGGACCTGCGGGGGCAGTGGAATCCGATGGCCATGGCTTTTGCCCATGATCATGATTCCAAGAGTAGACAGCGTTGATATCGTCTTCAGCGAAGCTGCAGTCGGAAGTACCATCGCCCTCCAGGCCGTCTTGTGTTTTCTGCCGCTTCGAAGCAGGTCCCGCCTCTTGGGTGCTGCCGCCGCTGTACTTTGCAACGAGGTCGGCCGCCTTGACCCATGTGGCTTCCGATACGGTGCCCCGGCCTGTCTTGGAGTCGCTGACTTGAATAACGTAGCGGTCGACACCCGTGCATACAAAGGACTTCATGCTAAACAGAACCGTCCATGCGAAGCGTGCAAAGAGGTATGCGCGCGCGTGTCTATGAAGACCCTGAACGGCGACGTTGTGGTGTTCGGGCCAATAGTTTTCTGCCCTCGTCGACATAATGTGAGAAACGTACGTCGAATTCTTCGGAACGATGGCCAAAGCACGGTCGTCAAAGAGATATTGGATATCTCTACGTAGTGGTGTTCTGTTCGCGAGGTTGTCGATATTGGCGAACGGTAGATCGGTGTACTCTGACATACCATTGCCTGCATACCAACGTCCTTGCTTTTGCGGAACAAGATGCGCGCTCTCGACAGGGAATGTGTATGCGCTGATACCGCAAGACGTCATAGGGGGGCCAGAAGCAGGAGGCCATGAAGCGGGGAGACGGTTGTGAGGGAACGTCCAATCCTGAAATGTTGGGACTACCGGGTACGGATTTTCCAGATCTAACAGGGTTAGTGCCGAAGAAATAGTAGAAGCTGAGGCTTACTATAAGGGCCGTCGACGATGAAATAATAAGCGCTCCCCAATAAAACATCATCATGGGGGAGCGTGACGAGCTGTTCGCCGTTCGCGTCCAATGCCAGCTGACCAGTCTCAAAGGCATTGTTGCCGATAATTTGGCAGGCAACAAGAGCAGTCCCATGATGGACACCAAATCCTTGTTCGGTAGGGTCAGTACGGGGTACAACAAGCAAAACGTTGTATGGAACCTCGTAATGTGGGTGACGGAACGTAATGAAGTCGGTTGATATATACCCGGGGGGCGGCTGGGGCAGCTTAGAAGCTTGCAGCAGCGGTGCCATCTTGCCTGATTGCGATGGCTGGCAGACAGAACTCTGTAGGTGTCGCGTAAATCGTAGACGCCTACATTTTCGCTGTTGCGTATGTAGGCTTTAAAGGGCTGGTTCGGTTGCTACGTGACAGAAGGAGGAAATGCTTGGAGAGAAATTTCGGGGGAACGACTTTTACACTTGGAGCTTGGTGGGTCCCGAACCCCCGGATATCCCTGGGAGAGAAAGTGTACTAATCATTTTACCTACCCTAATTATTCAAAAAGATATACGCCCACTTTCTGCCATATGACCTATAGCAGTCTCGCCGCCATCACGGTCGCGTTTTTGCTCTCAATTCCTTCCACATCGCGACCCGATTTGCGATACTACCTATCTCGCCCACCCCCAAGCGATTGATCGCTTCGGTACGCTCAATTGAACCGACTTGTTTTCGATCGCTAACTGTTTCTATAGGAAGAATGCCGCTACGAGAGACTCAAAGCGACGATAGCGCTTGCAGTAAGGTGTGGTCGATTCGTCCGGGTTTTACGGTATAAGTAAGTCTTAACATTCTCTTAGGATTTCTATCGGTTGGCTTCGGGCCCAAAGAATGGATATATTCGAATGACGAACTGCTTGAATTTTGTATATAGACGTATCTGATAACCCGGATAAAGCAATAGGTTAAAAATATATAAGGGTGGCCTGATTACGTCGAGATTACCCGTGCCGTCGAGAGCCTCACATTGTTGGGTCGCATGACCCTTACCTTACTTCTACTACGCTTCCCCATACAACATCACCTTAAGTGGATAATACTCAAACACAATCACTACCAGATTTGCTTCAAGACCATCTTTTCTAGAGATACAGGCCGATTAAACCTATTTGCCTAAGGTATTTGAGGTTTTCTGTGTGATCCTTATTCGTTCGTTCCTATAACGCTATATATATATTACTAGGTTAACGTCCTGCCTTTACTGACCACTGTGCGCGATTTGAAGTCTCAACTAGCAGAATCGTATGAAAGGAGGCAGAGCTAATAGATTCCAGAATCGGTAATCTTCCGACGTACCTAGGTAGAAGAGTATATATCAACAAACGAGAAAAGAAGAAAATCTACAAAAGAGAGAGGAGCAAACTATGGAATATATACAGTGGAGAGCAACCGGCTTAAGCAAGCTAGGTTGCTCTCTACTGACCCAAACTGACTACTGCGTGGGCCCTTATATTCAGTCGGTAGCTGGGTGTTTGAAGACGTGCCTACCAGCATCACTGTACCCCGGCCACGCATCAATACTGTCTCTCTTCTCCACCCTGGGATTCTTGAAATCACGCTTGCCCTCATTGCCATACCGGGGCTGGTCCTCAATATTATCGATCGGCCGCCGCCGAGTGACGCTCATCCGCTTTCCAGCTCCGTGGCAGTTGCCCTCTCCGGAGCCACCGGCGGTGACCAAGGCGTTGCCGACGCAGTTTTTGGTGCCGATGGGCAGCCGGCCGGACGCATACCACTGGAACTTGGCGTCGTCGGGCGTTCTCTCGAAATTCCACTTGGTGATGGCCCCGCAGCCGGACAGTTCCGCCTTGAGTCCCTCGCCGTTGGCACCGAACTTGGCGTCGGGCAGGTTCTTGCCGCGGATCTCGAACACGTCGAAGAAGAACTTGTACGAGACGTCGCAGCTTACTTCGTTGACCTGCTTGCTCAGCGGCGTCATCGTGTACTCCCAACCGTCGGCGGAAGTGAAGGTCGCCCCAAACTTGTAATTGTGCGGGTTGTTGATGTAGTCGTCTCCATCGCAGCCATCGATGACGACGCGCTGGAAGCGGCCGAGGCAGTCCGGGGCGTCAGCCGGGCCTTTGCTGTCATCGTCGAGTTTCCTGACCGACAGCTCGAGCTCATTGACTGAGCCCGAGTTGTACGTTACCTTCTTTTCCGCCTGTTGGCAGAATGCCTCGGCGTTGTCGACGGCGATGTCGCGCGACATGACCCAGTAGTCGCCGCTCACGCCGTGGCATGCGTTCTTGTCCTCGGCGGGTGCGGGCGTTGGATCCGCTACGTTGTTGCCTCCCAAGTCGCTGATGTATCTTTCCAGGACCAGGTCTCGGATCTTCTCGTGGAGGGGAATCTGCGGATGAAAGACTTTAACCCTGTTACCGACCCCGCGCCACAAGGGGTCTTGAATGCCGGAAGTGTCAACCTCGACGGCGTCAAAAAGCGCGTTCTCGAAATCGTTGTACGTCTTGAACTCTGTCTTGATGTCGACGTCGGCGTTGACCTTGTCAAAGGCCTTTTGGAGGGGTCCGTCAACTGCGTCATCCTTAGGTTCGTTGTAGGGGTAGTGGTAGAGCCAGAGTCTGTCGTTGTTCTGGTCTGGCTCCTTGACTCCGGGCTCGCAGTACCTGTGGCCCTCCATCACGTCGTCGATAGGGATCCATGTGACGCTTTGGTCCTTGTTCCTCGACACCGCGTCCTCGATGGCCTTGTTCAGCTGGACGCTCATGTCGTTAAACTCCTTCCGAAGCGCTTGCGTCATTCTCGTGTGCTCTTTACCGTCGTCATTGGGGTTGGCGGACCGGGCGAAGGTGACTTCGTCGCATTCGTCCGTCTTGTCGCTGAAGAACTGCGGGAAGCCTGTGACGTAGAGCTTGAACTTGTCACCGGCTGCGCCCTTGCGACCCTTTTCGACTGCCTTCTTAATGGTCTTGTCGATATTGTCTGCCAAGTTCGGGCTGATCAGCAGGTCCCAAGTGACCTGTCTTTGCTCATCGCAAGTTCTCTGTGGCGGGCCGGCGCCAAGTGGGAGGTGCGTCTCCAAGATGCAGTTGAATATGATGCCGGGGAAGTCAATATCGTTGCCTCCAACACTAAGAGAAGCCATGCTCGGGCTTCCGAACTTGGGCCGGTCCCCTTGAATCTAGTTAGCAAACGACCCTACAACGCGGGTAATGTAGAAAGCTTGGGTATTACTTACCAAACTGTATATTGGGCTCTCCGGAGGTATCCTCATCCAAGAATTGGTAAGCCTGAACATCCTCTGTGCTGGATCCGGAACACACAACATTGTTGAACTGGTGGTCTCCCTCGGGAAGCCTGGCGTCCCCGTTCATAAGGATGGGATAGGCGTGATCATAGCGAAGGCAGCGGTAGGAGTTGGAGCCATACTCCCCGGCTCCGACACCCGAGGAGTATGAGTCTCCGAGCGCGGTCCATTCGAACTTGTCTCGACCAAGGAGATGTTTTATTGTTTCGATCTTGCTTGCAAGTGGTGAGGCAAACACGCCCGCGAGAGCTGTCAAGACCGTGAACGTCTTGGCCTGTGGCCTGGAGAGGACAGTCATGCCGTCGTAGGTTTCTGAAGGAGACGCGGTTTGTTATTACAGTATAGTAGTTAGGGAAAGTAGATCAAGAGGGGAATAGCCGTCAATTATACGATGACAAAGTCTTTCTCTACGATATCTTTCGTGGTCTTTATAGGCTTCGTCGCTCTCCTGTGCTGCCATTACTACAACATGCGAATCCAACATAACTCGGCGATTCGAAGTCCAGCTGAGGCGTAAAGCCCCTTAGGGGCCTTTATTTTATCATTATAACTACTCATCCATCACATTCCGCGATATCAACACCGCTAACAGGGTTAATAAGCTAGAGGGGAAGGGGGGGGGCGCGGAATAGGGGCTACGGAGGCCGTTTCGATGAAATAGTTAGTTCTCTAACATTCAGCCTAGAACTCAAGACTGCCTTGTCAGTTTTCTAAATATATAAGTATATATACAATTATACATGATCAGTAGTAATACTCAAAAATTGGCGGCCAGTTGGCCCGGCCGTTGTCACTCGAGACTGAAGCCTCGGAGCTAGCTGGAGGAAAACGCATTCGTGGCCAGTATGACCGGCGACATTCAACTTTTCAACATCAGTCTTTCAAAAAATTCGACCAACTGTTCGCCGAGAAGTATAGGCATATTCTTGCAAGAATTAGTATGCCGGGTCTTTAGAGTAGTATGTCTAGGTGAGTACCCAGTTAGGACGCATAGGTACGGTACGTAGATACGGCGCGCGTAGGTCTCGTGAGTATTAGGTGTGGGTGCGGCGTATGGCTATTATGGCGTGTGGCGTACCTACCTAGGTAGGTAATACGCAGGCGTATGGCGGCTTACGTCAGAATGGCTGTTTCGGAAAGTGGCGCGTAATGGATCTGAGTATATTAGGTAGAATGATCTTGGTATGTTAGATGATCTCAGTATATTAGACTACCCACGTGTAAGCGTAGAGACGGCGTTTCAAGGCCGGCTGTTGGTTGCAGTGCTACCGAAGCTCCAAACAAGAAGGTGGCGTGCGTTTCATGTGTTAGGTATTCATAGAATGGACGCTGAGAGCCACAGCCTCGATAAGTCGGTCGAACGAAGGCCGGCTCTAACGTACTCATACCTGGGACAACAACAAGTGGTATGACTGCGCCTACTGAACCGCCACCAATTTGTCGAAATTATGAGGTTCATGGGGCACAGCTAGTCACGTGTTCAAAAGCCTCTCTATCTACCCAAACCTTGCGACCAACACCAACACCAGACACATCTCGTCCGTCACGATACTGCGCGCAGTTCTACCACGTATTCCTGTTCAACTTCGATGGCAGTCTAGAATCTACAGTTCAATCGGCTAAGCTTACTTTCTTGTTGATATTTTGAAAACATCCATTGGGAACCGTTTTGAAGATGCGGATCCCAATGTTAAAGGACGCTGCGAAAGCCCTATCATTGTCCCCCGGGCTCCAAAAGACTCTGAGCGGTGGACTTTCAAGCGGACTCTCAGACGCTCTGCTTTCATTAAAGGCTGATATACCCGGTGGTTCTCCTTTCAGTTTCTGCGAGGTGTCGCGCTCGACGGACCTCTTCGATATCACATCTGTCGAACTAACCAAGCAGCCAGTTTACATGTACGTGATCCGAGATTCAAAGCACCGAGCCATATTCCTACTGACGATCAACAGCGATGATGAATTTTCTGTCCACATCTATGGTACTTTTCAACATTCCTTCACGCCAAATGCGACCCTCGACCTCACCGTAGATTGCGGCTCCCACTGCGAAGAATACGGGGCCCCACCCGGTGATTCGCCGGGCGAGACCGTGACGGCAGATTTCTGCGAGATGAGCGGGATTGAGCAGCCTTTAGGCGGCAAGAAGAAGAATGTGACTTGTCCACCCGAAGAGGGTTATGCCTTGATCAGCTCTCGGGGATATGTTGTCCCCATGTTCTTCGGCACTCCCGTAAGATTCTCTTTTGCTTTCCCTCATCTTTTTATTGACACTTTGCTCACCCTTAGCACTCGGATCTATGGTGGCTGACAAAACCAGGGATGGTACAACTTCACCTTTGACGCCAAGACTGCTCAGGGCGAGAGAATTTACTGTCTGACGACCGAGGTGTGCTTGAGGTGGGAAGATGAGGAGAAGAATAAGCATTATCCTCCAGGTCCTTGGAATGATTGCAAGTGGCCGCGATGAAGAAAGATGCAAAACAGGGCAAATTGAGCGGAAAAGAAGGCACCCATCAGAATGGAGTCGGGAGCATGACGCATCAACTTTGCAACCCCTATCGACCGTCAGCGAGGTGAGGCTGCCTCTCATGGAATCGCGGGCAACAATGATGTGGAGCTGCGGCCTTCGAACGAGAGGTAGAGCATTCACCATGGCGTAAAATTCATAGCTATAAATAGCAGGGATGTACAGGTAATATTCGATCTTTTTCCATTAGCAGTACCGAATTTCAAGTCAACTATCATCAGAATCAAGATCCTCCTTTCCAGCGTTGTATCTCCTATTGACGTCTCGCAGCTCTAGCAGCCAGAACCAGCTGAAGCGGCCCATAGCCCCCAAGAGCCGAAGGCAGTAACAATGTTCACGCTGACTGCTCACTGGAGGCAGAGGCTTGACGAACGGAAGTACCAAGCCTTACGAGCGCTCGAGACAGGTGATTTCACCTATCTACACACTGACTGGGCGCTCCAGTCCAGCCGCGATGTCAACACGGCGGAGATTGCGAGGCGGACCCGTGCCTTTGGGCATTTTGTTGAGCAGGTAGAAAACAACTACGTCCACGCATGCAAAGCAGGCCCGGAGACCATAACCAGGATAGTGGAACAAATCGGACAGCTCAGTAGCCGCCACAGCGCCCAGACCTGGCACAACACGATAGAAAACGACAGAGAATGGGCCAAGAATAACATGGTGGGGGTACTGGACTACTCTTACGGGGTCCTGGGGGGCTTGATACACAACCTCGACGCGCCCCTGCAAGACACTGCGGTCGACGTGGTCTTGATGATGGCGCACTGGGTCGAGAAGGTGTTTGACATGCTACTGCAGTCCCTGAGCAGAATGGTGGATAATATTCCCAAGATGAGTGCGTCCGCACCCGAATCTCTCCCCCCCCTACCCCTCCCCTCCCCCTTTTCGCCGCCGTGCCACTCCCACCACCACTCCGGACGAGAGACAAGCAAGCTAACCGAGAACCGGCACCGCAGTGCAAGGCAACCGGGACGCCCTTACTGGCGCGCGGGAATCGGTCTCCCGGGCAGCGCAGATCTCCACCACGTGGATCCAGTGGTTCTGCCGGGGCGGGGCCGCCACCGCCGCCGCCGCGCCGACGAGGGCGGAGGCGACGTTCCACCTGCGGTGGCGCGAGGGGAGGGGGCTGGGAGCGGCGGCGGCCGCTGCCGCGCTGGAGTACCAGGCGGCGCGGCACCGGCTGCTCGGCAGCCAGGTAGAGACGTACGGGCCGACGCGCGGCCACCGCGGCGGGTGGACGGCGCGCCTCGCCGTGCGCTCCCCCGCGCTCGACTACCCCGAGCTCGTCGACGCCGGCCGCGCCTTCGTCGACGTCGAGGCGGCGCGGTCCGCCCCGCGCCCCGGCTGGCCCAGTCTCCCCAACCCCGACGCCGTATACATCACCGACGTGAGCCCCGCGGGGTCGGCGGCGTGGGCCTAGCGCCGAGGAGTGCTGGCGATGGCGCGTGTGGCAGGGGAAGCGGAGGAGGCGGAGGAAGGAGGGGCAACGCCGGCGGTGCGAAAACCGGCCTGGGCGGGTCGCCTTTCTTCTTTCCTCTATCGGGAGCTGTGGCCGGGGTCGGATTATTTAGGTACTGGGCGAGGGTCTTTTGTCCTCGTGGCTCCCTTCTGTAGTCCTTCATCCGACGTATCTGGTCGATCGCATCGGATGATAACGCCTTTTCGAGGAGAGACGTGTTCTCAGTGAATATGATTCATTATCGACGCCCATGCGTGAATGTGCTGAGTTGCTCGACTGCGCACTTCTGTCCCCGTATTCTCAGGCTGCCATCGCTCCCGAAAGAGCGGTTGGTGGCGCGTTTTTAAGACATCGGAAGCGCCTGTTCCGCATGTACATAAGTTGGCGTGTGCATTAATATGTGCAACGAGGGCGCGTCTCCAGGATGTCAGGTCTATTGACGGCTAACCAGACCTCGCCCTCTCCTCGCGATTCTCAGTAAAAACCCACAAGCATAACGCAAGGCGCCTGCAGCATGCGCTGGTACGTCAGAAGAACATATGGGAACGTACCGTGTTGGACCGGCCGTGTGGCCACTGTCCTAGAATGCTTCGTTGTAGCCTGTTGTTAAACGCTATGGTGTCGTATTGGAAATAGAAACCGCATGGTTTCTTTTTCGGTTGCCATATAAGATCTGCATGTCTCGGGTCGATCGATCATGGCACACCTTGAGTGGGATGTGTCTACCGTGACAGTGACGGCGGTGGCATTGGCAACTGTGTGGTTGCAACGAGATGGTCAGACACAACAGGTCACTCCAGGTACCCGGAATACCCCGTACTGTACCTGAGTTAGGCGGACGATCGTCATATTAACGTGATATCGCTGAGTGCTACGGTGGTCATCGCCCCCAATAAGGGAGTGTCAATTGTCTATTTATTACAGCTGAGTGATAGCCAGTGTGTTTTGTATGTACAGGTTTAGCTATGGGTATAGTGATATATAACGAATGGTACCGTGACTACCCGCCTGTAACCTCCTTTCTAGTATAAATGCATAAAAAGGAACGCGTATGTCCGGGTGCGCCATAAATACATATATATGGCCTTTCATTACCCCCACACCCATATGTCATGGGATGATACAGGACGGGATCGTAACAAGAATCAAGTGCAGGTTCGTCATCAGGCATGAAGTGGATAAGTTGACGGCCAGCGCGGTTCGTTAGTAATCGTATCGATAGCATAAGTAGTCGCCCAAGGTGTCCATAACGGCGCCTACGGTGGTGTCAGGTCGTAGTCCATTCGAGCTGAGAACCGTGTCCATGGAAACTGGGGTGCACGGGCTGCTGCTACCGGCACAGCCGTCGATGGTGCTGCTGCGCGAAGGGTCACCGTTCTGCCAAACGCGGAACCCATGGTCGACGAATAGGTGGTGCAAGAAGAACACGGGGTCGCCGGGGGAGGCTTGGACCTCAGACATGACGGCGCCGATGCCGTTGTGGCCATATGCATGGGGACTGCAACTATATGTCAGTGACTGTACATCCCAAAACAGGAGGGAGGAATGATAGAGCGTACCCAAGCTCCTGACAGCTTCGCATGGCATCGTATGTGCTGCGCGAATTGCAGTCCTGGACGAACTGGGAGGTGACCACTCCCGTCAGACCCTCGTCGGCAGCGCGCGCCAAACAATGGTCAGTGAATCGGCTGCCGGGGCCGACGTGGAGTGTCAGCCCACCAAATGTCTACAGATGTCATTAGTCTGAAATCGACCGGAGAGACGATATAGAGGTAGGGTGGTACGTACGCCCGACTCGATACAAGTGCCCTGGCCGTCGGACGTCTTCGCTGGAAGAGGGCCGAAGTATTCGTCGGTGAATATCGACGACTGGGCGAAATTGCCCGCGTCCAGTGTCTCATCCCACCACGGGAGAGCCCTGTCGAAGCCGCACTCCTCACGCAACAGTGATTCGAAGATCGACACGTAGTACCTGTGCCACGGGAGAAATACGGCGCTCTGGTGAATGCTAGGAGTGAGTTGTTGGTGCACCGACACGATGTCCTCGTATCTGTTTTGCGAGCCCTGGAACCCGCCGGAAGAGGGCTTGTCGATTAGGCACTTGATGGCGTCGACAAAAGCCTTCCGGTCGTCCGGCGAGTAGTTCCGCCACTCGAGACGGACGGCCGGGTTATTGGGGTCACAGGTGCCGGCATCGGCAGCGGCGATGTTGCCGACGGCGGAGGCACTGCTAGGCTTGGTGCTCGACCCGACCCCTCCCTGACCATGCTTGAACTGGGGACCATCGCCTAAGATGATGTCCTTGAGAATATTCTCGGCCTCGCGGTGGGCTTCCTCGGGCGTGATAGTCGGGAAGCTGCCGAATTGTCCCAGACCGATGAGTTTTAACCTCTTCTCGATGGATCGGGGAATCGACAGGGCGGATACGGCCACGGCGCCGCAGAGGACTTGTGAAGCGACGGAAAAGCGCATGATGCTAAGCGACCCGGTGCCTTTCGTATGGTGCGATGATTACTACTAAGACTATACTAATGGAAAGGATGAAATATGGCGTGACGACGGCCTATGATAGGAGATCGTACTGAATATGAATTACCCCTGACAAGAGAGTGGGAACGAGATGAATGTACAATCCCCATCGGGAATGAATGCCAGAGGCAACAGCCGGGCGATTCATGTATATATTTCCCTACTTCTCCGGCGGTCCCAGAAAAAGAGGGACGATCATCATTTCACTACATGGCGCCGATCTCTTTGATGGCGCCCTTTCGTAGCTATTCACAAAGGCAGTAGGCGGGCCGAAACAGACGTAGGGGGCAGAACGTCATGACTACTAGGCGTTGATTCGTAGAAACAGTGGGAATTCGTCGCAACAGTGCTAGGATTCTTGGGGTCAGAATCTGCCCAGAGCGGTTACGACAGGTTGGCTGGCTGGATGAGGCTGTGAGCTGGTAAGCTGAGCCCCGGGCCCGGAAAAGGGGGCGGCATGTAAGATGTGTCATGGAGCGTCTAGCAAGCGCGTACACACATACAATGTATCATTCACAGCGTGTACATTATTCCACAGCCATCATGTAGGGAGCAACCAAATACGAGATTGTGGCGCCACGTAGGTACCACCGAGAACCTGGCGCTGCTGTTTTGTTGGCAATAATACAAAGAATCGTGTGCTTTGTTTGGTCTCGCATTCAATGATCCGATCCGTCTTTTACCTACCATGTCCATACGAAGACCATTAGTAGTAATGTCAGTGAGGTCTCTTTATTGTGGTTCTTTTGAGTCAGACAATCCCCTTCACTCCCGGTCCACCCGTTGATCCGTTGATGATAATAACAAGCCGCGATGGCTAGCTTCTGAATTCGACTCCTCCAATCACTTCATGATACCTACGGTGTCGTTGGGGGGTGGGGGGTAACCTGCTTATGATGGGCTTGCTACTCGTGGCTGATATGTTATTGTTGGAACTACATCGGTATGAGAGAGCTACACCCAATTAACTACGGTACGTTAAGGTGAGCAATGCTCGGGTCGGTTTATCTGCTTTTTATCGCCGGATAGGAGGACAGGAGACCAGCATGCGCGGCCGAGCCGACCGAGTTGTGTTGATTTGTCGCAGCCAACAGACCCTGGATGCCAAAGAATTGCCATATGTCTTATTAACGAGAAACCCGGTTTCAACCCCGACGCCCATACATATTTTTAAATCGGCTGTTGACAAGGACACACAGAGGCCTACATGTTGCTGTAGAGACGATTACCAGGCATTCCCATACGTTCCCATGCATCCACTACTGGTCGAGATGCGGCATCGTCTTCCATTCTTCTCAAGCTCTCGGAAGTATGTACCCAGGGATACACCCACATACAGCATCCAACGTCGTGCACCCCCGTATACACTGCACACCTATGCATTCGGCCCTAGTTGGTCACCGATCTGATCTCGACTACGCAGTGTGTCGTTGCTGACAATTGCATGACGCCTTGCGGCCCACTGGCGATCTAGACCACCAGAGGAGAGTGCATGCGGCGTACGGCTTGGCACGTAATAATATATGGAAGAACGGATGCAAGCATGATAGGTAACTACTTCGCGTCGTCCAGAAGCCAATAATAACTGCGAATCGCTGTCTGCAAGCTAACCCCCTGAATCAACCACCGCTGCACCACAGCTAGTCTTTACACCCTGTGTTCGAGACCACACGCCTAATACTTACCTACTGCTTGGGTAGTATTAACCCCTTCTCCTCGGTCTCCTCCACATGGTAGAATACCGATCGTGCCGAGTCTATCGTACTGCGGCCCGAGAAGCACCTAAGGCATGCGAGATCAGCCAGGCATGCGAGATCAGCCAGGCATGCGAGATCAGCCAGGCATGCGAAGCACATCTAAAAACGCGCAGGAGGCTTTCTTGGGCTCGGATAGACTCGGTTATTAGGAAAACGGTGAGCAGTAAAGGGGTAATAAACGCAATGCGTACAAGGGTTGGCTCTATGCGCTGGCTTGCTGCGATCTGGCGTTAGTTTGGTGCAGTGGTTCTACACCATTGCGGCAAGATTGTAGTACCGCACGTGTATCTCATAATACACGACTTTACGGCTAGAGATCAGATAGTTTCCAGGCACTCGGAACCAGGTTCTCTCTTTGGCCATTCCCCCATATCACGAGCACACGAGAACATCGGTAACCGGTGTCACCGCCTAGGTTCGTTTGGAGTATGGCAAGCTCGACAAAGGGTAACCTCTACGGTGTATCCAGAGGGAATGCCACCGATGTACCTTTCGGCACCGGGAGAAGCAACACTCGCACCTAGGTAGGTAGTAGAAGCAGAGAGTCGTAATAACCGATACTAACTACGACTTGGCCTAGAGCCCCCTTCTTTTCTTTTTGCACACACACGCTGGCACGGGTGGGACTGGAGATAGTCGGAAACGTTGCTAGTGACGACAACATCATCGTAAGCTATTATGACTACGGGCCTCTCTACACTCCGAAGGTAGTGTCTAGATATACATCAGGCCAAAATTATCACATCTTAGCTTTCGGCAAACTACAGATAACAGACGCAGGATCATGCAGAATTGGAGACAAAGAATTCCGACAAATCCAGTGGACAAGTTATTGACGCAGCGCAATCTCCGAAATTTCGAATGTCTCAGGCCGTCAACTAGTCGCGAACAATAGCATAGGACTGTTTAGGTGCTTATCCGTACGTTGAATCCGACCATTATACAACTCAACCGAACGAACCGAGCGAAGCCTTGTCGAGATACATCCATGCACCTCTTAACTTTCCAAACAGCACTTGATAGGAATGAGTTCCGCCAGATCATTAGAAAGCATTCTAGCCTCGAGCCGTCCACGGGTTGCGGGGGTGCATCCGTCGGCTATCCGTCGAGTTAGGCAAGGAATGGTCACTGATGACCTTCACGGGCCTTTAACACTTTGCTTACCGTATTATTAGCATTTACCTTACGTGCAGGAAGGCAAGCGGGTATCTGCGCCGTAAAGGTTATCCCGTCTTCTTCAACAAAATCCGTTCGGTGATATTATCACGAACCCCCGAGATCTTGATGTGATAGATCGCGGCTGTCTCACAGGACAGTACGGTCCAGTAATCGTGACAGCAGGAGCCGGAGTCAGCTGCATGAGCAACAACCAGCTACACGAGTAACAATGTCAACTCAACAATTGTACTAGAGTAAAAGGGAGATGTGATTATCTCGTGACTTTCAAGATAGCCTCGACGGGTACAAAGCAGTTGCCCATAAAAAATTCCACCACTCTCGTTCACAGCTTTCACGATTGTTTCCCTTTACCCTTTTATTCTCACTAGTGCGAGACAATGCGTTGTCATTAAAGGATCTATTCTATAATTAACCAAACACTTGCGTCGATCCTCTGCAGAGGCCGCTTCACTTCAATCACCCACGTTTTCTGGGAATTTACTAGGTACTAATAAGAAAAGTTAACTATTTGGAGAGTGTGTCGCAAAACGCTACCGCCCACCATGGACAGGCCATCTGCGAGCGGAGACGTACCCATGGAGCATATCTTGGACCTCCTTACGAAGTGCGAGACCTTCGAGGACCTTCCCGACGACTTCGATCTCCAACTAGACCCTCCGGGGGAACGCAAGGTCTTCCTGAATCAGCATGCGCCCCGCGGCCCTTTGTCGAAGATAGATGCACCAGTAAGGGAGTATGAAGAATACCTACGGTCGAAGTGGTCATGCTCGGAGGCTATGCCTACCGGCTTCGACCCGGACAGATTAGAAGCCGCGAGGCAAGCTCAGCTCCACCCTCGCCGCGCCAACGAGCACGACCTAGAGAGAAGGAGTGTTGTGGCCGATCCAGATGTCAGCGGCGAGGCCATGTATGATCCCGATTCGATAGATGCCGGGCAACCGTCCTGGGACTACGAAAACGAGGCTGCCGATCTCGATGTCGACGGAGCGACGGCAGCAGCGCCCGAGACCATCGAACGCGCGTCCACGCCGCGCATTAAGCGAGGCTCCAAGCCGCCGCTGTGCCGGAGCGCGTTCGCCGCCGCCGGCCGGCCTTCGACGAAGAACAGGGGCGACGACCAGACACCCAGCACGCGCCTGAAGAGCTACCCGCGGGCCCCGCAGTACTTCCCCTTCCGGAGCAAGGCGCGGAAGAGTTAGATGTCCAGCAAGGTAAGCAAGCCGCCGTCCGCCGTATGCGCGGGAAATAGCTGTGGTCTCTCACTTGACATGGTTCGTAGCGTAGTTCCGCCTTCTTTGAGCGAAGCCTGTGGACGAACCCGTCCATTCTCACACGATTTGGTAGACTAGAATTGAAAGTAGTTCGTCTATTTTCTCCCTACGATATTAGAGGCACATTGCAGGAGTTGGAGCTCTGTAGGGTTGTCCTTGACGTCTTGGTCATACCGCGTGCTAGAGTCTGACAGCGATTAATATCACAACATAGTCATAGTTCTTTGCATTTCCTTACTCCAATTCATTTTACAGTTCTACGGGCACATATTTACTATAAGATTCCCCACGACGGTCTCCCTCTATTTCCATACCCCGTTGCTTAGGTCTCGAGCTGCCAGTAGCCCGTAAGAGAGATATCACAGTTATAAAGTGAGTCAGTCAGCTTTCTAGTTAAATAATTCCTCGCTTGTGATATCTCGGACCTCTGACAACTCCATATTCTGCCGGTATTCAGGACATGAGACTTAATCCGCCGTTCAGTCTCTAACCTAAGAGGCAACGGCCCCTACGGTATATTCCCGACATAAGGAGGGATGGTGGTCGCACTTCTTTATCAGTGGAGATAGAGTATCGGAAGCCATTGAGTTGCTTGGTTTGTGGACATGCTGAACATCCTTGCTATCCAGGTGACAGGAATAAATCGTGAGTAAACCGATGCCGAATAGGTGGCGGAACACTGTTGGGATACTCTGTTTATTGCTCAGACTACTGATGTTCTCGGCTTTACACCCTCAAGTCTCATCCCGTGGTCCCAATTATAATACCCTCCCAAAACCCGAATGGCTAGTTATCACCTCAGGAGAACATTCTTATTAGAACAGCCTGACATGGCTCGAAGAGAGAACATGTGTCTAGAGAGAGGCCAGGAATCATTGAGACACTTTCACCCAAGGCACTAGGGGTTTCCATATTGCTATTCGACTAGCAAGGCAAACCTATCATTGTGTGAGAGGATACAGTCGCAAAGACGGAGGACGCGAAATAGGTAGATATAGCGCAAATTGGTCACAACAAGACTGGGTATGCGTCTACCACTAGGAAGGATGAGAAATTGTTGTAATACATAGTTATTAGATCTCTAGTAATATTAAACTGTTTCTATCTCATTATTTATTTGATGTTCAAGGGCGAGTAGTCTAGACCTAGGCTTGCGTATCCTAGAGACTATGGACCAGAATCTATGCAAGAGGATACGACGCCGAATGAGCCCATTGCGTTGCGACGTCCAAAATGGTGCTAGAGCCTGACAACCACCAGCCGTTGACGAGGAGTATAAGACCGTGGGTCATCCCGGGAATGGCTTCATGGGTTTCCTCGGTGCTTGGGAGGTGTGAGAGGGCTCAATTGAATACCTGGTTAACCTCGATGTGCTGGTAAGGAGGCACGCCGGTAGAAGGGCAAAAGCCGAGCACCTGCTTCGTTAATAACAGTTACCTAGGTAGTGAGGTAACACCATCTGGTATTTTTACTCAGACTCAGAAAAGAGTAAACAGGTAGTAATACTCCCGGCTTGACACCGTTCTAACCGAATATGGTGACCAGACCGACGGTGAGTATTGCCACGTAGAGTAGGGGTGGTAAGCCGTATAGACCTGAAGCTAGTGCGGGCCTTGTAGTTGCGCCTTCGGACTGATCGTCAGACAAGTCGCGGTTCTCGTCGGGGTTGTCGCTGGGCGTGAGTGTGCTTTTCACAGCAGGAGTCAGGGAGCTGTTGACAAACTCGGGAGATCTCCAATCGGACCAGTCGTGAGTCAGTAGACCCCTGCAGGTGTTGGAAATGGTCATTAGTATCTGAATCCCAAAAATGGCTCGAGCCTATACTAGGAATGACAGCAATGAACGTATCGGGAAAACAAGAAAGATATGAACGGAAAACGAACCAGGTTTCGTCACGATCAGGTGTGCCTTCGCGGATGTAATAGCTTCCGCCCAGCTGCCAGATCATCCAGCCAGCATTACGGGTGGACACATACTCCAGCAAACACGAGATATAAGGGTCTTGTGTCGCCGCCCCGTCCTGCACCAGACCAAATTCAGTCAGAACGACGGGATACTGGTTCGCGGCGCTACTGGTCAGGGCCTTAAACCCAGCGTCGAATAGCTTGTCCCCCACAGCGGCACAGTCGCTAGGGCCGGGGCCGGCAATGTTGTCGTAAGCGTGGAGCTCGAGGACTAATTTGTTCGCGTAGCCTACAAAGTCATCCCTGTTGAATGTGGCAGACCCGGGCGTGAGCGCTGTGCCGTTGACAACGGGACTCAGATCCTGGTCCGAGTTCAGGCCGGATAGAAACACCAAGACATCCGGGTTCGCCGCGTGAACGGCGTCTGCACCGCGCCTGATATAGGTGTACCAGTGTTCCCAGTTGTAGGAGGCCCTGGCGAGTGTAGCGTTATTGAACGGGGTACGCAGTTCGTTTCGCAGCGACATAGACATAAGATTCGGCCATGCCCTCCCCTGTTAACCATTAGTGACCGAGCTCGTCGGGTCTTGTGATGGGAATGGCGCTGTGCGAACATGTGTTGCCATAAAGGACAAGCCCCGTAGCCAATTGTCGACATTAAAGTACGTGTCTCCCCACCAGGAATTCCCATCGAGAGGGCTGCAGCACCAGCCCGCTCTGGAGATATGATTATCCAAGTGAACGTAGATCTCCTGCCTCGCGCATTCGGCTGCGATAGCATCGTAAACCTTTCGCCCGATTAGAACGGAAGTCCGGTATCAGACGCTGGGACGGGAGCCGAGCATCGCCTCACCTGCAACCTTGTTGTGTCGGCGTTGAAGGACGGGTTATTCGCCGTGATCCTATCATGCACTGCCCTTCCGGCTTCCTGGCCTAAGGCGTCGGTCAAGGCCCTCTGAATCGGAATGTCGGCCTCTCCATTGTCGTAGTACTGATCTATCATCTCGGTCGCATACGTCAACCGGATGGCGTTCATACCTACACTCTTGACCCGAGAAACGATAGATGCTATCGACTGGTACTGTAGGCCCTCGGGTATCATGGTCTCGAGGGATCCCGGCCAGTTCACGCCGACATAGGCGACGTTGGACCCGGTCGCATCCTGAATCCACCGATCCGAGGTGACGAACGGACCATTTGGCCAGGCCGCCCGCGGCGTATTCGACAGGGCGGATGCGCCGGCAATCGAGAGAAGAGCTGTCAACCAGCGACAGCATCGAGATAGCGGAGCCATTCCAAGGCGATCTAAGCAAGCGAATGTGCAAAGAGAAAGAGAGGGCAAAATCGAAACGGGAACTTGGAAACCACGTTCCGAACTGGACTCGTCATCGACGAGCTGGAGATTCCGACTTGCACACACAGGCGCATAAAAAGCCTAGTAGTAAGTAGATAATCCAGGCGCCTTGTTTCGTATTCTGGGCCAGGGTGGGTAGCATATCGGTCGATCATCGAGAGGCGTCTTTGTCTTGATTGGGCCGGGTTGGCATGTCGCCGCGCAGGAGATCGTATTTGTAGCATCCATGTCGCCGTTAGGCAATATGGCCAGAATCTTGACGCGAAATCGAAGGCTAAGCGGTAATAGCCCCGGTAGTAGTATATTTCCCAATATGCGCTTCCTACGAAGCCCCGTTTATGCGCAATTCGTCTTATGGAATGGTATATCTACGTAGATGAGACCAATTTACTCCCGTCTTGTTCCCTCTTTCTTCCTCCGTATTCCTCAATTCCCCCGAAGGTAGACGGCAGTGCTACCATTCCAATATTTCGGTTCAGCCATCGCAACTGGAAGAGCGACGATTATTTAGGCATTACCGAGCGCTTCGGAAACGTGCTACACGTCCGCCATCCCTCCTCGCTTCGCCACTGTAGTGTCCGTACCGCCGAGACCAGACGCCAAGGATCCCGACGAACTGGTTGACAAAACCATCTCATCGCGATTCCACCAGCTTCGGCGGTTCGCACGTTAGATAGAGTGTGCACCATAGAAGAGAGGACCCCACACTCGCGTGCAGGGTCGCTTCGCCATAGAGGGGCGAGCGATACCCTTCGATGACAAGAGAGGGATCAATATTCTGATGGAGCCGTCGCAGCTGCCCGGGTCTAACTGCCCGTCTTAGCCAGATACGAGGGATAGGTCAAAGTCAAGTCGGCCACTCGATGTCGAAATCGAGCATGTCCGGAAATTCGTTGGCTGGAGAGACCATGCTGGGCCCTATATTATCCGAAAATGTTTCGAAGCGAGGCATACTCTGGAAGCTTGGGAACTCTCGCTGGGACCGGTCGGGATTGATAGAAGCCTTCTCCGACAATGCCGGCGTGCCCTCCCCCGTGGCGAGTCGCGGGAAGCATTCTGTTTGAAACTGACGCGTGGATTCTCCTGGCACCTGACTCGCGAAATTATAAGGAAGAGATCGATTCCTGTCTTCATCGGGCCTCTCATGCACCCTACTGGGGTCGAGAAAGTCTCTCCCGGACCCCTCGCCCAGCTGCCCGCTTTCGTCCAATGTAATCTGCGGATCGGTCCGTATCGAGATCCCGGAGTCGATAGTATATGATGCCTGAGGGCTATGGGGTATGCTATCTTGGCCTTCGGCCCTAGCATTGTCGCTCGCCCATTCGTCTAAGATGTGGTGGAGCCCTTCCCTAAGGATATCTTCCATAAAGACACGCAGGTCCCGCTCCTCGTGAGGGAGATTCGAAGTAGTCATCCCCTTACCTTCTAGAAACCCAGCTAACACGACCGGTCCCCGGGCAGTGATGAAGTCTTGGAAAACACACAGGTCTTCGGACAATTCTCTGTCGCGATACGGCGTCTTTGGGCGTGGACGCGGGAAGAAGAGAATGTCGAAGACGGTAAACCATTGCTGTTCTTCCGGCATTTTCGAGGAAACTCTCTGACTCAGCTCCCTCCTTTGCTTGTCCGATATGCCCTGGATTACGAAAGGTTGGCGGGCGCAACTCATGGCCGCGGTGTGGGAGTCCCTGGCATCCTCGTCCTCGAATGTCTGCCCACAAATAGCACAGTATATGGGCTTGCGATGGCAACGCGATAGATGCTGCTTCACGTCACGGATCCTAGACAGGCAGTATCCGTAGCAATGGCGATATTTGACCGGGTCCATTTTCGCATAGGGACAGGCGAACCAGAGCCGACGATCCTGTGCCCGACGTTTGGTGAGAGACGCCCGGATTTGTCGCCCCTTGGGCATCTCCAGAGTGTCATCCGAGAACCGACGTTTCCGCTCCGGGATGTTTGCGGCGTGCTCGTGATCAGCCGAGTCGACCGACGTTCTTACCTGGCCGATCCCTTGGGGGCCTTTTTTTTCCGTCTTACGTGCCTTAGCTTGCATGTACGCCGCCATGACTACTTCTAAGAACGATTCCTTCAACGAAAATAATGGGTGCTCTTTCTCGATTCCCGGCGTTTCTGCAGAACAGGTCGAATATGGTGTTTCGGTTTCGTTGTCTTCCCACGTGCCCGTAGTCTCATATCCAGATCTGCCCATCGTTTGCGAGCTAGCGAGCCTGGCCGGAACTCCAGTCGTGAGGACGAGCCATCTTTCAGAAGATATTAAACTAAATCGTTCCCTGCGGCGGGTCGGGCTGGCGTGGGCTTATTTTCGCGGGAACGGTAGGCGGCGAGAGGAGAGAACTTCCCAAATGAACATCGTCAAGGAGGGTAGGGTGCGACTGCCAGCCCTTCGCTAAACGCCAATCCATACCCAGGTGAGATGCATCTCTCATTGATGCGGCTCATTTTCTCGCCGTGCAGAGCACTCTAGTGCTCTGCTGCGAGCAGAAGCACGCTTCTACCCTGGACCCGGATTGTTGGCCCGCGATCATTGGGCTATGCTCCCATTACGCCGCATTAGCACGGCTGCCTTCCGCCAGAACAGCAGCATCTGATATGGTCGGAACTCGGCCGCGGCCCATTCTGTCCGTTCGGATCACGACTGCAGCCTTGTGTCGGGGTATGTAATGATGCACACAGTTGCTACCTGTTGCACATATATGCCCTCCAGAAGTGGTTCGCACCCAGTCAAGCCGTCTCTCATCTGCGGAGATCATTCCCTTTTCGCGATGAACAGTCGTATCTACGAGCCAACGGTACCTGTCGCGTGAGTCCTCAAGGCAGGAGATATCGCATCCAGCTCCGCCCCTCTCACTCCCCGTCCCCAGTGACGAACGGATGCGGGCTACAAGATCAAGGCTGTATACACGTCGGTGGCGTCGTTGCTGGCAAAAATCCTTACTCCAGGTAACATTTTATTCCTTCATCTGTTACTCTGATCATAATTCTGCATTGTATCGCATTCACGTCCTCTACAAATGTCTCGCGCTCTGATCTTACATAGGTATCCCTAGTACAGAATCTGGAGACATGAGCTCGATCATCCCGTCGAAAGCGCGGTCGAGTCTAGCATTCCCCAAACGACGGCAACTGCTATTTCTTCCCTTCCCGCCCTTCTCAGTAAAAATGTTTCCCCTTACGATACGTTTGTCTAGAGCCGCCAACGATCCCCAAATTCCCAGCATCCCTCAATTCGTATACGTACATCTAGATAATTCACCACGGCCTCAATGGCCAGTGGCTAGTCCGAGGTGGCGTGCCCGCCGATCGGTCAGACAGGGCTCTGCGATCTGTCGATCGATTGCACAGCCGAAACAGGGCGTGTCTGGCTCGCCACGAGAATACGCCGTGGCATACGGCACCTTGGATTATCAGCAGTTTTAGCCAATTTGATGCTCGAATAAGGGGGAGTTCGGTGTTCAGGTATTGCGCAATCTACCCTGCGAGCATATGAGGCGTGTACCTGACACGCGCCAACGACTTGGTTCGCTTTAGCAGTCTGTCACAATGCTTTCACGTCAAGCAGTGGCCTTTGGCTATGATCCTGAACTCACCACGCCAACCTATGAGTACTGCTTAGGTACGTATCAAGCGTGGCTTAGCCATCTTCCCAAAGAGACAATGATGTGTAATCTGTCAACTTCATTGGCTGCCGACTTTTCAGTATCCCCTCATAGCTTGGGCTAGCGTCTGCTCATAGGTTGGGGCATTGAAACCCAGGATCGGATACGCAAGCTCATTCCGGTTTTCCGGTTGTCCGCTTCTCTCTTGGACCGGACGCGCAACCGATTGCTGGGCTGGGAGTGAGCACCCCGGTGAAGAATTGCGAGTTACGACACAGGGTGGTGTTGCTATTCTACCTACCTGGTACAACGTCTCTCGCCCAGCCGTTACCCTGACCCTATTTCCCATCAGAACATATCCAGATATCCAGGCTTGGGACTCCTACCACCCCCGCAGAAAAAAAGGAAGAAAAAAGAGGCAAACACTATAGCAGCTCAGACAGTAGCTTAGAGACATCATATTAGCGACCTAGCGATACCTATTACAATATTCCATCTACGAATATAGTCCAAGGGGGCGATTTTCTTCACAGTTCTGGGTATGGTTAATGGATCATAGCTTGAGTTTTTTCATGCATATTCCGTTAGTATAATATGCTTTAACTATAGAATATTTTGAACCAGAATGGTATACGAAGTCAAGAGAATTAGTGAATCTACTATGTACCTGTAATTAGGTTATCACGTACCTACGCAGAAGTCCTATGAGATGAGCTAAGTAGCGAAGACTACCAAGTAGCGCTGTTAGAAATCGAACCTATCCTTCGTTAAGTAGCCTACTGATCTCTGTGAGTACAGGTGGATAAGACATCTCAGGTAGGAGGTAGATACCTAGGCTAATAAGTACCGATCTTCACTTAGCTGGCGGGGCTGCCTATAAATAGGTGTATATACCTTCTCATGCGTGCCCATAACAAATAATGAATATCTCGAGTGCCCTCTCCACTTGAAAATAATTAAAATAACGATAAACATTACGTGCGGATGATTAAGTGTGTAGGTGTGCGTTTTGGCAGGTTCACTTTCGTGGCCTCGCTGCCTTAATTGTAAGGCATACGAGACGTATTGAAAGCTGAACCTGACCTATTGATTGAAAAGGAGTAAATCTAGGTGCCAAAACGGCGATTGAACAGCTTTAAATACAGTTGCGAATCAACCAATCACAGGGCTCCTGAAAGGAGCCCTAGGGATCCACCTAGGTAGCCTGAACGAAAGTATTAGGGAGAACGGGAGCGGGGGCATGTAGTAGAGTAAGAAAACGGGTCCGAAGAGGAGGAGAAAGAGGAGCGAAAATAAGAACCAAAGCCCTATGATAGGCCTGAGCGAGATATTGGTCGGATTCGGCAGTAAATTACATTGTAAGGTATTGATTCAGTAGGCTAAGTTCGTGAGCAAGTCGCCTGCCATCTCCCCGACGAAATCAACGCCATGTGCTCCATTAGGTATCTGCTCTCACGGTGAGGACACTGGAGGGAAGATGTGAGGCGCCTAAATATAGCAACGCTCACTATGTACCTATCGCAACCCACCCCCCACAATGCCCATTCTATCATCTACATATACGTGTACCTCTTCATACCGGGCTTACTCTTGTTCTTTGCAAAAGGTAGAGAAATTTTCTCCCAAATGCATTTTTGACTACCGTACGAAAGTACATTTAATTGACCCTATTTTGCGATTAAATATTGCTCTACAAGCTATTTTAAAGCAATATAATGGGCGGTGATGGTGCAGCCAACTTAGCAGTGGCACAGCTAACTCGGTAGTATGCGCTGATGGTAGGTAGTAGCCGTAGTAGCAGCGGCAGCGGGTCCATTTTAAGGTAAGTTACAGGAGACCTAGACTGGTTTACAGGGGATAGAGCTTGGTATACTGAGTAAAGCATTACAGTATAGGAATCTTAGATAGGAGTCTTAGAAGGTCGAGGATACAGGTACGCAACCCCCTGTTTCTTAGCATCCCACATACACAACTTTTGCCTCTTGCTAGTACTTACAAGTGTACACATTTCGATGAGCCACCACAATTAACAGGTCTCGAATGTACCCAGATCGGGATCTCGAGGCATACCAGATGGCGTGCCCGGCGAAGCATCGGGGATGAGATGATGGGGAAGGATGCTGACTACCTATTTAGACAGGTTCCGTATTCCACGTCAGGTGCCCGCCGAGTCTCGCATTGCGCTGAGTTGGTAGACGTAGTCGGATAGCATCACAAGCCGTACCTGGACCCGACCGCGCAATGGAATTGCGGGATGGGCAACGCGTGGCCAAACGATTGGCCCATGCGAGGCGATGTCTCACGCGGCAGAGAGTGCACATGTGCGCCAAAGGCAGGCGATAGTAGGCTGGGCTGCCGGACCCCTACGGCGGGATTCTTAGCGCATTGCCTCGACGGTGTCCCGCCTACATGCTACGTAACGAGCTGGGCACATGGCTACCTACCTTCGAGACAGCTACTCCGTGCCGGTCGGACATGGTTGCATCGCTGTCCCTCCGAGGAGGTCGGAATTCCTCGGACGACGCTCGAACACCGCCAACGACAGCGGGTGGGGGGGGAGTAGAGACGGATGAGAAGAGGGCGAGAAGCGCGGAGGACCTCGCTGCACAGGGAATGCGATCATGGATATTCGTATTTATAGATATCGTTCCAAGGACACATACCGTGTTAATTATGACCTTTACAGCGTGATATTCTCCAATATTCAAACCTTGGGAGGCTGCATGTACGGTGCCGAACCTACTTCGGATGGTACGTAACCAGACCCCTGACACCCGCCGATGACATCAACCGCAGTAGGCTTTGACGGCGGCAGTTCCGCGCCAGCCCGCCTTGTACTGGCCTGTCGGTACCTAGCCTCAGATGCTACCTCTCCTCTGTAGACGTGCTCCCTGCTATAGGCACTACTTGCGACGGGATGCCTTCGGTAGTGTAATGGTTTGAACTGTCGCGGTGGGCGTCATTCATCAGGTAGACACACGCCGCACCCCCCTTCCCGTGGGCCGGTGCGCCCTCTGAAGTTTGCCGACGGCCCAGGTCGCAATATGTCTGATGTAGACGTGAGCGAGATCCCAGACGGCGCCCCGGACGGATGACGGCACGTAGGGTGTGTGCTCTCCCCTGGCAATCTGCCTGCATGAGCTAACGAGGTGGTACCTCGCCGATACCTGCCGACGACACGACACCACTCTCGTCTGGCGGCGTCGCATGTACTCATACACAGCCAGGCCATGTGCCTAACCTAACCCTAGGTTCCTCGTGTAGGTGCCCAGAAGGGGATGGGGACCGAGCCGTAGAAGCTCGAAGGGGCTCTGCGTCTCGGTAGGGGACGTTCACCTGGATACTATGCGCACCTTAGGTGTCTCCCATGTTGTCGCCCGCGCCATTCCAGCGCTTCTGCCCTTCTCCAGCGCCGGCCGGCTCTGCTCCGGCTTTGTTCCGTATCGAAGAACCCCCAATTGTGAAGGTTGTAAAGGGGGCATGCGCCGTCGGGGGGGGGGAACTTGGTCGGTGCTGTGTGTGGTCAGGTACTGCCTCGTGTACCCCATAAGTGCCTCTGCGTAGTACCCCTAACTATAGGTAGGTACCCCTTATCACCCTCCCATCCGCTGATGCAACTTAACCCGCCGAAACCAACCCACCTCCACCTCCCTCTGCTCTGTTCTTCTACCACCTCCATACCATTCCATGCCCCGTCGGCAAAGCCCACGACATAACACCAACATCACCGCTGCTCCTCTCTGTCCCTCGCTCATTCTGTCCGTCACTAGACGCAGCTACGAAGCCGGCCATCCCCGCCGGGCGACAAATCAACCGCAACCGCATCGGGTGTACCGTCTTTCCCCTTCTCGGCCTCCCCTATCCTAAGCTCCCGTACCGGCGACACGTCCCGGGGCCCCGCGACCGTCGCCACCGAGAGCATCACCACCATGGCGCCTCATGCTTCTGCCGACGAGGACGTTCCTCAGAATGAGGGAGGGAAGCTCAAGATGTTTATTTCCATCCTGCGGAGGTAACCCCCACCCCCATCATTATGGCCCCTGTCGTGCTTTTCTTCGTGGTCGTGATGGAAAGGGTTTGCGGCTCACCGCTATCCCCGACCTGTCCGCGATCGGAGTTTCTGCGAGATAAATCACCCCCCGCAGCGCTGTTTACTCTCGGACAGCTGCTAGCTTCCCTCTCTTTGCCTGAAGCTTTGCTGATATCCCTATCTTCCCTCATCTCAGATTCGTCGGCGTCGCAGATCTCGCAGCTGTTCGCTTCTCCTTACCATCTCAACTCCTCGAACCGACCCCCAACCTCGAATACTGGAACTACCTCGACAATCCCAGCGCGTTTGCTTCGATAGGTACGTCGGATGAGCCTTTGGATCGTATGCTCGAAGTCCTACGTTTTTGGTTTACCAAAGACCTTAAATATGTCAAGGGTCGGCCGTGTAAGCCGTACAATTCGTGCCTGGGAGAATTCTTTCGTTGCAACTGGGAAGCCGAGGACAATGCACCGCGGATCAACACGAGATCCCTGATAGCGGCTGGCAGCGGGAATGCCAGTAGTTCATCCTCGATCAAATCAGCCCAGAACGGTGTAGATCCGCGGACGGCCTCGACCGTGTCCGTCGTTCAAACGGCAGCAAATCCGGCCGGGCCGACTGTCCGGATATCTTACTTGACGGAGCAGACATCCCATCATCCGCCTGTGAGCGCCTTCTACATCAGCTGTCCCGAGAAAGGTTTGCACGCGAGGGGTTTCGATCAGATCAGCGCCAAATTTACCGGCACCACGATCAAGGTGTCACCGGGAGAGCACAACTTAGGCATCTTCATCACCCTCGAGCGAAGAAACCACGAAACTTATCAGCTTAAGCACCCGGCCGCTCACCTCGGCGGGATTCTCCGTGGTGCTCTGAGTGTCAGTGTGGGCGACATGGCCTACATCACCTGCCCCGAGACAAAATTGAAGGCTATCCTGCACTACATCGAGGATGGCTGGCTCGGTCGCGCGCAGAATAAGATGGAAGGCGTCATTTTCAAATATGACCCGGAAAACGACGACAAGCAGCGCATCAAAGACGTACCCGACGCGGACGTCGTGGTGAGACTCGGCGGTGCATGGAAAGATAGGATCGTCTTCACCTTAGGCTCCAAACCAGTGGTAAGCTTTCGCCGCTTCAGCGTGCTTCCCCTACGAGACTCTAATCATTCCTATCACAGGAGTCGCATCCCCCAGAGCAGCAAACCACCATCATAGATCTTGCCCCGCTCACCGTGGCCCCGAAGACATTGCCTCCCAGAGAGGCGCAGGCCGAGAACGAATCTCTGGTGCTGTGGGACGGTGTGACTCAGGCCATAATGTCCAAACAATTCTCGAAAGCGACCAGTGTCAAGGTGGAACTCGAAGAAAGACAGCGAGAAAAGGCTCGAGAGCGGGAGCGCAAAAACGAAGTCTTCCAGCCCATGTTCTTCAACCAGGCTACCGATAAGGGGGGCAAGCCAGACCTCACAGAGAAAGGCCGCCAAGTGCTAGAAAGGGCGCAAAAGGGAGACTGGAGCCTGGAAGGCATCCTTTAGAACGTGAACACGAATGTGATTGACACCACGGGCTCGGACTAGAGCTGGCGCATCAGGGGCACTCGGCGCCCCGTTTACATATATAATCGTTGGCTGCGGCGCTGCATGGTTGGTTTTAAATGGCTCGCTCGCTCGCATAAACACGCACACGACACACATACCGCAACGCCACATGGACGAGGCACAGCAACATGGTTCGAAACCATATGCAGGGTTGTGTACATCGTCGGCATGTTATCTACACAAGCGTAGGTAGAACAGATTTGAGTCCAGGGGCGTTTGGGGGAGGGGAAGCAAGGCATGTAGAGGAAGATAGAAGACTAGATGGCCTTCTCTATCCAATTGCGGACGTATTTAGCAACACCACTATACTACTAATCTGTTAGATTTCTTCTCGCTACTATACGAATCCGTCTCTCTGGAGGATCGTCCGGTTCTCTGCCTAAATATGTCGCTAACCAGTCATCCCAAGTCTTCGCGTCAAGGCGACGTACGCGTTTCAATTAATGTGATGGGCAGGATTGATACGTAGGGATGTGGACGTTGGCTCACGAGCTCACGCATCGCCTTGTCCTCGGAAAGCTTTGCTTCAAGCACCAACCCGATTCCCGCCCTCCGATAGCAAGAAAAAAAGGATGGTAGCGACTCACTCGAAAGCGCAATTGTACGTCCCAAATAAGACTTCGGACCTCCTACCCTTCGCGTCGTCGAGGGAAAGCGAAAGGTGGTAACTAGAGCGGGATCGAGCTCAAGACGACAACGGTGCATCTATATTAACTCGACTAATACGTATTGAAGCCGAAGTGTTCAGGGGACCCTTTACCACCACTCTCGGCCCTGATCTGTCACACAGAATGCTAGGACCTACGTTAAGACTCGCCCGGAACACCAACTCGGCAACGCCCTGTCGTGTCTCAGTATGCTGTTCTCTCGGGGATATGAATGAGAAGCATGTCTTACGTGGCGAGTGAAACTTTAGGTCCAAGTTCGATCCGAGCGCGGGTGCTGAGCAGGCAGTGTGCGCCGGCGCGATGGACATCACTCGACAACTGCCCAACACCCAGCTGCCCAAGAACTAATCGGCCGAACCCTGTTTACCGGGCTATCTACTAAGTAGCCATTTAGTTGCTTCTGGGGACGCAAGATAACCATGACCGGAGACTCCCTTGACGTTCCCGATCCACTTGTTTCAAGGGACCTCGCAGGTGATTGATGGATGACATCTGTAGATTGACGAAACGGCAACATGTCATGGTGCGCAACCGAGCCCCTTCGTCATATACGTCCGATACTCGACAAGTCAATACGAGCAAGGTTCACTCTGATTGCTTCCTGGTCCCGACGGATATAGCCGGCGTCTTCGGGCAAGAGTTGGAGCACCACCGTTTGAGCGGCGGAGTTCCGTCAGGACCTTCGATCTCAGGGCTCCCTCAAACTCGTAGCTAGAACGACACCAAGGTCCTCGTCACAGGCACAGGGTGCTTGCCGGCGGCTTCTAAATACGTCTATCCTGCCATTGGGGTTCTGTAGCTGCTACCTACGTAGAGGCCTAGTTCTCCGGGGGGTACACGACGATCCTGTCGATGTCCGCGCCCTTGTAGTGGAATCCGTTGAACAGGCCGCCCACCGTGATGGTGTTGCGCGACCCCTTTTCCAGCGTCAGCTGCAGCGGCGTCGACAGGATGATGCCCTTGTGCGTGTCCCTCTGGTACAGCGTCTCGACATTCTCAGCGTTCCCGTTCACGACCACGCTGGCTATGCGGCGGAGCTGCCACGATCCTCCGATCCTGTCCGGCGAACCGCCCGCTGTTTCGGCTCCGTTAGCACGCGCACGACAACGTCATTTTTTTTCGGGCGTAGAACTCACGTTGATCTCCGAAACCCATGTCGTCGGTATCTGCGAGGCGGTTAGAAGATGCTAGGTAGGTAGGGACAGAGGGAGGTACGCTGTTCGCGCCACCGAGGAAACTCACTCTGGTAGTAGAACGACACCCACTGCGGCTTTCCTGTGCCTTGGATGCCGCTGAAGGTGACGGTGCTGTCGTTGCCTTCTATCCCGGTCACGATCGTGCCCCTGCTGGCGAAATTCTACAATGTGGCTCCTGTTAGCGAGAGTGCACCGCACGGCTCGGGAGGGGGGGAACATGCCGCCTCTTGCTTGAACGCGTTCCCGCTCGTCTTGGCGTCTATAGCCAGGTATTCTCTGCCTTGAATGGGCTGCCATTTTCCAGATTTCCTGGCCGGTCGCCTATGTCAGCGTTTCAATTTACGAGGGATCGAAAACGGGGGACAGGCAGTAGGTGGGATGACGGGACCAGATAATAACATACACATCCAGGTCGTAGACATCATGCCACTCCACTTCGAGGGTCTTCTTGGCATCGTCGATCGTGATGGGGAGCCAGATGTATCGGCTCTCCCAAAGCGAATTGGAATCCCACTGGTCGCCCAAGTAGAGGTAAGTTGTCTTCCTATTACCCTTAATTCTCAATGTGAAGCCAGACTGAGAGTTAAAAGTGCGCGTGTTGAGCGGTGCAACTATCCAAGGCTGGGACCATGGGCCACTCAAGCGGTCCGCCCGGAAGGCGACGACATCTGAAGACACGTGGTAAGCAGGGCTCTCGCTCACAAACTTCAGGATGAGGTTGGATTCTTACTGTTTGGCCTGTACCCCGTCTTGTGGCTCATCAAAGCATAATAACTTTTATCCGTCTGAAGGATTGTTGGCGCTTCAAGATCGAACTTGTCGAAACGATAGACCACCTCGTCGAGGCCCGTAACCTCCTTATTGTAGGAGGTCAAGTACACGTCGCGGCCTTCCCGTCGGTCGCCGTTTGAGTACAAGGCGTAGGTTCGGCCGTCTTTATAGTCAGTGAACATGCCGAAATCCTGGGACCAGTTGCCCAGAGGGGCCGTCGCGTCGACGAAGCTGTACGGCCCTTCAATCGTGTCGGCGGTCGCGAATCCCTGAAGTAAAAGTCCGTAGGAAGAATTATCGGCGTGCCACCACATCTGAATATGACGAGTTAGTATCCGCGGACGGGCAGCCGAAAAAGTAGACGTTGCTCTCACGTGGTACTGTCCTGTCGACTCGCTGTACACGACCTTGGGCCGCTGGATGATCATCTCAGGGGCGATGTAGGGGTGTCCGTTCACGGGCTCTATTCCCCGTCAGCCTGCCAGTTCCAACGTCCTCTCTTTCCCGTCGACGCGCTCACCTAGAGCAAGGCCGTGGTACGTCCACGTAGCAAGGTCGGGTGAGCTGTAGACCGACACGCCGCCACCCTCCTCTTGACCCTGGACCTTGTACTCGCCGAACCACCAGAACTTCCCATTATCCAGCACCACGCTGCCCGCGTGGGCGTTGACGAGATTGCCGTCCGTGTCCCGCCATCTGGCCCCCGGGACGATGTACTTCGCCTCCGTCACAGCGGCGCCCAGCAGCAGCAGACCACCAGAGAGGCACGCCTTTAGACCGAACATTTTGATCACGATGCACCTTTACAGACGCGCGCAGACCGCCTCGGTACGCATCTCTCTACCCGGGTAGTCCGTGAGCTTATAGGTCGCTTGCCAAGAAGGAACCTCGCGGGTATTTACCCCGCCAATTCGCATCGAATTCGTCCGCATCGCGAGATTAGCACCCGTTCCCTTCGTCTCCAGGAACCGGGGTGGTGGAAGAGCAGAGCTTATTAGTGCCCGGAAGGAAGGGGTAAAGGGAAGATACCCGCGTCCCGTTACAACGCCTGTGGATAACCGCTGCCCATGTAGTGCATGGTGGGAGAGCCAAGTGTCTCCTCTTCCCCAAGTTCCAGACTTGGCGGCTGGTTTGTACCGAAATGAGGCCCGTATAAGTGCCACGCCATCACGAATGGCATCACGAGAATACCCGGATGGAGAGGAGGTCGGTGAGATCCCCCGATGAACTCGGGATGCCAATGGGATGCCAATGGGATTCAATTCATGCTATCGCTGTTCTAGTCTAGGCGAACGACCGCTTCGATTTAAAGGTTAGTCGCTCCCTACTTAGCTCTACTAGTATCCGATTGTGTGTCGATGGCGCCAACGTCAAGCGCTTCCTTCCGCGGCCCAGCCGAGGCCCGCTGGGCTTCAGGATCGGGGGAGTGTCTCTCGCCTTCGAAGGTGGCATCTATTTCCTCCAGTGTTCTGCCCTCGGTCTCGACCCAGAAGGTAGCCTGAGGAAAAGACAAAGAAGAGGAAGAATCAGAAACACCTATGTTTGCCGCGATGGTGCACTGTGCAATCGGGGAGCTTGTCACAATAATTATAGCGATGACGATATCCCAGGATCCGCTGATCATGTACCTTTTCCATCTGACGTCGTGGAGGCCAATGGGCATGATGAACACGAACACATACCTAGAAGCCCGGTTAGCAATGCCGAGAGCTTCTCGGCGGCGGAATCGAGGGCACACGCGAGAGTTTTAAGACCCAGCGTCGTGCGAGCAAGGCCGTTCGCTCGAATCGAGTACTGCCGTCTGTTAGCAGCCCTCGCTCATATCCACTGATTCTCTTCGCCTGTCTTCTCTAGTCTCGCCGACGAAGAGGACGGAGGCTAGGAAAACGGATGAGGGGGCAAAGTTGCTAACTAGAGAGAGATGTTAGCGCGCATGTCAATAAATGCACGAATAACCCTGCGTGGCGACTCGGAGGCTGCTTCGACATACCCGAGAACATCCCCGGCGGATAGAAATGAAGGAGTGGAGTCCAGGCTACAGAGTAGAATTCTTGAAATAAAAACATGACCGCCACATTCCTGTATACGAGGCTGTTGAAAGCGTTGATGGGATCGCCAGCATACATCTTGGAAAGGCCTCCGATTAAAAAGAGACAGACGACGAACAGGATCTCCGAAACGAGGGTGGTCGGCTTGCGGCCCCAGTTCGCCGCGAGATGAGTCCCGACGAGAGCGCACACGAGATACCAGACGTTCAAGACGAGGTTCTATCCTAGTCAGTGCGCTTCGGACCGTCGGCGGAAAGGCGGGGGGGATAACTCACGGCCCTCAACCGATCCGTCGAGTTCGTGATGCCGGCGGTGGCAAGCTCGTCGCCGAAGTAGTACGAAGCGATGATGTCGCCGGCGATGCAGGAGAAGGGCCCGTCGACATGCCGATGAGGAAGCGTCTCCTCATACTTGGCGTCTTGATGATCTCCTCGGGACTCATCGTCCGGCCCTCCTTCTCCCACGCAAGGGAGTCAAGGATCTCCTTATTGATGGCGACCGCGACAGGGTCATCTGCGTTCCCGTTCGAGTTTGTCTGAGCCACCAAATTCCGCGCAGCATCGGAATGTCCCTCGTGCCCTAGCCATCGCGGCGATTCTGGTCTGGAACGGAAGAATATGGATTCAGTCTACGCCCCCGGTCGGGATAATAGGACGCATAGAACTCACACGAAAGGCATCATGCAGATGCATAGAACTGAGAAGACCCCGTGAATAAGCGATGGCAATCGCCACACCCACTATAGCAAGAGAAACGAGATGAGCTCACGGAGCGACACCTTCGCTCAGGTCGTAGACCTTGACACTTGCAAATCTTCGCATTCGTAGGTGGAAACCCCTACCATGGATTGCCAATGTCCAGTCCTCAAGGTCACCCCGGCCGCAATCAGGGCGCCGACGCTGTAGCAGACCAAGTCAGTTCCCCAAAATGGCCTCAATTCGTTTCTATCCTCTATCTGTAGAAGATCTCGGACCTCTTACTAGGTAGTAGAAATCGCTCAGCAGTCCAACTCCCCAGGCCCTCCACCGGTTGGGAAACGTCTCCGACAAATATACACCTGAAGAGACGCCCGAAATGGCACTTCCGAAGCCTAGAATTCTACGACCCACGGCGAACATAGCGATGTTCTGCGCCGCGGTCTGGATGATGACGCCGACGAGGATCGCGACGGAGCCCCAGAAGATGGCCGGTCGCCGCCCCAGCCGGTCGGTTATCACGCCGGAGCTCAGCATCCCGACCGTGTAGTCGATAAAGACTGATGTGGTGTTGAGACTGGTCGTGGCTGAGGTAAGACGGAAATAATCCGTGTATGATGGTAGAATGTTCAGCCCATCAGCATCGAACCATCATATCCTCCCATCTTTCCGTAGGTGGGTGTCAGCGGCCAGAGCAGAGACTGACGATCCATACGGGAGTAGGACATTGTCATACTGAGGACTGGACCATCGAGCACAGCACCAGCAGATAGGTGAGAGTCAGAGTCGACTCTGGCACATACGCCGGCAGCCATGTTCCGGTGTGTGTTCGTGTGACAAGGGGATATGCTTGGAGGGTTTTTCGATTCAACTAATAATTCTGTAGGGAGTCTCTTTTAGCCTTGGTCCCATTCCCCTTCGGAGGGTCGTCCGGTGGAGACTATATCTATCCTTAATATACTTATATATCTATATACCCACATATCCATATACCGATGTATCTTCTGCGAATATCCGCGCTTATTTAGAACTTCATTTAATAAATCGCCGTACCGGCGACCTAACTACTTATATCGTATAATACCTACCTAATATCGTCCTCCTGACCTATGTATTGGCACTAGGGTCCGTCCCTGTGTGACAGTTCGCCTAAGCATGTTGCCGATCTCGTTCCGTTTCTCTACAACAAACCCCGGTGGTCCGAATGATGAGACTTGTCAAATATATAGGTGCCTACAGAGTCTTTCTCTGTTACCTAATAATAAGGTGGTGTAAGCTTACTACCTTTCTTCTTCTACTTTGAGGAGTATTAGTTCCTAATAATAGGACCGTAGAGGGGTGGCTCGTGGAGGGGTATCTAGGCTTACAGGTCATTTACTGGCAGAGATATAAGATGCTCTGTATGTGCGCAGGAGAGTGTCCATTTCTTACTTTAACCATTCTCATTTCCTCTACCAAACCCCGAAGCAACCTGCAAACATGGCATCTGCGGCTTTAAGCGCCTCGAATATCCGGCTCCTTGCTCAGCACGCCACGACATACTGGACAGATGAAGCATCTGTTAACGGTGTCTGGGTCGGCCTACTCGCCAAAGCTTTCCCCGGCTCCGATGGCTTCGTTCTCCAACCAGAGGGACAGGGTGATGGGAGCAAAAAGCGCAACGACATCCTAGTTCGCAAGATCACAAACTTCCAAACCGGGGCACAGGACGCCTACCTTGTTTTTGAGGGCAAGAGCAGCAGAGGGGACAGCTTGGACCAAGCGGGAAAACAGCTCTTGGAGTTTGTGAAGGCCTCGCCCAAGCTCAGCGGGGTCAAAAGGCTCTGGGGCATTGTGGCCAGGGGCACCGAGTTCCGGCTCTTATTCTATCTTAACGGGGTGGAACACAAACTGAAGCTACCCAAACCAGATCCCGCCAACCCAGACAGCGGCAAGCCTTCATCGGGCAGCCCCAATCCCGACTACACTCTAGGGAAGGCGTTTAACGAACCTGGCTCCGTTGAGAGTGTCCAGCTTTTCTTGGCCTACGCGAAGACACACGTCGGGTCTTGGGTCCCTTGAGCCTCCCTGCTTGGTTTCGTGCCGGTATTGCGGCGCAATACCGGGCTGCTTTCGAAATCCCTTGAGTTTCAGCACCTACTCGTGAGATAGATAGCGGAATAATGTTGGTTTCAGGGATTTGTCGGATGGGAACTTTGGACATGATAACGAGCATCGAATTCACCATAGAGTTCTCGGCACCTAAGAGTCGAGAGCTACCCTCGGTGGCCTTGCGCTCACCAGGGCTATTATGGGTAGAATTATAAACGGCACGTGAGAAGGCGGAGCATAAGGGATGTACATTTCTCTATCGCCACGTAGAGGTTACGCCTCTTCGTTGCTTACCTCAGCAACAGGAGCTCCTATATATACGCGCTCCTATTGCTTCCATTCCTTTAGCTAGTTCTAAGATAGAACAAGACCTTTTTCTTCCTTTGCTCCTCCTCCCGTTACTCGTGAGATAGCTCCTCGCGGGCGCTCTCGCACACGTAGCTCCTTAGATCTACGTAACATCTAATTATTTCTCTTTCTAGGAGTATGCCGTGGCTTCGAACCGCTTTGATAGGAGTAGAGAAATGACGACAGGATGGAAGGGTTAGACACTCGACGCGCGAGCTGTGCGCGTATATCAGATTTTGTTGCCTCCCTGACGCAGCAACTCGTCTGCCAGCATGTTGATGAAGACCTTGTGGCAACTCGTCGGCTTTCTTAGCCCATGTTTAACCCGGCGGGGCTTCACCTGCGCCGCCGGAGCGGGACTCTGATAATTACGGGTACTTCTTCCATAGTGTGGAATAGGTGTGAAAAGAAGTAACCGGAAAATGCGAAATTTTAGGCCTATTAGGGGTGACGAGCCCTGCACCACCTATTTTTGAATTGGCGGGCTTCGTCACGTTTAGTAGATGCTCGGCCTCGCCCTTAGCTGGAGTGGGTTTCTTCGCTCCGTGTCCAACAAGCAACAAAGCAGCATGTCGATACGGCGGGCATGGTCGCTGGCTCGGAGATAGTCTCAACATATACCCGTTTCTTTTTTTCCTTTTTGGGGCATACTGATACTAACCAGGTTCTAGTCATGTTGCAGCCATGACCGAGTCCCAATGGCATATCGTCATGGTAACCAACTCGCTGCTGAATGGCTTTTACTAGGTATGACGGATCCACGGGCTTGCTGATGGCAGCACGAGGGCCTGGTGAGTAATGCCACCAGCCATTAATATTCCGCTCTCCACAAACCCTCTCAAAGCATATTAGCGAAAACACCCCTCTGCTCGCAGCCTTCAAACTGAAGCGGTCTTACCCTGATCCATACGGGAACCTCGTTGGCCACAAGAACGATGGCGATACCGGCATTGATGCAGGCGACAGCACATCTCAGGCTACGACTACGACCCCTCTGTACGCTATCCCGTGGTTCCAGGCGACGGATGACTCGTCCGTCACCGTCAGCGAGATCAAGCCGGAGTTACAGATGTCCATGGCCATGAATGCGTTTTCGTCTTGGAGCGTAGAGGCGGCCGCGTGAGTACTGTATCTTGCCTTACATCTTGCACCACTGAAGTCCTCCCAAGCACAACGTCCATAGAGACTTGGCTGGATACTGATCATGGACACAGCTCAGGCGGCATCGGCGGCATCACAGGCGGCCTCTCGGTGTCGGGCTCGTCGTCGTCCGGGAGCTCGTCGGGCTGGAACCAGGGGAAGGCCATGGATGCGCTGCACGCGTCGTATAATGTGAGCGCTGCCCTGACTCTACATGAACTACGCTTGCTTCACTTTACTTTGCCCTCCAGGCTATAGCATGACTTAACTAACATGTTGGATACTCACTACCACATTGTTACACGGGGATGGAACCCTACGCCAATAATTAGGTCATAAGGGTTAGGAGGATAATATCGGGCATTAAGGCTGTTACCTCGGGAACCTGCTAAGGAAAAGTCCTAGATAAGCTTCGGATAGCTTCGGTAGTAAGGTATAAAGATACTAAGGTATAAGGGTACCTTTAAGATATATTAAGATAAGAAGGGGACGACGGACTTAGAAAAGAATAAGGACCTAAAAGACCCCCTATAGAATTATTAATTAAATTAAACCTATTTTAAGTATATCCCTTTATTATAGATAATTCTATATTACTCTTACCCTTATAACTTTATTATAAGTTAATAATAAGAAAAGCCTACGCCTAAGTCGGTATTATTATCATTAGACTAACCTCGACCCTTTACTAAAGGACTAGAGCCGCGGGCGTTCCTACTCCTAAGACCGGCTATTTCGGGGCCCGCGTCGATCTCTATAGCGGAGGTAGCCTAAATAATGACTACGATTAATAAACTAAAGGCTATAATAACGGAATTAAAGGTAAAGGACGCCGAACGAATTACTTTAACGCCTTAGCTAAAACCGATCCCCGAACCGACCGATAAATTCCTCGTAGTATACTAACCTTAGGAATACGAGGTAGTTATAGCTAATACTCCGGAAATCGCGAACTTAGGAGTAGTTATACGAAACCCTCCGTAATAAATCGTAGATTTATATAAGTAAATAAAATAAGCTTACTAAAGCCTAGTAATACTAGCTAACTAAATCGACGTAGGATATCGGTAGAATACGATTCTAAAGAAATAATACGAATAATTACGATAATTTTATTAAACCGTTACGGTTATATAAATTACCGGTATCCGAATTATGAAGATATAAATCTATAAGTTCTAGAAGTAAGTCGTAGAGTAAAGTACTTACTTCGCTTAAAACGTATAGGAAACCGTAGCTAAGTTTACCCGATAAAATAAAGTACGAACGGCCGTTATAAATTAATTACGAAACGCCGTACTTTAAAACTAACGAGCCTTAACCTAGCTCTATAAAGAATACGATAAGTTAGTAACGGACGTTAGCTCCTAGGCTACGTAGAAGGATAAATAAATTAACGAGATCCTTAGTAAGGAATACCTTACTTCCGGGGCTATGGAGGAAAAAACCTAGCTAATTAAAAACGACCTTAAGGCTTACGCGGCTAATTTAATTAAGGAATATTAATAATAACGACTAAGTAATAAGCTAACGGATATTAAATTTATTATTATCGGAGCTAGTTAAAGGATAAGGATACCTACTCCCGCGTTAGCCGCCCGTATTACGATAATATTTACCGGGAGATATATTAATAACGAAGTTAAAATAAAGGAGATTATTTCCGACGGCGTATTATAAAATACCGCGGTTAAACGCATTACTATACGCGCGCGGGCCCGCTTTTAGGATATTACCGTAAGCGCCTTTATATCGGGAGGAGCCGGGTAAGGACTACCGTAATTACTAAGGACCCCGCGGAATACCTTAAGGGACCTAAGGAATTCCGACGACTCGGAGGGCTTAAAATTTAGGGACCCGTAAAGGCCGCGACGTTTATCCGGAGCCCCTAAAGAATTATAAGAGCCTCTCGACCCGGCCGAAGAACGTATAATTCGGGCCTAAACTAAAGTTATAAATAATCGACGAAGTATTACGGTAATAATTAATCCGGTATACCTTATTAAACCTACGGCTTATAACGGTAAAGACTTAGCTAAGTTCCGATCGTAATAAATTAAGATTAAATCCTACCTCGAAACTTACGAGGAAAGTTTTATCCGGGACGTTTAGAAAATTAACTAAGTAGGATCGATACTTATTAAAAAGGCCTAGCTTTAGTATTAATAACGATTAGCCTAGGTAAAGAGGTTAATAATCGTCGATACTTAGGTAGGATATTCCTAAGCCCTCTAGGAGCGATTTAAGGATCCCGCCGAACGATATCGTAACTTTAAGAAGATATAAGAACTTAAATATTAAGGAAATATCTCTTAATATCTTATTAAGCTTATAAACCTTAACGACGTCGTTTAATAATCCGGAACTACCTTCTAGAATTATATCGCCCGTACCTTACCCGACGAAATAACTAAGTTAGTTTATTTACGATTAAGTAATATCCCCGAAAGTAATAAAGCCTTCCTTAAGGTAATTAAAGAAGCCGGTTAAATTTATAAAAACATAATAATTAACCTAAGGATTTCGGGAAAAGGAAGGTCCGCTTCGTAAAAGGAATATATAAAAGCGAACTAATAATAAAAGTAACCCGTAAAAGAAATTCGTTCCCGCTTAGGTTAACCGGTAAACGAACGTAAAGGTAAGGATAATAAGAAACCCGTACCGGCTAAGGACTTACGATAGGTAGGTAATAAAAAGGCTTTAGTTAGGATTAATTAAACCGTTATCGACTAGCGAAAAAAGGATAAGAAGGCCTACTAAAGGTATAGAAAGGATAATTACTAAACCTTAGCTTATTTCGTAAAAAAGGACTTAAAAGGACGGGACTTACCTACGCTATTTAAAAAGGTTTTATCGGGAAAAAGAGAAAGGAAAGAGCCCGAATTACTACCTAATAAAAGGGCTAGAATCGATACTATTATACGATAGGAGGGAATTCTTTTCCGTATTATGGAGCTATTCGATTCCGATAAAGAACGGGATTTTTAAACGCCTTCCCGTAAACGTTAACGGGAAAAAGGGGCGATAAAGATAACGTAAAGATTACTACTATTAAACGACCCGGAACGCCAGAAGTAACGGAAGTAATACTAATAACGAAGAAATTACGAGTCCCTTAATACGACTTAAACGAACTAAGGTTAGGTAAACGGCTTATTTATACGATATAAATAAAATACTAGGGAAAGGAATACCTCCTACGAGTCCTATTAAATACCGGTAGCGAGGTACCTTTAATTAATACGGCTAAGGTTAAGTAGTTACGCCTTCCTATTAACTAACGCTCGAAATTAAGAACCCTAATAAGATTTAACGGCTCCGAGATCTCGTTAAGAAGGCTTCGGTATACGAATAAAATGAAGTTCCGTAGCTATAAATATATTTACCTTATCGCTTAAGAAGTTAGTAATTTAAACGAAGAAGTCGACGCTATCCTATCCTAATAATAAATAAAGGAATACCCTTCCTAAGGCTTATTTATAGAGGAACGATTATATTTTAACTTACTTAATTACCGGAATTACCGCCCTCGGCCGATCCGTATAGGAACTACGCGAGAAAAGGACGCTTTATCGTAAGTACCCGAGTAATTCCGCGACTTCGTTCCTATTATAACTAAGGAGGCGGGATAACGGTTCCTTAATCGGTAATTATAAGACTACGCTATCGAACTTCGTCTAGGGATTACCCTCCCGTAGAAACCCTTATACGTTATAAACGAACGATAATTAAATGCCTTAAAACCATAGCTCGACGAAATAATAGCTATAGGAAGAATCCGGAAATCTAAGGCTCCCTATAGCGCATTTATAATATTTATAAATAAAAAGGACCTAGGCGCCCTAAGACCGGTAGCTAACTACCGGAAGTTAAATAAAATTATAATACCCGTTCGATACCCGATTCCGTTAATTAACGAACTATAGAACTTATTTTAAACGGCGCGATAATTTATTAAGATTAATTTAAAGTTTGGTTTTTATATAATACGAATTAAGGAAAGCGACGAATAAAAGACCGCCTTTAGAACGCGATATAAGCTATACGAGTATACGGTTATACCTATAGGATTAATTAACGCCTTAGCTACCTTTTAAGCCATAATAAACCATATCTTCCGCGACTTCTTAGACGTAGAAGTTATCGCTTATTTCGATAACGTCTTAATCTACGCCGATACGTTAGAAGAATATAATAAACTAATTAAAGAAGTTTTAAAACGGCTTATAAAAAACCATTTAGCGGTAGCCCTAAAGAAATATACCTAGCGAACGTAAGAAGTTAAATTCTTAGGATATAATATAAGCCTTAAGGGTATTATTATATCTAAGGATAAAGTAGAAGCTATCCTTAACTAGCGTATCCTAGCTACGCTTAAGGACTTTTAAAGCTTTATCGGATTCGTTAACTTCTACCGTAAATTTATACGTAATTTCTCGGGTATAGCTAGGCTAATTATTAGCGCTAATAAAAGGAACCGTAAGCTATAGAAATAGGAAATCGAAATAGAAAAGGCCTTCTAAGAATTAAAGGAAACCTTTATAAAAGCCCCGGTACTTATATACTTCGATCTTAATCGAATTCCGATCGTTAAAGCCGACGCCTCGGACTTCGTTATTTCGGCCGTCTTCTCGTAAAAAAACGATAAAGAAAGACTAAAACTAATAGCCTTTTTCTTAAAACGACTTACCCTAGCGGAAATAAATTACGAAATATATAATAAGGAATTATTAGTAATCGTCGACGCATTCGAGAAGTAGCGATATTACTTCGAAGATACTTAGCATTAAATAAAAGTATACTTAAACCATTAAAACCTAACGTACTTTACTACGGTAAAAGTACTAAATCGACGATAGATCCGCTAGGCTTAGTAGTTCTTTTCGTATTACTTTATAATATACTACCGCCTAGGGAAATAAAATAAGAAGGCCGATATTTTATTTAAACTACTATAATATCGCCTTAAAAAAGAAGGAGCTAAGGATTAGCCGATAGCGACGGTCCTATAAGAAAAGCATTTTTTAAAAAATTCGAGCTTACCTACGGTAATACTCTTTAGCGTACGATTAAGTAATATCTTAATATCCGTTTAGACCCTAGAGTTTATTAAATAGGTTAAAACGGCGGCGGTATAAGACCCGGAGTACTAAGTTTAACTAGTTAAACCGCTCGGTAAGGAGGTAGAGCTCTAAGAGGGCCTTCTTTACCGACGAAACCGTCTTTAGATACCTAGGGACCTATAATAAGAAATAATTAAATCGGAATACGATATTAAAGTAACGGGATATATAGGTATAGATAAAACTATGGAACTTATTACTCGGAACTTTTAATAACTTAACCTAGAAGTAATAATTAGGGAATTCGTTAGGGAATATCGTAAGTATTAATAAAATAAGGTACCCCGATATATCCCGTTCGGATTACTATAGCTTATGGAATTATATTATCGACCATAGTAAATAATCGCGATAGACTTTATTACGGACTTATTAATATCTAACGGTTACGATTCTATATGGATTATCGTAAACCCCTTTACCAAGATAGCGTACTTTATTCCGTTAAAAAAGGACGGTAAAAAAGCCGAGGACTTAATACCTATCTTTATCCGTAACTACTAGCGGCTATATAAGATCTCTTTAGATATTATCTTAGACCGAGACTTACGGTTTATTTCCTATATATAAAAGGATATTCTAAAGCTCCTAGGAGTTAAGCCTAGAATAAGTACCGCCTTTTATCCTTAAACCGATAGATAGACGGAAAGACTTAACTAAATCCTAGAAGCATACCTACGCGCCTTCGTAAATTACGAAATAAGCGACTAGGAAAGCTTACTTCCTACTACCGAATTTACTTATAATAATACCGCTTTAATAGCTATTAATATATTACCTTTTTATATTAACTATAGATAATACTTAGTAGTATATAATCCCTTATTAAGTATCCTTAAGAATCCAGGGAGTAACCTTTATACTTATTAAATAACTAGGGTATATAACGAAGCTAAATAGCATTTAAAAAAAGTACGGTAACGGATAAAAGGATAGGTAGATAAATACCGAAAGGAGGAATCCCTTCTAAAAGTCGGATAGCTTATTATACTAAACGCTTATAATATTAAAACTAAGCGCCTTATAAAGAAGATAAATAAGAAGATACTCGGTTCCTTTAAGATTTAAAAGGTCGTTTCCCTTACCGCCGTAATTTTAATACTCCCGAAAGGCTAACGTATTTACAGTACCTTCTACGTATTCCTTATCGAACCTTACCGCGCTAGTAATTAGGAATTACCTAACCTTAACTAGGTCTTACGGGAAGTAGCCCCGATTAAGGCAGAAGATTACGAAGTAAATAAGGTATTAAACTCCGCTAGGACCGGAAAAGTTATTAAATACTTAGTAAAATAATAAGGATAGCCGGTTAAGCGCTACTAAACTTAAGAGCCGTAGGAATACTTTACTACCGAAGGAATAAAAGGAGCTATTAAGTTATTCTATTAATAAAACCTTAATAAGCCCGCTAACTAACGAACCTAGGTACCTAATTAACGCTTAGAGACGAGCTTCTTCGATAAAAAGAGATAGTATTATACGGGGATGAAACCCTACGCTAATAATTAGGTTATAAGGGTTAGGAGGATAATATCGGGCATTAAAGCTATTACCTCGGGAACCTACTAAGGAAAAGTCCTAGATAAGCTTCGGATAGCTTCGGTAGTAAGGTACAAAGGTACTAAGGTACAAGGGTACCTTTAAGATATATTAAGATAAGAAGGGGACGACGGACTTAGAAAAGAACAAGGACCTAAGAGACCCCCTATAGAATTATTAGTTAAATTAAACCTATTCCAAGCATATCCCCTTGTTACATACATAAAAGTTCCCCCGCGTGGCGGTATATTTCGATGCCGACGATCTTGAGCCGTCGGACGCGTGCAGCGCGCTTCTCGAGACTATCGAGACGAACAAGAAGCGTAAGGACATTTATACTTTCCAGCGGATGTTTGGTATGGTCACTCTGCCCCATCCCCCTTTATAGTAAATTCCATGTTGACATGAACCACCACCATGGCCAGGCCTCGTCTTTACCACCACGGTACAGCTAGGTGGCCGACTGCACAGTACACAGGACGCCAGCACGCCGTCGGCGAGCAGCACGAGCGCGAAGAAGGACGCCATGAAGCTGGCGGCGGGCGCCAACTTTTCAAGCCCTTTCGTGTCCGGGAGCCAGAACGCCCAGAGTGACGCACACAGTCAAGAAGCGCTGACGTGGGAGGCGCAGGGCGGCGAGACGCTGCTTGGGTCTAAGCGAGTCACTTACCTCCTTTCGTGCCCGTGATAGGAAGCGGAGGACTACGACTGACATGGACCGGTTAGCCCGGCACGCTGGATCGCGTCAGCCGGGTCATTCTACAACTGGCGCGTGATGCAGCGAGACGGGCTGGGCGACATCCTGCGGCTCATCCAGGAGGTCACGGCGCTTGACTGGCCGGCCACGTTTGACGCCATTTTGAACCCGAAGTCGGATAACGAGGACAATAAGGGTACACATTGCTGCGATTCCTAGGGTCTCGATACTACTGAATGAGATATCGGTATTGGGAGATCGTAGACAAGCCTAACTAATCCCTTATACCTTACCCTAACTAACCTCTTACCGGATTAAACGAAAACCCCGTTTTATACCGAGCTTTATTCCTATTTCGGATAGAGGCTATAAATTTTTCCTTCGAAACATATTTTTAAATGTCGTATAAGAAAAAATTTAATTAATACATTTTTATAATTACTATAATTTACTAATTAATTAAAAAATTTAATTAATTAAATTATTAAAATTATATTTATTACGATATATCATTATTAAAACTTATTACTATTAAAATTATTACTCATTACCATTAATTAATATTATACCTTAATATTATATAAAATATTTTTTTAAAGTAACATTTAATTATGAAAATATTTAATTAAATATAGGTTAATATAATAATAAAATATAATGAATAAAGACGTTTTAACCTCTTTACAAATAATGAAAGTAAAGCTTAATATAAGGTAAGTTTTCTGCTTAACCCGGTTAAAGATTAGGGTAAGATAAGGGATTAGTTAGGCTGGTTTAGGACCTCGGAAATCGGTACCTATTAACCGCGGTGATATGGGCATAAAGAGGAAACAATGTATCCAGGTAAAGGTAATACCCGGACAGTTGAGTTATAAGACCGAAGTAACTTCGATTCTACTCGCAATACATGGCCCGACCAAGTTGAACGGACCATCGACAATATTCGCTTCGGATGGCCTATGGTCCCCGGCCTGACCGCGACTGCGAGGATCAACTTCACACCCACGAGCCCTGTACTCGGGAACAAGGTGAATCAGAGTCTGGCTGACAACCCACTTTCCCGGTCTAGCTTTCCGGTGATCCCCCTCGATACGTCTAGCCAGGGAGAAGACTACTCGTCACGTCTCTTCCATCCCACAGACATGCCTCGGAAACCTCGTCGACACCCGATACAACGCCAGTAAGCCGCGTTTTACTCTATTTGAACCAGCGGCATTTGTAGCCTTCATCAGGGCGTTTTCAGGCGGCGTCCCCCAGGACTTACCTAGTGTTCCTGTGAGATGTGGTGGTGAATCCTCGACGGAGGGATAATGTGCTGTCGAGTCAGGGAATATGTCCATCCCTCGATGCCGTACACGCAAGCCGCAAATTACAAGTTCCTGGCCTCTCGTTTCCTTGACGAGTTCATTCATACATTATCGATAACAGTTTAACCGGCCTATAATATCAATCATACCTATTTTATTCCCCACACGAAAAGACTCGAGTACAAGCATCACGGTCCCGACGAGACATTATACGTTGGTCTCGTCTTTCATACTGACGGTCCTAGAGGGCTCGTTCCGACCACTCCTTTCTCTGCGTCTTCTTGCGTCAGCCTCCCCTCGGGCTCAGATGGTCGGGTTCCACCGATAACCTCTTGTTCGCCTTGGTGTCTCTCTCTCCATCTTTTCGCGCGGGCAGCGCGGCGCTCGTTCTTCTCTTGGTCCTCGCGCATCTGCCGAATTATAGGGCTCCTGGCTCGAATCTTCTCGCCGTACCGGTAAAAGACAATCGGAATGGGAATCATAGCCGCTTCCAACAACCCGAGCAGCGTGCCCGCCCACTGCGGCGTAAGCGCGGCGTACATAGACGGGCCAGCCAAGGGAAGGGTGCCACCGAATACGCTGCGCATCATCGTGTTTCCCGCCAGAGCCGAGGCGGCGTAAATACCGTAGGCGCCGGCGAGGTAGTTCGAGCCGTAGATGAAGCTGATCGCGTTGCCGGCGCCGAAAGGAATGCCAAAGGCAATCGGGATCGCCCAGTGAATCGTCCCGGGAAGACAGGTCCAGCTGAAGACTAGCTGTCCGACGGGAACAAGGACCGCACCGATAATCATGACGCGCGCGGTCGCCTCAGGGGGCACCCGGCCTGTGAGCGAGTCCTTAGGGTGGGCGTTGATGATCTTCCGTAAGAGAGGCTCGGTGAGGATGGCGAGCATGGTACCCGTGCCAATGCCTACAAATGCGAGGCCGGAAATCCCGGGTCCCCAACCACGATTTTGCGAAAACACGACGGGGTAAGCAATGAAGCACAAGTAGAGAATCCCGTATATGAGGGAGATCCTACACAACACGGTCAGCAAGATAAGCTGCCGGTCTGTGAAGAGAAAGGACGCACCAGATATTAAAGAACCAGAGTATCGGCTCCGTCAAAGAGAGCTCGAACGGCCGTAGCAGGTTGATTCTCATGAGCGCCAACTTGGACAACTTCTGATCGTACCGGCACCACCACCTCTCGTCGTCGGTATCCTTGCGTTTGCGTGCGGCCATCGATTGAAGGATGATAGGGGCGTATGTCTCTTTCGAGAATATCATACTAACAGTTCCGGCTCCGGCCAGTATTAGCGCAAGCCAGTTTTCCCATCTCCAGCCGAGGCTCTCGAATACGAAGCCACCGATAACAGGGCCCGTGACAGGTCCATTCAACGGTGCAATGGACCAGAGCGACATGATAAGAGCCCGGTTCTCTTCCGTGGAGATGTCGACAATACTTCCGGCGCTATTAGAGACCATCACGGCGCCAAACACCGCGCTAGATTCCGGATTAGTGCCAGCTCAGCGGCGACGGGAAGGGCTTTTCGCCAAGCAACCTACCCAAAGAACCTAACCACTATGACTTCTTCCAACGACGTCGCCAGACAGCATGGAATCACCAGAAGGGTGAAGCAGACCATACAGATGACGTATACCGGCCGCCGGCCATACAGCTCGCTGGCCGGCGCAGCCAGCAAGCTACCGGTAGCGAGCCCGAGGAGGTAACTCGTGACGCCGAGGGTTGCGACGGTCGTGGATACGTGAAACTCTTTGGTCAGACCAGGTATAGACGCGGTGTAACTGGTGCTGTAGAACACGACCACCCATGTGGTGTAGCTGATGGAGAATACGATCCATGAGCGGTACCATAGCGGCCAGTTCCTGGGGTCTTCCGAATCATCATCCTCAAAGGTGACTTCGAAATCCGGGGGCCGCGAGGCGGCGCTTCCTATGCTCGTGGCGGTGCGCACGCGCGCTACCTCCTCGTACGCTTCAACACCGGCAGACAAGGCCAATGCCAAAGGGCTAAGCGGATCCGTGTCGTCGGACGCGTTGGAAGCGTGGCTCGAATGGCTTTGGCGGCTCTGCCGACCCTGCTCTTCCTCTCCCTGTTCGACTGAGCCCTTTCGCGAAGCGGCGTCATTAGTCACTGTTACGCCTGCATCCTCGCCCAGCCGACGTTCCGTATCCTGCGGTACCTCCATTCGCAAATACCTAAATGGCTCAAGACGACCAATACCGAGCGGCAAAATAGACCCTGGCCTGGGGTATCTAGGGGCCGACACGACCTCGGTCTCGTGTCGAAAAGACTCGTGACGGGGTTGTGATCTTACCCCGGCAAGGATAATACAGATGATGAGGTAGTCGTGAAGAGGTTAAAAAGGTTTTTATGCCTACACTTTACGCTCCTCTCAGGGTTACCCATGTACAAGAAAAGATGCCGGAGAAAGGTGAATAGTTGATAATAGCCCATAGTTACGGGGCTAAAAGAGAAAAACAAACATTTACGTATCCAAGGCAGAGGGAAAATAACAAAATAGCTACCGGAGAACCGGTAACTCCTGTCGCCCGTCATCCTCCTCCACTTACCTACGATATCAGGCCGCCGGCTGTCCCAGCTCCTAACACAGCGGCCACTTTTGCCCAGCTACGTATACATGTAGTAATATGCTAGCCCGAGGGGTAACGGACCGGAAGCAGAGAGGAGTCTGCGAGATTGCAACGGTGCTAGCCAGCCACCCCTGCTAGCCCTATCAGCGTAGGGAGTTAGAAGGCTTGCACTACATGACACACGAAATTTGGCTACGAGAGAAAGTCACGATATATTGCTGAGAGGCACAGGAGGCAGCAGGTTAGCTTATTTGTTCCCAACGTCCCAATCAGCTCTCCTTTCACTCGATATTCTTAGCATATGCCGGTCAGAACGAGCATATGCATGGTAGCCCGCCTGGTTAGGCACCCCCCTTCGACGCCGGTCGGCAATGCACTCAGATTCTGTCGTGTTTCCCTCACCCCCGTTCTTCCGTCGACGGCTTTGTCTATCATTTGCTGCCCCCCACACCCCCCTTGCAGGATAACCCACCCGTGTGGTTGTCGGTAGGCAGCGGGCAAAATACGCCGAAAACAGGCGAGCCGAGGTAATATAAACTGGCGGCGGCAACTACTGCCTAATTAGGGATCTATTATAATGAACAGGTATCGACTTGCGTGTTTTTTTAAAACCTACGCGATATTTGAATCGTATTAGTAAGTACACGATCCCGTCGCTGTTGTCTGTCTGGCGCGAGCCTTTGAGGATTTCCAGCCTTCATCCCGCTGTCCATGTGGGTATATATTTTCTGTGAGATGAAGGGAGGGGGCTGAGAGGGAATCGTAGCAGGTATACCTACACAACGAAGCCGTCGCACAGCACAACAGTGATATCCGGGTCATGAACAAGGATGCGCTGAGGAGTTTGGGTGACCATTCATCAATGAAGCTGATTGCTCACAGTGGTAGCTGGGAGGCTCCAGAACCCACGAGACCCCGGCAATGCTACCTTATACCTATCATTACTTACCTCCTCCCACAATACCCAGGACCCCCACTCCCTAGTGGCATCACTCCCCTCCTCCCTACCCCGCCCCTCTCACGTCCTGTCGCCATCGGGAAGCTTAGCTCAAGACATCAAGACTCTTAGAGGACACGCTACCAATAATTACAGAGTGGCACTTCACGAACATCAATTGTCGACGATGGATGCCCCCCGCGGGCCAGGCACGAGAAGATTCAAGAGCCTAAAAAGTAGCGCCGGCACTGTCCTGCAAAGGATACGTCTGCCAAAAACTAACCTCGTCCCTCTCCGACCACTCCGGAATGGCCAGCGTTGGGAGGTGGTATCATCGAATTGACGCCACCCCGTCCTCAAATGTCCATTGCTGGGGGCCGGGTCCTAAGCGTCCTACAGCTGTCCAAACCCACTACTCGTACCTGAAAATGTAACGGAATAGTGGTGACGAAAGCTGGTAGGTACGGGGGTATAGACACACACGCAAAAATCGGTCGAACCCTGTCGGTGTGCAACACGAAGGCAGGTGGCTATTGTTTCGGGGGGTATCGTATAAAGTAGGTATTACATGCCTGCCGCTATCGAGATACTAACCCACGGCACATCGTTACGGAGAGCCATGTATATCAAGCGCAAGGTTGTTGGCCTATGCGTCGCAGAGTTATCTCTATACTCATGAAGGGCACGCAGCATCAGCCGGGAGGGGGCGGCACAAGTACGTACCCCCTCTCGCGATGGTGCAATATCTAGAGCTTGTCGAACTCATCAAGCTACGCCCTATTACGTCCTGCGCTTCTTCTCTAGACGGGCTCCTCTCACCAAGTTCGCGAGCTAGCTCTACCTCCCACCCTCCCAACGCCCGTCGTCGGTGCCGTCCGATAGCGGCGCGAGGCAGGCATGGGTAAGACTCGCGTAACCCTCCTCCTACCTATACCCGACAGCCCCGGGGGGGGGGGGGGGGGAAGACGTCCTCGTCGGTGGCGCGGGCGGGCGACCGACGAGTGCGCCATGAGATCATTGTCCCACGTCCGTCGCCCCCCTCCTCCCTCCCCCTCCCCCTCTGGAACCCCGACTCTAGCCACGGGAGGGGACACCGCCACGTCGTCGACGAGATGCCCCATGTGCGCTCCGTCATATCGTCGATCGGCTGCAGCCGACTGCGGCGACTGGACGCCACCGACTCGCACGCTCCGTGCTCAGGCCCTCCGGCGGGTGACGTGTCCGCCTACGCGTCGCGGCAGGCTATCCGGATACACTCGTACATAGGGGTAGGAGTGCGCGTGTTACCTATGCTACCGCGAGGCCCGGTGCGGGCGTGAGAGGGTTTGCTAGCCACGCACGCCTACGCTCGTGAGCGTGCCGTCCGGGCGAGCCTGCCCGCGCACGTTTACATTCCCCCCTCCCCCCTCTCCCCCGCCTCGACGCGAAGGCCCGACGCATGTCCCCCGATTTTCCGGGCGCCAGCCACACGCTTGCGGATTGCCATCGCGTGACTTCTGCGCCCTCGCCTGTCTCGAGGCCGTCGTAGCGGCGACGTTGAAGAGGAGGGGGGGAAGAGAACCAGCCAAGCCGAGAGAGATGCCCAGCGCTAGGGCGTGCATTGCATGGCTTGGGAGAATGGGCTATTCGGCGATACCGACAGCAACCAGCGGCCGTTGATCCGTGGGCGATCATCTCTTTAGTTATATAGAATCTCGAGCGAGCGACATGTGATAGGGTACATCAACCACTTAGCCATCCACGTAAGGAAGAAGACCCGGACCCAGGGATGTTATGATGCGCCTACGGCGTGTCTTCCCCACTCCTAAAGAGCTGGCATGATGCTGCTGATCCGGCTAAGCCGCGATGCTACCTATAGCCAATCCTACACATAGGTAGGTGCATGTGCATTTCGAGCACACCCGCATACATACACATACATGAGTACCAAGCATTGAGGGAGTTCGCACATACATTGCTGGGATCGCTGGTTTGGTTCAGTATACGCATATAGGTAGCTGACGACGCGGTCCCGGGAGATTGTTATACCTACCTACCTAGGTGCATACGCGAAAGAAAAACAGTAAAGAGGTTAGCTTAAAGACATAGATTAGCCTGGACAGCCATCTCCCATATGCTGGTTTCACAAAGATAAGTGAATACCATCGCCGAGATGGCCTCGCCATCGGCAACATGACCGGGTTACAGAGTGAAGGGTGAGTGCGTCCGTCGGTGGTGACGACAAAAGGAGGGAGAATAGGAGAGGGCAAGAGAAGTGGGGTAAAGTGAGGTGAAGCGGGGGAGAAGCCCCAGCCCAGACAGGGAGAGCGGACATGATTGGCTGCAGCAGGCCGCGGTGGGTATCGATAAGGACCGATAAAGAAACCAGTTTCTATTGGCTGATATGAATTGAGGGGATATGAAGAAATTGGAGAAGTACCGCGCTAGGCCACGATAGGAAATATGTAAACATGCCCTGGCGTGGGCTATTTCTGAGTCGTGTTGTCTCTGGCGTCGCCCCGCTACGACGCGCGAAGTGCCCCTCTCCCTCGCGATAGTAAATACAGTGCCTAAAGCAGGCTTACCCGGCGCAGCGCGGTACATCCATCATACCTATACCTTACCTCAGTACGTTGACACAAGCACCTACACCCACGCCACGCACGGTAGACGTAGGTACGCCCAGGCAGAGTCCCGTCTCTGTTTACATTTGATCGTCGTCCCGGATCTGAGACGCGTCCTCTTCTCTTAAAGACGGCTTCCCCGGTGCGACAGTAAATAATCCCATCGAACCCGCTACGCGAACTCAACCAACCTTCGTGCGGTGGGCTTTTGGCTACGTTGCATTGGCACCTATCCCCGGATTCTCGACCGCGCTCCTCTTCAGGCCAGGCCGGGTGGTCGTCGGCCATCACCACCATTAGGAGTCGACTCTCCCCACCGTAATTATCAGATCAGGTTAGCGAGGGAACATGGGCGAAGACCGTGATCTCCTCCCCATCGCGCTGCGTCGCACCCCACGATCCAACGCGAGGGCGGCAGCAGCACCAGCAGCAGTACGAGGCGCCAGATCAGGCGACGCAAGGCGGTCAGCATCAGCAACGAATGGCACTACTACTACGTCGGCGACCGCCAGGACCCCGAGCAAGCCAAGACCCAAGAAGAGGGTCCGCTTCTCGGATCCGGGCCCGGACGCCAGCAACCATCAGGACCCGGAGCAGGACCAGGACGAGTTCGCCGACGCGTCGACGGGCCTGACGCCGATGGTGCGCCGCACATCTCTCCTCAACGCCAGGTCTGCGCCCTCGCCGTCGCCTAAGCGCCGGCGGAAATCGACGCCCGCGCCTCGATCCCTCGCGGGAGACGAGGACGAGGACGAGCTGTGCGGGGACGGGGGCCGCGGCGCCAGCCACGAGGTGCGCATCAAGTCGCTGCGGCAGGTCCTCGACGAGCGCGTCAAGCGGCGCATCCGGCGCAACGGGCTCAGCGAGGAGATGAACGCGATCGACGGCGCGAAGCGGCGGCGCGAGCGGGAGCAGCGCGCCGAGGTCCAGCGCCTGCGCGACGAGATCGCGGCTCTGCGCGGCGGCCGCGGCGACTCCGCCGGCCGCGTGGCCGAGCTCGAGCGCGAGGTCGAGGTCCTCCGCAGCGAGCTGAGCAGCCGGACCGGGTCCGACAGCGGCAGCAGCGTCAGCGGTGCCGCGGCTACTATCGGCGGCGGCGGCGGCCCCAGCGACGAGAGCTTCTATAATTGGACGCTAGCCGCGCCCGTGCCCTTCTCCGACGACGAAGACGAAGACGACGACGACGATTACAACATGGGCTTCGGCGACGCGACCGTAACCGAAGTAGTGTGCAGCACGCCGTCGAAGCGCAAGCGCCGCGCGTCTGCGTCCGCGTCCTTCCCGACGCCGCCATGCACGAGCCCAGCGGGCCCTACGACGCCATGCTCGGGGCGCCGGGCGGGCGGGGCCGCCGCTGCCGCCGCCGCTCCGGTTACGCCGCAGTCGTCGTCGCACCGCGGCGCCCAGGCCACGCTGCCGGACCCCGAGAAGGAGGCGCTCGAGGCCGAGCTCGCGTCGCTGCGCCTCGAGCTGACGAAGCTGTCCGAGGCGCTCGAGGCCCACGACGCGTTCCGGGCGCGCATCGCTGGGAAGATCGCCGCCGCCGCCCGGGGATCCGAGACCGACGCTGCCAGCGACGCGAAGGAAGGAAACGATAGCAATAGCAATAATAACAACGACGACCCTGACAACACCCGCAACGCCGAGGGCGCAGACGCCGACGTCGAAGCGCGGCTGAACGCGGTCCTGCAAGCGCTGGCGGACCGGACGGCGGCGCTGGGGGCGCTGGACGTGTCGCTGGGGGCGCTGGGGTTCGGGGGGCGGGACGCGGGGGCGGCGGTAGCCGCGGTAGCCGCAGCGTTCCGGGGCGCGCGGCTAGAGCTGGAGTACCTGACGCCGGGGGAGATCGCGCTGCCGCTAACGGCGCGGGGGGCGGCGGTGCTGGACCTGCTGCTGGCGCGGCTGCGGGACCTGGCGCGGCGGGCGCGCGGGGCCGAGGACGCGGTGGCGGAGCGCGACGCGGCGGCGCGCTCGCTGCGCCAGCAGCTGGCGGCGCGGGTCGACGCCATAGCGGAGCTAGCGCATGAGCGAGACCGCGGCGCCGCGGCCTTGCGTGACCGCGACGCGCGCGTCGCCGACCTCGAGGTCGGGCTCGCGCGGCTCAAGGGCGCGGCCGAGGGCTACCGCCGCGACGTGGCGGCGCTCGAGGCGCTCGTGCGCAAGCTCGAGGCGGAGGGCGGCGCGGCCCAGCTCGCCGAGGTCGCGGCGCAGGCCGACGCGCTGCGCCAGCAGCTCGCGCGCAAGGCGGCCGAGGCCGGCGCGCTCAACCGCTGCCACGGCGCGGCGCTGGCGGCGCGCGACGCGCGCGTGCTCGAGCTGCGCCGCGGGCTCGACGCCGTGCGCGCCGAGCTGCACGCGGCGCACGCGGCGGCGCAGCGGCTGCGCGTCGAGAACGCCGCGCTCGGCCGCCAGGTCGCCGCCGAGGGCCCGCGGGCGGCGCGCGCCGCCGTCCAGGCCGTCAAGGCCGAGCTCGCGCGCGTGCTCGCCGGGCTCAGCGCCGAGTCCCTGCTCGCCGCGAAGAGCCTCGCCAGCGCCGGCGGCTGCGCTGCTGCCACGGCCGAGCTGGCGCCCCGGAAGCGGAGGACGGGCGCGGCCGGGCGCGACTCGAGTGTTGATGTCGGCGGCGGCGACGACGACGAGGAGGAGGAGCAGAAGGAAGAGGACGATAGTATCGTAGATATGGCGGAGGTGGTGGCGGAGGCGGAGGCGCAGGCTGGCGAAGAAGAAGAAGCTGCTCCGACGACTGCCGCCGGCTCCCCCCGCCCCGGCTCGTACCTCTCGGCTAAGCTGGCGAAGACGTCGGCCGCAAGGGGGGCGAAGCGGCGGCGGCACGATAGCGGGCTGGGGCTCGCGGATGAGGATGAGAATGGTAACGTCGACTTCGTGGTGTAGTGTAAATTGTCGGTGGCATTAGACGGGAGTTGTCGGACGGGATGGATAGACGCTGGCGTTCCCCTGCTTTGTTTTTTCGCTCGCTCGTCCGTTCTCCTGACGGGTCGTGTAAGCCTTTACTTTTGTAACGTCGTCGTTTTACCTGCCATTTCCTTTCTTGACTTACCTGCAACTAGCACCGGACGGGGCGGTGGCGCGTTAAAATCTCTCTTCATCGTCATTGATTTTTCGTCTCGGCTTCGTGTGGTTGGGAAAGGCCAAGGGAATGAATGGACGGTTACTTGTTGGCATTAATCTTACGGGAGTTGGCTAGGACGGGACAGGCTCATAGTGGTATATTGGAACCCATCGATACCTAACTCACTACCTGCTTCTACTGCTACATCGTGCCATCTTACTCGAATTCTTACCGGCGAGTATCCCGCCAAGTTATGTTCTGTATGCCCTCAGGTTGTTATCATCACGTCCATGTTCACACGGTTGCCGTAGCAGCCCTGGATAGGAAAAAGCTAGAACTCCCATGTTTCTGCATCCAAGGTAAACTCCCGTTCCCTCGGCCGCTCGATACAAAGACTGCAGTTCGCTTCGAGATAGTCCGCAGTCTCCCATTCTACCTGACGGCACGGACATGAATGTGCTGTGCCCAGACCGTATTCCTCCTCCAATCGGTACCGAAGGCAGGTCGTGTCGGGCCTTGGACAAGAAGACACTATTGTCCTCGCTTGCTCCACACGTCTGGCATAGTAATCCTCATCCCATCCCGTCCCATCCCGTCTCATTCCCTTCCATCCCCCTATTACCTGCATTGCGTACGCCTTCTGCACAACCCTTCCATCCGTCCCGTCCCCTCGCCAGAAATGACCCCAAGATCACGTCGCAGTTCTCCCCCGTACAGTCCCAAGCCCATATCGCGCACGCCTTCGGTTTCTCGGGGACGGGCAGGCTTTCCGACCCGTGTCGGCTCCATGTATCCGCTGCTACCATCCCGTCTCCCTGCCGCTCGCGAGTGCCGCGAACTCGAGGCTGGGCGTGAGCGTAACTACGCATATGTACGTCCCCCCCCGTCCGCCCGCGCGTCACGGATAACGCACGCACGCCCATCACATCGCACGCGACTAAGTCAAGGCGGCATATACCTAACTGCCAAGTACCGGTACCAGCCTCTGCTCCCCTCTCCTCCCCAGCTACCGTCGCCCTCTTGCACCCTCTCGACACCGGGTCCTGACATCTCATCTCTGGTGTGGGGTCCGGGGCAGCGCTGCTAGGCCTAAATTACCATCGCGTCCATATACGAGTTATACCCCCCTCCAAAAATAACCAGAAAGTTTCCGGGAAAGAGGGGCCATAGACTGGGCAGGGTAGATAAGAAGGAGACGGCGGGTATAGGTGCCCCGGAGGGAGACCATGAAAAATAAAATAAAAAAACAAGGTACGACGACGTCGTTGGCGATGATAAGCTGTCGTCATCTCGTGTTGGGCTACTGAGTATAGCCCCCGGGGCTGAGAAAGGCCATCGGGAGCGCTGATCTGCGGAATATTGATATGCAGGGTCCTCGAAGGGGCAATTCCCATCCGCGCACGAATTGTGTATTAGAGGTTCCTTTTTTAAATCTATGGTTACATCATTCCCAATCGGCAGGTCCCAGGTTTTCGCTCAAATGCTACGGTACATACGCCCATGCACGTGCTGGAGAGACCCCTTTCGTGCCATTTTCGTGCTGGGGGAGGGAGGGAGGCTCGTCAAGGATCATTGATGAAAAGGGGATGGGAGGGGGGTGGAGGACGGGACGGGATAGGTTAGAGGCGAGAGGGAGAGGAAGATATCCAAGGCTTCGAGAAGGAAAGGCGTGAGGCCGAGCAGGTCCGTCATATAGGTAGAGGGAATAGACGGGCCTAGCGACGCTTCCGGTAAAGAGACCGGAAAAGTCGCGGCTCAACGGGTAACGATCGGCAGGACCGCCTGCTCGGTTTCTCGTGGTCGGCGTGGCAGTGCTCTCTAGCTCGCTGTCGCTACCGCCCGCTATCACCTAACCCGGGCGTCGCCGCGGGGGGTGGAGAGGGAGAAATGATGTAAGATTGCATAGGAAACGCCGTTCCGCGGCACGGGAACAGATACTGCAAGAGAGGGAGGAATGGGGGAGGAGTCGGCAAGATGCAAACGGGATGACGGCGTAGGGGTCCAGCACACGGACTGAACACGAGGTCTCTTGCATTGCATTGGCGAGAGTCGCGTGCGACGGATAATTCCGTGGGCACGTCGGAGGGTTAGAAAAAAACAAAATGCAATACAGGTGCGCTGGGCGTGTCATCGGACGCGACGCGACGGGGAGGCAGCTTAACATCGAGGGTGTCGGTGATATAGGTGATGGGGAGCGTTATGACCAGTCGGCCCCGGGGCCGGGTGGCTGTGTTGGACGGCCGAGAGGGTCAAGTCATTCGATCCAATGCGTGCTCATCAAACATCCCTGTTTTATTGAACGGGATGAGTGCGAGAGGGGGAAAAAAAAACACACCTCTAGAGCCCAATTTACCCCTGAGTTTTTATTATTATTATGATGATGATTCTAGCACTGGCAAGCAGGTCGGGTCCGGCGGGAAGGAAGAAATCCGAATTCCCATCTGCGAGGCGGTTAGCTTGTGCTGCACCACGGTAGGCCGAAGCGCACGTTGGAGAGAGAAAGTTGGTGGCGGCTATTTCTCGTTGTTGTTATTGTGTTGACTGACGACACCGATTGTTGGTGTTGACGATGACAAGAGCGGTCCAATACCACCCGGATCTAGAATCAAGCCTTGCCGCGTAGCAGCGATTCGCGGATTTGCACAGGGAAGCATTACGATGAATCCAAAATGATATAAGAACGAGCATGGGGGGGGGGGGGGCGAGGGGGTTGTTGGGGCCTGCAAGTCGCGTGCAGAAATCCTTGGGGATGGTGACCGTTCCTCGCCCGGCTGCGTCGTAGAGAGGGATCAAATGCCAACCTCCTAGGATAGGGAGGCAAATAGAGAGATGTGAAGGAGTGCAAGGTCGTCTCCTGACTAGTAAATGCACACTATTATCCATCCCTCCGTCCACCCATCCCTCCCTCCTACGTATATCCATACAACACAATCGGGAGACCTTCGCCGTTAGGTCTCCGTCTTGTAGCTACCGAAAGTCATCAATGAGTGTTAGGTGGTGGGAACCGGGGGGGGGGAGGGGCGGCGGATGGGTACAATTTAGTGTCCATATGTAAGACACCTAGACAGTTAGCTGCCTACTTACCTAGATATCAGTTAATCTACCACCTCTACCTCGGTTACTTTACTTCTAGATTGACAACTTCTAAGGGAACTCGTTGCGGACCTATAAGAGGAGGTAAGGCTGGTAGGCTGGTAGGCGGCTTAGATGGGTATTGCACACAACATACTGTCCTCTCTCTCCCTACATAATACATGCCTCTATCCACGGCCTGTACGTGTGGGCGGGCGGGTTCCAATCCGCAGCGGAATGCGGGCCAGCCACACGGGCAATTTAGGTATTGTGGATGGTTCCCCCCGTCCAAGGTAGGCCCAGAACGCTATACTGCTAGTTGCCATCGGCGCTGGGGAGCCGTGCCGGGTTGCCCTGTCACGCCCCCTGGGGTCCATGTGGTTTAGCACAGGCACAGCTCCCCAGCTAGGTAGGTCGGTAGCTAGGCGCCCAATATTTACCAGGGGCGACTGGGTGCAAGCGTGAGAGGAATGCAACGTCGAGCATCCCGTCCTCGAGCTACCTGAGCACACCACACACACACACACCACAACGCGTGCCTCCCTACCTACCTACCTACCCGCCGACCTGCCTGCTTGCCTACCTGTTTACCTACCGACACGGTAGCATGCGAGGACAACCACGCTCGCTCCCATTCTCCTTTCGGGTCCCAAAAGGAACGTGCCATGCACCGTGAAATTTTCGGGCAGGACTTGGTTTCTCTATCCGGGCAATCCTCCCCCCCAGCGTAACCCGCCAAATTTCCTCTTCTGGCCCCATGCGGGTAGCCTAGCTATCTTTAGCCACCGAATCTGGGAGACCACCCCCGTAACGAATACGTCAGGCGGCGGCAGCAGCAGCAGCAGTGGACAGCATGTGCCAACATAAGAAAGGAAGAAACAAAGAAAAGGGAAATGAGAGAGGAAGAGACGCAGAGGGAATCTAGACTCGAAAAGGTGATCAGATGAGAGAGAGAGGCTGGGGGGTGTTGGGAACATTTGGGTCGCGAGGCGAATTCTCCCCGGCCTCGTCGTATGTGCGGCGGATCGCTTCGGGAGGTCGTACCGTCAGGGGGACAATGTAGGTGGGTAAGTAGGTACATACATAGAACATATCCACTCCTCCTTCTCTTAACCCCCTACCCCCTTTATTCCCAGTATTAATGTCAAAATAATAAGGTTAATAAGATCCGAGGCCAAATCGCTCCGCGAGGGCCATCTTGGTAGATCTACGTACAGGGCGCGAGCTTCGTCGGCTTGTTTTTTTGTTTTTGTTTTCTTTTTTAAACACGAAGTCGATCTGCAGATCTCGCGGATTTACCAGATTCTCACCCCTCCCCCCTCCCCTTCCGCCCCCCCTTCTATGTTTATTATTTTTGTTGGCGGTCATACAGTATGTCAGCGCAGGATCCGGTTCGGGGTACGGCGCCATGGTAGCGTTCCTTTGCTAGAAGGCGTCGAAAGGAAGTCTCGAAGAAATTTTGGAAGAAAGGGGGGGATGCGAGAAGGTGATATCGCCATGTGCCATTGGCGCTAGCCTCCAGTCCCATTAGCAACTCGCGCAGCGTCGCACTGCTATACTAGCACACTTATCACGTCGTCATCGCACGGCGGAGGAGCACCTCCCTCGACCAACCGCACCGGGCGGCTGACGAAGCCTTCGCTCGAAAGGGTAGCAGATAGGAGTTGCATTATTGAACTACACTCGGCCGAGAATGCGACGTCGAGCCCGGTATCGACAAGCTAAAATCCCGTAGGGGACTGAGGGCGCCGTTAACTGTGGAGGAGAGGTTGCATCGGAAAGCTTGGCATGCAAGACAGACAGACCATAGAAGCCCGTCGGCCTGCTCTGTATCGTACGTAGGTGTGTATGTGCATACACACAATGATGCCACTACGTGCGCCCGTCCGATATTACGATAACATCGGGATCATCAGGTCAGTAACTGGCTGACTCAACTTTATGGGTCTCTCAAGTAAGCAGTGCCCATTTTCTTCCTCTCTTTCCTCCTTTCCGCCTCTCTGTCCCTCTCCCTCTCCCCCTCTCTCTCCTTATTCCCTTCCCCCTCCCCCTCCCCCCGGCCTCTCTCTCTCTCTCTCTCTCTCTCGCTCCCCCGTTGCCGCGACAGGGTCGGACATTGCTGCCGATATGACCAGGCGGGCTAGCTAACCCTGCACCGGCATTATGCCCACATGTAGTCCGAGCCCACTACCCGAAGCAGGGTACATACCTGAACGGGTATGTAGTCTCCGCTGGAAAGGGGGGCGAGGGGGCGAGGAGGCGAGGGGGGAGGGGGGGATGGGGAATGCGCTGGAAGCAGAAGTGAAGCCAGATCGTTCAATTCGATCTCGTACTGCTGAGAGCGATATATGCAGTCTACTCTGGGTTGTCCTTATATAAGTCGAAGCGAGAGCGCTGGACGGGAAACGCCAGGCCCCGGACTACGTTGCTCATCAGATGATATCGCCACCCTGTGAATTTCTGCCGCAAGCCAGTCGGGATATTTCTGCGACGCCACGAAGCGTAGTCTCGCTGCAGGGACGTGATCAGACGTTGCGGTTGTTTCAACTATCGGATCCCCGACGCCTGCTATTGGCGAAGCGCCTGTTTCATCCAGAATCTCGTCCAATGCAAGCTGTGGCTCCGGTCTATGCCACGTAGACGATAACCAACTACATTGGCTTGCTGAGAGGCTTCAGAAGGTCGTACGGCAGATGAGACTTTCTGCCGGAGGAGGCTGCGAGAGCGTGGCCGGTAATGATGATGTCTTACGCGGCGGGGCGGTGAAGGCTTGGGAGGGCCGGGTCGACAGCACACCCCGAACCGCAAACCAGTAAACTGGGGCCGATCACTCAGTGTCTCGCGATGCGAAACGGTAGAGAATTCCCTCTGCGATTCGGTGCCGGTGAGACCAAGGGGGTGGCCACGTCGTCGCGAAAATGATCGGTAGCTAGGCCTTATCGCGGAAAGATGCGGCTAATAGGTACGCTCTTCAAGCTCGCGATAGCGATATTGCTCCCACGTGTTCGCTATCGGCGTCTCTACCATGAGGTGTAGATAACGTTTTGCGCTGAAAAGGCATGGGTCACGATACGACGGCGACGGCTAAATTCCGCGTATACGTGCAGAAGATCGTCAAGCCGATCTTCAAGCGAACATCCCGCTGGGGTGGAGT